TTTAATAGGAAAAATGCAGCCACTATGGGAGCCAGCCAATTCAGATTAAGGCTGCAATGCTGGAGAGGGTTTTGTTTTTAACCTATTTACCTCCTGTGGCCTTTTCCTTCATTTAAATTCTCTCTCTTTCCTGTCCCATGAGGCCAATACCAGCTTGGGAGTGATAATTGCAACCAGGAAGAGAGGATGTAGGGATAGGGTTACTGGCCACTGCTCCCCAGCACTGTGGTCCAGATCTGAATCCTGCCCTTCTGTACCTGTATGCGCCATTTGAAATAAAATGTATGTGATCCCATCACAGATATCCCACCGTCTCATCAAAGTGCCTCTAGCCTAAACAACCTTAAGCCCAGATTTTCCTCTGAAGTTCAACAGTCTTCTCTAATTCGATCTGGACTTCCCAGCTCTGCTGTCTGGGACTGACTGGGACTGACTGGCTGCCTAGTTCAGTGTGATAACATAAGCTTTATTAATGGAACAATTTGCTTTTTGATATTGAATTGATATTATAGCATTGTTGTAGTAGTTTGTTCAGCTAGTTGATGTTCTACGGGCTCCTAACTTTGTTTTGGTGTATAAGCTCAAGCCTTTGTTTCTCCATCATATTCTGGAATAAATTTAAGGTGCATTCTGTTGCATCTAAATGAAAAGACCACCTGGTCTTTAAATATCTGTTGAACGTGCTTTAAATGTGGATCTGCCTTTAGCTGAAAACAACCCATTGTTTTTATTTTAAAATGTAAACCACATTGAAGTATTTTTTTAATGTGGAAAGGTGAAGTAAAGATAAAAAATTCTGAAGCAATTCTGCAACAGTTCTGCTAGACACCAAAGATATCTCAGATCTCTCTCTCTTTCTGCGCCTCCTCTCTGGAATTAAAAGAAATTCAAAACTGCTGCTTCTCATTCTCCCCACCCCACCTACATTCTTTGCAGGTAAATTTCCCATTTGGGACAACATCCATAGCAATTCATAGTACCTCCAGTCTGTCACTATTTTGCAGGAGGTAATCTATGTGCATAACAGAACATTTAGCACATTTAAAGTGGATTAAAGTGCTCTGTTGCCTAGTATAGCAATTTTCCTTTTATGGACTGTTTTGGAAAGTAACAGGGAAATGCAATGAAAAGTGTAGGATGGATCAATGACTAATGCCAACACCCTACAAGCAAATCAGGATGAATGAAGGATTAATACTTACAGTTGTATAACTGCCCTGCAAACAAATAAGAATTAAGGTTCGGAAAATAGTATTGTGCAGCATTGTGCAAGCAAGTCAGGATGAATATTCAAGCAACTGGTAGTCTCAAGGGCCCTTAAGAGCCAGTAATGTCCTTTAAAAAACAACAACCCTGACTCCTGTTAGGCAACACTACAGGCAAAAACAGCTTGTGTTTATTTGAATCATCAAAATGGTGGCAGTCAGGAGAGCCAAGCTATGTTCTTCTTCACTAAGATTGATTAAGATAGAGAGGCAGCCTTCAGATAAAATTGGTAGCATAACAGTCTGCTCTGAACCACCATGGCCTTCTCATAGTTCTGCTGACGAGGACCGTCTGGAATCAGTTCTGCGAGGTAACATAAAACTGTCCTTTTGAAGAGGGGCAGCTTAGGGCCAAACTATATGTGTCACCATTCAGAGCATGGTTTAAGCTGGCAGCTTTCATTATGAAAGGAAAGGAGCTAGTTGGGCCCTGCTCTGGTACATGCTCCCAGTGAGGATCAGGACCCCGTGCTAGGTCACATCAGCACCATACATTTAAAGCACTCTTACACCACTTTAATAGCCAGGGCTCCCCCCCCACACAAAAAAAAAGCTCTGGGAACTGTAGTTTGTTGAGGATGCTGAGAGTTGTTAGTAGACCTCTATTCCCCAGCACAGAGCTATAATTTCTAGGGTGGTATAACAACCAGTCCTTCACCCCAGGGAACTCTGGGAGTTGTATCTATTGAGGGGACTAGGTGTCTCCTAACAGCAGCCTTGTGAAGCTACAGCTCCCAGGATTACTGGGGAGAAGCCATGATACTGCTTTAAATGTATGGTGCAGGTATGGCCTAGTTTCCTGCCAAAAATTGCAACTGTTTGCTACATGTTTACCACATATAGCACTTTGGGGAACAAATAGCAATCCTGGTGAGTGATATTTTGTGGGAAACTGGACTAGGGCCCAATGGAGCTGCTTTATCAAAAGCATGAGAAATGTCACATGTAGTTTGTCCCCAAATATTAATTGTTACAAGGCCTTCTTGCTCTCAGCTCATGTGTATCGTTAATGAATGTAACAGAGAGTAGCATCGCTGTGGCGGACTCCCAGTCACATGCCTTCACTTCAACACCTGAAGTGATGTAGGGATTTGAGGTAAACTGTATGCTTCAGACATTGAAATGTTTGTGTGTGTGGATAGAGGGAGGGGATGGAGGCAAAGGCAGCTGGGACGATGCTTCACATACATGAACAATATCCGGCTTTTACCCTGAACTACTTGTGCAGCTAACAGAGAGGGCTGTTTCAGTACTTTATTTATTATATTTATACTCGTTCCTTCTTGTCTCACTAGAGATGACATTCAATCCAGCTCATATTTAAAGCTACATCTGTCAAAGCTACACTTGCAGTTATCTGAATTTTGTGATGCAGTTCTCTAGCCAATTGTTTGTAAAAATCATGTATGAGGGGGAAGTGTGCCTTAAAATGGATACGTTTGTGAAAAGAACATATAAAGATGCATTATAACGGGAGAAATGGCCTGAAAAAACTGCACCATAGTCAAAGCAGCATGCAAAAATGGGTTTATTAGTAGAAATTTCATGTGGATTAAATCTCAAATTGCTGTAGCACTGAATTTCAGACTGGAAGAATGAGAAACTGAGAGAAACAAAACGAACAGAACCTTCCAGCCCTACCCAGGATGCTCTGACAGCATAAAACCTGGTGGAAACATATCAAAAATACAGTAATTAAAATTAGAGGGTTTTTAAAAATTTAAATTGCCTATATGTACCTACCCCTTCATGGATCACTGCCTTGTCTTTTTTTTTTTTAATTATATTTATTAAAGTTTCAAAGAAAAAATTACATATATATAAAAAAAAGAAAAAGAAATAAAAAAGAAAAAAATACAAAATACAGAAAAAAAGATAGAAAACACTTAAAAAAAAAAAACACATCGATCATTCCATAACTTACATTTCATTTCCTTACCTCCCTGACTTCCTCACACCTCCCTTTTTTGTATTCCAGTTCTATTAGTTAATTCAGCAATTCCTTTCCCTCTTTGTTTTTGTCTTAATCCTTTAACTTAACATATTATAACTTTAAATTCTCATCTGTTAACAATCCATTTGTACATACACCTTTATAACATTGCTGCTAAGACCACTTAATTTCATTCTGGCATCATTCTAACATTCATTAATTTTGCAATGTTTCTGTAAATAGTCTTTAAATTTCTTCCAATCTTCTTCCATGGATCACTGCCTTGTCATGGCAAAGGGGCTTGAATAACTTCAAGAAGCTATGAGCTGTGCTGTGCAGGGCCACCCAAGATGGACAGGTCATAGCCAAGAGTTTAGACTAAATTTGATCCACCTGGAGAAGGAGCTGGCAAACCACTCCAGTATTTTGCCAAGAAAACTCCATGGACATAGAAAAGGAGAAGCTTTGAGAAGAAAGTGAGAGTTTCCAAGGCATGCTCTTGTTCATGGGGTCACGGAGAGTCGAACACGATTAAGACAACTAAATAACAAACAAAAATATGTACCTATCGTCTGCCAAAGGCATGGGCAAATAAAAATATTCAAATCCTGCCAGAGCATGGCCAGGGAAGAGGACTTTTTGATCTCTCCCAGGAGTGTGTTCCAAGGTCAGGGAGCCACCAAGGGGGAAGCCCTTTCTCAGGGCTGTACCCTCCTTGCCAAACACAACTGTGATCCTTGAAGAAGGGCCTCTCCCCCTCTGGTCGTAAATTGCACGTTGGGGCATATGCAGAAAGGTCTGCCATCAAATCTCCTTCCCATGAAAGTCTTGAAGCTTGTGCTTGCCCTTATAAGGAGGAAGTCGTGTGTGAAATGGAACTACACACAGATCTGGTTACATGTCTCCTCGAGAAACTCTGCTATTACGAGGCGATGGACAAATGCACATAATAAATACAGGGGGATCCCTGCAATTCCAGCTGACACAATACTCACGATAATCATATGTAAATGTTCATGTGTGCCTCCTGGTCTCACTCACGTAATGGCAAGAAGACAGGATGGGAAAAACCTGGAATGGGTTACAAATCAGGAATGCGATTAACAATGATGCTAAGTATTTTAGAGAGAAGGCCCCTAGGCAAGCAAGGCTCCTTGGCAGTAGTTCAAATATCTGGTGCTTCCCAATGTGGAAAGTGCCCAGCTCACTCCTGGCAAGGGACTTCTTGGAAATTTCCTGCCATTTAGGAACGTGGTATCTCTTTTTGCAAGATGGGAAAGTGGTGGCCAAGTTCCTGGCCAGAGGCAGAACGGACAATATTGTAATGGGTGGGTCAGCTGGTCTGGCTGACATCCTAAGGATTCCGCCCACAGGCACTGTGACTCTGGTTGTAAAAAGAAACTGCTAGAGTAGTAGATCTCCTCGCTTCCAGACCACCTGTTTATTGACTATTCAAGCTGATTTGTTTGCAGAAAGTTTGTGGGGAGTTAGGCAACACTAGCTGTGGAGCAAACATTTATGCTGATTTGTTTGCAAGGATGTTATACAACAGTGCTTCAAGCAATTGCTTTCCAGTGCCTTTTCATGTCACTTTCCCTATCGCAAAAAAAGTCTGTGGGGTGGTTTTTTGGAGGGGGGGTTTGAAGAGAAGATTTGTGTCACAAGAGCTTCAGATCAACAACAACCTGAATTTGCCAGTATGTGACTGAATCACACCTCTGAATGGTAACAGAATCATAGAATTGTAGAGCTGGAAGGGCTGCAAGGGTCATCTAGTCCAACCCCCTGCAATGAAGGAATCTTTCACCTAATGTGGGGCTTGAACCCACAACCCTGAGATTAAGAGTCTCATGCTCTACCAGTCTGGAAATGCCTGGGTGAAACTTGGACAAGTTTAGCCCAGCAGATTCCCTTTCATTGAGCATATTGGCACTAGTGTGCCTTTGCATAACTAAAGAAATGGCCACTGATTCCTTCTGGACTTGTAGTGAGCATGTCTGTCTTTCCACAGTTTCCCCAATTTGTGGTGGATGATGACACCAGGCCGTCTACGAAGATGATGTCGTTTTACTTCAGAATGGCTGGAAATGACACACAAAGAGGACTTTACGTAACCCTCTGGTTACGTAAACTTCGGGGTGTGAAAGCGGCAAACCCGGAAGTATTTTACCAGGTTTTGCTGCTCGCACATGCGCAGAAGCAGTCCTCAGGTTGCGGAAACCTCGGGATCCGACTGGACCAGATCCTGGACCAGATCCCGTCTGCAACCGGAGGTACCACTGTATTGCTCTCTGCAAGAATCCTATGGTGCTGATGGTTCCCCTAGAAATCCCCTAGAAATGTGTAAATACAATCATTTATCATAAAAAAACACAAGTCAGTCTCTATTTACCTCGTCCAAAGGGAACAGAACCTGTGTACATTGTGCCCCCTCCCGAAATTGTCACTGCTTGGAGGATTAGAGAGGGCATAACAATATTGTTCCCCTGAAAAGCGCTAAGAGCTAGCTGAATCCTCAGAATTAATTTATTTATTGAAATGTTTGTGTCTGTACCATCAACAAAGGCTCCAGGAAAGGCTAACAAAAATCTATGTAAAACAGTCCCTGCAGACAGCTTACATACAACCTGACATGCACAACACACAAGGAAAAAAGGCAGGGAGGGAGGAGGGGAAAAAGCAAGCTCAAGCGATAGTCCTTTGTTACAGAGTTCTTGTAACCACCAGCTGGAATGGACAGATTTGGAGAGGAGGAGCCAAATGTTTCTGGTCTTTCAGCAGAACAGATGGAGAGGCTTTGCAGTCCCAGGCCAGCTCTCCCTCTATAGCCTTTGGCTGAAGACAGAAGACAGTTGAGGCAGGGGCCTGTTGAAGCTGGTCTTTCAGCAAAGCCATTGCAGAGGTCCTGTGGTTCCGTCTCCTATAGCCTGATGAAATGGCTGTATCAGCTGTCAAGGGCTTGAATGTCCCAGTCTCCTGCTTCTTGTTATGCATTGCAGATGATTTTAAGAGCTGGCAGGATGGAATGGGCTGAAACCTGGGATTTGGACTGTGACACTTAGGCCTGCCTAGTCCAGCATCCTTTCCCCCACAGGGGCCAACCAGATGCACATGGGGAGCACAAGAGACCTCTCCCACTGTCATTCTGCAACACCTGGAATACTGAGGCATGTAGAGAGGCTCTGCTCCACGTGCTTCCATCATTGGAAGGACAATAGATAGCAATAGAGGGCAGAACCACTGCACGGAAGCTGTGGTACTCAGTCTCTAGGGAAGTCTGCCTTGCTCTGCACACACCAAACATTTAAAGCATATGCAAAGCACATGACTTACTCCAAAGAATCATGGGAGCTGTAGTTTACCCACCACAGAGCAGCAAGTCTCAGCACCCTGAACAAATGACTGTTCCCAGCATTCTCTGAGGGAAGCCATGTGCTTTAAATGTGTGGTGTGTTCACATCCAGTATCTGGGGTGCTCAGGGGCACAGGGGATCTGGGAACTGAGCTCTCTGCAGGCAGGGCAAGGATGTGGCGAGGGGGTCAGCATCAGGTTAAAGCAAAGAATGTCACTGCAGCAGCCGTCACGTAACCCTATCTTCCTCTTTACTGCCCGCAAACCATTGCACACGCAAGGATTTGGTGTCCGTGGGCCAGAGGATTTAATGTTCCCATCGGGGAGAGACCTGCGGAATCACATGTCTTTTGGGTGCAGAGGCAGCAGCAGCGAGATGGTCAGAGAGTGGAGGATGGGCTAAGCCACCTTCAAAACAGCCGAGTTATGAATATATTCCCAACAAAAGGATGCAGCAAGGACTGCCAAAAATGGCTTGTTCACACTAGTTTTGCAGTTGCCCATCTCCCATGGATGTTACTGTTTCAGACTGTGTCTTGGGGCAGGGCAGTTTTTAGGCTAGAGGGGGCAAATGCTTTCTAATGGGGTACCTTCCTCTGCTGGTGGGTGCCTGGTGGGCATTGGTGGTGGCAGCTTCAATGCTACACATCGCTGCAGAGTGACATTATGTTGGAAGCACTGTAGGGTATTAAAATGGCAGCTGCCCAGCACTGATGGGAGCAATAGTTATTTATTATTTCTTGAGTTTATATACCGCCCTATACCTGGAGGTCTCAGGGCAGTTCACAGAAAATGAGGCTCCAGGGCAGACCGTAATTGTGAGCACTGGCGGGATGCTGGGCTCCCAGGAGGTGCCCCCAAAGCACTGCAATTCTGATGCAGGACCTGGTGGTGGATTTGAATGCTTTCCTGTGCAAATATTCCTTGTAAATTAAAAATGTGCTGTCAGGGAGAAAGGTTCCACTCCACTCCACTTTCTGAGCACAGGAAGGTTTTGAACAAGGGAGCATTTAACCATATGATTTCCCCTCTACCTAGTGTCTGAAAATATAATCTGTTCTACCACCTCAATGGACTTTGTCACCTAATTACCACCGCCTAACCCCACCTCATACATATAGACCAGGCCTCAGATGATGGAGGTGATAGGACAAGCCCCATTATTTGTTGACACGTCCCATTGTGGCAACTACTAAACTTTCCATAATCTCTTATACATCTGGATTGGCATCTGGATGAGAAAGAGGCATCATTCCTCAAGGAGCAAAGCTGCCTCAAGGAGCAAAGCAGGCCTCCAGAATTTGTGAACCACATACCTCACCACCTGTGGTCTACTAGCATCTCTCTTTCTCTCACACTGTTTTTAAAATAGTCCCAAGAAGGCTGAAAAGCCATACAAATTATCAGGCTTCCATAGTTACAGGGCATAAATGGAGAGAAAGAAGACTCTGCTTTGAAATAGCTGAAAGGAGAAAGAAAATCACCCTGAAGAAGAGTTTTCTAGTTTGAAACAGGTCTAGCCTTTTCAGAAACTCTTGTTCATAAATAAGAGACAGCACACTTCATATTCCCTGACTCTCAATATCCTATGTGGAGGGGCTATGTGGGGGTTCATTGAAAGTGGGGTGATTAATGAGGCCTAGGACCCTTGTGTTAAGATGAATCTCCAAATGCATGAGAGCAAAGTGCTCATAATACTACACTGGTGCATACTTCCCCTTGCTTTTGTATTGTGCTTTGTTTTGTACAGGCTTGTAACCACAACAATTGTGTGTGATTATATTTGCTGTTTGTAATGTTTAATGAAAATAATGAAAATCATTTTAAAAAGAAAGCAAACAATAAGTACAGGGCATTGTGGTTGAAGACTCTACAGCTGTGTTCACACTCCCATTTACTGTGGTTTCCAGGGCTGGGTTTTTAATCCACAGTCACACAAAGTAATCCAAAACACATATGTATCCTGCAGATTGGTCTAAAAGACAATTTTTTGATGTCCTCAAGTCATTCCTAATTTGTCTCTAATCAAGGCGTGAACTTCTTTGCCTAAGGTAAAAAAATGTCCCATCATCTCCTGGTGTGTACAAAAGCAGAAACTAAACGGGGAAAGAGCTGTGAAATGCAGTGGGGTTGGGATGAGGGTGAGGGGAGGACAACTTCATCTGGTCCTGTGAACACACCCTCAATGCAAAGTATCATTTGTTCGTGTCAAAGGGTTGATTCCCAGAAGGGGGCTTATGGATGCGTGAAAAGCTCATCCAGTCCCTACCCTCAGGATTGCACTATAAAAGACATGACACAAAAGGAAGAAGGGATGAGGAAGGAGGAGGAGGAGGGGGGAAACAACAGATTAATTTTAGAGGCCCCTTTGGGTATACTTCCTCTCGCTTTTGGCACTGGCATGGTGCAGTTCTTGTCTCTGGCTGAGTGTGAGATCAGATGGTGCTGTTCAGTCAGCATACTCAGCTTCCCTCTCTTGGCTCCAGGGGTGTCCCTGAGGAAAAGCTCCGTGCTTCAACGTTCACCCAGAACATGAACAGCTGCCGTGAAAAAATACGCCGCCAGTTTCGGTGGGGAATCCTTTCTCAAAACAACACAGGTTAAAACCCCACCTTGGCCCTGTCTGTAAATATGACGTTTCACCTCACTTCTTTTCCTGCTTCCTCCTTCCTGGATTAAAAAGTTTTTGGGAGCAAGAGCCCCTCTCTTCCTCCTCCTCCTGCCCGCTCTCCACCAAGTCCTTAGAAATGCAGACATATTCATCACCTCTTTACTTGATGAGTTGATGGAGCTCCTTCTATCTAGCACTCTTCTTGTGTTCAGGTACTTCTTGGAAAGAAGCTGTCACTTCCACACAAATGTCAAATACCAGGGATGGTGGGGGGAATGTTTGCAATGCTCAAGGAATCTGGTTCATGTCCCTGACCCCCACCCCTTTCCCAGTTGCCCTCCCAGAGATTAAGCCATAGCAGAGGAACTGGCTCCCAACTTCTTACTCAGATTGCTCAAGCACCTGCCCTCCCTGCAACTCCCCGGCCCTAAAAAACCTATTATTATTATTATTATTATTATTATTATTATTATTATTATTATTCCATCCATGGCACAAAGCCTTGGCATTACATCTCACCTCACCTCACAACACACTGTGTGATCTTAAGGTCTGGGTGCCTATAGACAAGTACTGGCCAACAAAACTGTGCCTTGTTCCATTTCTTGAGAGCCGGCATCTTGATTAGGCAAAATGGAATAAGATGGATGCACACATATACAAAGATCCTTGGGCTGGGGAGGGGCCTCAAAATTATTATTCAAATGTTAATCATTTATTTTTAGTTTTCTGTTTGTTTCCAGCTTTTAATATCTCATTTGAATTTTCAGTAACCACCAACACCTTAGCTACTATTTTTATCCAGCTTCAGACAGCTTGCTATCAATCCAACAAGAGGTGATAATCTTACCGCATGGAGCCAGCTTTCTTGGGTTGGAGGCTTATGCCCTTAGGACATGAACCAATAAAAACAATTTGTACATAACGTCTGTTGAAACACCACAGCAAGAAAGCTTCAGGCAACCCATGATCACTGATTAATATGGTTGCTCGAATGGATGCGCTGGCTGGGCAGGGAGGCAGATAGGTCAATATAGCCTCACAAGGAAGGAGACAGTGGAGAAAGTTCCAGAATAAAATAACCTCAACTTGAAATCTGGACAGCTATTGCTAATCACTGTAGACAATGCTGAGGCTTCATCCAGACTTCCTTTTGTGCTGTTTTTCCATACCCTCCAACATTTCTCCAATGAAAATAGGGGCATCCTATATAATAATAATAATAATAATAATAATAATAATAATAGTACCTCACCCATCTGACTGAGCTGCCCCAGCCACTCTGGGTGGCTTCCAACATATATAAAAACATAATAAAATATTAAACATCAAACACTGAACTGCCTTCAGATGGCTTGGGGGTCAGATAACTCCATATCCTCCAACATTTATTTGATGAAAATAGGGATGTCCTAAAGAAAAGCAGGACATTTCAGGATCAAATCAGAAACCAGGACAGCTTCTCTAAATCTAAGACTGTCCCTGGAAAATCAGGACACTTGGAAGGTCTGTGTTTCTAGACACAGGTCCACACTGCGTCAGAATGCTTTTTTTCTTTTCTTTTTTTTTGCCCCAGCACTTTCCCCTTGAAAACCTTTTGAGAACAAAAGAAAGAAATGCAAGAACCTAGTTTTATTTCATTTCTTATTACGTTGAAGAAAAATGCTGAGGTCACCCAGTACAGCTGGGAACAGGTTTAAGACAGCTATAGACCTCACAGGCACTGTGCATTCAAAGCAGTATCATACTGTTTTAAATGGCTGTGGCTTTCTGCAATGAATCTTGGGAAGTGTAGTTCACTAAGGGTGCTGCAAGCTGTTAGGAGATCCCCCCCATTGCCCTCACAGAGCTACAATTCCCAGAGTTCCCTGGGAAGAGGAATTGACAATTTAAGAATGCTGGCATGACCGCCGTGAGGGGAATAGGGGTCTCCTCACACCTGTCAGCAGTCAGCACTTATAACAAACTACAGCTCCCATAATTCTTTGGGGAAAGCCATGACTGTTTAAAGTAGTAGAAATATTTAAATATTTTGTGCAGATGAGGCCATAGTCTCTCTCCATTACATTAAAAACATAAGAAGTCACTTGCCACAGGGATTATGACAACCTCCACAATAAAGAGCTGTTTGTGTAGTTTTCAACAGTATTACATATTGGTGGAAGACCTGTGGTTACTAGCTACAATGGCCAGAGACACAGCAACCATGCTTATAGGCCACACACTCAAGTAACAGATACTGAAGACAAATGACAGGACGTAGAATATCTGATTGGTCATGGTCAGAAACTGCATCCCGAGGTAGATGGGCTATTGCTCTGATTCAGAAAATAAAAAGAATGTTTCAAAACACGTATACGTGTTTTTATACACGTACAGGCATAAGCATGTTTGAGTAATTATATAACATTTAATTCTGCGCAAATGAAGAAGACGCGGCAAGCAGATTGATCTAATAGCATATATGGGAGCGAGGGCAACCCAGTCCTCTGTGTGTCTTCATTATAGACGACAAGTGACAGAAATAAACCCTAAATCTGCTAGAGGCAGGAGGGGGAGGCTAGGGTGAGATCTCTTGCAAGGAACAGGCGAACATTTGAGTGACACATGGGTCTGTGGACACCCGGCCTCCTCTCCCTACTCTCCCCCCCACCCCGCCAAGCCAAGCCAACCACCCTCCTGGCTTCTCCCTCTCAAGTCAGCAAAAAATACCTTCTCTCCGCAGAAGGCCATATGTGAGTTGGTGGCTGAGGTGATGTCAGCACCAGTCACCCAATGGGGGCCCACCGACAATGTCCGGGGATCTGGGCCCCGGTCTGCCTCATAAGGACGTGTGCCAGCCTCCGAGCTCGGTGAAGGCTTCTGTGCGAGGACGGGTCGTGTGGGCTTTCCCTCCATCGTTGGATACCGTGTGCCAAGGACCATGGTCTGTTGAGAAGGAGAAGGAACTCAAAAGGGGGCACGAGTGACCACACAAGTCAGGGGGGTCGAAGAAGCAGGCTGAGCCGACAGGAAGAGAGGAGCACCTTTTCACACAGCAACGGGGCAGCTGTGGTTGGGCAACGATGGAAAACGCCCACGCCAAAACAGGGGAGGAGTGCTTGGCTTACTTTGGAGTGAATGAGCATTCAGGCCTCTCTCCCGAGCAGGTGAAGAAGCACCTGGAGAAATACGGATACAATGGTGAGTGGCTGCCTGAGTTATAGGACCATGTTGGTACCCACACGTCAAGGTGCCAGGATGCAGAGAAGGGCAGAGGGAGGGAGGGAGGGAGGGAGATGCATGGAAGGAAGGATGGAAGGAAGGATGCAGCTGAAAGGATGGCCACCTAAATACAGATACGAGAACCAAAGGAAAGCCAAGGATGATCGGGCAAGAGATGGACAGGTGGATGGATGCAGAGCCATGGCTTCTAGACGAAAAGGGTGGATGCACACACACAGAGGAGGTGGGAGAGTGGGGTTTCAGTACACGCCGAAGAAGAATTGTTACGTAGGCACAGGAAGGGAAGGAAGAGCCCGATTAAGTAGGCAATGGAAGGTGAACAGGGATGGAGGCAAAAGCAAAGGAGAAGAGCACTGAAGATTATTAGGATGGGGGGAGGTAGCCAGGCTGGGGACAGGGCAGCTGCTGCTTTGCTAAGAATAACCCAGTAATTCCCTTTGGTATGAAACAGATATTAAAATTGCTGATGGGCAACTTGTAGGAGCAGCCGGGAGGTTGCCGGGGGGGGGGGTTGATATTCCACAGCCGCTAAGGGACAGGCTGGCTGGATGCAGGGTAACTGGGGAGGGGGTGATGTCCTTGGGGAACATGAGTTTAGCAGTTAAGTGAAATGGTAGTGGTTTATTGGGAAGGGTGTCAATATGAAGAGGGGAGGCTTTTTTCTTTGTTTGTTTGTTTTTGCAGGGGGTAGTAGTGTCCTGCTGAAGATGCAGACAGTTAAGCAACAAGGACAATGTATTCCTCCCTGTTTCCCCATGCATGATATCCTCTAGGATCCAAGTCTTAACTTTTAGAGAAGGGAATTTGGGGGGGGGGGGGTTTACAGGACACAAGTACATGGCACAGATATGATAAGGTGGGGTTGCTGTGAGTGTGTACCTAAGCCATGTTGTGCTATGCAACTGGCTGCAACTCCTTGTGGAGTCCTGCTAACAAGGGGCACCTCACACCCAACTTAATTCTGCGGCAACAGCTCTGGCCCAATGGCTTCTTTCAAAACTATAGCCCATAACCTTAATTTTGGTAGAAGGCCCCTTTGCTGTCTGTAGCTGAGACCCATGTCCACCTCACAATTAACCTGTGTCTGCCTCACAATCAGTTCTATAATCCTAAGCATGACCCCATGGCTTGTTTCTAACTGTTCAGTTCTGATCTGCGATATTAACCTTCAACTCCATGTAAGAAGCCAGCCTCATTAACTTAACCACAGAGCCTTTCTTCCCTGTCTCCACCTTTGCCTGACAATCCAGTCCACAAAGTCAAAATAAAACACAACCCTAACCCGCTTCTCTCTCTTTCTCTTTCTCTCTCTCTCTCTCTCTCTCAACCCCACAGAACTCCCAGCTGAAGAAGGTGAGTCCCTAATACTGGTGTGAAAAGGTGTTGGGAAGTGTTAGGACATAGGAAGCCCCACTGTACCCTGATCTTACCTGGCTCAAATTCTCTCTGCTGACTTTGTAAAGCAGCAATTATGGCTGCCAGGTCTCTATTTTTGGCTTTAAGTTTTAAACCTTTAGCCATCTTTCTGGTTTTCCAAAGGAAGGACTAAAATCTCAAGATAGGGAACTATAATCAATGGGCCTTTTTTTTTTTTTTTGCTTGCCCTGAAAGGTTTCCCCATTCTCTTCAGCTTACCCTTTCCATCAAATTTCAGCCTGAGGCACCAAGCACAAACAAGTTCATCCCCTAAACAGCTACTAGGCCTCACCCATATCCTACCAGGCTCCACTGACAATCTGCCAGGCACCCGCTTAGCTCCCAGGCTCCATTCACAGGCTTCTTCTTGCCCAAGCCTATGGCACCTGGCTATCCTACCAGACAGACCATACACTTGCCTTAAGAAAAGAGGGTTGGGTATACACCAGCCTTTGAGGTGTTGCTGAGCCAGCAGTGGGGGTTGTGGGGCCACTTACAAGAAAAGAGGTGATTTCTTCCTTTCACTTATGGGAAAGGGGGTGAACATTGCTCTGGAGGAAGAAAAATCAGCTTGGAGGAAGCAATCTGGAGAGAAACGGCAGAGATGTTAAGCACCAACCACCACTTCTTAGCCCCAAGTTCCCTTTCTGAAGTGGCTTGTTCTCTGTCAGGCTTTTGTTAATGCATAGTTAGACCCTCAGGGGGTATCCACACTTCTTGCTCAACTGGAACAAATGGCAATTCAGTATTTTCTGGATTGACATTTGCTCCGATTTGGCACTAAAGAGTGTCTTTTCCCTTGGAATGGAGTGGGGCAAGGGGAAGACTGATTGGACCTGTGCTTTCTAGGCATGGCACAAGTGGAAATGTGGATGAGCCCTCAGGAAAAGAACACCTGGGGGGCTTATAGCTCACCTAGACCTCCCTGACTAGGCTTTGCTCAAAATCTATCATAGAGAATCCATCTTTCATGGCAAACATACGTCATTTCGGGTGCCCTCCCCAATCCCTTTCTAGCTAACTGCCCTCAGAAACTGGAATTTTTGTGCCCTCTGATCCTTTAACACCTCCCTTTCTTGCTTGTCAGGCAAAACCATTTGGGAGCTGGTGGTGGAACAATTTGAAGACTTGCTTGTCAGAATCCTACTACTCGCAGCTTGCATCTCCTTTGTAAGTGACTGTGGCCTTGTGGGTGAGGAAATTTGGGTTACTCAGAGAAGGGCCTTTGAAATACAGCCAGCATTGGGAAGGAGAGGCGAGCAGTTTGGGGGCACATGGAGGGAAACAGTCAAAAGGAGACACATCCTAGGCAAGGATGAACCAGTTTCCTTTAGAGTCAATGGCTGATGTGTACCAATGCCCATAGTTGGTGTGCTGAGAAGCTTTGCTCTTCAGTGAGCTGCCATATTGATAAGCTGCATCATCAATCACTGGAGGCATTCACTGGGACCTAATATGACTCAAGCCTCAGTTTTGGAACATATTCTATGGTATGGCACATGGTATGCGTGAAGTAATGTTAAAGAAACATCTGAACATCTGGAGAGTTTATCTTTCCTCACCACTATTTAAATGTAAAGTGTTTCCAGATGTACACCTCCAAGTCAGGGCACTGTAGGGTCCCGTGCCCCCCAGCTCAAGCCAAACTGCCCTCTCTGACTGCATAGTGCTTTAGACAGGTTGCATTGTACACTGGTCCGATAGACTGTCTTCCCTTCAGCTTAGGGGTTAGAGGTATACTAGTTTCCAGCCAATCGGGGCTGTGCATGGCTGGCTTCTGCTATGAATCCGTAGAACCAATTTCCCCTGAACTCATCCCAAGAGAGTATATTGCAGAGAAGGTTGTCTAGGTGAAAATGTAGTGATTGTGCTTTTACAGCAGGTGTATCTCTCAAATTATACTTCTGTATCCACTCAAATTAGTAAATAAACTAAAACTGGCAACAGGGCATGGGGATAACTTGGCCTTTAGGCTCCTGTATGTAGAAAATGAGTTCCCTCACATTAATGGGGGAGCTCGCCAACCAGCTCCAAAACCTCTTTGCCAACTGCCCTGCTTCCACTCCCACCATAACTATAAAATGGAAGCCGCAGAAATGAACGTTTCCCTCCCCTCATCTTGCAACTTGCCTCGCTGCCCGGTTCCTTGACACTTGAGATGCAGCCACCTTGGGCCGTGATACTAATTTCTGGAAGAGCACATGGCCTGGCTCAGCACCAAGAGGTCGCTGTAAAGGTCACCGTTAACGGCCTAGTTCTCAGGTAGCCTGAGCTCCCTCACCTCACTGCTCCTCAGAAAACCCAGGATACCTGGCATCTTCTTGTCCAAGGAGAAGAAGGCATTTGTGACCAGGTTTGCTGTGATCCAGCAACTAGTAATTCTCTCATTCCCTCTCTCATGCAAATCACCAATTAGTGTGCTGTATTACAGGGATTCTGGAGAGAGACAACAGTATCTTGTATAGACTCCGGTGAATCTATAGAAGCTACAGTCTCCCAGGTGTTGCTGGACTCCAGCTGCCATCAGACCCGGCCAGCCAACATGGCCAAAGAATCTTTGCTATGCTTGTACATGGCAAGCTGGAGAGAGAAGAAGTTGTGATATTTTCCTATCTCTTAGGCTTATCCACACTTCCTCATCCCTCTGCTTCCCCCCATCCCTGGGGAAAACTGCTCTTTAGCACTCAGTCAATCATAGCAAACAGCAAAATGAACTTGACATTTGATTCTCTGATTTAGCACTAAATAGCAGGTTTTTCCTGGGAAAGGAGCGGAACAAGGGACGAAAACACTTGGACCGCCTGGGTCAAGCAGAAAACTGCCTGGACCTGTGCTTTCTAGGCACGAGACAAGCAGAAGTGTGTATGAGCCCTTACATACTCATACCTCTTTCAGATGAAGGATCCCAGGTCTAGTCTTTATTTCCTTTTCTGCAGCTTGACTTTAAGTTTTTACCCTCTGGAAACTTAATTAAGCACACAAGCCAACCTAGGAACATTTGGATTCTTGGCAATTTGCATTTCGGACAACTTGGTTTCCAATACTGTGCTTATTTCAAGAATAAACATAGTAAAAGGTGGGCTCCTTTTGTATTGCAAATATTTGGAACTGGAAACAAACAGGAAACAAAAGTAACCTGTTGTTTATGGCACAAGCTTGTTTTCTGCTGCTCCAGAGGGTACGACCTGAACCAATGGATTCAGATGACAAGAAAGGAGATTCTGACTAAACCAAGGGGTTGGATTAGATGACCCTGGGAATCCCTTCCAGCACTACATTTCTGTGATTTCATTTATTCTTTGGTGATCTTAAATATGGAGATTCCAAATCTGGCTGGGAGATTTTAACTCAATTTACAATAGCACGCTGATTGAATATCGCCCCTCTGGCAACTCCACTGTGTTGTCTCCACTGTGTATCCAGGACACAAGAGGAGCAGATGGGTTGCATCCCACACTACCCTTGCAAGTGTGCAAACCCTAATACCCATGTTGTGTTTACGTAACAAACACACACGGAGAGAGAAAGAGAGCAGCTCCCTCCAGCAGGGGGCAGCATAGACCTGGGTCAGACTGGAACATTTCATTTGCACTTGGGAAACGTGTTTTCTTCACATCTTTAAGCTGTGCATACAATTGCACACTTGCAGCTGCCCACACAATTACACAACATCCATAGGCTTGCACACACACACACACACACACACACAGAGACAAGCAGGAGCCCTTTGCACCGGAGTTCTCGGGTTTCATGGGATCAACTTACACGCTTCATCTTGTACACATGCAAAGTGCAGGCAGGGTTCAGCTGTCTCAAGATTCCAAATGTCAAGAGGAATCAAAAGACAAATGCGATCCCAGAAGGATAAGGGAGGGGAGAGCGAAGGATGAGCCAGGATTCCTAACCGTGGAAATGAGTGAGAGCTATGCCTGCGCAAGATGGAGGCTGAAGGTCCCGCTCCCCCAGTTCTAAGCATGTGCCTCTCTTTTTTTGGCAGGTGCTGGCCTGGTTTGAGGAAGGCGAGGAGACTGTCACAGCTTTCGTGGAACCATTTGTCATCTTGCTGATCCTGATCGCCAACGCCATTGTTGGAGTATGGCAGGTAAACAAACCAACAACCATGCAAAATCAGCATTTGTATATTGCCTCAAAGGGCTTTGCACACATAATTACCAATGGCTCAGTCAGTATTGTTTTCACTGTATTGAAAGGGTGGGCTGGGGCCACAGCTCCCAGCTTCCCTGGCCTTTCACCATGCCGACTAGGGCTGATGGGAGACCCAACAACATCTATGGAGAGCCAAGGCTTCCCCTGCTGTACTGCAAAGCCTAAAGAGAGAATGGAAAAGCTACAAGCTGGAAGTGGGGCAAAGGACCCACAAGGACTTAGGAAGCAGGATAAAGCAACACAATTTTTAAAAATTATTATTACCCACCAAAGCAGCCCAAACTGCTGTGTTTCTGCTTCTTTTATTGCTTTTTTGTAGCCCAGTCATTTGGTGTGTAGGTGTCAAAGCATTGCCTCCAGAGAGGATCTTAACTATGGCTGTTGTGTCTCTTCTAGGAGAGGAATGCTGAGAACGCCATTGAGGCTCTAAAGGAGTATGAGCCGGAGATGGGCAAGGTGTATCGGTCTGACAGGAAGTCTGTGCAGAGAATAAAGGCCAGGGAGATGGTTCCTGGTGACATCGCAGAGGTGGCAGGTAAGTCCCGGACCGAGGCAAGGAATGAAAGTGATTGCTTCAGGGTGAAGCAGACTAGACATGGAGTAAAGAGATTTTGGGACAGCATGCGTATCTTTCACAGCCTTTAAGGTCACACCCATACCATATATTTGAAGCACATTTCCAAAGAATTCTGGGAAATGTAATTAACCGCCACCACAGAGCTATAATCCCCAGTGCTCTTAACAAACTGTAGTTCCCAGGATTCTTTGTCGGGAAGACATATGCTTTAAATGTGTGCTGCGAGTGTCACTTAAATCTCTCAGTCACAGTGGTCCGTACAGCACAAGTTCTCCAACTTAAAAGACAAACTTCGTTGGGGTGGGTTTAAAAATGGCCGCATTCAAAAAAAGAGAGGTCAAAGCAGCCTTAGCTGTTCCTATAAAGGACATCTAGGAGAGCACACCTTGCTTCTCTATGCTTCATACCCTCTTTATGGACTGGAGTATTTTCCCCACAAGTAGGCTCATGGGTAATGAAGTCAGAGGGGGACATCCCAGCTTCCTAGAGTGGACGTAGTCTTCTCTATGGTGGCCAAAGGCACCTTGGGAAGGAGATGACATGAGCTCTTCTCTGTAAGCATCCACATGAGCAAACAGTTCTGGATTAGGGACAGGCAATCCCTTGTAAAGAGAAGTCTCAGTGCTCCCACATCTCCACTGCTAGACTTAAAAGTTACAAATGGTTTATTAAACTGAAGCGGCGGTTGGTGTGAATGTTGTACGTTCATGTTGTACAGTTTGGACTCTCTGTATCAGCCGCAACAGTGATGGACTTAGAGAGTGACAATTAGATTAAACATTTGGGCTGTGATGTTTAGCCTTGGACAGAGGGTAACTTTCTTCTAATAGGTGCAGGATCATTTTAGGTAGCTTGGCAAGAAATGACTTCCTGCAGCTGAAATAAGTGAAGGTGAAGAGGCTTCAGCCCCAGGAGAGAAAATTAAAGAGAGATATCAGGATTGGGCATGTGCCTAGGGAAGGTATCAAGGGTCAGACACCCTCTCCCTAGTTTTGAGTTTATAAAATCAATTGGGTAAATGTCAACAAGGCTTGGATTAGGGCAAATCATAGACACAGGTTCTGAGTTCCAAGATGTGAAGTTTCTTTTTTCAGTGTCCATATTTGGATTCTTATAGTTAGAAAATTCTCTGATAATGCCCTCCTGTGCCATTTTGAGTTCCTCCTGTCATAGTCTGTTGCAGTGAACATCAGGCGGTCTTTCATAATGACCACTTGCAAGCACTGATTTCTCCTTCTGTTCCCTTCCTATCTCCATATTTTGGGTGGGGGCTACTTCTATCAACCTCCCACTTCATTGGTCTCTTGTGCCAGGTAGAAAATCCCCAACCCAGTGTCTCCTCACCCCAGTTGTGTGGTGCTGGTTTGGAGTGGCCATTACCCAGAATCCAAAGGGGAGTGTTGCCCGTTCCCTGTGGGGTCGGATAATGCCCTCCTCCAACCCCGAGCCCTCAGGGAGCACTGGAGATGCTGCTTCAGCAGAGTCTTTGTGGCTCACCCTCACCCCTCACCCCACCTGCCGCTCGCCCCATCATGCCTATCCCTCCATCATGTAGCTTGTTTACTCCTTGGGCTTGGCCTGTCTTGACCCTGGAGTGGAGGCAGAGGGGATGTTTTGGGAACAGACAGTCCCCACGGTGGGTGCAGCCTGGAGGTGGAGCAGTGAAAACAGAGACCTGAGGAATCCCCTTCAGCTGCACTTACTGGGCAACAGCTGTCCCCAAAGCTGGGCCAGCCGCCAAGCTGTCCCCTCCCTTTGGTCCGCATTAATTTAATTCAAAGATCATTTACTCACACAGGGCCAGTTGCACAACTGTCTCCAAAATATAAAGGGCACCCACACACAAACACATACACTTGCTGTAATCCTTCACTGGGTGGTTGGGACAGGCTCCCCCAGAATTTGCCCCCCCCTTGCCTTGCGTTGTATGTGTGATATGCTTCTTGAAGCCCCGTCCCCCCAGGTTTGTGCTGCCTCTTTCTCTCTCTACCCACAGTAGGGGAGGGTGGCCATTAGTCTTTCTTTACAGAGGATGATCTTCTGTTTGAAGAAGTCTTCTGTTTAGAGAACCTTGGAAGTTGCCCATCCACAGTTAGTACACCTGGATAGCAGGCTGAGCCGGAACACAGGTCATTTGGTCATAGACTCCCCTGCTATGGAGATGTGTTGTATATCTGTTTAAATTATAGCAGTGTGAAGTGTTTCGTCTAGACACAAATTAGCATATGCAAATATTGTGCAGCGGTGGCCACTTTTGTCCTTTCTTGTGTGTTTGTGTGTGATGCTTTTTTTGGCAGTATGCAAATGGCCACCCTAAATATGAGGCCTCATTCTTCCTTACTGGGCATTTTTGTGTCTTTTTAAAGGGACGGCTTTGTAAATTTGGGTCCTCTTTGAGGCAATGCGAAGGAGGATAAAGCCCCTCTTATATATAGATAAAATTATAAGGGTTACATAGATATAAAATAAAACAACAAATATTATTTATATAAACACACACCTAACAAAGCATTTTCCATTGAAACCAGAAGTCATTCAAAATAAATTATGAAAAGTTCTGACAAATGCTTCCTTCTGTTTGGGAAATAGGGGCAGAAGTCTGTCTCTAATACTTCTTAATTTGTCGCCGCCTGTCCTCAATTTATTACTTATTTTATTAGATTTATTTATTAAATGCTTTCCTTCTTACAATTTATCACCAATGATAAATTGAGAAATACAGCATTAATATGACCACCTTCCCTCTTGTTTATCTATAACATAGGATTTCCCAGGTAAACTACTTCTGAACATGGAGGCTCTCTTCTTAGCTATGACCATTTTATCCTCCATGGTTTCCCCCCCCCCCTTTTAAAAGCCACGTGATTTGGGCCACGGCCAGATGCAAAGGAAGAGGACGAGGCTCTTGCGTCTTCTTAAGAGTTCCATAGAAGTGGGAATTCCAGCAAGTGCAACTCCTCTCATCCCCTTCACGATACGTTCCCACCTGGCAAAAGTCCCATTCAAGCCCTGCCTTCTTTTGCACCTGGCCACGTCACAATATTTCAGCGGGAAGGAATTCCACAGAGTTAATATTATACTTTGCAAAAGAGAAGCCAGGGGCTACCTTGTGCTCCAGAGGGATTTAAGGAAGAGATAATTCCGAGAAGGGATCTGCACTGCTTTGTGCCAGCTTTCGCAAGCTCGCCTGATTTATTTATATGTATATTTTAAACACTGCTGGCTGAGCAGTTTTAGCATCACCTTTGGGGATGCAGAAATCCGTGGTCTCCTGCCACCACCTCTCTCTCCCAGCCTGGCCTGGCCTGAAGTCCTCCTCCTCCTCCCTGTCAGGGCACCCGTGACCTCTCCATCTCCTTGAAGGAGAGAAGGCAACGGGGCAGTGGATGGTGCCCAGCAACCGGCTTCACCTTGTATGGACAGTGGCAGGCAGCTGGTGATGCCTGGGGAATGTGATGAGGCAGGCAAGGAGGGAGCGAGAGAGACACTTAATGCGCTTGTGGAAAAGCGAGCTGGGGTGCATGGGGACATCTAGGGTTACCGTGCCTTGTCAGGTGGAGGAAGGGGGCAGGCGGAGGGGAAAGCCTCTGCGGGTGCTGCCTCTGGGGTATTGCTAGGGCAAAAAGCTTGCCCCCATCTGCTCCAGCCTGCACTCCTTGGTCTTGAGGGCACCTACAATATATCCTCATCGCCACCATCGAACAATTCCCCAAGGGTGGCTGTGGGTCTTGCTTTTCAGAGGTCACTCCTCCATTTGAAAGCCTGTTAAGTCTGATTTCAGTATAAAGAACCATCAGAACAGGAGAGGCCTGGGCAATCTAGAAAGCAAGCAAGCTGAGCATGCAGGCACCCTGGTCATTGGGAGACAGTCTTTGTATGCATTTCTATTTAAATGATATTAATGCATCTATACCTATAAAGTAGCACACACACATTTTAACTCAATCTGTGTTCTCTTCTGCTCTTTTGCCCTATTTTTGGCAGGCAGTGGCCACCCTCAAGTCTCCCCAAACCAGGCATTTATGAGGGTACTCGTTTCCTACAATATTCCCCTGTTTAGGCTGCAATAAACCCATTTTACTAGGGCATTCTCCCGAGCAAACATGGTTTGGATTGCTCTGTTAGGCTCCTTGGCTGTGTATGCATCATACATTTAAAGTGCATTCGCCCCCCCCCCTCCAAAAATAATCCTGGGAAATGTAGTTTGTTAAGGGTGCTCTGCTAGGGGTAAACTATAGTCCCCAAGATTCTTTGCAAGGAGGGTGTGCTTTAAGTGTGCTTTGAATGTGCAGTATGTATGCAGCCCTTATGCAGTATAACCGAGTGCCAGGTAACTTGACAGAAGATCATATAAACCACTTTAGAATGGCATATGGTTATATGTTACCTCATAAATAACTTGGTCATGGGAGAACTTGGAGGGGGCCGGGGAGAAGGGGAGGGAGAGAGATGTTTGGGATAGGGACGCAGCCTTGTCCATGTGGTAGAGGTGGCAAGTGATTTGTTTTAATCTGAGGCACGGAGAAGAGGCAAATGCTCAGTGGGTGTGATGAACAGAGGGAGAACTCTTCATTGTGGCTTCATCTAGATTGCAGGATCAGAATACAGCACAGCCAAATAACAATGTATTTCAGTGTACTGGTTTTGAGTAGAAATATTATTATTTCTTCTTCTTCCCCCCTTTTTCTTTCCTTTCCCCTCCTTTCTCTATGTCTATACTAGGCACAGTATTTCTTCTTCTTCCTCCTCTTCCTCCTCTTCCTCCTCCTCCTCCTCTTCTTCTTCTTCTTCTTCTTCTTCTTCTTCATGGATGCCTTAAATGGGCTCTGATTCTAACCAGTTCACTGGAATCGACTGCATTTGCTTTTGCCACTTGCGTTGTTGTTCAAAGAGAACTTCAAAAGTCAGGGTTGGCCAGAGCAGTCTTTTCTGACCTAGTACCTTCCAGATGTCTTGAACCCAAACTCCTTTCAACCCCAGCCAGCCGTGGTGCCTGGCACTGATGGGAGTTATAGCCCAAAATGTCTAGAAGACATCAGTTTGGCGAAGGCTGAGTGTGAGTGCTAGGCAAGGACTCCGCCATGGAGCTCCCTGGGTGTCCCTGCACTGGTCAACATCTCTCTGTCCAAGCAACTTCACAGGGTTGCTATGGGGGTAAAATGATTGAGGGGAGAACCAATTATGCTTCTCTGCGCTTCTTGGGGGAATGGCAGGGTAAATATGTAATGATAAACTGCATGTAATACTAAGTTAGTTAATGCAGGGAAAGCCTGGGTGGTTCCCCAGCCAGCATAACCAATGGTCAGGGATGATGGGAATTGTAGTCCAACAATAACTGGAGGGCCCCATGTTGGCTACCCTCTGAGTTAATGGGTGGAACAATCCGAAATCCATATTAAGAAATGCCGGGGGGGGGGGGATGGGGAATAAAATAAAATGTCATACAAAAATGAACCCTATTGCCTTAACCTAAATAAATGCAAACTGCACCAGATTTTGTTTATGTAAACTGTGGACTTTGAAATGTGGAAGTTTACACTTGAATTTGCACAAACATTGTAGCACTTCAAAAGTTGCCATCTTCTCTGGTTTTTGTGTGAACTAGGCCTGACTTTAACTGCAGACGGACTATGGTTTTTAAGAGAGCCGGAACTAGCAGAAGATTCACTTTCCAAGGGTTTACACAAGGGGAAATATTGGGTTGTTTTTGTTTATATTATTTATATTATATGTTTTCTGTTTTTTATATTGTGATTTTATGCTGTGAACTGCCCTGAGATCTACGTATAAATGGTGTTATACAAAATAAATAAATAAATAAATAATGATAATGATAATACACAGATATTTGCCTATCTGTGTTAAATCTTTTGAAAACAGGTGTTACAGGTTTTTGAAACAATACTGGGAGTAGTACAGTGAACGGGAATCGATTTATTTTGGTCCTTGACCAGAGTGCAAACATATACAACAACAGAGAGCATACAGATATAGATTAAAATTAAGCTCGATGAGCTGATACACGATAAATAATTCAGATATAAAACAGCTAAAATATATAAATTAAAACCTTAACCGCTAATTTAAAATCACATATTAAGATATTGGCTGTTAGATTCATTCAGAGCTTGTCGCAGGAGTACAGTACCTCCTGAGCAGTGATCCTTCATTGAAACCATTTGCTTTTTTTGGGGGGGGGGACCCTCTCTGTCTAATCCAAGTCAGTATTGGTCTGTTTTCTTTTTGCCCATTTTGGCGACCCTGACTGGCCGTGCCTTCAGTGTCTACTATCCTCTACTGCCCTCCAGTGGCTAGCCACCCCCCTGGTTTTCTGACATACCCTCATTTTCCTCTCTGCACTCTCTTCACAGGGCTCTTGAGGCCCACCTCTTCTTACCCTTCTCTGGCCCTTCTTACTGCAGGCATATTTGTCCAGGGATTCGTGCAGAGACAGAATGAGCAGCCTCCTCTGTGGGATGCATCATTTGGCCTCCCATTGATCACTTTATTTCTTGTGGCACTCTAGCGGTTTCCTCATGCCACAATATAGTAGTCTGTTCTGCCCTCACAGTCTAGGAATTATTTTTTATGTTAAATTTTTACCCTTGCTTTTTCCCTTCAGTGAAGATGTTCAGAGCAGCTAACAGTTAAAAAGAAATAAATGAACAATTACCTGTCGGTGACTAGAACTCATAAATATTTTCTTTCTTTCTTTCTTTCTTTCTTTCTTTCTTTCTTTCTTTCTCTTTCCCTCTCCAGTCGGTGACAAAGTCCCGGCTGATATTCGCATCATTTCCATCAAATCCACCACTCTGCGTGTGGACCAGTCCATTCTGACAGGTATGGTAGATGCTGCTGTCAATGTTCATAATCGTATTATTATTACTGATATTACCGTTTCTTTAGCTTTCTCCCTCCCTGCTTTCCTTTTCCTCATGGGCCTGTTTATTTTAATTGTTTACCTTCTGGGCAGAATTTTCTCATGGCTAATTTTACGTCTCACTTGTGTGAAAAGCAACTAATATAATATAAATATAATATAATAACATATTGTAAAATGCCTTGTTAGGCACTTAAGAAGTAGCGAGAATGTAGTTTAAAATCTCAACAAGCAAGAGAAGACCTGGGAAAATAGACATGTCTTGAGGCTCCTCTCAGTGAGTGGGTCGGTGGGACTACAGAGAAATATTTGCAGGGGGTAGTGAGCTCCATGGAAAGAAAGCAGTGGGTAAGATAAAATTCAGTGGAAAAGGAGTTGAGGAAGGGTTAAGCTCCCCTTCCTGTCTGGCGTTTACCCACTGAAAAGTGCATGTGTGTGTCTTCCCCATGGGACATGTGTTTATGCACTACGTCTTGCCTGTACCCACTTAGTCCACCATGGTCCCTCCTTGACAATTTAACTGTTTCTTGACCCCAACCAGGCGAGTCTGTTTCCGTGATCAAACACACTGACCCCGTCCCAGATCCCCGTGCTGTGAACCAGGACAAGAAGAACATGCTGTTCTCTGTGAGTGTGACTGACAGGGCTGACGACCTAACCTTGCCCACACACAGGTCCAATGTCAATGTTTTGGGGGGACTCATGGGCACCACTGAAATGCATCTCCCCAATAATGTGTCGTGGGGAGTGGGGTGTGGGTGTGATGTGACATCACTGTATTTGCATTTCCCCGCCCTCTCAAGCAGCAGCCAATGAAACAGAGCTGGTAAGGCTAATGCAGTGAGATTACATCACACCCTTTTCATCTATAGGTCGCTGGAGAAAATCAGAGAGAAGGCAAGAGTAGATGCCTGTGGCTTTCATGTGTCTCCCTAGTAATGGCAGGGTCATAATATCATATCCCCCACTGCCTCAAGCAGCAGCCAGTAAGCAAAAGTGGAAATGTTAATATGATTGCATGCCATGCTCACCCCACCCCCAGTTCCACATTACAGAGGAGACAAGGCACAACCAAAGTGACCTGCAATCTTGCAAGCAGAGTAATTATGCATATTAAGTACCTTTGCACATACTTGCCTATTTTAAATAAATTTATTTTGCTTCTGTTACTCACTGGGAGCAGAAAAAAGGAGTTACACAGTGCACGGGAGATACTTCTGTCTTGGGAGTTACTGTTACGTGACAGGCAGGGAGGTGGCTCTCAAGATGTCTAACAGAAATCCCTGCATTTCACCAAAGTGCAGTTCTTGGGGAAAAGCCATGACACCAAATGTGGGATTGAAATGGAATAGGTTTCCAGAATAGACATGCACTTCACAGTCTTAAAGGACTAGACATCTTATTTAGCCTAGGCCATGGGTAGGCAAACTAAGGCCCGGGGGCCGGATCGGGCCCAATCGCCTTCTAAATCTGGCCCGCAAATGGTCCAGGAATCAGCGTGTTTTTACATGAGTAGAATGTGTGCTTTTATTTAAAATGCATCTCTGGGTTATTTGTGGGGCATAGGAATTTGTTCGTTCCCCCCCAAAAAAAATTTAGTCTGGCCCTCCACAAGGTCTGAGGGACAGTGGACTGGCCCCCTGCTGAAAAAGTTTGCTGACCCCTGGCCTAGGTTCTCAGGACGTGGATTCTGCACAGGCAGAATTGCAAAACTGCACAGGTCCCACAGCCTCCTTTAGCACCATTTCCACTATATCTTTTCTTCCAGCATGTTTGTAGAGTGTCCCTCTCCTTCTTTCCCACTGATCTTTGCTCCCTCCCCACCCCCCACCCTCGCTTCATCCTCCACCTCCCTGCAGGGTACCAACATCGGTGCAGGCAAGGCTGTTGGCATCGTCATCGCCACAGGTGTGAGCACCGAGATTGGCAAGATCCGTGATGAGATGGCGGCCACCGAACAAGAGAAGACTCCCCTGCAGCAGAAGCTGGACGAGTTTGGCGAGCAGCTGTCCAAGGTCATCTCCCTCATCTGCGTGGCTGTCTGGCTCATCAACATTGGGCACTTCAACGACCCCGTCCATGGCGGCTCCTGGATCCGCGGCGCCATCTACTACTTCAAAATCGCTGTGGCCCTCGCTGTGGCTGCCATCCCAGAAGGTCAGCTGAGGCCATTCCAGTTTCCCACATCCACCTGTTGTGGGGCTGAAGAGGGCCAGTCGGTTCCTTCCTTTAAAAATAGCTCTTGCCGTCATCATATTTTGGGGTTTTTATTTTTCTATCTGCAGTTGCTGTTTGTTGGGTGCATTTTGCTTTGCTAACTGTCTTGTACGCTGAACTGTGGACATGTTATCCAGAAGTTTTACAAAAAGGAGCCAAAGTTAGAGATAAAAGCAAAGGTGCAATATTACAAGCATCGTTTTTTAATTAACCACCTGCACGCTGAACAATATGGTGTAAAAAAGCCATTCTAAAAAAGTTATTTGAAGGCACTGCTGATGTACTAGCAGGATGGACAACAAAAAATGGCTACAGCCACCCATCATTCCTTCCTTGCATGGGCTAAACAGTTTTCAGCTTACCTGCGCCAAAGGATTGTGTGGCATTTCTTCAACAAAACGGAAGTTGAATGAACTTCTGCATTATATCTTGATGTAATTTGCAGTCAGACATTTAACATGCATTTCCTCATTTGCAAAAGGATATAGGAGCTGCCTTGTGCTGCTAGTTTATAAATGGCTAGTCCGTGGCTAGGAGCTGGAGAAAAATTCAATTCAGTTTGTGTTTAATGGTGAACCTACCTAGTTCGCACTTCCCAAAGCAAACACAAACACATTCTTCCAAATTCCCACTTCTCTGCAATTTGCAGTGCAGTTCTCCAGTCAAGCAGTATATCACAAAATGAATATACTAGGGTGAAGTGTGCATTACCATGCATGCATTATTAAAAATAACAGGAAAATGCATTATATATCGGCAGCCACAGTGGAAGTGGAGGGACAGGATGATCGGGCCCTATCCAGATTCAGTGTTATCGCCTGGCAGATTTGAGACTCACCCAGATTTAGTGGGTCCAGAGTCATCTCAGTCCCACCCCTGCTCCACCTTGAGAATGACCCATTTCAGGGCATACATATGCTTCAGCAGCTGACAGGAGACCAGCTGAACCGGCAGAGCTGGGTAAAGGGCTTCCACCACAAATTCTCTCCCCATACCATCTGATGTATAGGGGGTTTGGATTGCTCTGCCCATGCTTTAATGCTGATTTGTACTGTTGTACGCTGCTTTTTTTAAAAAAAAAGGTGGTTTACCCAAAATATTATTAAATGAATAAATCTGCACAAGAGGTAGTGTGGTGGGCAGTAGGAGCTGAAGGGGGTGGAGGCAGCCGAGAGTATCTGAAACCAAAGCCAGCAAATGGGTGGCAGCTGCTTGAATGCTTCGCCCATTCCTACGGCTAACCTTTCCCTTTCGCCTCCTCTTCCTCCTCCTCCTCAGGCCTTCCTGCCGTCATCACCACCTGCTTAGCCCTGGGCACTCGCCGTATGGCCAAGAAGAATGCCATCGTCAGAAGCCTGCCCTCCGTGGAGACCTTGGGCTGCACATCGGTCATCTGCTCCGATAAGACTGGCACCCTCACCACCAACCAAATGTCTGTTTGCAAGGTAAGTGGGAAGCTTGAGGCCTGCACTTTTGTCACGAAGTGCCTCCTGCCCACGTCAGTCGCCTTGACCCTGCCTCTTCTTTCTCCTTCTCTTTGCAGATGTTTGTCATTGACAAAGTAGATGGAGATATGTGCTCTCTGAACGAATTCTCTATTACTGGTTCCACCTATGCCCCTGAAGGAGAAGTGTGAGTGACTCCTAAAGAAACCCCAACCCTAAACAGTTTTCTTAATCCATCACCCTGAAAGGGGGGGGGGGGATGAGACACCGTTAAAACCCTAGTGCAGGGGTCAGCAAACTTTTCCAGCAGGGGGCCAGTCCACTGTTCCTCAGACCTTGTTGGGGGCCGGACTATATTTTGAAGAAGAAAAATGAACGAATTCCTATGCCCCACAAATAACCCAGAGATGCATTTTAAATAAAAGGACACATTCTACTCATGTAAAAAATACGCTGATTCCCGGACCGTCTGCGGGGCGGATTTAGAAGGCGATTGGGCCTGATCCGGCCCTCGGGCCTTAGTTTGCCTATCCATGCCCTAGTGCGTCACTTTGGATAATTGGGTAACTCTCCCGAGAGCTTGACTCCCAATCCTTTCTCTTGCTTCTCCCATATGTGGCACAGTCTAAAGATGCCTCCATCCCATTTCTGCTTCATTTCTGAAGCTAAGGCAGATCCGTGGGGCAGCCCAAGAAGCCACCTTGGAAGCTGATAGTCAGTGCTCTGAGCTGTTTGAAGGAATGGCAAACTACAAACCAAGCAGACACATATGATCTAATCTTAAAACTGTCTGAATCTTATTTCTAACTCTTAACCTCACACCGAAAGAAATACAGTACCTCAATTTTTGCTCATTGGCCTCCTAGCATTATGATCACCCTATAACCCAGGGCTGGGGAAGCTGTGACACCAGTAACCCTCAGTTCATCTCTCTGCTGTTTGTTTTTGTGCTGTCGCTTACGTTTTTCTGTCCTTCAATTCCTTTCTCTCTTGCACATGCAGTATGAAGAATGATAAGCAAGTCAAGGCTGGGCAGTATGATGGGCTCGTTGAACTGGCTACTATCTGTGCCCTTTGCAATGACTCCTCTCTGGATTTCAATGAGGTGAATGCTTCTCTCTTGGTTCACATCCAGCCTTCCAACAATTGCCTTCAGTTTTGGATGCTTCATTGTTTATTAATAGTGATGGCTTCCCCCAAAGAATTATGGGAATTGTAGTTTGGTGAGGGCAATAAGAAGTTTCTGATAGATATTGATTAATAAAATTTAATAGGCACTCTTCGACTGAAAGCTTCGAGAGCAACTTACACAATGTAAAACAGTAATAAAATAATGATTATTTTTTTAAAAAAATAAAAAACTACTATTAATCATCATTACAATAATAAAACCAGCAGCAACAGAACAAGCGTAAAAACAAAATTGCCAACTAAATTCAGGTTTATTACAGCAAACAGACTGCATAGGTTTAAAAGATGATTAATTAAAGTGGGTAAGTAAAGTGATTTTCATTTGACATTGAAAAGATGCCAAATTCAACACCAAGCATTCCTCTGACAGAAGCAAAGGACTCTTAAACCAGTTTAAGTGTAAGAGTGCTCACAGTGATGAGGCTGCTACTTTTTTGTACTTGGGGAAATGTGGGCTACTTTTTAGGGTGGTGGGCACAAATTTTACTGCCCTCTCCCTTCCCCACCCACACCTCGCCACCCACATACTGTTTTTTTAAAAATTAATCCATGTATTTATATACTACCACCTGGAGGGAAAAAATCATGGTGGTATACAACTACGTTTTTAGTATGTTTTTATCATTGATGTTCTGCAATGTGTTTTAATATTGTAAACCGCCCTGGGATATTTTCATTCAGATTCGTATTTTGTCAGAATCCCTGCAGCTCTTGGCTGTGCCCAAGTGTCTAACTCTCATCTTCTTCTGCCCATTTTCTCCCTCCCACCCAAGTCCAAAGGTGTATATGAGAAGGTGGGTGAAGCCACCGAAACTGCCCTTACCTGCTTGGTTGAGAAGATGAACGTCTTCAACACAGATGTGCGCAGCCTCTCCAAAGTGGAGCGTGCCAACGCTTGTAACGCTGTAAGTATTGTCTGCTGAGGACCCCTTCTCTTCAGGGCCCTGCGTTGCTTCTCTTTTGGTTTCTCTCTCACTCTTCCAGTCTTAAATTCCATTCCTCCACAGTTTGTGGTTTTTCTTAAAGTCCTCATGAAAATTCCTCAGCATTTTAGTTTGAATTTCTCCTAATATACACATCTTTGGAAGCATTTTTGCCCAATATACACATTTTTAAGATGCAATTTTCATTTTTGTTTCACATATATATTTGTTTCAATGCACACTTTACCCTAGTATGATTCATACACATTACATGGCTGAAGAACAGCAATGAAGAAGTGTAAATTTCAAAGGATGGCTGTGTTTCAGATTGTGTATTGTGCAAATTAAAGTGCAAATTAGGTAGGTTCACCTTTAAATGTAAATATCTATCTATCTATCTATCTATCTATCTATCTATCTATCTATCAACACAAGATTCTCTCCAATACCTTAGTAAGAAGTGCATTTACTCCCAGCTCCTGTTGATCAGGCTAATGAACGCACAAGCACTGGCATTAAAGAAAATGAACTGATATTGATTTTTATATATTAGTAACTTTATGTTAATGAAACGTTTTTATATGTAATTGAGTATTTTTGCAGTATTTTGTTTAAGTTGTCTGTTGTTGCTTCAGTTTTCTGTACACGTTTGATGAGGTGAATAAGGTGCCACGAGGCTCTTGGTTATTTTTGCTGAAACGGACAAACACAGCTACCCCACTGAAAGTTGATAGCTAATAAAAGTTTTAAGTAACATTTCTGAGCGCTCCAAAACTTTCACATACATTATATTCATGTAATCCTTAGAACGATCCTGCAAGGTAGCTTAGTCCTATTCCTCACCATTGTAGTCTTAGCTGCAGCTGAGAGAAATAAGCTTGCCTAAGGCCACCAAGAGCTCATCCTTCTCATACCTCAGCATTGCAAATTATCTTCTCCTACCTTCCTTATAAAGCCCCGCTCCCTAGGATATAAGTGGTGATGTCTATAGACTTCTGTATGTCTCTGCTGTGGTTCCATTGGTTGAATGTAAGAGTTCTGCCCACCTACTCAGCTTCCTGTTCTCACAGTGACTAGCCAAATGTGTACAGGAAGCCCCCAAATAGGTCTTAATCATAACAGCACTCCCTCCACTTGCCGTTAATTCCCAGCTACAGTGGTACCTCTGGTTACGTACTTAATTCGTTCCGGAGGTCGGTTCTTAACCTGAAACTGTTCTTAACCTGAAGCACCACTTTAGCTAATGGGGCCTCCTGCTGCCGCTGCGCTGCTCCTGCACGATTTCTGTTCTCATCCTGAAGCAAAGTTCTGAACCTGAGGTACTATTTCTGGGTTAGCGGAGTCTGTAACCTGAAGTGTCTGTAACCTGAAGCGTATGTAACCCGAGGTACCACTGTACTGATATTCAGAGTTACACTGCATCAGACAGTGGAACGGAACTCTGCCATTGTAGTTTGTAGTTGATGATTGCCTTCTCCTCCATGAATTTGTCTATTCCTCTTTTGGAGCTACTCTTGTGAGAGCAAATTCCATAGCTTCACTTTGTGGTGTGTGTCCTGGCAATGTCGAGCAGGTTTTAACCTATTCCCTCCCGCTTCCCTTTTCCTCCATTTCCCCAGGTGATCAAACAACTCATGAAGAAAGAATTCACCCTGGAGTTTTCCCGCGACAGAAAGTCCATGTCTGTTTACTGCTCCCCAGCAAAAGCTTCCCGGGCGGCTGTTGGAAACAAGATGTTTGTCAAGGTCAGCAGCGCCCCGTATGACTGTGTCCCATCTCCCTAGCAACCCCATCTTTGGCCCTGGCTCAGATGTTTGTCTACTACGTTTTAATCCTGCCTTTTCTTTGAGGAGCTCAGGGTGGCAAGGTTCACCCCAACCCCACCTCCCATTTATTCCTCACAGCAACTCTGTGAAGTTGCTTTGCCAGAGTTGTAACAATTGCCCCATGATTGTTTAGCAAGCTTCATGGCTGCGTTGGGATTTGTACCTGAATTTCTTCCTATTCCGAATCTAAAAATTTAGCCACTGGGCTGAACTACATTGCACTTCAGGTTCCTCCATACACAAAAATAATGCATAAATAAAATCCTCCATATAGAAAACTAGTGTGTCAACTCCCTAACTTCTAGTTTTCTATGCACAAAGTAGATTTTTGTATGGAAGGGCATTCAGTCATGTGAGTCATCTGCTGCAGAAACACATGAGACTGTGGAAGGAGATCATCATTGCAACCAAGGATCTCTAAATTACCCCTTTCACTTATTTTACCCATGAAAACAGTTTGTGTGGCGATTCCCGCCCCCTCCCACAGATGGAATAAATAAAGACACAGGACACCAGAATTTAGGTTAATGGGCAAAAAATGGCCACAACTTTATTGATTACAGGTAAGAGCGGTATTGGCTTTAGGCATTGGCCCTATCAGACTAACCGGTATAACCGGGAAGGGTTAAGCACCAACAGGGGGAGCCCCCGAGATGCACATCCCTAGGCGCTCCCCGAGGGGTTACTGCTCGGGAGCGTGCTTTAGCCCCTAGCCTCCATAGGTTTCGGATGAGGCAACGCCCCCCGGAGTCCTTTAACGAACTACCCTTCAACATTTGGGGGAGGTGATGGCGTTCCTCCCCCCCAACTCATTTGCATAATAATACCCCTGCCAATGCCTAACCGCCACACGAGCCAGCCGCAGCTGCTGAAAGAAAAGAAAGGGGCGAGCATGGGCTGCCCCGACCTTAAATGCCCCCTACTAGTCCCTCCCCCGCCACCAGCCGATTGGCTGGCGCAGTGAATGATGAATACTAATGAATCCCGGGATTCCCCTAGTCCCGTGGGGCTACTGCCAGCCCCGCGAGGGTGTGAATGTGGCGTGAGCCCGCAACCCCCCCCTCCGTATGTCGGGAGTGGCTTTCCAGGAGACTGGCTTGCAGCTTCCCTGACCCATGCACTACTTGGAAATTGCTGAGGGTCTTGGCAGACCCCCCCATAATAATTTGTCTGCGTGTTGTGGCAATAATTATAATAAATATTTTTTTATTTATCCCCCGCCCATCTGGGCGGCTTCCAACACACATAATAATCATAATAAAACATCGAATATCAATATTAACAAACATATCCTATATTAAAAGTCAAAATAACTTTAAAACAAACAACTTATATCAAATAAAGCAATATTCAATAACCCATTGGAATCCAAATTAAACACCAGCAAATAATAATTAAACACTTATCCATTACAATAAAGAATCTATAATCAATAAAAATAACAGCAAACCACACTGCATAAAATACCACAAAACATTTTAAAAAATGTAAAAGGGTCAGATTGAGAAACAAGGACCCACAACTTATAAAATTATTTTTAAAAACTATCCCTGGACTCCTCTCTTCCCAGTTGTTCTGCTGTTCTCAAAGTCATGGTCTGGGAAAGTCTCCCGGGGCTGGAGGGTGGGGCAAGGCAGGTGGAAAAGCTGTTGCCTGCAGAAAATCTCTCTCCCCTCAGTTCTTCCTCTGCAGCAGATGCTGTGTTCTGCTAGATGCAGTATTATTTTAAATTGCATTTTATTGCTTTTTTCAATATTGTATTTTATTGTAGCATGATTTGAATTATGCAGAAGAAATAAAAGAGGCAATAAAAATCCAATTAAAAATCAATATGAATATTTCACGTGGCAGCTGTGCCGTCTCCTGTCTCCAACCACAAATCCATATAGACATGGGATGGACCGCCTGACTGAAACTCAAGGACCATTGATGGTCCATGGACCACAGCCTGGGAACTTCTTTTCCAGAACTTCCATATAAAAGCTCTAGTACCTGGTCAGAAATACCGTTTGCCACCCAGCTCGCTTTCCCCTCAAGTCACAATATCTGTTTTTACTTCTTTCTCACGTACAGGGCGCCCCTGAGGGTGTGATAGACCGTTGCAACTATGTCCGTGTGGGCACCACCCGCGTTCCCCTCACCCCCGTCGTCAAGGAGCACATCATGGGAGTCATCAAGGAGTGGGGCACAGGAAGGGACACCCTCCGCTGCTTGGCCCTGGCCACCCGTGACACCCCCCCAAAGAGGGAAGACATGGTCCTTGAGGACTCCACCAAATTCGCTGACTATGAGGTAACGCTGAGGGCAAATCGCCTGGTGAGTGACAGGGAGGATGGAGTGCAGAGTTAAGGTGAAGAGCTGAAAGGAATTTAGGGAAAGGATTCCCTCAAGCCAATTCTTCTTCTTTCCAAAAAAAATGTGAACGTAAAACTCCTGTTTCAGGCTGCATTGTTGTGGTTGTCTGTACAACATTCCCAATTATGGATTCTGTTGGATTTTAGGGAAAATGTGTGCAGTACTGAATTTGGTACGTTAATATTTACAGTGCCTTAAAATGCCTTGGCAGGACTTAGCCCTCAGTACCACTGTCCTCACATTTCTAACACAAGTTTTAAGAGAATAACCGTTTTCTTAAGGTGAATAAAGAGCACCTCTAGGCTCTCAGGCAGATAATTTTTGTATTTTTTTTAAAAATTGCCCCACCTTTTCTTCAATTTGCTCATGGTGGTGCACATGACCCCACACATGACCTCACCCCTTGTTAAGTAGGTCAGGCTGAGGGAGGGCGACCGGCCCATGGTCACCCAGTAAGCTTTGTAGTTGTGGCTTCTCCCCAAAGTCCAACCCGGCAACCATTCAGCGACAGTTGATCTCAACACTGGGAGAGTTGAAACTTTTCTTTTTCATTTACCGGCTGTTGAAGAGCTGCAGATTAGTCCTTCTAGCGATCAGACGGGCTGTGAGCTTTTGTCCACTGCTTTCGGAGCCTATTCTGAGACATCTCCCTTCCACAGATGGACCTGACCTTTGTGGGCTGCGTAGGCATGTTGGACCCACCCCGCAAGGAGGTGATGGGCTCCATCCAGCTGTGCCGTGAAGCCGGCATCCGCGTCATCATGATCACAGGCGACAACAAAGGCACAGCCATTGCCATCTGCCGCCGCATTGGTATCTTCAAAGAGGAGGAGAACGTGTCTGGCAGGGCCTACACCGGCCGTGAGTTTGACGACTTGCCCTTAAGCGAGCAGCGGGAAGCCTGCAAGAGAGCCTGCTGTTTCGCACGTGTTGAGCCAACGCACAAGTCCAAGATTGTGGAGTTCTTGCAGGGTTTTGATGAAATCACAGCCATGGTGAATAGACGGACGGCAATGGCAGGGTGGGAGGATGGTTGGAAGGGCAACAGAGGGCTTGTAGCCAGCAAGACCTATCTTGAGGGTACAGAGGGAAATAATGTATACCTGTGCATATCATCATGCGTGAATATTGCCCACGGAAGTGTCTGTTTTACAGAATGCATGTGATGGGAATTCGCTGCCAAGAAACAGACATATAGGCAGCCATTACATATGATGGTATACATGGGTGTCCATTTCCTCCTCTACTGCAGTGTAGACTTTTATGTGGATAAAAGTCCTCTGTGACCCTCAGTTTCACCCCACATGGCCTTTCTGCATTAGACCAAAGATCCCATCCCATATACAGTGGCCAGCCAGATGTTGCACCAGCAGAGCCTGGATGCAGCCATCTTCTCCTGACTGTTGCTTCCCAGCTTCCTCAGTGAATAGGAGGTTCCATTTATTATCCACCATCCAGCCCCTTATTAACCTGTTTTCCATGCACATGACTGGTTTGAAAACCATTATCCAAAGCTGCCATATCCCAAGCCAGTCCATTTCTCCATCTAGCCCAGTGCTGTAGGCACTGAAAGGCAGATGCTCACCAGGGTTTCGGACAGGAGTCCTTCACAGCCTTACCTGGATATGCCAGGGATATAACCCGGAGCATTTTGTAAACAAGGCTGAGCTACGGCCTTTCTTCACGCAAGCTAGTGGCCATCACTGCATCTTGCAAGAAATGCATTCCATGTCCTGAAACTCTTGCCCCTTTCATTGCTTGACCCCGGGTTCTAGTGGAGAGAGAAAATCTCTCTCTTCGTTGTCTCTAAACCATTCACAATTTTATAAACTAGTATGAAGCCCTCCTCCCCAGCCAGAGAGACCCAAATGCTTTGTGCTTTCCTATTAGAAAAGATCCCTATTCACTTTTGCTTGCCCCTTCCCCCAGCTCTATGATATCCTTCGTGATATCTTTCGTGCAAAAGTGCAAGGTTCTTCTGGCCTTGGAAATGAAATCTCCCCAGCTAGGCTGCTGCATTTGATCCCCTCTGCCTCGGTTGACTCCCTGTCTCCTTCCGCTTCCTCCTGGTAGACCGGTGACGGTGTAAATGATGCCCCAGCTCTGAAGAAGGCTGAGATTGGTATTGCCATGGGCTCTGGCACCGCTGTAGCCAAGACCGCCTCAGAAATGGTGCTGGCAGACGACAACTTCTCCACCATTGTGTCCGCCGTTGAGGAGGGCCGGGCCATCTACAACAACATGAAACAATTTATCCGCTACCTCATCTCCTCCAACGTGGGTGAGGTCGTCTGGTAAGGGATCCCCCTCCCTCATCCCCTTCACGAAGCCTTCATTAGGCAAGCCCTGCCACCAGGCTGACTAGGCTCAGCGAAAGGGCTGAGAGAGTCCGATAGCATGATATTTGTGGCCAGGCCGGCCTGCCCTCTGGCAGCTGCACATGTCACCACTGCTTCACAAGGGCTTCCTCTCTCCTCACTTTTTGTTTCTCTCTTCTTTCCCTTGCAGTATCTTCCTCACTGCTGCTCTGGGTCTCCCTGAAGCCTTGATCCCCGTGCAGCTGCTGTGGGTGAACTTGGTGACTGACGGGCTCCCAGCCACCGCCTTGGGCTTTAACCCCCCCGATCTGGACATCATGAACAGGCCCCCTCGCAGCCCCAAGGAGCCCCTGATCAGTGGCTGGCTCTTCTTCCGCTACTTGGCCATTGGAGGTAACACATTTTTTTCTCCCTGGGGCCCTGCCCTCTTAATCCAGAATACGGACATCCTGCTTCCCTAGTTTTCGCTCCTGTATACAAATCCTGTACTCTCTCACCCGAGTCCTACCTACGTGCAGTGCCGGATTTACGTATAAGCTAAACAAGCTATAGCTTAGGGCCCCACTCTCTTGGGGGCCCCAAAAAATTTAAAGGGGAAAAAATCCTGGATGTACATTTCCAAAATATAAGATAAAAACCAAATAAAATAAAACCTACATACAGCAACAGTGTTTTGTGTTGTGTAGGCTCCTATGATGTAAGTAATGGGCCCCGCTTGCTAGCCTGCTCCCTAAAATATCACTGGTTTGCTCATTTCTATATATAGGGTGCCTACATTCTGCATAGACTGGTTGCATGGCAACATGTAGCATGCAGACTGCAGTGCAGCACAGTTGAATGTAGGTCAAGCTGTTGTAAATGTAACGGGACTCCTGACCATTATCTAATATTAAAGTGTGCTTGTAGACTGGTGATCAGGCAGCATAGACTAAGGGTATGGGTCTTATGACTACTGACTGATTTCATGTAATACATCATTTATTTATTTTGATCCCATTATAAAATTACTTAGAAAAATATTCATCTTTATTATTTAGTAGGCCTATATTATTTACTAGTACAGTTCCCCATTACCCCCACTTGCTACTATAATACTATATATAAATATTACAATTAAATTAAATATTTTACTTACTTCTAAAGGGCCCCATTACCTTCAGAACTTAGGGCCTCATCAGACCTAAATTTGGCCTGAAACCTGAACCTGTAATCCATATTGAGGGCACCTAATAATCCAAAGGAGCACAGCTTCTTTTGCAATCCGCATTTGGCCACAACCCTCTCCATTTCACTTCCCCTGCAGGCTGCTCTTGGAGGGCAGTTGTTTTTTTGGGGGGGAATTTCTGCCCTCTTCTTCGTTCATGCTAAGCTTTCCTTTTAACACCTGCGTGCAGGGTATGTCGGAGCTGCCACTGTTGGTGCCGCCGCTTGGTGGTTCCTGTATGCTGAAGACGGACCTGGCGTGTCCTACTACCAGTTGGTGAGCTTGAACTTCTGGGTGCTCTACTGGAAGTGAACTGCGGGAGGGCAAGATCAGTGGTATTCTGCAACATGCCCTGTTTTAATCCTCTTCCCCACTTTCTCCTTCTGCCCCCCAGTCTCATTTCATGCAGTGCACAGAACACAACCCTGACTTTGAAGGTTTGGAATGTGAGATCTTTGAGTCCGCTGTCCCAATGACCATGGCTTTGTCCGTCCTGGTCACCATTGAGATGTGCAATGCACTCAACAGGTAAGGGTGCCCGTGAGAGTCAATCTTCAGCATTACTCACATAGCGCTGCCTTGGAGGTTCTTCAGAGGTATCCTCCCTAGTCTCATCCCCCAGATACCCTGCTTCCTGGCCAGGGCTGTGGTTCCAGGACTGTGATTCCATTCATCTCTTGGGGGGGGGGGGGGGTGACACGACATATTACATACAGGAGAGCCAGCAACTGGCTGATCTTTAAAGAACCAGTGTCTATTGATTTATATTGACTGATGGCTTACGTGTTGGGCTTTCCCTGTCTCCCGCCCCATGGTAACTTCACCCTGCTTCTCTGTCCTACACAGCCTGTCAGAGAACCAGTCCTTGGTTCGGATGCCCCCCTGGGTGAACATCTGGCTTCTGGGATCCATCTGCCTCTCCATGTCTCTGCACTTTGTCATCCTCTATGTTGACCCTCTGCCAGTAAGTGTTGTTCAAGCACAGTTTGACTTCCTTGCCAGCTTCAGCATCAGTTCACTCCTTCTATGCCTTCTCATCACCACCCGATTGCTCATTCTTTGATCGCTGGCAGATAAATGTGTGAAAGGCTACGTTGAAAAACACTGGCGTCGTGCTGTGTTTGGTGATATAGAACTGTTTGCCCTTCATGCTTAAAATAGTAATAATTAAGACATTGTGCCCTTAACTGGGAGATCAACCCCCGCTTAAATCCATGACACTTACTTTTGAGCAGACTGGTATAGGATTCCACTGTTTATTAGTTGCACTTAGTTTCCATAGAAAACAGCGCTTGAGTTAAGGCATCATGAGTAACTTGTCCCACGGATTTCGATGGCGGCAAAGGCTGCAGTTCTAACTCTTCTTACCTGAGAGTAAGCACCATTGTATTCAGTAGGGCTTCCTTCTGAGTAGACAAGGTTAGGTTTGCACTGTTAGTCTGGACCCAGCCCATGATAGCTAATTTTTAGGGGTTTCGATCGTTGTTCTCTTCATTTTCACACCCATTTATTATTATTTTTAATCCTCATGAAAATTCATCATTTTAAGGTGAATTTCTCCGAATATACACATTTTTTGTGTTCAATTTTGCCTTATATACATGTTTGTACAAAGCATATTTTCCTAACATTTACATTTTCCTCAATAGAATGCATTTTGGCGTGTTGTTTTCACTAACACATGCATTTCTATGGACACTCCACATTAGTCTATGTGTTTTAGTAAAAGTTACTTGCCTGGAGAAGCGCATTGCAAAATTCAGAGAAATAATGGTTGTGTTTCGGTTCACCTGTTGTTTCAGGAAGTGCAGGTTAGGTAGATTTGCCTTTAAGTGTGAACTGAATTGCATTTCTCCCCGCAACCCTAGCAAACACTGACCTCTCCCTTTGCTCTTGCTCTTCCCAGATGATCTTCAAACTCACCCACTTGGATATGCACCATTGGATGGTGGTGCTGAAGATATCCTTGCCTGTCATCTTACTGGATGAGCTGCTCAAATTCGTTGCCCGGAACTACCTGGAGCGTAAGCCATCCTCCCCTCCCTCCTCCTTTTGTCTCAATCCTTGCCCCCACCCCACCCCTTTCAAAGCCTTCTCTTCCTTCTGCCTATTTAAGGGAGTCAGGAGCACCAGATGAAAAGCACGGGGGGGGGGCATCACTGTGGTGAGAAGAGAAGAAACTGAATGTCCTTCCCTGCTGACCTTTTCTGTCCCAATTCTTTCCTGTCTTCTTCCTCTCACCCGCCACCATCTCCATGTGCACCCATCCAGGGCAACTCACGTTAGATGTTAGATCCATGGCTGGGGAAATTTTAGGTGCTTGCTCATTCAGGGTTCTCCTCCCAGATGATCACTTTCAATGCTGCCTTCTAAGAACTGAAATAGCCTCTCGGTGCTGTGTGGAACCAGATGCTTGAAAACTTGACGTTTCTGGTAGAGGCAACAGCAGATGCATGCTCTATAGGGGATACAGGTGCCTAGAAGTGCCTGGATATTGAGGTTGTCTTGTGACTTCTGAGAATGGAGCGCACTCCACTGGGTTGGAATCGGTGGAGGAAGGTGAGATGGGAAATGCCCAGGATTATTGGGTCTTCCCCAAGAATCTGTAAGTTAATGTGAATGACAGAGGAGAACGAGGACTCCTCTTCCATATCCAATGCCCCTAAATCAGCTTTCCATGACCTAGTGCCCTTCAGATGTTTTGGACCATAATTCCCACCAGCCTCAGACAACACTGCCAGTGGTCAGGGATGATGGGAGTTGTAGTCCAGCAGCATCTGAAGGGCACAAGATTGGAGAAGGCTGCCTTAAGTAGTCCTTTATGGGTTGCCATCATTCCATTCCATTCCATTCCATTCCATTTCACCCATCCAGACTAATCATCTTCTCCTTGCCCACCTTCTCCCTAACGTCTATTAACTCTGATTTCTTTTATCCTTTCCCTCTTGTAGCATAGACTCCTTCCCCCTCTATTCTCCTGTATCCTGCCTCCCAGGTATCTTACCACCCTTGACAGCATGCCTTGCTTGTCCTCTCGGCTGCTCCATCCTATCTGTCTGTTCATCCATGTGGGAAGATTTGCAATATCTGTGGGGAGCTGGCGGGAAAGTGTCTCTTCTTTGCTTGAACAGTCTCTTTGCTGCATCTGAAATTGTCCAGGGAACTGGGACCCAGCTGCTTGGCTGGTGGGTCAGGAGAAAATCCTGCCCCAAAAAGAGGACTGCTTGTTAACTTTTGACTGCTCCAGGAAACATTCTCTTTTCACTGAAATAAATGAATTTTAATTATATTAACTATTCAGTTAAGAGGAGGCAATAATTAGCATTCAGTCAGTATTTAAAATTATGAAATATAATTAGCAATAATTTGTGGACATGAATTTGGTCAGCGTGGGCCTAAACCCTAATGCAAGTCAAGGTTGCTATTTAGCTAGTTTATAGCTGGCAATTTGGCTGAGATGTATTTTAAATACTCGGGCTCTATTTATTTTAACAAACTATCCAAGTGGTTTTCAAGCTAAATACCTTGAGGAAATCTGCATTGACTCATCTGCCAAGGAACCCTGTGCATTGCAGAGGATTGTGGGACATGTTCTAGAACTGACTGTGTTTCTCCATAGCTCAGTCTACGGAGCATGAGACTCTTAATCTCAGGGTTGTGGGTTTGAGCCCCCCGTTGGGTGAAATATTCCTGCATGGCAAGGAGTTGGACTAGATGATCCTCATGGTCCCTTCCAACTCTACTATTCTATAATTCCATGATAAATTTTTCACTCATAGGTCAGAGCCTGACATAAGATAAGTTGCAGCAGTGGTTCCACAATATATCAATTGCAGTTTGGTGCGGATGCTACACCAGTTTTCTACGCATATCATCCATGAATCCCCCTGAAAATAGCAACAGTCTAGAGGTGCCCTGAGAAGCCTTCCTGGAACACGGTTTGAAAACCACTAAGCTATTTTGTAGGGCTGTTTTTAAAAAAGTGGCAACCTTTCATGCCAATAATAACATGTTAAAGCTGTTTAATCCCTTTGGGTTTTTTGAGCCCTGCATTCTAAATTCCAAATTCTAAATTGGAATGCATTTGCTGAAAACTTGAACACTGAACAATATAATTGCAGGCATGATTGTTAGCACCGGATCCTCTTTGGGCCCCATCTGTTCCTAGGAGCTGCCTTTTTCCACCTTCTGCACGCACCCGAATAAGCCCATTTGGCCTCAACACTTGAGAGATAGTCATGGCTTTAACTTGGGTGCATACAGAACGGGGAAGGTCTTTCAGCCTCATCTGCTCATCGTCAGCTCTCCATGGCTGTGCCTCAGCTGCCTTCACTGCCCACTGCTAGTTGCCCCATGTCGTGCCTGGCCAGTCTCTCATGGACAATCGCTTGGCCCCATCTTTCATGGAAGGGGTGGGGTGGCCTGAGCTCAGGGCTGCCCCCTTCACTGGACCCGCTGCTCTTGCTGTTGCTGGTTTCTACACCAAGGAGGGATGAGATTGGCTAGGCAAGGAACGTAAAGCGGAGGTGCTTTTGGTGGGGTGAGCTTTCCTCTGCTGGGGGTTCCTCACAGTGTGGCTGGCATGCATGGATCCAGGTGAGTGAATATCCCACAAGGTCTGGCTCACTCCTGTTAACCCCCTGCCATTCTCTCTAAGGCGCTAAAGCCCTATGAGTACTTTCCAGAAACCAAGTCCCACTGAATCTGTAGGGTTTACTTCTCCTGAGTGGACACAGACTGTAATTAGGCCAAACTAGACATGACCAAAGTTCCCCATCCCATTGCACTCATACTGCTAATGCCAGGGCTTAGGGTGCTGGCCGTTAACACATTTGCAGGACAATTTGAGGGATTGAATAGGAGAATTTGTAGGGGTGGTGGTGGTTAAGCCTTCCTGACCTATTTATTTTCTCTTGCAAATGCCACACACTCCCAAGAAGTTTTAATTCCCCCTCTCACCCCTCAGCTGGGCTCTAGGGGTATGTGGGCCTAGTTTGGAGAGGAAACTGGCCTTGCAGGGTTGGGAGTGGCTCAGTAGCAGATAAACATGGCTCCCTTCTCCCTGTCCTACCCTGTTAGTGTCCCCTTGGTCCTGCATTTATGGGCTGGGAGGATCACACCTTTGTTGGGAGGTGGCATCTAATCTGTTTAGTTCAGAGAAATTAACATGGGGCTCAAACGCTCTGTGTTATCATGTCCACGTGAAATGTTATTGAGTCCTCTCAAATCGGGTGGAGCAATGGCTTCTGGTAAGGAGGGGGGACATCTGCCATCCAACTTTATATCTGACAAGACCCTCGAGTCTGTGTGCCAGGCAGAAATTCAACAGGTGGGCCTTTCCCAAAGAATGATGCAGAAATCTGCAGCCGATGAATTTCTGCCTATTGTTATCTGTTCAAGGCAGAGGAGGGATAGCGGCATTAGGTCTACTCCAAAAGAAATATGTCCAGCTGCTTGCTTGCTCAAGACCTTTCTGCCACTTATCTTAGAGCGTCTGACTAGAATGATAAGTGAGACAAGCCCCTGTGGCTGGGTATTATTCCCCACGTTGTGAAGCTCCAGCCACGTAGCCTGATTTTGGCAAAGGCCTGCTGTTCGAGGTTGTCCATCTCACTGCTGTGGGGAATCTGGAACTCGTCTCTGCTTCTCTGCCCCTCACTCTCTGTTCTCTCCTCCCCACTCCCCCTTTTACAGAGACTTTAGACGAAAGGATGAAGAAGTGAACCGCTGAGTCAACGCGGAAATAACCTCTTCAACAAAATCGTGAAGATATACCCACTCCCCTCACTCCTCAGCCATGTCTGCTGCTCCCACCCCTGCTTCTTCTCTGCCCTCCCCTTATTTAATAGCCAACTTCTTCCCCACAAACCCTCCGTACCTCCTTTTCATTGGGGACTTACCAGTGTGGGCCACAGAACTGGCACCTGCCATGCCGTGTTCCCTGCCAGCTTCCCCACCCCCCAAAAACACCACTAGCTACTTGGCTTCTGTACATTTTGAGCCACCTGCCCACCCCTTGCCCTGCTCTCTCTCTCTCTCTCTCTCTCCCTCTCTCTCTCTCTCTCTCTCACACACACACACACACACACTCTACCCCCCTGCTTTCTGCATTAGTGCCCACACGAACTACGTTCGTTCCCCCCTCTTCACACGACTAGAACCCACCTCAAGCCAGGGGTTGGATTTTTTAATGCACACATAAAACAGAAGGAAACATTTTGTTAGGGAAAACAAACAAAACAAGTGAGACTCCTCAACTTGGAGGAAATGAAGAGATTCTTCTAGCTGCTTATTTATTGATATTAAAGAATAAACTCTTAACTGTTTCGAATGCTTCTGGCTTTTCTTTCGTTGCTTTGGTCAAATGGTGTGTGGGGGGGGGAGAGAGGCACTGAAGTTGTTTTTTACAGAAAGTCGCTTACTTTCTTGGAGCTTGGTTGCAGCTCTCTGGCCTCATCCACACTTACATTTTGCCCCATGTTTTCTAGGCACAGGCCTGTGCTTGAAAACACTGTGTCTGAGCACTCCCCCCCCCCCCGCGTTTTCCCTGCAAAAACCCACTCTTTAATGCTGAATTGGAACAAATGCAATTCGGGTTTTCTATGGTTTACCCTTTGATTCAGTGGTAAAGATGTGGAAAGTCACTGATCAACCATTTTCGTTTGTACAAACATTGCTAAGCAAGCATTGTATCTAATACTTCACCATAAGCAAGCAAAGCGTCCTGTCAGATCCTTGGCAAAGCGATGACTCTTCATGCTGGAAACAAACAGGGGGAATTACTTCCTCAACCGTTGTGCATTACAGAAAATGCACGTGTTCTAACTGGAAGTGACAGGTTTCAGTCTGTCTGGAACAAGGGCAAGGAGTTGCCAAACTTGTTGCTTTTGCAGATCACGGGTTGTTTTAAGTTCCATTTTCTATTCCTAAGAGTTTGCATCCTTTGAGTCAGGCAAATAATAGTTAGCAGAAAGAAGAGCTGAGCAAATTGGATTCTCAGTCCCTTTTGGGCTAAGCTGATGCGTACATATGTACAGAGTGTATACGTACATTTACATGTACAGATATATTTCATCCATAGTTCCAGACAGGAAATTCTGGACGTGTGGCAACCCTATATAAACAGGAATTTAAAATGACATAAATAATGGTTTAGGACTGATATTAAAGTGCATAAGAAGAGAAAGCAACATTAAAAAAAAGAAACAGCAACATGACATTAAAAATACGACTGCATCTAGTAGCCTTAACGAGGCTACCCACACCACCCACTGAGCCTTTACAAATAACCATGTCTTCCTGCCAAAAGTGGTTGAGCCAGGCAGTCCACTTCCAGGAAGGCAACCTAAGAGATGCTGTCTTGTGGCGGTGGGGGGGGGGGGGCCTCAACTTAGCTGAGCCCCTGGCAGGTGTGTGACAAGGCACTGCAATCCCCTCTGAGAGAAAAACTAAAAGGAGAGGAGAGGCTTCAGGGAGAAGCGCACAGCTGACGGAAGGGTTCAGCTTCTGCCTCCTGCCTGCCCTCTACTGTGTTGAACGGCCTCCTGTTTCATGATCTCGGTTGCTCTGGGTGCCATACCATGTCTGGTTTCAGCCTCAATTCCTGACTGTTAGAGCTGTGCCCGCACGTTCATCCGCTCCAGCTGCAAAGAAAGCTCGTGAACCACAGGCCCCTGAGGACAGAGGCTTAACTTATTTATACCACAAGGATGCATGCCTGTAAGAATGCAAGGGCTCTGCGGGGTTGCCCCTGCAGTTGTGCCCCTTCTCTCCTATTTCCACTGGTTCCACTAGTTCAAATGGAAGTAGGGCTGTCAGAGGTGTGTTAGTCACGTGACCTGCTTTGCCTGCAACTCCTGTTACTCTCAGGTGCGGCGGTGGACATTTGTTGTTGTTTGCTATCATCATCATCATCATCATCATTATTACTATTATTATTATTACCCACCCTTCACACTAAGGACTCCAGGCACGTTACATCAATTAAAGCATTATATTAAGAACAGTTTAAAACCACTTACAAGTACAGAAATAGGGTGGGTCGTTATACAAGTCATGTGTCAAAAGCTAGGGTAAACAGGTACGTCAACTGCCACCAGAATAGGGAGGGGCAAACCTATCAGTTTCAATTTCTCTCAGTTTCTCATTTTTCCAATATTAATTTCATTTTTTTTTACATTTTATTTGTGATTTTCAGTTATATACATTTCAATAGTTTTACAATCGTTTTAACATTTCAAAACTTGACTTCCTTTCTCCTCTTTCTGCAGTTCCTTAATTTTATCGTTTCCTGCATATTCTAAATTAACTTAAGTTATTCTTTTATTCATCTAATTTAATTATTTACTCTTGAGAAAGTGCAGGTTATTACAATAATCCTGCCAATGTCCCTATCTGGTTACAATTTATTTGTATATATTCAATAAACCATTCTTTTATAAAGCTGCCCCTCACAGCAATCGTGCCACTCAGGACAAGTGGTCTCCATCGTCCGCCATTACCTGCAGCTGGCAGGCAATATAACAGGAAGACCCAGCCCGCCCAGGCTGATGGCCTTTATGGTCTTTATATTGGATCTGGAGACTCCAATAGAGAGCATTCCATGTAAAGAAGGAGGGCAAGTGGGCATCCTATCAAATGACAAGGCAGGGGCTACACGGAGCAGGGCCTTTTCACTGGTGGTGCCCGTTGTACGGCTCGCTCTTTCCAGACCTGCCCTCTTTTGGCCTGTATTTTGGAGCTTTATAATCTAGGAAGATTTTGGAATAACAGGTTGACAAGTCTTATCAGTTGCTGACATATGAGCGGATTTTATTTGCTGTTATTCTGGGTTCCTGGTGCACCAGGGTTTATACCAGTGTAATAGAATTGGCCAGGACGAAAGAAGGGATACAATTTATTAGCTTTCTCCATTATCTGCACAGCAGGGGGTGTTTAGTCAACAATGCAAAGGCTGAGCTGAAGTGTTTCCTGCTGGTTACCTGCTTTCAGCTATAGCAGTCGCTGTTTGGTAGTACACAATTGGTTAGCTGTCAGATTCTAGAGCTCCCTATTGGTGGCTCTTAGGTAATTCCAAAAATACAGAGTCCATTAATAAAGCACAGTGTTCATTCATAAAGCAGTAACATAAATCTCCATTGCTACATATTGGGTGTGTATTTCAGCGGTTGAACGTACAGCTTTATGGCCATGCTGTAGTGCAGTGCTTATACGACTGTGAATAAAAGGTGGCTGGGCTCATCGTCCTGGGGTTTGGCGGGGGAGAGGTGACAAAACTGATTTCCAATAAGTGCCCCCCCCCTTTATTTCCATTACAAGTCCTTGAGTCTGTACTCTGAATAGTGACACCAGGGACCTAGAAGATGCAGGGCTTCTTAGTCCAACCCCTGCACAGACTCATCAGAGCTGACCTTAAGGCAATTGGAACAATTGGGCCAAATTGAGCCCTGTGGGCTGCTCCTAAGAGGGCCCCCACACCACGGCAATCTAGATGGATTTTATTTATATCTATGAGATTTTGCAGACCTTGGCTGTGAACTGGGGCCCTACAAAAAAACACACCTAAAGTTGGGCCTCACTTCTTCAAATTGGGCCCCCACTGGCTAGCCCTGAGTCTCATAGTTGCTGGGCCTGAGTTTCCCTGCTCTTGCATGAAGTCTTGGGTTTCCAATTTTGGGAGAGGGGAGACTGCGGCACTGGGGAGATGGCAGGCTCACGAGGCCCCCTAGATTTAGAGGCCCAAGTTGCCCTGCCCTCACATGAAGTATTGGGTTTGCAATTTTGGGAGAGGGGAGGTTGCCTGCTGGGGAGCAGGCAGGCTGGCGAGGCCCTGTAGATTTAGAGGCCCTAGGATTCAGCCTACTTAGCCTATACATAAATCTGGCACTGGCTATATAAATAGCTCCTCCTTCACGGCCTTGGCAGGCCATCAAGTTTGTTTGTTTGTTTTTACAAAAGTTATTTTAAACATTTTTTTTTTCAATTCATTATACCGGTACTTGACTAGAGAAACGCATTGGCAAATTCAGAAATGTGTGAATTTCGAAGAATGGTTATGTTTCGGTTCTCGTATTGTTTCAGAAAGTATGAATGAAGGAGGCTTGCCATTAAGTGTGAACTGAACACAATTGCTCCCCCATCCCTACACCAGAACGGAAGTACGATGCAATGGGGAGTCTGATAGTGACTGCCCCCGACCAAGGGCCAACTACCACCAACAGCCCTTTAGGAAGGAGTCTTATGACTTGCTTTATGTTGATTGTGTTTTGCATGTTCTTAGTTGTTTGCTGGTTTGCTTTGTTTCGCAGTGGCACCGATGTTACCGCTCAGGACTGCCGTGCCCTATTTTGGCACTTGAGGCGAAACAGGAAGTGCAACCCACTTGCCACCTCCATCGTGCGTTTTTATCTTGTGAACTGCCCTGAGACCTTTGGATGAAGAGTGGTATATAAATCTAATTTTATAAATCTTACACATTGTTATAGGAATTCTAATAATAATAATAATAATAATAATAATAATAATACATTTTTATTTGTATCCTGCCCTCCCTGGCCAAAGCCGAGCCCAGAGCGTCTAACAACAGGTAAAAATAGCATAGTGTACATAAAACCACACAGTCAATTAATTAAAATACATTCTAGAATCAATTCAGAATCAAATTAATGGGAGCCACCGGGTTAGAGTTCTATGAATGTTACAGAAGGAGAGAGAGCATCAGACTGTGCCCTGGCCAAAGGCCTGGCAGAACAGCACCGTCTTGCAGGCCCTGCGGAAAGATGTCAAGTCCTGCAGTGCCCTAGTCTCTTGTGACAGAGCATTCCACCAGATCAGGGCCACAGCTGCAAAAGCTCTGCTTCTGGTTGAGGCCAATCTAACCTCCCTGTGGCCTGGGATCTCCAAGATGTTTTATTTGAAGTCTGTAAGGTCCTCTGTGGGACATACCAGGAGAGGAAGTCCTGTAGATACGAGGGTTCTAGGCCATATAGGGCTTCAAAGGTTAAAACCAGCACCTTAAACTTGATCCTGTATATTTGCTTCTCAATATTCTCTGGCTGGCCTCTGTTATTTTTTCCCACCGATAGAAAACCTACATAAGGACTGTATACGGACTCTTGGATACCCCATAAGGGGAAAAGGAACAGTAAGGAGCAGTTTTTTCTTACAACACACATCGTTCAGCAAAATGTCTTAGGGAGACCCTGGTATGCTATGTAAGCAGCAACATTCTCTTTATCTAGTGTTTATCTAGTTCCAACTCCTGGCGTTAGGGTGGAGGCCCTGCTGCTCTTTCTGATGCCTCTTTTTTTCATCTTGCCACATCCTTCACAAACGTTTTGTTTTGCTTTTTAAAACAAAAGCAGTCCTACAGTGCAGGGCCTTCTGTTGCGCCTCTTGAGGAGAAGGTGGCTCTTTGCCTCTCCCCTCCCTCCTTCTCCTCACCCTCACCCTGCTGGTGTTGCCCATTCTTGGCTTCCCCGCCCCCAATAATTCGTTTCGTTTTAACTGTTGCTTTTGCGGCAGCAGAAATAGACTCTCCTCTCCCCCTCCTTCCTGCCTCGCTCGTGAGAAAGGGACAAGGAGGACATCCTTCCATGGAGTGAGGCCTTCTGGGCGAGGTGGAGGAGAAAAGGGCCTGTGACACCACTGCTTGAAGCTCCAGTTTGTTATAAGAATTTAAGGTCTCAAATATATAAATTAAATGTTTATAAAATTACAAGGCAAACACAAACATAAGTATATAAACCACGTGTCTGAAATAGTACAGGAGAGCAATCCTGGAGCCATTTTGACTCTCCCAAATTGACCTCAAATGTTTCTCTGCAAGGAGGAAGGAAATGGGAAAGCCTCTCTCTTTAGGGTGTCTTTGTGTATGAATAGGGGGAGCCTGTGACTGGATTCAAGGAATTAAAGTATTTACCATCACAAAAGAATGGCCGGGCTGCCCAAGTAAAGCAATCAGAGACTATTGTCAGGTATCCTGGCAGACAGGATTTCTGTTGTAGACTGCCTCCTTCTGTGATATATGTATGATGTTTTTGGGGGTGGTCTTGAGCTATAGGGTGGGCAATTTCAAAACTCTATATAAGGGCTTGTGCACCATTGTTCTGGAACCCTCCTCCCTCCTGCGTGTGGTTGTGAGCACCCTGTTGCAAGAGTTTAATAGCGATCAGGCTTACTAGCTGCTTTGCTTCTCAATATTCTCTGGTTGGCCTCTATTATTTTCTCCTACTGATAGGGAACCCGCTTAAGGACTGTATACGGGCTCTTAGATACCCCATAAGGGGAAAGGAGCAGGTTTTTTCTACATCAGCTTGAAATACGTTACAAATCTAAAGTCTCTGGAAATTTCAACTGTTAGCTTATTTTCAGCAAGACTTTTAGCTGGTTCAGCTGGCAGGCAGGTGGCCCAGCAGCTAGGCAAGTAAAGAGGGCGTCAGTTTTGTTTTGTTTGGGGTTTTTTTTTAACAATTTGCACCCCCTGCTCTTATTCCCTGAGACAATGGTCTCATTCTATCTCATGACTGGCCCTGCGACAGTGTGCAAAACCCACAAATATCCACCATTTCGGAGGTTAAAATAGCAAGGAGCTTGTAGAATCTCAGTTGTCATGGAAAAGACCAGGCCAGGGAGCTCCTGCCAAAAGTTCCCGAAGAGACCACCAACTGCCTGAAGGAACTTTTTATTATTATTATTATTATTATTATTATTATTATTGCTGGGTGATGTTCAACTAAGTTTTACTCAGTGTACGTCTGGTTACATGATGTAACTTAGTCACGCTCACTAATTTCAGTGGGTCCTCTGAGTGGAACTCGCTTGAATATCACCCGCCGTGATTATTTCTTTCGTCGCCACTGCGAGTAATAGTAACAAGTCACCTTTTGTCACCTTCATTTTTGTTTGGTTTCAGCAAGTTACATTGCGAACTGCCTCAGATATCTAGGGGTAGATAAAGTGTAATTATAAATTGTGAAAAGAAAGAAAGAAAGAAAGAAAGAAGGCTGGCACAAGCGGTCTAATGCTGGAGCTTCTCTTCTTAGTTGCTTCTGTGCTTTACATAGTCTCCCCGCCCTTCCTTTCCTCAGCCCTCAGGGGAGCATGGTGGGAACTTCATGCTCCAGGGACCCCCTTTTCTGCCAAAGCAGCTAGTCATCAAACTACCGCCCCTCTGGGGCTGCCTGTTGGGCCTCACTCTGCCTGGCTGCCCAGGGGGATGGATCGGTGTGCAAGTGGGGCTGGCTGCAGGGAGGCGATGGAACCCGCTCTGCGTTATCTGTTTTTGCTGTGGCTCGGTTGGTTGGGAGCAGCCACTGGAGTGCCGGGAGAGCTAACCGATGTTGTCCAGGCCACAGGTGGGTCCTGCAGATGGGAGAGGATAGCGGAAGGCAAGAGACAGAGGTTGATGGGGATGGATGTCAGATATAGCGGTGGATGGGCAGGCGAGGACCACCAAGGTAGCAGTAACAAAGAGTGCCTCTGAGGATGTGCAGGATGCTGTTTCCTGACCACAGCTGGTAGCATCTGGGAATAGTAAGCAGGCAAGCTTCCAGCTGCTAACTGGAAAGGTCCATGGCACCTGAATTTGCTTGTTTTCATCCTCCTTTCCTTTGCTGTTGCGTCTTCCAAATTGAAAGCCTGTGTCATTTATTTAAATCTGCGCTATGCAGCACCTAGAAAAGCCTTAGGGGATCATTGTCACCATTTGGCAAGGCTTCAGATCAGAGATTCTGCTGTTAAAGCAAGTAATCAGTTGTGTGGAGCTGTGATATTGCTCATGAGGCTAGGAAAGGGAAAGTTGACATGGCTTGACGTTTGCCAGCACTGGCTACAGAGGCGAGAGGAGAAGGTATTTTTGATCTGGGGAATGTGCCTTCATACTGGGTAACATGCAGAAAACAGCATTTTTAGAAAATCAAAGACTGGAACTGAGGGAAGTCGGGGGCTGGGAGATGGGTCCCTGAAGACCTACCTAGTGCCATGAAAACAGTCTTGGGTACTCAGAGGTCTCTTTATAGACACCTTGGCTTTCAGAGGCGAGGCAGGAAGCAATCAGGGAGAGGGCCTTTTGCGATGTTGGCATTTTGCTCATGAAACACCCAGGCAAGGAAGTCTACCTGGTACCTTCACTGCTGAGTTTTAGGTGGGAGGTTAAGGCCATGCCATTTGCCTGAACTCTGATTCACTTAATGAGCTTGAATGAAAGGTTGGACGATGATGACACAGGTGGTTTTACAGGGCTGGCCCAAAACATTTCATTGCCTCAGTAAATGGCAGTAAATGGTTCCTCTGCCTCCACCACCTCTCTGCCCGAATCAAGGCCAACCAAGCTTAAAATTCTACAAGCCCCTCTCCCTGCCAGTAAAGATTACAACAAATTAAAGAACTAACCGTTTGCTGCTTTTTCATGTCACCCAGAACCAGCTGCCTGAGACAGCCGCCTCACTCTCTCTACTTGGCCCTAAATGCTACTTTACCATCTGTTTCTTTTCCTGTTTAAATGACTGTTTTGCTTGTTGTTTTATTGCTGCTTTAAGATTTTTAAGAATTAATTTTCACTGTCTTAAAAGCTTGCTGCTGCTATGCTTGTTTTAACTGGCTGTATATTAAAGGTGGTGGTTGTTTGCTCAAACTGTACGCTTATCACTTTGGAAACATTTTAAGTTGAAAAGTGTGTAAGAAAGGAATAACAAAAAATGAAATGCTTGATGTTTTCCTCCCAAATCCCAGAGACCCAGGCGGTTCTTCTGCCCTGCACTTTTAACTACACACTGGCTTCTGACGATTTGAATCTGACTTGGCTTGGTCCGTCTGGGAAGGAACTCTCGCATGTGCATGTCAAGTATAAACACTCAGAGGCAAATCTGGGTGAAAAGTGGCGTCTGTTCATTTACAGCATCTCCAGGCAAGATGGCATATGGTTTACCTGCAGCTGGAATGGCATCTCAGGAAAGAACCACACACTCACACGGACTGGTGAGTAGGTATGGTGAGGGGAAATTAAACTTGAATTTGCATATTGTCTTTTTGGTGCCTACTGAAGACCTTCCTCTACCAATAAGCCTTTTAAACAGAGATCTTTCCCAGTCTATATCTGAATTGAAATGGTTTTTAGATACAGTGGTATTTTAATTGTTTTATCATGGTTCATTTGCTGCCCTGGGGTACTTTGGGAGGAAGTTGTGGGATATTCAATCAATCAATCAATCAATCAATTAATAATCAATACTGCTACTAATAATAATGGCGAACCAACCCAGCTTGCACTTTCTGAAACAATTCATGAACTGAAACACAACCTTCCTTTGAAATTTACACTTCTCAGAATATCACAATACTTTTCTCCAGCCAAGTATTGAGAAGTGTGCATTAAAATGCATGCATTAGTGAAAACAGCATTAAAATTTGCATTGTGTTTGGAGATATTGCTTTGCAAAAAATGTGCATGTTAAGAGAAATTTGCTGGTGAGGATTTTTTTAAAAAATGTATTTTTTGTGTGATGTGGAAATACGGAGAACTGAACTTCAGACTGGCAGAATAAGAAACTGAGAGAAACCAGATTCACTCATCTCTACCAGTGAGCAGTTAAGATGGCGGTAAAAAGCAGAAACCAGACTCTACAGATACTATTATTATTACCATCACCTCTAAGAACTGCCAGGCCCCCATGGCTGACAAACAGTGCAAAAGTCTGTACCTGCTACAGTTGCTCATTTACTTGGCACAGAACCCCTGAATGCTATGCTGGAGAAACTGGTACAATTGGAGGTTATGTGACACACAACCACACTACACGGAGGGAGGGGAGCTGCAGACCTCTAGACAAAGTGGTGTTGGGACCTGTAACTGGAAGCAAGACGGGCTTGTTCAGCCGGAATGAGCACAGCATAATGTGGGGGGTGGGGGTGGGGGGTGGGGTAGACAAGAGTGGGCAGGGCAGATTGTCTGGGCTGAGAAACAATGGGCTGGGTTGCTCATCTGGGTCTGTTTACTACAGGTGATGATGATGATGGCGATAAAGACCCTGAGGACATTGAAGAGGAAGTGAAAGACAGCATGAGAGATGCTGGTTCGGGCAGTAACAGCAGCTTTTATCCACCACAAGCCTGTGAGATCACATCCAAGTTGTATTTCTACATTTCACTAGGAAATTGGGCGAGGGGTGGATTACTCCTTCCCCCACCTCATAAAGGCCTGGTGGGCTGTGGCTAAAGTACACCTACATTTGTGGGGAAGGACTTCCGGGACTGTACGTTTTAAGGCTTTTTTTCTGTTTGGTTCCTGGTAGTTTTACTGGGGATTTGGGGTGTGGGTGTGTTTGTGAATGGGCTTTTAATGACAAAATTCTGGGTCCAAGGTCAGTGGGCGTAGGGATGGGAGAACCAGTTTGTGGGGTTGCTCCATGGGGAAGGTGGGGCAGAACTGGGGGAACTGACCCAGACACCCTGGGCTTGGGGGGGACGGACCCTGCAACTGGCACTGGTGGCCATGGCTAGCAGCCTCACTCCCTGACTGGTCCTTCTGCCTCCTTCACACCTGACTAATCTCTCAACCACCTTCCCTTTTGGAGCAAGGGAGGGAGAAGAGAGACAGAGGAATGGGGGAGGAGGTGGTGAATACAACACAGCAGGTTGTCTCCACCTAAGTTCTACTCCTCTGAAAATCAATACCACTGAAATCAATAGATCTAAGGTAGTTATTACATATACCTCACCCAACTGACTCATTTGCCCCAGCTACTCTGAGTGCCTTCCAACCTAATAGCAAGACAGGAAAACATCAAACATAAAAAGCTTCCCAATGCAGGGCTGCCTTCAGATGTCTTGGGAAAGTCCTATAGTTGCTTATCTCCTTGACATTTGATGGGAGGGGGTTCCACAGGGCAGGCGCCACTACTGAGGTGGTCCTCTGCCTGGTCCCCTGTAACTTCACTCCTTGTAGTGAGGGAACTGCCAGAAGGCCCTCGGAGCTGGACCTCAGTATACAAATAGCAGACAGGTCTTACAGAGCCTGCTCCATTAAAAGTCCGCGAGTACTTGGTAACTGTCAGGGAACTGCCATCGGCTCAGAGGCGAGAGATAGAGGGGCAGGTGTGCTACAGGGAACCTCCAAAATTCTTGTAAAGCAGTTCCTCTTCCAGCGAGGAGGGAAGCCCCACCTCCAGTGGGAAAGAGGTGCAAGGACCAGAGGATGCTAGTAAGAGCCTTAACACCGCGCCTGAGCAAGGAGGGAGGTGACGAAACTTTTATGTTGGGGGAGGTACAAAAACAGACCACTCCCGGATTCTGCTAGCGATTGAGCCAGACATGAACTTGTGACGCTCTTCACTGTAAATAGTTTGCATCAAAATAAAGCCTGTAAAAGACAGGTCGGAATCCTGCCTGGTTACTCTGGAGCAACCGCAACAGCATCTGACAGTAACCCTTCAAATTAAGGGCAAAAAGCTGGTGGGCGGGGTGTGACAGGGAGGAAAGTTTTTGCCTGGCACCTTTCAATGGGTCAATATTAACTTCAGTGAGAGTGGATAGGAAGCAGTTAGTGTGTAGCTTGCTCTGTCAGTCCCTTCTCAGCTCTGGAGCAAGGAAGGCCCCACGGCTCACCATGTAGTTCCACATCCTGTTGGAATTTGGGAGTCCCCACCCCGCTCAAAGACTCAGATGGTTTTCTTCCTCTCTGACAGCAGTGGCACCCAGGGCCTTGCATTCCTTCGATTGGTTCTTACAAGCCTAATAGCAGACGTTCCGCTGTGTGGCTCTCTCCTGAAGTTTCACAAGCTGGTATTGGGTAATGTCGGATGCTTTTCAGCTGAAGGATTTTGCAAAACCCAAGATGATGGCATCTGGGCCCACATATTCAGTTTACATATTGCTTCCTTAAAAATGTATCGCTAAGGCTTACCCCTCTGCATCATTTTTTTTTTTTTAGCCAGAATTTTAAAATCATTTTTGAAATTTTGGAAAACATCAGCCGTTAAAAAATATTTAAAAATTGCAGAAAACTGTGTTTCAGCTCAACTTCTCACTACCCTCTTCTGTAGGGCGCCAGGCCGACTCCCCACATCCTGCAAATGGTATGGAATCTTTTCCCTGTGATGCCCCAATACCCAGGAACTGGACCAATGGGACTCTCCTCTGGATTCAGCACGATTCAATGGGCAAAAAGACTGTGCTGGTGACTGTGTCGCTGTGGCGCTCTGTCACTAACCACTTGCTGTTGATGAGGACCAATGACATCATTCTGATGCTGCCATCGGTGACATCCACAGATGCTGGGAACTACACCTGTCAGTGGAAGGATCAGGCCCACCATTTTCAGCTGGAGGTGGCAGCAAAGCCAGGTGGGTGAAGACGAACAGGGGTACAAGTTTGTATGCATTTGAAATGTGGATCGTCTTTGCAAAGTCCAAATCTCCAGTTTCAGATCCGAAATGTTTCCAAATTTTAATTTTTTCCAGTGCAATGTTGATGATGTTTTTAAAAATAAACACCACTATGGAATATTTACTTTGAAATATGGGGGCAGCGGGATCTATATACATACACACACACATACATAAACAAATAGGAAGCCTCGAAGGGCTCGCCCACACTTCCCTTTTGTCCCATGAGTTCTTCAGTTTGTTCCGTGATTTCCAGGCATGGGTCCGAGAGGTTTTTCTTTTGTCCCACCACTACCCCCAGGAAAACTCTGTTTACTGCTGAATGTCAATCAAATGTCAATCTGCAGAAAACCCAATTGATGTTTGTTCTGATTCAGCAGTAAACAGTGAGTTTTCCTGGGGGAAGTGGCAGGACAAAAGAAAAACCTCTCGGACCCATGCCTGGAAATCATGGGACAAACCCAAGTGTGGATGAGCCCCAAGTTCTAAAGTGGGGAAAGTTCTGCAACCAAAATAAATAATAATTCCATATTTGCACACTTAAGGTAAAGGTAAAGGGACCCCTGACCATTAGGTCCAGTCGTGACCGACTCTGGGGTTGCGGTGCTCATCTCGCTTTATTGGCCAAGGGAGCTGGCGTACAGCTTCCAGGTCATGTGGCCAGCATGACTAAGCCGCTTCTGGCGAACCAGGGAAGCGCACGGAAACACCGTTTACCTTCCCTCCCGAGTGGTACCTATTTATCTACTTGCACTTTGACGTGCTTTTGAACTGCTAGGTTGGCAGGAGCAGGGACCGAACAACAGGAGCTCACCCCATTGCAGGGATTCGAACCGCTGACCTTCTGATCGGCAAGTCCTAGGCTCTGTGGTTTAACCCACAGCGCCACCCACATCCCTTATTTGCACATTTACTAGTTTACAAACCCTTCTTCCCTCTGGTGTGCACAGCAATGTGCCGTTGCGACTTGAAACATAGTGGTGGGACAGGGGGAATGGCATTGCTGCGTTGTAGTCATTGATGCTTCCTGCAACACATGTATGTTTTACCTAATAACAGAGTAAGCCTGCTTCATGCTTCAGAAATACTGTATTTCCTTGAATGTAATGCACACCTTTTTTGGACAGATTATGTCATGGAAATTAGGGTGCACATTAGATTTGATGGTGCATTAGATTCACGGTATTGGTTCTATCCATCTACAGGTTTAAACTGGCAGTTGAATCAATTGAAACTTGTAGGATGAATAGCTAAAATTGAGTTGCAGCCATAATAAAGACATGCATATAAATAGAGATTCCAGTTAATTGTTTTCTTTCTTCTTCCCCCACAAGCTGCTTGGCTACAATTAGGAGCCCAACACTGGATAATCTGGACTGCGACCTTGGTACATATGATTGCCTGCCTTGGTTGCCTTTTCTGTTTCCTGTGGCTCCGGCGAGGTAAGTACAGGAACAAAGGCAAGATCAAGCACAGAAGTGGGTAGCCAAATTCTTCTGGCAACTCATCTTCCTGGTCTTGTAGCTTAACAGTAATTCTTCCGATGTAAATACATATTCTGCCCTTTTAAGCAGCATGTTAACCCAACAATAACTTCATGCTGAGAGGGTTTGCCCTGGAAAGGGGCTGAGGAAATAAATGTGGAATGGTTGCTGTGGCAGGTGTCATTACAATGAGCAACTTGTAAAAGGATTGTGTGGTGGCGGATTGTGATATACGACTCTTGTGTGATTGTTAATATTCTGTTGATCTGAAATGAAATTTGAATTGTCTTTTTTTAAAAACAACAACAACATAATAGAGCAAGAATGGGGAGCCTGCCCCCATGTCTCCAAACCTCCCTTGTCTGTCCAGCCTCTTCCTAACAACAACACACATCCCCTCCTTTCTCTAGGCCCTATTGAGTTTCCTCTAGTTTTTTTTGGCCCCTGAAAATGATTATTGTGCTCCCCAGATTTATCGTTTTAAAATAAATAAACTATTGAGCACTCTTACATGTCCCTCACTGTATTCTCCCAATTCTGTTTGTTTGTTTGTTTGTTTGTTTAAAAAATGTTTTTACTGACTGATCCCATAAACCCATTACTGTGATGCCAAAGGTTTTTTTGTGGCTCCCCTCCCTGATTAATTCTTCTTCTTCTTCTTCTTCTTCTTCTTCTTCTTCTTCTTCTTCTTCTTCTTCTTCAACTGAATTTAGTGATTAATAATACAGTGATTTAAAACACTGTAGAATTATGTGACAGGAAAGTGTTTTGCAAGACAGCATTGACAAAGGGCGCTAACCATAGGTTAACACAGTCCTCAAGCCAAAAAAAGTTAGGCACCTCTGGTACAACACTTACACTGTTTATTAGCAGCCTAAAACTAGTAGCTCCCTTTGAATAATATTTGCAAACAGCAGTTCAGCTACAGTAAAATAAGAGCTCTCCTGTGACAACCCAGGTATTTAGCCTATCTGATGTTATTAATGTAGACCAATATGTCACAGTGGCTGCACGGGAAAGGATTTTTTTTATTTAATGTGTTCCCCTTCTATCCTTCTCATTTCAGCCATTCGTGTTCGTAGGCAGATGAAGCTGAAGGGTCCTGTCCGGAGGTAAGTAGTGGTGTAGGGAAGAGTGCAAGAGCATTAGTAGGCAGACCATGGGTAATAAATAACCTGTGGAGGGAGAATCTGGGAGGGTGGTCTCTCTCCCCACAAGACAGCACTGGAGAAGAGGGGATCTCTGGATAACCCCTCTGGAACCAGAGGTGGGATGTGGGGTATGGGAAGAATAAATGAGGGCCGGATTAAGACCTTTAGAGGCCCGAACCCTGAAAAAATTATGGTGCTCCCCTGTGTTATTCAAAATGAAAGCAAATACTAAACCATAAAATAAGAAATTAAAACAAAACAAAACAAAACATACATTGCAACACATGGCAGGATCTGATTTCATCTCATCATTTCCATCTACTTTAGAAGGGTGCCTCCTGGTTTAGGTTGGGATAAGTCATAAAAAGAGAACAGGGAAACAGGGAAAGAGTATGTAAGTGGAGTGTAAGGAAGTCTAACAAAGTTCTGTTTTCTCGCATGACGACTACTTCAATGTTTTATTGAAATATAAAATGTCAATTTCTATTTAAAAAAACCCAAAAAACACCAAATTTCTTTTGTGTGTGTGTCCCTGCTTTGCTGGTATCCTAAATGCATGGCTAGGCTACTAAGGTTACCATATTTTTATGTAAGGTTACCAGATTTTTTTCAATGAATCTGGGGACACTTTTCAACTTCAATGGATTTTCTATGGGGACTGATTTGTAAATCCAGGGGAAACGGGGACGTCTGATAACCTTAGCCTAGGGCTTATCCACACTTGCATTTACTCATCTCTTTCTAGGCATGATCTGTGATTTAAAGCTCCTTGTTCGAGCGCCCTTTTTGTTGTTGTTGTTGCTCTGGAGCAAATGGATGTTTGCTCCGAGTTTCAAAGAGCGGGGTTTTGTAGGGAAAATGCGGGGCAAAAACAAACAAAGACACAAAATGCCCAAACACAGAGCGTTAAAGCGCAGAGTTCTGCCTGGAAAGAGTGGAGTAAAAAGATAAGTGTGAAGAAGTCCTTAGTCTGCCTATTGGGTAATCTGGTACTGGACTAAGCATCTCTGAGAAGCTGGGATGGGAGGTGGCAAATTATGTCTGAGGGTAATGGGCATTTGAAACCTTGGGTGCATCTCTTGCACTGGCTGTGGTGCCACCTACTTGCAGATATATTTTTATTCTGGGCCTTTTCCTTACCCATCAACAGACTTTCCAAGGTCCAGTAGTTCCGTCTGGTAATTGTAGGCTCCAGACTTAATACGTTGTGTTTGTTTCGGGGGTGGCTTTGGAAGGTTGATGTTTATTACAGTGGTACCTCAGGTTAAGAACTTAATTCGTTCTGGAGGTCCATTCTTAACCTGAAACTATTCTTAACCTGAGGTACCACTTTAGCTAATGGGGCCTCCCGCTGCACTCCCGATTTCTGTTCTCATCCTGAAGCAAAGTTCTTAACCTGAGGTACTATTTCTGGGTTAGCGGAGTCTGTAACCTGAAGCGTCTGAAACCCGAGGTACTATACTTCACTTGCTTCAGCGTGTGAAAGCCAGCTGTGCTGCATTTGGGGACCCTTTTGCTCATTCTGCTATGTGGGGGCTCTGGACATTTGCCCTGAGCCCTGCCCTGATGGTACCACTGCCATGTCCAGCCATTTTTGCCACCAGATGTTCCACTGGGCTCTCCATGGGATGATCAGACTTCCATGGGGATCTCAGCTGCATTCCTAGCACATTGATGGTGGTACCCAACAATCTTTTCCAAGTGAAGTTGGCACGAAGCCTGTGTTGTCGGTTTATCTATTTACTGCATGTTCGTGGTTTTTTAAAAATAATATATATCCTGCCTTTGGGCCCAATAAGGATTTTCGAGGCAACATGCATTGAATTCATAGTTTGGTGTCGTTCATTATTTTACTGTTCTGTGGTTTCTAGAAGGTATTTCTGTGCCAAGAGGAACAGGCCACGTGCTTCCAATGGGGTTCTGGTGGGACCCGCAGCAAATGAAGATGGTGAGTTAATGAGTTAATGACTTACTACCCTAACCCCGCCCCCTTCATTCCTTGAGCTTCTGGGCGGGAATCTGTCTTCTTGTGAGGGAAAGTAGAAGTGGCGCCAGAACAACATTATTTGACTTTTTTTAAAAAAAATAATTGTTTATTTATTTTTCCAATACAACATTATAAAAATCCATATATATCTCCATATACAGAGATTTCTCCGAATCTCATGACTTCCACCCCCCCCCCAGAGCTCCATTTTAAACATTTAAAACTGCATCTTCTTCCAAACTCTTAACTCTTATATCAATCCATATTGTCCATGGTAATGGTTACACTACAAGTGAAATAAAAATCCTGCCAGTGTTTCCATCTGCTTAAAGTGGTCTCTTAGATAACTTATAATCCCCCCCCCCCCGTTCTTTTGTAAAAATTTTGTCCTCTTGGTTCCTGAGTTTTCCAGTCAGCTTTGCCATTTCGGCATAGTGCAACAGCTTGGTTTGCCAATCCTCTCTGGTAGGGACCTTGTCTTCTGTCCATCTCTGGGCTAGGAGCATCTGAGCGGCTGTTGTTCCGTACATAAAAAGTCTTTTCTGGTCCTTTGGGGTGTCTTTGACTTATTTATTAATTAACTATTGCTACTACTGTTGAAGGGACGTGGGTGGCGCTGTGGGTTAAAACACAGAGCCTAGGACTTGCCGATCAGAAGGTCGGCGGTTCGAATCCCCGCAACGGGGTGAGCTCCCGTTGCTCGGTCCCTGCTCTTGCCAACCTAGCAGTTCGAAAGCACATCAAAATGCAAGTAGATAAATAGGTACCGCTCCGGCGGGAAGGTAAACGGCGTTTCCGTGTGCTGCTCTGGTTCGTCAGAAGCGGCTTAGTCATGCTGGCCACATGACCCGGAAGCTGTACGCCGGCTCCCTCGGCCAATAAAGCGAGATGAGCGCCGCAACCCCAGAGTCGGTCACGACTGGACCTAATGGTCAGGGCCCCCTTTACCTTACTACTGTTGAAAGACCTGGTTTACCCAGAGATGGCCAGGTATAGCAATTGAGAAACTGGTGGTACCCTAAACTAACAGTTTTATTATGGCCAAAAACTTTTGTTCACAAGAGTCTGCTTCAATTGAGATTGATGTGCATTATGTTAGTCTTGGGAGGCAGCAGGCTTTACATGGCTACCTCTGTAAGTTGTCACCTAGGTGGGTGGGTGGATGGGAATTGTATCTAGATGGAGCATGTGTTTTTACCCTCACCCTCCCACAGTCTGTGAGCGGGTGGATGCCTACGAGAATGTGTTGCCAGACGGGGGTCCAAGGCGTAGCTGTCAGCTGCTTCAGAAAGGAAAGATCCTACCCAATACCACCAACATGGAAGGTATGTTTGGGGCGGGGGAAGAGGTGGAAGGTTGTTTGTAGTCAGAGGAGAAACAGAATTATGAAGGAGGAGTGAACATTTGCATAAAGTGCATAGATCATGGAATGGCTATTAGGGGATGGGGAAATCATTTAGTTCCGTTCATAGCTGCACTCTCTGAAACAACACATAAACCAGAATGCAGTATATGAGGTTTGAAATATGCATTTCTCTAAATTTTGTGGTAAAGTCTCCAACTAAACAAATGTGTGCAAAATATGTGTATTAGAGGAAAGAAGACATCAAGATGCATATATCTGTGAAAAATGTGTATATTAGGAAAAATGCACACTAAATTACTAATGAATTTACAGGAGGGCTTTTAAAAAGGAAATTCACAAACTGATGCAGAAGTGCAGCAAAATGAGCCTAAGACTGGAAAAAAGGGAAAACAAAATCAACAGATTTGTTCATTCCTGTTACTGAATAACATCACAGGGCAAATCTAAAAGTGTTGTTTACAATCGGAATTTATTTCCCCCTTGATTAAAGAATGTACTTTTGTGACTGTACTAAATTGCCCTTCACCAACTTAGTGAATATTTAGACTACATGCTCTCATCAACCCTCTAGGGTGATCTAAAGGCACAAAAATGCATTCTTTAATCAAGTGGGGAATGGTTATGTTTTGATTTGCATAATGTTTCAGAAAGTGCAGGCTTGATAGATTTGGGTGTAAATGCATAGTGAATCAAATTTCTCCTAATTGTGAGTCGAAGTCAGAACACAGGAGACAAAATACACTGAAGCCTGATACGGGTTTTCTTCAGTTACGCATAAAGTAGGGATGGGAGATCAGGGGGTGGGGTCTTATTTAAAGCAGAAAATGTTTGTGCATGCAGGGGATTCTCATGGGGCCAAAATGACAAGAGGGGAGGGTTCAGTACCTCCCACCCACATACCCCATTCGTGCTTCAAATCCCACATCAGTGCTTGACATCTGATTGGAGCAAATGTATTTTTTTAAGAAACAGGCCTGCCACCATCATGCATAATTTGGTACACTGGGTTCAGGGCGTGACGCTAGTGTCACTAAGGTCACTGCAAGGAGTTCAAGCATAGCAGGAGCAAAACAAATGGAGGTGTTTTCAGACAGGAGGCTTAAACAGAAATGGCTCCAAGCATGAGGCCATCTGAGGTGGAAGATTTGGGTGCCATTAAATAGGGCAGAATGGTGCAGGCAGATGTGGTCCGCAGAGCATCGTATACTCAAATCTTCTCATGAGCCCCTTTGAAATGAACATTGTCATTCACTTGTTAGATGTGTTCTGGAGGTTTTTGAACATTTACATGCAAATTTCCTGTAACTGCGAGGGAAAAGTACAGCCATAGTTACCGCAAGTGTGGACAAAAACCACCTGTGGGAGGCCTTCTCAAAATGCAGAAGTTTTAGCACAGGAAACACATAGAACTGTTTGAAGAGAAAGGAAAAGGACCCACTTCCTCCTCATTTAAGATGAAGATTGCCATGGTGAGCATCTTGCCTCTGCCTGTAGTGTGCAAGGGGCAGGACATAGAGGCTTTGCACATACACAATACACAGTTTGGGAAAAGAGCCAGCCCACAGCAGCACCAAGCTGAGCTCTTGGTGGCAGGGGTGGCAGTGTGCACAGCAAGCTCTACATGCTGCCCCAAAGTGGGGCACAATGCATGGCTGCACAACTGGCCCCAGCAGCTTGAGGCTCTTTCACAGCATCCCACAGCTGTGATGCTGTGTTGCTCACTTTCACATTCAGAGCACAGTTTTGCAAGGGGGTGGTCGTGGGTGGAAGAGGGAAGGAACTTTGGTCCATTTCACAGAAATAGCAGATGATGCAGTAACCTTCCTCCTGGACTGTTCTGCTTCATACAATCTCATGGTTGAATGAATGCCCGTCAGAGAGGAAAACCCTGCACACATATAATTAGCACAACGGGGGGGGGGGGGGGAGCTAATGCTAGAGCTCTTCTCCCTGTCAGGCTAGTTGTCTATGTGCAGGGATGTTGTCCCCCCACTCCCACTTAATCAGATTTAATAATGCAATCCCCCACTTGCAATTTGAAGTGGCACACTTGAGGAACAGGTTTTTACCACCTCATCCAAGCCTTTGTCTTACCATGCTGGCGAAGCAGCACCCAACAGTATTGAAACCTACCCATCACCCAGTGTCATCAGTTAATTGGCAGGTGGCCATTATTTGGAAGAAATAGTTTTGCAGGCTGAGACTGGCCTGCAGACTGGAGATTACTTGCCTGTCCTAAACATTTATGGAGTCAACTAGAAGAGTGCAGTGATTTCAGACCAGTAAGATGAGTAGAGTAATATCGGTTTTTATGTACATCTCTCTCTCTCTCTCCCTCCTCTCACTCACCAGATGAAGATGAAGAAGAATATGAACATCCAGACAGTGAAATAGAGCTCAAGTCAGATGGTAAGTGGTGTGGGGGCATTGGGATGAACTTGTGTGACTGCCATGCATTGCAGTCAACTGGGTGCCCAACAAACCCTTTGCTGATTAACTCAGATGGGCTGAATAAATATGGCAGAGGCTACAGGTGGCTTACTTACTATGTGCCTGGTAGGAAACAGCATGTTGCTTGAGAGGGACAGCATAAGAGGATGGAAAAAGCATAGGGGCTGCTACAGATCCACATCCTTCCGCACTTGCTGTGACACACACAGGGAGAGTGCAGGTTGTAGGCATGGGTATGGAACTCAGAAACAGCATAGACCCCTGAACCTGTTTGTGACACCCACTTAGCTATAACAGGTCCCCCATATGCTGCACTGTATTGGGGAACTTGGTCCAGTTAGAGCGTATGACGCACAACCCAAAGAAGCAGAGGAGTCACAGTCACCGAGTGACTGATGGTTGCTGGGTGCTGTGTGACTGGAAGCAAAGTGGGCTGGTGGAGTGGGAGAAAGCACAGCATAAAATTTGGGAGAACAGAATATAAATTGGGGTATGGAAGAGAACAGGGCACCGTAGGCAGAGAGAATGGGTGGGCCTAGTCATCCAAAAAATTTTTTTGCTTCAGATGATGACAACTACGAGAACACCCAGGAAGAAGTGAAACAGGGAGAGGCGGCTTTGAACGGTAAACAATCCTTTCCTTACTTTCGACTCATCAGTCTCCCACATTTTATGAGTAAATGGAGATAACCGAAACCTTTCAGCATCTCAGGGAGGTGAGGAGGACTCTCTGTACAGCTGCCCAAGCATGCTGGCCTTTGTTAGAGCAGGCGGCGGAGACTGTAGTGATTTGTAGAGTTGCTTCATAATGTAATGGAGTTTTATTGAGAATTAGGAGGTGTGTGTGTGTGTGAAATGCCCAGTGAGGAAGACCTGGAACAAATGAATCCTGGATTCAGAGGAGGAAAAGCAGACCGATCACAGGAGCACTACCTTGGGAGTCCTTTCTCAGTGCAGAGAGGAAACCATATCTCCCTGAATGGGCAGCTCATTCTGGACTGTAACAGGCAGAAGGAGGGTCATGGCCTGGGCGGAAAGGGGGTTGATTTGGGAAAGGCCCAGATTAAGAGGTCTGGTGGGCTGCAGTGGCAGAGGAAGGGGGTGGGGGGTGCTGGACGCCCCGGGTGTCATCACTGAGGGTTTTTTTTTGACAAAAATATTATGGTAGTTAATAATAATAATAGTAAGGCTCATGAAAACTTTTTAGTTCAGTCAACAATGCAGCAAAATACAGCTGGCACCGGGCTCCGCACCGCGGGGCCTGCACTTACCATGGGGCCTGCAGCGTGCCCGAGCCACACATCTCTCTTGGGAGTGACGTAGTAGCTTGGGTGTCTGCAGGCTCCACGCTGCCTAAAATGGCAGCGTGGAGCTTGTGTCTGCCCTCTTCCTCTCCCTCCGCCACCCTACAGCTGAGGAAGAGGCTGTGGAGAGGCCCTGCCTCCGTGGGCTGCTCGCCCCCCCCCCCCGCGCTGGCTGCAGGCTGCATGGGCCAGACCTGGCACCCGAGCGGCCAGCTACACCGCTGGTGGGCCGGATTAGTTGGAGGTCTGGTCCCCATATCTGATCTAGTTTTAATAATGATTTATACTAATAATGATTTATTATTTATACCTCACCCATCTGACTGGGTTTCCTAGGACTTTGAGTTGGGGGCTGTGTGGTGGTGACTGTGTGAGGTCAAATTTTCCTTCTGTATAAAGATGTGGAAGAGGCTAGAATGGGTGGGCTACTGTGCATTTCCACAGTTCAGGAGAAATATCTCTCTCTAATATATCTCTCGAGCAATTGCATCCAGCCCCGCCCCCCCATCCAAATACAATGGTTCCAAATAGATAATTCTCACTTTAAAGATACTGAGCGTTGGTGAGATGCCCATAACGACAAAATGAGTCTACTAACAGTATGTGAACCACAGCAACCCCGTAGGCCTTGTTTCGTAAACTGCCCTATAATAAATCAGGCCATCAGCCTACCTCAGCCTTTGCCATAACACAGAGGCAGAGCATTTGCTTCCCAAGCAGAAGGCCCTGGGTTCAATCTCCAGGCAAGGCTGGGTGAGACCCCCTGCATGAAACACTGCCAATCAGTGTAGATAATACTGAACTAGATGGACCAATGGTCTGACTCAATGTAAGGCAGGTTCCTATGTTCTTGTTCCAGCTTAGTGCCCTGCAGATGGTTAGGACTTCACCTTCCCTCAGTTGGCCAGTGATGGGGGATGTAGTCTAAAACATCTGAAGGTCGACAGGTTGACAAAAGCTGGTGTATCCCTGGACACTGCAGTGCGACAGTGCAACGGCACTTTCCCCCCTGGCGCCATTGGGCCCGCCCTCACTTAAATATAGTGCACCCACCTCACAGAACACCAATTCCACGAATTCCCACAAACTACCCCAGATTATCTTGTGGGGGACTTGTGTGAGGGGGAAATTTGGAGTCTCAGGCAGGATTTGATCAAATAAACAAAGATTTTATTTAACAAAGGAAGTTTATGGCACAAGTGGGTAAAACATAGGATACTTCAGATTATAATGTTACTTCACTTCAGTGCTTTCTCAGTTGTTGCACAGCTGTTGCCGCTTAATACTTTGGTTCTTAAACAAGGTGGTACTTCCTGTCAATTACACACCCCTTAGACAACCCTACTCCTGAAGTACTCCAAGTAACAGACTCAAGGGATCACCACACCCCTCTTAACTGGTTTGGGAGTCTTCTCTTTTCGTAGAAGAATCTCTCCCCTCCTGACTGGAATGAGACCTAAGTAGACTGTATCTTTCCAGCTTCTACTTCTCCTGGCTTACCCTCAGTCTCCCAGTTAATTCCTGGCCTGTTACTCTTACAGGACACCACACACTGTCCTTCACCCTAAGATCAGAGACTACTTTCTCTAGCTTGTGATATATTCCTCAGAGTAGATGTTTCTATCCAGAACCAACTCTCTCTCCTCTCACTCCCTATCTCCCTCCCTCCCTCCCAACCTATTCTCCCAACCTACAAACTGTCTCTCAAAATCTTCTCCTTTTCAACTCCCCCTCCTAGAACCCCGGCCAACCATAAACTGCCATTCGTTAACCATGTGCTAGCAGGGAAAAGGAAAAAGAAAACACTTGGTGAACCAACCTACCCAGCAAAAATAAACTTTTCCATCACATGCAGCAGCTAGCAGAAGCTCCCCAGGCTCTCAAGAAGAGGTTCTTCCTAGACATGTTGCTGTCTTGGGAGTCTCTTTAAAGTTAAGGTTTCAGCAAGTGAACCTGGGGGTTTCTGCATGCGACACATGTGTGCTGTCCGCCACTGAGCTATGGTTCTCCTTTCCCCACATTCCAGACTTCATTAAACAACAGCTGCTGTTCTTCCATCCACAGATCTATCGCTTTATGAAAACAGAAAGGACGAGACCAAGTCCGGCTCCCAGAAGTGGGACTCAGGTATTTGGAAGTGCGGTGAGCTATCCGTGTGGGGTGAGGGGTGGGTCATGTCAGTCTGTTTACCTGATCTTCTCACCAACGGCTTGCTTGTGACCCACAGCTGACCCATTGTATGCAAACAATACTCAGCACTCCGTGAAGAACCTGGTCCAAGATCCACTTGCTGAAGGTGCGGGATCTGGGTGTGGAAGCAGAGACAGGGGCAGCCAGCTCACAAACACACGTGTGTGTGTGTGTGTGTGAATGAAAAAGAAGACCAACTGTTTAGAAAATCCAGTATCCTTCATTCAAGACACACTCTTCCTTAAAGGAGGCCGTCTGTACAGTTCCGGAATTATTCAATATGTTGATCAGAACCTGGAAATATTGGGGCTGAAGCTGGAACCTTCCAAATGCAAAGCAGAGTCTCTAATCTGCTGCTGACTTTTGAACAGCTTTGTTTCTTAATTTCAGAACTGTAAGGATAAACTGAGCGTGTAACTCAAAGTGTGTTGGGGAATAAAGGGGAGTGGAACAACCACACTTCCCTTGTAACTGTGTAATCTGGGAAGTCGGTGCTAACTTGCAGAATTTTGCTGAGAAATGTGGAAGGGCACACGACTGCTGCAGTAGCTTTTCCTCCATTGACTCAGCAGACTCCTTTTGTGGTTGATTACTGCTTGCCATGGCCACCCCTTTTAGCCATCTTCCCTGTAGTAACTGGAATCCAAGTGATACCAGCAAATTGCCATGGGGACACTATGAACCGTCTCCCTTCCCTTCCTTTCTAGCATGGCTGTTGCCCTGAGTAAAAGCTGCCTGGGAGGATTTGGAGAGTTTGCCCCATAAAAATAACACCCTCAGTACATTTGCAACCACAACCCACTGCCATTCAATTCCTCTGGTGACGTTCAGTCTTTCTGTGTTTCCCCCTCACAGATAGTGAAAACTATGAGAACTTGGAAGAAGAGGTTTCTGTTTCCCCTGGTGCAGCCCGACTTATAGCAGGTACTGGATAGGAGCTTGGAGAGGGCAAAGAATCGAGACCCTCTTTCCTGAATCCTCCAAATCATCATCATCACCACCACCATCATCATAAATAATAATAATAATAATAATAATAATAATAATAATAATAATAATAATTTGTATCCTGCCCTCCCTGGCCAAGGCTGGGCTCAGAGCAGCTAACATCATAAAAACAACACAATAAGCATAAAAACAGACATCAGTTAATTAAAATACATCTTAATACATTGTTTGGGGACTACATAGCCCCAGTTCAGACAGAGTGTAGCAATTCCAAATGGGGCTTGATCAATGCTGAATACATGGGCACAATGACTGTGTAACAATACTTCTGTAGAGGCAACCTGATATGACACTGGCCTTTGGTATCTCTCTCTGTCCCCCAGACTTACGCAGGCAGCTGGCCCTGGACCCCCATGTAGACAAGCAGGATGGATGCAGTGAGACATCTACAGGTAAACATTAAAAAACAGTTGCTCCTGCTAGTTAAACTCCAGCTCTGTTTAGCTGCCATCCCACTTGGCATAATTTATTCAGTCCCACTTGTGACATTTCTGCTGCCCCTTCAGGCTCCCAGTCCTATGAAGAAATGAATGGGTCCTTGTGCCCCACTTCAAGCAAGCTTCTCCAGCTTCATTCCAACATAAGCAACGAGGAAGGTGAGTGTCATTTCCAATAATGCCCCGGAATGCCCCAATAATAATCTCTGGGGCGCTGTGGGAAATTCAAAATGCTGATTCACAGTCACATGCCACCCAACCCTGGCAAGCATCAATGGGACAGAACTCCTGTGAGCAACTTAAGAGGGAAATAGAATCTAGCAATTTGGAAAGAAAAACTCCCAGGATCTCCAGACAGGGTTAGCATCAGGGGTAGGAGAGCTGACGCCCAAGTCTTCCAGCTTTGTTCTTTCATATATTCAATGCTGTTGGTCAGTAGACGTTAGGAACGACCTCTGAGGATTGTTCCTCCAAGCAAAATGGGAGATGCCGTTTTCTAATCCCTATTATACCAGTTGATTAGAGTGGCTGGGCACATGACGGGAAGAAATCCAGCAGATCAAGTTTTCCTAATCATTCTCCTTATAAATTAGGGAAAGCTACATCTGTTGGGTTTTTTATAGTCAGTCTTTTTAAAAAAATGTTTGGCCAATTATCCTTAGTCCCATAGGCCCCTGTTTAAGGAACTGGAATTCAGGGTCGCTTCATCTCTGACCAGCCCCCCTGCTCCTTGCAGATGCCGATTCCTATGAAAATATGGAGAGCCCCAACAGTGTCAGTTCGCGGAAGGAAGGCAACATGGATTCATGTGGAGAAGGTAGGTGGATGGGAGTACAGGATTGTGCTCTAGGAGAGTTGGGACACTTTCACTAGGCATTGCCCATGCACTTTCAAGCCTGTCTTTCCATCCACAGGTCTAGAAGCTTGTATTTATATAAAGGGCGTTTTTTTCCAGCCAGAACTCACTGTAACTCAGTTCCGGCACCTCTCAGGTGGGTGCCATAGCCATTATAAGAGAACAAGGGAGGTGTTCATGGTGAGTTCTGGCACCTCTTTTTCTAGAAAAATAGCATTGTGTGTGTGTGTGTGTGCGCACACACACACACACACACACACACACACACACTTAAATAGAAGTTGAGACTCTCAAATTGCTGGCTTCAATAATAGCAACTTCCACGTTTGCACAGAATTCATACAAGAAGTCCTGCTCAGATTTTGACCAGGACCCAGGATTTATCTAACCTCTGCTTTCCTTTGTTTCTTTCACAGGCACTGCCTTTGGTCTCCCACGGCAACATCACTCCATACCTTTCGGGGTTGATCTTAGAGGGGGGATGCTGTGTTCAGACTAGAACGAGCCAAGGCGTTGGGGAGGCGGGCTCAAGAGCTTGAACCTTCGGCAATTCCTTTCCTCTCTCAGCCAGGACGCAATGTTTCTACCTAGAAACTGGGACCACAAAAACTATTCTTCTCGTCTTGGCACTCCGGATCCTCTGGGAGCAGAGGAGTGAGGGGTGCTTCCAGAATGCTAGAAGAGGGGGTCCGGAGATTGGATTCCTGGGTTTGATCTCCAGGACTAGGAGCAGTATGGAGTCCTACACATCTGAAATGGAAGCAGAAAGACTGAGCTGGAGATATGCAAGCACATTTTTTTAAAGAGTTGAAAGTAAAGAGAAGCCATTTCTAGTGGAAGAAACACACCTTTCTTTTGTTCCACAATTATTACCTCCAGCCACACTTTGAAATAATACAAAAGCTGATTTTGTTGGTGTTCTAGAGTGATTAGGCTGATGTGGATCTGCACACACACATTTTTAGCCAGATGTAGATATTTCCTCAGAGAATCAAGCTCTGGCGCAATTGGTCCTTCTTTCCAGAAACCAGTTGTGCAAAGTCCTGACTGTTAAGCCCTTGTGACAATCATGAAGGTACCTCCTTCCTTTCAACCCAACTGGCTGTGCAGAGTGCTGATTGGCTGACCCCTACAATGATTACAAAACCACACTCTCCTACCCTTGTCAAGCTGTCCAATGCATCATCTGTTTCAGAATTGGTGTATTGGTCAGGAATAGTCTAACATTTCAAAATTCTGTAAGCAGTGCCTATCCATATGGCTCCATTTTTTATTATTATTGCACACTATTACAATGGATGTTGCCCCAGAGCAGAAAAAAAGACACTGCTACCTATATAGGTAGTTCCACCAGAGCAGAAAACAAGACATTGTCACCTATATCTGAATGTAGCCTTCCATGGACAAAAGTGGAACGAGCACATACAATGAGCAACCTCTCTTTCAAACCACCTTCAGCTCTGGGCGGGGGTACACACAATTGTCTGTTTCTAGCCTTAATTCACCATTGATTTCATTGTGAGTTGATGCATACTTGTATTTTCATATGGGGAAAGGTAGGCATTGTCGGGGGTGGGTACTTTGTGTCTCACACGATGTCTCACACAGCCTACCATCTTACTTTGCCATTTCTCCTGCTGCCATATCCTGTAAAATAAAACTGAAATTCTATAATAAACTTCAGTATTGTGGGCTCTCTGTTGCTTGCCACATCTGTTTTTCCTAATGTAAAACAGCCCGGCTCCTGAGGTTTTTTCTTTGCCCTTGAGCAGGAAGAGGGAAAGAAGGAGCTCATAATTCTGTTTTGCTCTTACAACATGCGAAAAAGAAGACAACAATTCCCTTGAAAATGTACAAAGTCATTTCCCTTGCCTGCATTAAACAGCTGAGATGAGAGGGAGGGCTTTCCAGGACAAATCTTGCTACTTCTGAAGAGGTAGCACCTCTAATACAGGGCCAGCCCACCTATGAGGCAAAATGAGGCGACCACCTCAGGTGGCAGGATCCACAGGAGGCAGTGATAAATTAAAACAGTTGCTGCCACCATTGAAGCCAGACAAGTACTCAAGGAGCCCCACTGATACAGGGAAAGGCCTGGGGGTCTCTCAAAATTTGGAAGCTGGCAGTGGTTGTGCTGTTGTTTCTTTTAAAAAGATAAAACAAATGGTCATTGCTCTCCTGCTATGGAATGCTATAAGCATGACAGCAACAAAGAGGCTGGCGGCACCTTAAAAACGAAAGAAATTGGTTGTGCATCAAGCCTATGCTGAGTTGCAGATATGGTGGGGGTGGATACCAAACAGTGAGGTAAGAAGGAAATGAAATGCAGAAAAGTGCACACATTGACAAGTATCTTATTAACACCAGCCTGTTAATGTAATTATCAGGATGTTGCTGAAGTTGCTCACTTGTTCCCAGTTCCTAATTTGCATGGAAGTTCAAAACACAGCTCTCAGAAAATGTAAAAAGAGAACTTTATCTTCACCCCAAATAACCTGTGATCTGCTACATGTCATACATCTCCAAGCCTGAGGGGCAGCCCCCATTAAGAATCACAGTACATTTCTCCAATCAAAACTGTTGCATTGGGACAATGCTCATAAATGCATGAAGATACCCGTCCCCCCGGCAACGACAAACAAGGATCTGGAGATGTGCGTATCACAATAACCTTTGGGAGACTTGGCTAACTACTTAGTGGGTGAAATTGTTCCACAAATTGAAGCATGTACAGAATTCAGCTTTTAATAACACCTTTCATCTTTGGTGCCAACATCTTTTTTCAAAACTTTTTCAAAACACATATTATGCCCTTAGAGGGCCACTTAAATGGCAATTGTTTAGGGAGAAATGAATTGACAGCACCAGTGCCTGACGTTGGGCAAAGGATTCCTGCAATGCAGAGGGTTGGACTAGACAGCCCTCGGGGTCCTTTCCAACTCTTCAATTCCATGAAATCATAGAATCATTGTGGAAGGCAGTGGAAGACAGGAGTGCTTGGCGTGCTCTGGTCCAGGGGTCACGAAGAGTTGGACACGACTAAACAACAATGAAATCATCTGTCCTTTAAACAGCATTAAATTCTGCCCAGGGGCTCAATGCTGCTTTGGGGAACAGCGCACTGTCCCAATGCCCACATGCACCACAATTTGTGGGTGCCCAGCCCCTTTATGGAGAATTTGTGGGTGCTCAGGGGCCCAGGGAGTTGGCACCTATGGGCTTCCAAATAAGCTTTGGGCCGCTACAAATCATTCTAAACAGAGAAGGAGATCTGTGACTGCCAGCTGCTCACGGCAAACTCTGCCTCTAGTTTGTGACCTGCTCTGCCTCTGCCCTGCCATTTTGTGACTGTTAGGCCTCAATAATCCTCAAGGCCGGAAGCAGAAAGTTTTGAGAACACGGCGCTTGATTGGCCATCGAAAAACTAAGGTGACGTTCTCCCCTCGGCAACCATTTTTTAAAAGCAGGTGTATACACATTCTATTTTAACTTACAGTGGTACTTCCAGTTAAGAACTTAATTCGTACTGGAGGTCCGTTCTTAAACTGAAACTGTTCTTAACCTGAGGTACCACTTTAGCTAATGGGGCCTCCCGCCGCCGCGCGATTTCTGTTTTCCTCCTGAAGCAAAGTTCTTAACTCGAGGTATTATTTCTGGGTTAGCGAAGTCTGTAACCTGAAGCGTCTGTAACCCGCGTTACCACTGTATTTAACAACATTCATATATACCACTTGGTGTTAAGAAAACCTCTAAGCGGCTCACAAAAATATCAAACAGAACATCGTGTAGAACATTATTTTAAAATATGCAAAGGAGACTTTGAAATCACCAGTATAAACTGCAGTGGAACCATGGTTTTCAAACTTCTTGGTTGACAAACGTTTCAGAACTCGAATGCTGGAAGTAACTGCTTCAGTTTTCGAACACTTTTCAGAAGTCAAACATACCACATGGCTTCCGTTTTGAGTTTCCCTATTGTATTGATGCTTCCGTATTGAGTTTTCGGTTTTTGAATATTTTGGAACTCAAACAGTCTTCCGGAACGGATTGCGTTCGAAAACCGGGGTTTTTGTAAAAAGAAACGAAACACGCCCAACTTCTACACGCCCGTCTGGGCTGGCTTGCTTAAAAGGAGAATGTTTTGATCTGACACCCGGGAGTCACAGTTCAACTGAACTTTTGTCTCTCAGGTGCATATTGCTCTCGCATCCTTTCTGGAGAAACGAAAGCAAGCAAGGTGGCCCCAAAATGCCCAGCTTCTCGTGTTTGCTGCTCTTCTTGCAGGGTGCATGTAAGTCACATCCCCTCATCCGGAGGACCCTTGCCACTTGGGGGCGCTCCTGGGGGCCAGGGCAATGGAGGAGGAGGGAGGGAGGGAGGGAGGGAGAGGCGGCTTCGCACAGACCAGCAGGAGCAGGGAAGCGGGCGGCCAGGCGGCCTGGTCCTAGAAGGACAAGGAAAGGTTTCCTGTCTGAAACCCTGGAGAGCCTCTGCCAGTCAGTGTAGAGAGTACTGGCCTAGGTGGACCGATGGTCTGATTCAGTATAAGGCAAAGCAGACCAGAGCAATACATTTGGTACCAGCTTGGCTCAGGAGTCGCCGGAAGTAGGCGTAAAAGGCGCCATCCAACTGCCTAAGGGACTCCACTCCAGATTTGTGTAGGCTTTGCTCCTTAACCTTTGCTGAAGATGTCCCACAAGGGAGTGGAGGTTTAGGGTCAGAGTTTTTTCCTTCTCCTAGATGGGCCACCTTCCCAGATTGACGAGCCCCATCTGCCCCTCACTTCCCGCTATAGCTGGAACTTGTCTTCACACGCAGGGGAAATCTCTTAACTCACTGAGGGTTTGAGACACGTTAGCTATCCTCACCTCATTTAGCTGGCCAGTCGAAGCCTTTCCTGGGGTGTGGCCGCTATCGCCTGCTGACAGCTTCTTGGCTCTTTTTATGTGAATTGCCCTGAGACCGCCGGGTATAGGCCGGAATAATAGTAATAATAATAATAATAATAATAATAGCCACAGGTGAGAGCTGAGTGACGACTGAGGACCAAAGTTGGACAAGCCACCCCAGAAAGAGCTTGACGTGTCCCACACCAGAGGTACTCCCCCTCCCTAGCGCCCACAGTGGATGGTTACTTTTTTTGAGCAGTCAAAGGCGCATCCCACATTCAGATTTATAGTAGTCCTCAGACTCCTCTAACCAGCCTGGCTTTTTTTTTTTGTTTGTTTTTTTAACCAAAGGGCTTCAGGAATCCCTTTTTTGCATAACTACAGTTTGCAGGAATCTTAAAACTGGCTTATGATAGCTTTAGCCTGTGATGGAGGTCCAGTCTAATTACAGTCTAACAGTATTTCTTGTCCTTTTCAGGGGCAGCCGTGATAATCCAAGTCCCTTCATCCCCAGTCCAGGCAGGGCCACACTCTAATGTATCCCTGCCTTGCCACTTCTCCTTAGACCCTCCCAGGCCCATAGACGTTGATTTCCTGATTGTGAGATGGTCGCTGAGAGGAAAAAACATTGCAAAGTTCGATACCAACATCACAGTGTTTAGACCGAGGGGAGCAGTGCTTGATGCGACACGGCTGCCAGAGGGAAACGCCTCCCTCTACCTCTCGGACGTAAGGGAGGAGGATGCCGGGGAGTATACGTGTTTTGTTCTCCATACTCCTGACAGTGCTGAAGGGAAGGTGGCATTGAAATTAGAAGGTAAGGGAGGCAAGGCGGCGGGTGGAAAACCTTTTTTAAAGCACCAAACTTATTTCATATTAAAGTCCTTGATGTAGGGCCTACTTTGTGGTGGTACTACAGAACTGAGATATGACCTCTCAAGAGAGGCTTGACAAAAGCATGCTTTAACAAATATCATCACCATTTATTTATTTATACCCCACCCATCTAGGTGGGTTTCCCCAGCCACTCTGGCAGCTCCCAACAGAATATTAAAAACACAATAAAACATCATACATTGAAAACTTCCCTAAGCAGGGTTGCCTTAAGGTGTCTTCTAAAAGTCAGATAGTTGTTTGTTTCCTTGACATCTGATAGGAGGGTATTCCACAGGACAGATGCCACTACTGAGAAGGCCCTCTGCCTGGTTCCCTGTAACCCCAGGGAGGGAACCAGAAGGCCCTCAGCGCTGGACATCAGAGTCTGGACTGAACGATGGGGGTGGAGATGCTCCTTCAGGTATACTGGGCCAAGGCCATTTAGGGCTTTAAAGGGCAGCACCAACACTTTGAATTGTGCTCAGAAATGTACTGGAGCCAATGTAGGTCTTTCGGGACTGGTGTTATACGGTCTCGGTAGCCACTCCCAGTCAACAGTGTAGCTGCTGCATTCTGGATTAGTTATAGTTTCCAGGTCACCTTCAAAGGTAGCCCCACGTAGAGCGCATTGCAGTAGCCCAAGCGGGACAGTTTCCCAGACCTTGAGGGATGGCATAGTGGAGATAAAGGACTGCAGCTCTTACTGCATTTGGGAGCGGGCCAGGCAGGACTTGGGGCTAAGAGGATAGTGAGTAACTTAAAGGCCACCTAATGAGTTCATGGGCAAGGTGAGATTTGATCTGCAGATTCCTAGTGCATGTTTTCAACCATGACTTCTACGCCAACTTCCTTGTACTGAGAGCTGCCTTTTATTGTGTGCCTTTTTATTGTGTGGCTTCCGGTGAAGAATCCTGGGAACTGCAGCTTGCTGGTCACAGATCTACAGTTCCCAGCACCCTTTAAGCTGCCCAAGGAGATGCTCTCCTAACTCTCCTCTCTCTCTCCAGCTCCCCCACGCCTAACACTCGGACCCACAAAAGTGCCGCTGGGAAAACCAATCAATTTCACGTGTGCAGTATCCGACTTTTTCCCTGATGGTGTCTCTGTGAAGTGGCTGCGAGACAGTGAGACTCTGAAAGTTGACTCGCCCCCTGCCAAGCGTGGGGCCAATTACCTCTTCTATGCACAAAGTGTCCTGGAGTTCACAGCACAAATCTCTGACACTGGCGTTACCTTCTCATGCCACATCCAACACCAAGCAGCGAAAGACCCAATCCGTCAAGATATTGAGCTGAAGGTGGTAGGTAAGTGGGAGCCTTTCCTGTGCGACCTGGAGTCCTGAAATGCCCATGCTAAGCACAGTTCTCCCTTAGTGAGACCCAGTTCTGACTCGCACTCTCTACCCTGTTCTGCCTCTGCGTATTTTCCTCCTCAAAACACTGTATCCCTTTGCTCTAAACAGTAGTGTCTGCTCCATGATAAAGAATCCTGCAAGAACTTACCTGCTGAGGTGGGTGAAGGCCCACCCAGTCGAATTTGCTTCCACACTAGGACCCCTCATGATTGCTAAGGCACCGCTTTCCTGCAAATCAGCTGGAAATCACATTAAAATGGTGGTTTCACACGCTACTTAACATGGTGCTATATTTAGCAAAAAAGGCTTAATGTTCCCCATGTTCGGAGATGGGGAGCCTGTGACCCTCCAGATGTGGATGGGCTCCTGCTCCCATCAGACTTGGGCAGAGAAGCCAATGGTCAGAATGGTGGGAGTTGTAGTCAAAGGACATTGGAGAGCCACACTTTCCCTGTCCTTCCCTCACAGGACCTGTAGTGAGGTCCGTCTGGCGCCTCCATTGACCTCGTTCCCCCCAGGCTGTGATAAACTAGAATGGCATTTTTACTCCCTTTAAAGGGAGCGCATAGGTCTGACTAAAAATACAGTCGTACCTTGGAAGTTGAACCGAATCCATTTTAGAAGTCTATTCGACTTCCAAAATTTTTGGAAACAAAAGAGCAGCTTCTGATTGGCTGCCGGAAGAGATTGAACCTGAGACCTTCTGCATGCAAGGCAAATATTCTGGTGCTGAGCTGCTCTTGTGTAATGCATTTCATACAACTGTGGCCTTTAGAGACTGTTAGGTGGGTTGCCTTTATAATCAGCAATGTCTCCCTCTAGTGGCCTTCACCAGACTTGCAGGACCTCAAATCTCTTCTCCTCGCAGCTCGCCCAGAACTTCATATGCTCACCAGGCCATCAGGGAAGAGGTTCTTGGTAGCGGAGTGCCTAGCGTGTGGGTTTTACCCACAAAATGTTACAGTGCAGTGGCTGCAAAATGGGGAGCCGATCCAAGGGAAAATATACGAGTCTGAAGTTGAACAAAATCCTAATGGGACGTTCTCAACCGGAAGCGTCTTCTTCCCAAAGCAGGACCATTTTGCAGCCAGTTTTACCTGCCAGGTACAACATGAAGCACTGGAGGCACCACTGGAGGAGAGGATCCCCTGGGAGCCAGAAGGTGAGGGTGATAGAATTACCCACCCCTCATCCCCAGAATGTAGTACCAAATCACATTGGCCAAAACTAAAACGTGCATCTCCAATTGACTCTCCTCCATCTCCAGGATACTTTAGATCACTGTTGACTTGGCTTGTAGGATCTCTGGGACACCTTGTGGGACTTGGCATGGGAGTTGGAGCGACGTTGATGTACCAAAGACGCAGAGGTGAGTTGGGGCTGCTGGGAGTGGTGGCAGAAAGGGCAGCAGAGTCCGTGGGGAGACAAGGCTGCAGTGCTGGGGCACGGGACTTCAGATTGCAGTTTGGAGACACCTGATTATTGCGTTCCCTCTCTCCCTCTCTCTCTCCCCCTCTCTCTTAGCAGCCAAGTATAAGCAAGCTGAACCAAATGACCAAACCCTCCTGAAGAAGACGTCGAAAGTCAGGAGGGAAAATCCAGATGACGTTTTTGTTATTTAACAGTCCACGGAATGAAATTTTGGCACAGGGTTGTTCCAGGCAATGAAATATTGTTCCATTTCATTATGTATTTCCTTAAAAATGCATTTCCAGTATGATAATTGCAGGAGGCTTCGTTTTAAAGTCAAGGCGATTTAAATCATTTAAATTCAACCTTCCATTTTGAAATTATATACATATAGTAGAGCTCTGCACTCTTCAGGAATTCAAAGAAACCAAGGAATATTGAGGCTTTAAATATGGATATTATAATTTGTTAGTTTCAGGGCTGTGCCTCTCCCAACTCAGGGCCCCAAATGAGCCCAAAGAACGCCTGATCCAGCCTGATCTTCATACTGATGAGCAGTTGTGTTGTGACATACAAAAGTGCCTAGCTTGAGGGTTGGGCTACTGTTTAATTAGGGTTAATAAACCCTTCATGTCAGGAAGGAGGTTGGAGAACAAGAAGCTGCATCTCCTTGCCTCCCTGCTCTGACTGCAGCATCGAGAGCAAGAGGGTTCAATCCTGCCTGGTGCTGCTTTACCAACACATCTTCCAGTCTGCCTCTCCTCTTTCCCCATCATTTCCCTCCCTGTCCCAGTTTGTGTATAATATGATTTCTTTTCTCCTTTAGTTTTTCACCTTATACGCTGCATTATCTGTATGGCTATATTTTAGCTTCACCTGTTCCAAGTTATGTTTCTTGTTTTCTTGTGTTCTGAATTCTGTATGGAAAAACAGATTTCAATAAAGTGTTTAAAAAATAAATAAATCCCAAATTTGTAGTAATTCAGATGTAGGAGAAAATAATTGACAGCACCAGTGCCTGACGTTGGGCAAAAGATTCTTGCAATGCAGTGTGTTCTCGGGGTCCTTTCCAACACTTCAATTCCACAATTCTATGAAATCATCTGTCCTTGAAACAGCATTAAATTATGCCCAGGGGCTCAATGCTGCTTTGGGGAACAGCGCACTATCCCAATGCCCACATGCACCACAATTTGTGGGTGCCCGGCCTCTTCAAGGTGAATTTGGGGGTGCTCGGGCACCCAGGGGCCCAGGGAGTTGGCACTTATGGGTTCCCAAATAAACTTTGGGCCGCTACAAATCATTCTTAACAGAGAAGGAGATCTGTGACTGCCAGCTGCTTATGGCAAACTCCGCCTCTAGTTTGTGACCTGCTCTGCCTCTGCCCTGCCATTTTGTGACTGTTAGGCCTCAATAATCCTCAAGGCTGGAAGCAGAAAGTTTTGAGAACACGGCGCTTGATGGGCTACCTAAAAACTAAGGTGACGTTCTCCCCTCGGCAACCATTTTTTAAAAGCAGTTGTATACACATGCTATTTTAAATTATATAACAACATTCATATATACCACTCGGTTTTAAGAAAACCTCTAAACGGCTCACAAAAATATCAAACAGAACATCATGTAGAACATTATTTTAAAATATGCAAAGGAGACTTTGAAATCACCAGTATAAACTGCAGTGGAACCTTGGTTTTCAAACTTCTCGGTTGACAAACGTTTCGGAACTCGAATGCTGGAAGTAACTGCTTCAGTTTTCGAACACTTTTCAGAAGTCAAACATACCACATGGCTTCCGTTTTGAGTTTCCCTATTGTATTGATGCTTCCGTATTGAGTTTTCGGTTTTTGAATATTTTGGAACTCAAACAGTCTTCCGGAACGGATTGCGTTCGAAAACCGGGGTTTTTGTAAAAAGAAACGAAACACGCCCAACTTCTACACACCCGTCTGGGCTGGCTTGCTTAAAAGGAGAATGTTTTGATCTGACACCCGGGAGTCACAGTTCAACTGAACTTTTGTCTCTCAGGTGCATATTGCTCTCGCATCCTTTCTGGAGAATACAAAGTAAGCAAGGCGGCCCCAAAATGCCCAGCTTCTTGTGTTTGCTGCTCTCCTTGCAGGGTGCATGTAAGTCACATCCCCTCATCCGGAGGACCCTTGCCAGTTGGGGGGGCTCCTGGGGGCCAGGGCAATGGAGGAGGAGGGAGGGAGGGAGGGAGAGGCGGCTTCGCAAAGACCAGCAGGAGCCGGGAAGCGGGCGGCCAGGCGGCCTGGTCCTAGAAGGACGAGGAAAGGTTTCCTGTCTGAAACCCTGGAGAGCCTCTGCCAGTCAGTGTAGAGAGTACTGGCCTAGGTGGACCCATGGTCTGATTCAGTATAAGGCAAAGCAGTCCAGAGCAATACGTTTGGTACCAGCTTGGCTCAGGAGTCGCCGGAAGTAGGCGTACAAGGCGCCATCCAACTGCCTAAGGGACTCCACTCCAGATTTGTGTAGGGTTTGCTCCTTAACCTTTGCTGAAGATGTCCCACAAGGGAGTGGAGGTTTAGGGTCAGAGTTTTTTCCTTCTCCTAGATGGGCCACCTTCCCAGATTGACGAGCCCCATCTGCCCCTCACTTCCCGCTATAGCTGGAACTTGTCTTCACACGCAGGGAAATCTCTTAACTCACTGAGGGTTTGAGACACGTTAGCTATCCTCACCTCATTTAGCTGGCCAGTCGAAGCCTTTCCTGGGGTGTGGCCGCTATCGCCTGCTGACAGCTTCTTGGCTCTTTTATGTGAATTGCCCTGAGACCGCCGGGTATAGGCCGGAATAATAGTAATAATAATAATAATAATAATAATAGCCACAGGTGAGAGCTGAGTGACGACTGAGGACCAAAGTTGGACAAGCCACCCCAGAAAGAGCTTGACGTGTCCCACACCAGAGGTACTCCCCCTCCCCTAGCGCCCACAGTGGATGGTTACTTTTTTTGAGCAGTCAAAGGCGCATCCCACATTCAGATTTATAGTAGTCCTCAGACTCCTCTAACCAGCCTGGCTTTTTTTTTTTTTGTTTTTTTAACCAAAGGGCTTCAGGAATCCCTTTTTTGCATAACTACAGTTTGCAGGAATCTTAAAACTGGCTTATGATAGCTTTAGCCTGTGATGGAGGTCCAGTCTAATTACAGTCTAACAGTATTTCTTGTCCTTTTCAGGGGCAGCCGTGATAATCCAAGTCCCTTCATCCCCAGTCCAGGCAGGGCCACACTCTAATGTATCCCTGCCTTGCCACTTCTCCTTAGACCCTCCCAGGCCCATAGACGTTGATTTCCTGATTGTGAGGTGGTCGCTGAGAGGAAAAAACATTGCAACGTTCGATACCAACATCACAGTGTTTAGACCGAGGGGAGCAGTGCTTGATGCGACGCGGCTGCCAGAGGGAAACGCCTCCCTCTACCTCTCGGACGTCAGGGATGAGGATGCCGGGGAGTATACGTGTTTTGTTCTCCATACTCCTGACAGTGCTGAAGGGAAGGTGGCATTGAAATTAGAAGGTAAGGGAGGCAAGGCGGCAGGTGGAAAACCTTTTTTAAAGCACCAAACATATTTCATATTAAAGTCCTTGATGTAAAATACCATTTTAAAGCGCATCCTTTGAAGCGCGGCACGTTAACTCCAGGCTAAACATACCTGACAGGGCCCTAGTTTTATTCATGTATCTGCCTCATTGTGATATTAAGCAGCTGGGCTGTGTCTATTTCTACAAGAGAATAAAGTGTGTGGTTGCTCAACCCTTGCCTTGGCTCCCTATGGTCCATTGCTTGAAGCACTTTTCTCCCAGCCCAGCTATGATAACCAGATTTGAACCATCCTGGAGAGAAAACTACATAAGGCAATGGAATAGAGAGGTGTAGCGAGGAACACCTCTATGTTCACTTTTCTGTAAGACAGACCCCACACACTGCACCAGAACAGGGCAGCTAAACTAGGATGCTAAAGCTAAGACCTGCCACTTCCACATCTGTCATTGGAATAAACCTACCTGTGGAAATCATCTCTCCTTTCTCTGGGTACTACAACCAACTTCACCATGACACATGATGACCAGCAAGAGATCCTTTTCAGTGGTGGCTCCCTGCCTTTGTCATGCTCCAGGGCAGCCTGCCTAGCTCCCACATCAAAATATTTTAGGCTCCATGCAATACTACCTTGCCTTCTCTGGCTTTAGAAATGGTTATTTGCTGAATGCTTACAGTGTGGTCCTAAAAGTCCAGCTGAGTTAACTGAAGCTTACTCCCAGGTAAGTGGGTATAAGAATTGCAATTTGTACACTTCCGTTTCTTGAACTGCTGCAACTGTGGTTTAATGGTTTTTATTTTGTATGGTGTAAATATTGTATTTTTATCTTTTATCTGAATTAGATTTCTGGCCCATAATACAAAATGGCTGCTGATGGTGTGGGACAGAAATATTTAAATAAATAAATACTTATAATTTGAGTCTCAGTTTTGGGGAGCATAGCCACGGTGCTCCCTGGGAAAGAATTTGCCTATATGAAGCACATAACACTGGTTCTCTCTCAGCTGTGTTGGCTGCCATTATACTTCCCAGCATTTTTCAAGATGCATATCTTGATATCATAAATTGGTTAGGGCCGTGTATTACAGGGAACACCAGCTCGCATTCAAGCCTACTCCTCTGGAGATGAGGTTTTGGGGAGAGCTGCAGTTTCATGTTCCATCATTTAGAGATGTTCATTGTAAAGAAACAGAGCAGGGCCTCCTTTGTGGTGGTGCTACAGAACTGAGACGTGACCTCTCAGGAGAGGCTTGACAAAAGCACGCTTGACAAATATCATCATCAGCATTTATTTATTTATTTATTTATTTATACCCCACCCATCTAGGTGGGTTTCCCCAGCCACTCTGGGCAGCTCCCAACAGAATATTAAAAACACAATAAAACATCAAACATTAAAAACTTCCCTAAGCAGGGTTGCCTTAAGGTGTCTTCTAAAAGTCAGATAGTTGTTTGTTTCCTTGACATCTGATAGGAGGACAGATGCCACTGCTGAGAAGGCCCTCTGCCTGGTTCCCTGTAACCCCACTTATCGCAGGGAGGGAACCACCAGAAGGCCCTCAGCGCTGGACATCAGAGTCTGGGCTGAATGATGGGGGTGGAGATGCTCCTTCAGGTATACTGGGCCAAGGCCGTTTAGGGCTTTAAAGGTCAGCACCAACACTTTGAAGTGTGCTCAGAAATGTACTGGAGCCAATGTAGGTCTTTCAGGACTGGTGTTATATGGTCTCGGTAGCCATCCCCAGTCACCAGTGCAGCTGCCGCATTCTGGATTAGTTGTAGTTTCCAGGTCACCTTCAAAGGTAGCCCCACGTAGAGCGCATTGCAGTAGCCCAAGCGGGACAGTCTCCCAGACCTTGAGGGATGGCATAGTGGAGATACAGGACTGCAGCTCTTACTGCATTTGGGGGCAGGCCAGGCAGGACTTAAAGTGAGTAACTTAAAGTGAGTAACTTAAAGGCCACCTAATGAGTTCATGGGCAAGGTGAGATTTGATCTGCAGATTCCTAGTGCATGTTTTCCACCATGACTTCTACGCCAACTTCCTTGTACTGAGAGTTTCCTTTTACTGCAGAAGGGAAGAGGGAAGTCACATCCATGCCATGCATTTAAAGCACACTTAACTTGTGTGGCTTCCGGTGAAGAATCATGGGAACTGCAGCCTCCTGCTCACATATCTAGTTCCCAGCACCCTTTAAGCTGCCCAAGGAGATGCTCTCCTAACTCTCCTCTCTCCCTCCAGCTCCCCCACGCCTAACACTCGGCCCCACAGGAGTGCCGCTGGGAAAACCAAGCACTTTGACATGTACAGCATCCGACTTTTACCCTGACGGTGTTTCTGTGAAGTGGCTGCGAGGCAGTGAGACTCTGAAAGTCGACTCGCCCCCTGCCAAGCGTGGGCCCAATTACCTCTTCTATGCACAAAGTGTCCTGGAGTTCACACCACAAATCTCTGACGCTGGAGTTACCTTCTCATGCCAGATCCATCACCGAGCGGTAAAAGACCCAATCAGTCAAGATATTGAGCTGAAGGTGGTAGGTAAGTGGGAGCCTTTCCTGTGCAACCTGGAGTCCTGAAATGCCCATGCTAAGCACAGTTCCCCCTTAGTGAGACCCAGTTCTGACTCGCACTCTCTACCCTGTTCTGCCTCTGCGTATTTTTCTCCTCAAAACTCTGTATCCCTTTGCTATCTGCTGAGGTAGGTGAAGGCCCACCCAGTCGAATTTGGGTCCACACTAGGACCCCTCACGATTGCGAAGGCACCGCCTTCTTGCAAATCAGCTGGAAGTCGCATTAAAATGGTGGTTTCACACGCTACTTAACATGGTGCTATATTTAGCAAAAAAGGCTTAATGTTCCCCATGTTCGGAGATGGGGAGCCTGTGACCCTCCAGATGTGGATGGGCTCCTGCTCCCATCAGACTTGGTCAGAGAAGCCAATGGTCAGAATGGTGGGAGTTGTAGTCAAAGGACATTGGAGAGCCACACTTTCCCCGTCCTTGCCTCACAGGACCTGTAGTGAGGTCCGTCTGGCGCCTCCATTGACCTCGTTCCCCCCAGGCTGTGATGAACTAGAATGGCATTTTTACTCCCTTTAAAGGGAGCGCATAGGTCTGACTAAAAATACAGTCGTACCTTGGAAGTTGAACCGAATCCATTTCAGAAGTCTGTTCGACTTCCAAAATTTTTGGAAACAAAAGAGCAGCTTCTGATTGGCTGCAGGAAGAGATTGAACCTGAGACCTTCTGCATGCAAGGCAAATATTCTGGTGCTGAGCTGCTCTTGTGTAATGCATTTCATACAACTGTGGCCTTTAGAGACTGTTAGGTGGGTTGCCTTTATAATCAGCAATGTCTCCCTCTAGTGGCCTTCACCAGACTTGCAGGACCTCAAATCTCTCTCTTCTCCTTGCAGCTCGCCCAGAACTTCATATGCTCACCAGGCCACCAGGGAAGACGTTCTTGGTAGCGGAGTGCCTAGTGTGTGGGTTTTACCCACAAAATGTTACAGTGCAGTGGCTGCAAAATGGGGAGCCGATACAAGCGGGAATATACGAGTCTGAATTTGAACAAAATCCTAATGGGACGTTCTCAACCGGAAGCGTCTTCTTCCCACAGCAGGGCCATTTTGCAGCCAGTTATACCTGCCAGGTACAACATGAAGCACTGGAGGCACCACTGGAGGAGAGGATCCCCTGGGAGCCAGAAGGTGAGGGTGATGGAATTACCCACCCCTCATCCCCAGAATGTAGTACCAAATCACATTGGCCAAAACTTAAACGCGCATCTCCAATTGACTCTCCTCCAGCTCTAGGATACTTTGGATCACCGATGACTTGGCTTCTAGGATCTCTGGGACACCTTGTGGGACTTGGCATGGGAATTGGAGCGACGTTGATGTACCAAAGACGCAGAGGTGAGTTGGGGCTGCTGGGAGTGGTGGCAGAAAGAGCAGCAGAGTCCGTGGGGAGACAAGGCTGCAGTGCTGGGGCACGGGACTGCAGATTGCAGTTTGGAGACACCTGATTATTGCGTTCCCTCTCTCCCTCTCTCTCTCCCCCTCTCTCTTAGCAGCCAAGTATAAGCAAGCTGAACCAAATGACCAAACCCTCCTGAAGAAGACGTCGAAAGTCAGGAGGGAAAATCCAGATGACGTTTTTGTTATTTAACAGTCCACGGAATGAAATTTTGGCACAGGGTTGTTCCAGGCAATGAAATATTGTTCCATTTCATTATGTATTTCCTTAAAAATGCATTTCCAGTATGATAATTGCAGGAGGCTTCGTTTTAAAGTCAAGGCGATTTAAATCATTTAAATTCAACCTTCCATTTTGAAATTATATACATATAGTAGAGCTCTGCACTCTTCAGGAATTCAAAGAAACCAAGGAATATTGAGGCTTTTAAGATGGATATTATAATTTGTTAGTTTCAGGGCTGTGCCTCTGCCAACTCAGGGCCCCAAATGAGCCCAAAGAATGCCTGATCCAGCCTGATCTTCATACTGATGACCAGTTGTGTTGTGACATACAAAAGAGTGCCTAGCTTGAGGGTTGGGCTACTGTTTAATTAGGGTTAATAAACCCTTCATGTCAGGAAGGAGGTTGGAGAACAAGAAGCAGCATCTCCTTGCCTCCCTGCTCTGACTGGAGCATCGAGAGCAAGAGGGTTCAATCCTGCCTGGTGCTGCTTTACCAACACATCTTCCAGTCTGCCTCTCCTCTTTCCCCATCATTTCCCTCCCCGTTCCAGTTTGTGTGTAATAGGATTTCTTTTCTCCTTTAGTTTTTCACCTTATACGCTGCATTATCTGTATGGCTATATTTTAGCTTCACCTGTTCCAAGTTATGTTTCTTGTTTTCTTGTGTTCTGAATTCTGTATGGAAAAACAGATTTCAATAAAGTGTTTAAAAAATAAATAAATCCCAAATTTGTAGTAATGCAGATGTAGGAGAAAATAATTGACAGCACAATTGGGCAAAAGATTCTTGCAATGCAGTGTGTTCTCGGGGTCCTTTCCAACACTTCAATTCCACAATTCTATGAAATCATCTGTCCTTGAAACAGCATTAAATTATGCCCAGGGGCTCAATGCTGCTTTGGGGAACAGCGCACTATCCCAATGCCCACATGCACCACAATTTGTGGGTGCCCGGCCTCTTCAAGGTGAATTTGGGGGTGCTCGGGCACCCAGGGGCCCAGGGAGTTGGCACTTATGGGCTCCCAAATAAGCTTTGGGCCGCTACAAATCATTCTAAACAGAGAAGGAGATCTGTGACTGCCAGCTGCTTATGGCAAACTCTGCCTCTAGTTTGTGACCTGCTCTGCCTCTGCCCTGCCATTTTGTGACGGTTAGGCCTCAATAATCCTCAAGGCTGGAAGCAGAAAGTTTTGAGAGCACGGCGCTTGATCAGCCATCGAAAAACTAAGGTGACGTTATCCCCTCGGCAACCACTTTTTAAAAGCAGGTGTAAACACATTCTATTTTAAATTATATAACAACATTCATATATACCACTCGGTTTTAAGAAAACCTCTAAACGGCTCACAAAAATATCAAACAGAACATCATGAAGAATATTATTTTAAAATATGCAAGGGAGACTTTGGAATCACCAGTATAAACTGCAGTGGAACCTTGGTTTTCAAACTTCTCCATTGACAAACGTTTCGGAACTCGAATGCTGGAAGTAACTGCTTCAGTTTTTGAACACTTTTCGGAAGTCAAACATACCACATGGCTTCCATTTTGAGTTTCCCTATTGTATTGATGCTTCCGTATTGAGTTTTCGGTTTTTGAATATTTTGGAACTCAAAGGGTCTTCCAGAACGGATTGTGTTCGAAAACCGAGGTACCACTGTAAAAAGAAATGAAACACGCCCAACTTCTACACGCCCGTCTGGGCTGGCTTGCTTAAAAGCAGAATGTTTTGATCTGGCACCCGGGAGTCACAGTTCAACTGAACTTTTGTCTCTCAGGTGCATATTGCTCTCGCATCCTTTCTGGAGAAACGAAAGCAAGCAAGGTGGCCCCAAAATGCCCAGCTTCTCGTGTTTGCTGCTCTTCTTGCAGGGTGCATGTAAGTCACATCCCCTCATCCGGAGGACCCTTGCCAGTTGGGGGCGCTCCTGGGGGCCAGGGCAATGGAGGAGGAGGGAGGGAGGGAGAGGCGGCTTCGCAAAGACCAGCAGGAGCCGGGAAGCGGGCGGCCAGGCGGCCTGGTCCTAGAAGGACGAGGAAAGGTTTCCTGTCTGAAACCCTGGAGAGCCTCTGCCAGTCAGTGTAGAGAGTACTGGCCTAGGTGGACCGATGGTCTGATTCAGTATAAGGCACTTCCTGTGTTCTTAAGCAACTTCTTTTTCCTTCAACGGCAGGGTGGGGAGGGGCGCAAGACTCCCCTCTTGGCCTTACTGTTGAGGTCCAAAGCAGACCAGAGCAATACATTTGGTACCAGCTTGGCTCAGGAGTTGCCAGAAGGAGGCGTACAAGGCACCATCCAACTGTCTAAGGGACTCCACTCCAGATTTGTGTAGGGTTTACTCCTTAGCCTTTGCTGAAGATGTCCCTCAAGGGAGTTTTTTCCTTCTCCTAGATGGGCCACCTTCCCAGATTGACGAGCCCCATCTGCCCCTCACTTCCCGCTATAGCTGGAACTTGTCTTCACACGCAGGGGAAATCTCTTAACTCACTGAGGGTTTGAGACACGTTAGCTATCCTCACCTCATTTAGCTGGCCAGTCGAAGCCTTTCCTGGGGTGTGGCCGCTATCGCCTGCTGACAGCTTCTTGGCTCTTTTTATGTGAATTACCCTGGGACCTCTGGGTATAGGGCGGTATAATAATAATAATAATAATAATAATAATAGCCACAGGTGAGAGCTGAGTGACGACTGAGGACCAAAGTTGGACAAGCCACCCCAGAAAGAGCTTGACGTGTCCCACACCAGAGGTACTCCCCCTCCCCTAGCGCCCACAGTGGATGGTTACTTTTTTTGAGCAGTCAAAGGCGCATCCCACATTCAGATTTATAGTAGTCCTCAGACTCCTCTAACCAGCCTGGTTTTGTTTTGTTTTTTAACCAAAGGGCTTCAGGAATCCCATTTTTGCATAACTACGGTCTGCAGGAATCTTAAAAGTTAAAACTGGTTTATGATGGCTTTAGCCTGTGATGGAGGTCCAGTCTAATTACAGTCTAACTGTATCTCTTTGTCCTTTTCAGGGGCAGCCGTGATAATCCAAGTCCCTTCATCCCCCGTCCAGGCAGGGCCACACTCTAATGTATTCCTGCCTTGCCACTTCTCCTTAGACCCTCCCAGGCCCATAAACGTTTCTGCCCTGATTGTGAAATGGTCGCTGAGAGGAAGAACCATTATAATGTGGCATGGGAGCATTTCAATCTTTAGACCGAGGGGAGCAGTGCTTAATTCGCAGTCGCTGCAAGAGGGCAATGCCAGCCTCTGTCTCACAGATGTAAGAGGCGAGGATGCCGGGGAGTATACCTGTTCTGTTAGCCATACTCCTGACGTTGCTGAAGGGAAGGTGGCATTGAAAATAGAAGGTAAGGGAGGCAAGGCGGCGGGCGGAAAACCTTTTTTAAAGCACTAAACATATTTCACATTAAAGTCCTTGATGTAAAATACCATTTTAAAGCACATCCTATGAAGCGCTTCATGTTAACTCCGGGCCAAACAGACCTGACAGAGCCCTATTTTGATGATGATGATGATGATGATCACCACCACCACCACCACCACCACCATCATCATTTATACCTTGCCCATCTAGGTGGGTTTTCCCAGCCACTCTAGGCAGCTTTCAACAGAATAATAATAAGTATAATGATAATGATAATGCGATCAAACATTAAAAATTTCCTTAAATAGGGCTGCCTTCAGATGTCTTCTAAACGTCAGATAGTTGCCTATTTCCTTGACATCTGATGGGAGGGTGCTCCACAGGGCGCCACTACCGAGAAGGCTCTCTGTCTTGTTCCCTGTAACCTCACTTCTCGCAGGGAGGGAACCGCCAGAAGGCCCTCAGCGCTGGACCTCAGAGTCCAAACTGAACAATGGGGGTGGAGACGCTCCTTCAGGTACACTGGGCCAAGGCCATTTAGGGCTTTAAAGGTCAGCACCAACACTTTGAATTGTGCTCAGAAACATACTGGGAGCCAATGTAGGTCTTTCAAGACCTGTGTTATGTGGTCTCAGCGGCAGCTCCCAGTCACAGGTCTGGCTGCTGCATTCTGGATTAGTTGTAGTTTCCAGGTCACCTTCAAAGGTAGCCCCACGTAGAGCGCATTGCAGTAGCCCAAGCGGGACAGATTCCCAGACCTTGAGGGATGGCATAGTGGAGATACAGGACTGCAGCTCATTCTGCATTTGGGGGCAGGCCAGGCAGGACTTGGGGCTAAGAGGATAGTGAGTAACGTAAAGGCCACCTAATGAGCTCATGGGCAAGGTGAGATTTGAACTGCAAATTCCCAGTGCATGTTTTCCACCATTACTTCTACTCCAACTTCCTCGTACTGAGAGTTTCCTTTTACTGCGGAAGGGAAGAGGGAAGTCATATCCATGCCATACATTCAAACCACATTTAACTCGTGTGAAGAATCCTGGGAACTGCAGCTTGCTGCTCACGGAGCTACAGTTCCTAGCACCCTTTAAGCTGTCTAAGGAGATGCTCTCCTAACTCTCCTCTCTCCCTCCAGCTCCCCCACGCCTAACACTCGGCCCCACAGAAGTGCCGCTGGGAAAACCAATCAATTTGACGTGTGCAGCATCCGACTTTTACCCTGGCCGTGTCTCTGTGAAGTGGCTGCGAGGCAGTGAGACTCTGAAAGTTGACTCGCCCCCTGCCAAGCTTGAGGCCAATTACCACTTCTATGCAGAGAGTGTTCTGAACTTTATACCACAAATCTCCGATGATGGTGTTACCTTCTCATGCCACATCCAACACCAGGCAGCGAAAGACCCAATCCGTAAAGATATTGAGCTGAAGGTGCAAGGTAAGTGGGAGCCTTTCCTGTGCGACCCTGGAGTCCTGGGCCCTCCTCGCCCATGCTAACTCCCAGGGCTTTTTTTGATCCGGAACTCAGTTCCAGCACCTCTCAGGTGGGTGCCATGGCCATTGTTAAGAGAAATAGGGAGCTGTTCATGAGTTCTGGCACCACATTTTCTAGAAAAAAGGCATTAGGAACCACTTCCCCTTCTTAATGAGACCCAGTTCTGGCTCTCTAGCCTGTTCTGCCTCTGTGTATTTTTCTCCTCAAAACTCTATAGCTTTTTGCTCAAACCAGGTTGTGTCTCCTCCATGATATAGAAACACTCAAGAATTTCTTTGCTGAAGTGGATGAAGCCCCACCCAGTCGAGTTTGCTTCCATACTAGTGTCCTTCAGCATTGCCAAAGCACATCTAGGCCATACATTTAAAGCACATTTAGCAGACACTTGGTCCCACAAAGGTGCAGCTGGCCAAACCAAGCACCATGATAAAAGTAGACTTGAAATTGCATAGTTTTGCCCTTGGCAACATGTTTTTCCCCAGCAACAGGTTTTCCCTAGCAACAGGTTACCTTGGCAACACACTTCTTTATTAGACAGGCTATGAATGAGAGCAGGCTGGCTGTCGCTCTGCCCAGATGCCTGAGGAGCACAGAGAAGGAATGATTCACTGTACTTAGTTTTACTTTATTTTCCTCAGGGCAGCAGTTGTATAAGTTGTCATGTTAATTCTTCAATAAATACTTTAAGCAGAACTGGAATGGGTGAGGTGTTTATTCCCACATGGGAATTCACCAACAGATGAGCTGAACTGAGAAAGAAGATTCAGGAAGAATTTCTGGGCGACTCCGCTGAATGAAAACGGAACCCCAAACGACTGGCATAGTGCACTGATGTGCCATACATTTAAAGCACATTTAACGGATATTGCTTCCTCTGAAGAGTCCTGGGAACTGTAGCTTGCTGCTCACAGAGCTACAGTTCCCAGCACCCTTTAACAAAACACAGTTAAGCTGCCAATGGAGATGCTCTCCTAACTCTCCTCTCTGCCTCCAGCTCTCCCACGCCTAACACTCGGCCTCACAGACGTAGAGCTCGGCGAACCAAGCAACTTCTTGTGCGTGGCATCTGACTTTTACCCTGGCAATGTCTCTGTAAAGTGGCTGCGAGGCAGTGAGACTCTGAAAGTTGACTCGCCCCCTGTCCAGGAAGGGCCCGATGGTCTCTTCTATGCAGAGAGTGTCCTGGAGTTCACACCACAAATCTCTGATGCTGGCGTTACCTTCTCATGCCACATCCATCACCAAGCGAGAAAAGACCCAGTCAGTCAAGATTTTGAGCTGAAGGTGGTAGGTAAGTGGGAGCCTTTCCTGTGCGACCTGGAGTCCTGAAATGCCCATGCTAAGCAGTTCTGACTCGCACTCTCTACCCTGTTCTCCCTCTGCTTATTTTCCTCCTCAAAACACTGTATCCCTTTGCTCTAAACAGTAGTGTCTGCTCCATGATAAAGAATCCTGCAAGAACTTACCTGCTGAGGTGGATGAAAGCCCACCCAGTTGAATTTGCTTCCACACTAAGGCCCCTCATGATTGCTAAGGCACCACTTTCCTGCAAATCAGCTGGAAGTCACATTAAAATGGTGGCTTCACACACCACTTAACATAGCCTATAATTAGCAAAAAGGCTTTACGTTCCCCATGTTTGGAGATGGGAAGCCTGTGACCTTCCAGATGTGGATGGGCTCCTGCTCCCGTCAGACTTGGACAGAGAAGCCAATGGTCAGAATGGTGGGAGCTGTAGTCAAAGCACATTGGACAGCCACACTTTCCCCGTCCTTCCCTCACAGGACCTGTAGTGAGGTCCGTCTGGCGCCTCCATTGACCTCTTTCCCCCCAGGCTGTGATGGACTAGAATGGCATTTTTACTCCCTTTAAATGGAGCGCATAGGTCTGACTGAAAATACAGTCGTACCTTTGAAGTCGAACGGAATCCGTTCTGGAAGTGCATTTGACTTCCAAAACATTCGGAAAACAAAGCACAGCTTCTGATTTACTACAGGCTCTAGTCCTGTATTGTTCCTACAGTTAAGGGGCAGAGTCCGTAACAGCATACATACTCCAATTCCTTCTTCACCCCATTCTTCTCTTTGGGTCAAAATGAAGAAGCGTCTCCACCCCCATCGTTCTGCCCAGACACTGAGGTCCAGCTCCGAGGGCCTTCTGGGGGTTCCCTCCCTGCAAGAAGTGAGGTTACAGGGAACCAGGCAGAGGGCCTTCTCGGTAGTGGCACCCGCCCTGAGGAGTGCCCTTCCATCAGATGCCAAGGAAATAAACAACTATCTGACTTTCAGTAGACATCTGAAGGCAGCCCTGCTTAGGGAAGTTTTTAATGTTTGATGTTTTATCCTGTTTTTAATATTCTGTTGGGAGCTGCCCAGAGTAGCTGGGGAAACCCAGCCAGATGGGTGGGGTATAAATAAATGATGATGATGGTGGTGATGATGATGATGTCAGGAGTGCAACTCTTAATTTGACTTGGGGGAAATGATGGCATGGGAGGGGAATATCAGACTTCTTAAGGCAAACTGCAGCTATTCAATAGTGACTTTTGTTGGTCTCAGGATACAGTTGGACTTGGACCGGTGTCCATCTAGCGCAGTATTGTCCATCCTGCCTGGCAGCAACTGTCTGGCTTTCAGGAGGCAGCTTTTCTCAGCCTTGCCTGGAGACACCAGAGATTGAACCTGAGACCTTCTGCATGCAAGGCAGATGCTCGGAGGCTGAGCTGCTCTTTGTTGGCTATTGCAGTATAGTAGCACAGAGAGCTTTGCTGGGGAGACCATGCATTAAAAAGGGACTCAAAAATAACTTAAACAAGGGTTTAATTACAAAAACAAAAACTCCTTTTACACTAAATACATTAACAAACAAACATGACCCAACCACCAACCCATCCCCCAGGGTAATGGGAGAGCTAGGTGCTGCTCCTTATATACTACACCCAATTACCAACACAGCTTAATCAATACAACTCAGCAGCACCTGCTATGTTTCACAGCTGTAAAGCTGGGTCTCGTTATTTTGCTCTGGCCCTTTCTCTGGCCCCTTAAAGACATACACATCGGGTGGAACAGTGATGAACCTTTACATTTAAAGAAACCATTCAACACTCTTGTGTAATGCATTCACACAACTGTGGACTGTTCAGAGACTGTTAGGTGGGTTGCCTTTATAATCTGCAGTGTCTCCCTCTATTGGCCATCACCAGACTTGCAGGACCTCAACATCTCTTTCCTCTCTTTACAGCTCGCCCAGAACTTCATATGCTCACCAGGCCACCAGGGAAGACGTTCTTGGTAGCGGAGTGCCTAGTGTGTGGGTTTTACCCACAAAACGTTACAGTGCAGTGGCTGCAAAATGGGGAGCCGATCCAAGGGAAAATATACGAGTCGGAACTTGTACAGAATCCTAATGGGACGTTCTCAACCGGAAGCGTCTTCTTCCCAAAGCAGGGCCATTTTGCAGCCAGTTATACCTGCCAGGTACAACATGAAGCACTGGAGGCACCACTGGAGGAGACAATCCCCTGGGAGCCAGAAGGTGAGGGTGTCAGGGAACTGCCATCGGCTCAGGGGGGAGAGGGGAAAAGCCGATGGATTACAGAGAGCCCCCAAAGATTGTGGGAAGCAGCTCCTCCTCAGAGGAGGAGAGTAAACAGGCCTCCAGTGGAGAGGAGCTTCAGGGCTCAGAGGAGGCGAGGCGGTGCCAGGCGCACCGAGAGGGGAGGCGCAACTGGGCATCAAGAAACTACTTTGCTGGGGAAGGTTTAAGGACCCCCCACTCATGGATTCTGCCAGCCATGGGAGAGTGGCGCTCTGGACAGATAAAGTTTATTTTGGCATCAAAAGCAAGGCTTCACAGCCGAGGAAGGAGGGATTTGCCTGCTTGCTCTCGAGCAACCGCTTGGAACCTTAACAGAGGGTGATGGAATTACCCACCCCTCATCCCCAGAATGTAGTACCAAATAACATCGGCCAAAACTTAAACCTGCATCTCCAACTGACTCTCCTCCAGCTCTAGGATACTTTGGATCACCGATGACTTGGCTTCTAGGATCTCTGGGACATGTTGTGGGACTTGGCATGGGAATTGGAGCGACATTGATGTACCGAAGACGCAGAGGTGAGTTGGGGCTGTTGGGAGTGGTGGCAGAAAGGGCAGCAGAGTCCGTGGGGAGACAAGGCTGCAGTGCTGGGGCACGGGACTGCAGATTGCAGTTTGGAGACACCTGATTATTGCGTTCTCTCTCTCTCTCTCTCTCTCTCTCTCTCTCTCATCAGCCCCGTAAGCGCAAGCTGCGCTGAATGACGAAACCCTCCTGAAGAAGATGTCGAAAGTCAGGAGGGAAAAGCCAGATGAAGTCTTTGGTATCTAACAGTCCACGGAATGACATTTTGGCACAGGGTTGTTCCAGGCAATGCAATATTGTTCCATTTCACTATGTATTTCCTAGAAAATCTATTTCAAGTATGATAATTGCAGGAGGCTTCATTTTAAAGTCAAGGTGATTTAAATCATTTAAAATCAACCTTCCATTCTGAAATTATATACATATAGTAGAGCTCTGCACTCTTCGGGTATTCTAAGAAACCAAGGGATATTGAGGCTTTTAAGATGGATATTATAATTTGTTAGTTTCAGGGCTGTGCCTCTCCCAACTCAGGGCCCCAAACGAGCCCAAGGAACACCTGATCCAGCCTGATCTTCATACTGATGACCAGTTGTGTTGTGACATACAAAAGAGTGCCTAGCATCGAGAGCAAGAGGGTTCAATCCTGCCTGGTGCTGCTTTACCAACACATCTTCCAGTCTGCCTCTCCTCTTTCCCCATCATTTCCCTCCCTGTCCCAGTTTGTGTGTAATATGATTTCTTTTCTCCTTTAGTTTTTCACCTTATACGCTGCATTATCTGTATGGCTATATTTTAGCTTCACCTGTTCCAAGTTATGTTTCTTGTTTTCTTGTGCTCTGAATTCTGTGTGGAAAAACAGATTTCAATAAAGTGTTTAAAAAATAAATAAATCCCAAATTTGTAGTAATTCAGATGTAGGAGAAAATAATTGACAGCACCAGTGCCTGATGTTGGGCAAAAGATTCTTGCAATGCAGTGTGTTGGACTAGACGGCTCTCGGAGTCCTTTCCATCTCTTCAATTCCACTATTATATGAAATCATCCTGAAGGAAGGTGAGGACAGGAACTTATCTTTTGGCTGCAATCTGACTGCATGCCTGACACGCTTGGTGTGGGCTTCAGAAGTGGAATGTAGTGTCTTTGCTCACAGGCGTGCGTCAGGCAGGCTTATGGAAGGCAAGCTGATCATATCCTCCCACAGGGATGGTATGAGGTGTGCTAATTCCTACCATGTGGATTTCTGAGCAGGTAGCTACTACACCCCGTCAAAGGAGACATTCAGCTGACCTAGCAACAGTTGCAGGAGGCAGCTCCCAGCTCCCAAACTTGGGGCAAGCATCAGTAGCCTCAAGAAAGGATAGTGGCCCATTTGGGACGAGGCTTGGCGGCTGTCCAAAAATCAGGAGGAGGGAATGAAGGAAGGTGAGGACAGGTGACCCCACCTAGGCCTGAAGTCACCCCCCCTCAATAATCACCCCAGGCCTCAAAACTGTAAAAATCCACAGCTTTTCTGTGGATTCTCACAAGATGCTGTTCCAAAGGCAAAATGTTATTCTTTTATCAGCACGAGAAGGCTTCAAAAAGCTAATGAATGGGCTCTGTTCAAAGCAGGCTTGAGAACTGAATCTTATCTCACTCTAGTTGCAACATCTTTGGACACGCTGAACGCAAGACTCGGCCACCACCCCCCATGGCTTCTCACCCCCCTTTTCCAAAGACAGCAGCTTTCTGTTCATGCTCAGAGGAACTCATGGGCAGGACTCTGGAGGAAGGAGGAGAAAGGGGAGGGAACTAGAAGGGGAATATATACTCTGTGCAAATGCATGTGAACCCGTGCATGTTTTTGTGACTTATCACACTTGCTCCTTCTACCAGTTCATGGATGGTAGAAATAAAGCTTTTCTCTGAAACTATTCCTTGAGTGTCTTTTGACTCCCACTTCCCTTTCCCGGGTGCAATATTTTTCCCAACCGAGGGCAAAGCCTCATAAGGCTACAATCTGTCCTTGAAACACCATTAAATTATGCTCAGGATCTCAATGCTGCTTTGGGGAACAGCACACTGTCCCAATGCCCACATGCACTGAAATTTATGGGTGCCTGGCCCCTTCATGGGGAATTTGTGGGTGCTTGGCCCCTTCATGGGGAATTTGTGGGTGCCTGGCCCCTTCATGGGGAATTTGTGGGTGCTGGGGCACCCAGGGCCCCAGGGAGTTGGCACTTATGGGCTCCCAAATAAGCTTTGGGCCGCTACAAATCATTCTTAACAGAGAAGGAGATCTGTGACTGCCAGTTACTTGTGCCAAACTCTGCCTCTAGTTTGTGACCTGCTCTGCCTCTGCCCTGCCATTTTGTGACTGTTAGGCCTCAATAATCCTCAAGGCCGGAAGCAAAAAGTTTGGAGAACAAGGCGCTTGATGGGCTACCTAAAAACTAAGGTGACGTTCTCCCCTCAGCAACCCCTGTTTAAAAGCAGGTGTATACACATTCTATCTTAAATTATTTAACAACATTCATATATACCACTCGGTGTTAAGAAAACCTCTAAGCAGCTCACAAAAATATCAAACAGAACATCATGAAGAACATCATTTTTAATATGCAAGGGAGACTTTAGAATCACCAGTATAAACTGCAGTGGAACCTTGGTTTTCAAACTTCTCCATTGACAAACGTTTCGGAACTTGCATGCTGGAAGTAACTGCTTCAGTTTTTGAACACTTTTCGGAAGTCAAACATACCACATGGCTTCTGTTTTGAGTTTCCCTATTGTATTGATGCTTCCGTATTGAGTTTTCGGTTTTTCAATATTTTGGAACTCAAACAGTCTTCCGGAACGGATTGCATTCGAAAACCGAGGTACCACTGTAAAAAGAAACGAAACAAGCCCAACTTCTACACGCCCGTCTGGGCTGGCTTGCTTAAAAGCAGAATGTTTTGATCTGACACCCGGGAGTCACAGTTCAACTGAACTTTTGTCTCTCAGGTGCATATTGCTCTCGCATCCTTTCTGGAGAATACAAAGTAAGCAAGGCGGCCCCAAAATGCCCAGCTTCTCGTGTTTGCTGCTCTTCTTGCAGGGTGCATGTAAGTCACATCCCCTCACCCAGAGGACCCTTGCCAGTTGGGGGCGCTCCTGGGGGCCAGGGCAATGGAGGAGGAGGGAGGGAGAGGCGGCTTCGCAAAGACCAGCAGGAGCCGGGAAGCGGGCGGCCAGGTGGCCTGGTCCTATAAGGACGAGGAAAGGTTTCCTGTCTGAAACCCTGGAGAACCTCTGCCAGTCAGTGTAGAGAGTACTGGCCTAGGTGGACCGATGGTCTGATTCAGTATAAGGCACTTCCTGTGTTCTTAAGCAACTTCTTTTTCCTTCAACGGCAGGGTGGGGAGGGGCGCAAGACTCCCCTCTTGGCCTTACTGTTGAGGTCCAAAGCAGACCAGAGCAATATATTTGGTACCAGCTTGGCTCAGGAGTTGTCGGAAGTAGGCGTACAAGGCACCAGCCAACTGTCTAAGGGACTCCACTCCAGATTTGTGTAGGCTTTGCTCCTTAGCCTTTGCTGAAGATGTCCCACAACGGAGTTGAGGTTTAGGGTCAGAGTTTTTTCCTTCTTGTAGATGGGCCACCTTCCCAGACTGACGAGCCCCATCTGCCCCTCACTTCCCGCTATAGCTGGAACTTGTCTTCACACGCAGGGGAAATCTCTTAACTCACTGAGGGTTTGAGACACGTTAGCTATCCTCACCTCATTTAGCTGGCCGGTCGAAGCCTTTCCTGGGGTGTGGCCGCTATCGCCTGCTGACAGCTTCTTGGCTCTTTTTATGTGAATTGCCCTGAGACCTCTGGGTATAGGCCGGAATAATAATAGTAATAATAATAATAATAGCCACAGGTGAGAGCTGAGTGACGACTGAGGACCAAAGTTGGACAAGCCACCCCAGAAAGAGCTTGACGTGTCCCACACCAGAGGTACTCCCCCTCCTCTAGCGCCCACAGTGGATGGTTACTTTTTTTGAGCAGTCAAAGGCGCATCCCACATTCAGATTTATAGTAGTCCTCAGACTCCTCTAACCAGCCTGGTTTTGTTTTGTTTTTTAACCAAAGGGCTTCAGGAATCCCATTTTTGCATAACTACGGTCTGCAGGAATCTTAAAAGTTAAAAGTGGTTTATGATGGCTTTAGCCTGTGATGGAGGTCCAGTCTAATTACAGTCTAACAGTATTTCTTGTCCTTTTCAGGGGCAGCCGTGATAATCCAAGTCCCTTCATCCCCAGTCCAGGCAGGGCCACGCTCTAATGCATACCTGCCTTGCCATTACACTTTTGACCCTCCCAAGACCATAAATGCTTCTGCCCTGATTGTGAGATGGTCGCTGAGAGGAAGAACCATTGTAAAGTTGCATGGCAGTATTTCAACCTATAGACCGAGGGGAGCAGTGCTTAATTGGGGCACAGTGCGAGAGGGCAATGCCAGTGTCTTCATCACAGATGTAAGAGGCGATGATGTCGGGGTGTATACGTGTTGTGTTAGCCATACTCCTGACGTTGCTAAAGGGAATGTGACATTGAAATTAGAAGGTAAGGGATGAAAGGCGGTGGGCAGAAAACCTTTTTTAAAGCACTAAACATATTTCGCATGAAAGTCCTTGATGTAAAATACAGTGGTACCTCGGTTTACAGTCGCTTCAGGTTACAGACTCCGCTAAGGCAGAAATAGTATCTCGGGTTAAGAACTTTGCTTCAGGATAAGAACAGAAATTGTGCAGAAGCAGCGGGAGGCCCCATTAGTGGTGCTTCAGGTTAAGATCAGTTTCAGGTTAAGAACAGACCTCCAGAATGAATTAAGTTCTTAACCAAAGGTACCACTGTACCATTTTAAAGCACATCCTATGAAGCGCTTCATGTTAACTCTGGGCCAAACAAACCTGACAGGGCCCTATTTTAATGATGCTGCTGCTGCTGATAATTTATACCCTGCCCATCTGGCTGGGTTTCCCCAGCCACTCTGGGTGGCTTCCAACAGAATAATAATAATAATAATAATAATAATAATAATGTGATAAAACATCAAACATTGAAAACTTCCCTTAATAGGGCTGCCTTCAGATGTCTTCTAAAAGTCAGATTGTTGTTTATTTATACATTTAAAGCACACTTAACTCGTGCGGCTTCCGGTGAAGAATCCTGGGAACTGCAGCTTGATGCTCACAGATCTACAGTTCCCAGCACCCTTTAAGCTGCCCAAGGAGATGCTCTCCTAACTCTCCTCTCTCCCTCCAGCTCCCCCACGCCTAACACTCGGCCCCACAGAAGTGCCGCTGGGAAAACCAATCAATTTGACGTGTGCAGCATCCGACTTTTACCCTGACCGTGTCTCTGTGAAGTGGCTGCGAGGCAGTGAGACTCTGAAAGTTGACTCGCCCCCTGCCAAGCTTGAGGCCAATTACCACTTCTATGCAGAGAGTGTCCTGAACTTCATACCACAAATCTCCGATGCTGGTGTCACCTTCTCATGCCAGATCCAACACCGAGCAGCGAAAGACCCAATCCGTCAAGATATTGAGCTGAAGGTGGTAGGTAAGTGGGAGCCTTTCCTGTGCAACCCTGGAGTCCTCCCCACCTCCCCCATGCCCATGCTAAGCACAGTTCCCCCTTTTAGTGAGACCCAGTTCTGACTCGCACTCTCTACCCTGTTCTGCCTCTGCATATTTTTCTCCTCAAAACTCTATAGCTTTTTGCTCAAACCAGGTTGTGTCTCCTCCATGATATAGAAACACTCAAGAATTTCTTTGCTGAAGTGGATGAAGCCCCACCCAGTCGAGTTTGCTTCCATACTAGTGTCCTTCAGCATTGCCAAAGCACATCTAGGCCATACATTTAAAGCACATTTAACAGATACTTGGCCCCACAAAGGTGCAGCTGGCCAAACCAAGCACCATGATAAAAATAGACTTGAAATTGCATAGTTTTGCCCCTGGCAACAAGTTTTCTCCCAGCAACAGGTTTTCCCCAGCAACAGGTTGCCTTAGCAACAGACTTCTTTATTAGACAGGCTATGAATGAGAGCAGGCTGGCTGTCGCTCTGCCCAGATGCCTGAGGAGCACAGAGAAGGAATGATTCACTGTACTTAGTTTTACTTTATTTTCCTCAGGGCAGCAGTTGTATAAGTTGTCATGTTAATTCTTCAATAAATACTTTAAGCAGAACTGGAATGGGTGAGGTGTTTATTCCCACATGGGAATTCAATAACAGATGAGCTGAACTGAGAAAGAAGATTCAGGAAGAATTTCTGGGCGACTCCGCTGAATGAAAACGGAACCCCAAACGACTGGCATAGTGCACTGATGTGCCATACATTTAAAGCACATTTAACGGATATTACTTTGTCTGAAGAGTCCTGGGAACTGTAGTTTGGTGCTCACAGAGCTACAGTTCCCAGCACCCTTTAACAAAACAGAGTTAAGCTGCCAATGGAGATGCTCTCCTAACTCTCCTCTCTGCCTCCAGCTTTCCCACGCCTAACACTCGGCCATACAGACGTAGAGCTCGGTGAACCAAGCAACTTCTTGTGCGCGGCATCTAACTTTTACCCTGGCAATGTCTCTGTAAAGTGGCTGCGAGGCAGTGAGACTCTGAAAGTTGACTTGCCCCCTGTCCAGGAAGGGCCCGATGGTCTCTTCTATGCAGAGAGTGTCCTGGAGTTCACCGCACAAATCTCTGATGCTGGCGTTACCTTCTCATGCCACATCCATCACCAAGCGAGAAAAGACCCAATCAGTCAAGATTTTGAGCTGAAGGTGCAAGGTAAGTGGGAGCCTTTCCTGTGCAACCTGGACTCCTGAAATGCCCATGCTAAGCACAGTTCCTTAGTGAGAACCATTTCTGACTCGCACTCTCTACCCTGTTCTGCGTCTGCTTTGTTATGTACTGAAGTTCTTACCCTGGGCCAGCAGGGGGATACTGTAGATAGTTATGCAAATGAAGGATCGAAAAGTGACGTTCAGTGATTGGATAGTTTGTATGCAAATGAAGGATCGAAAAGTGACGTTCAGTGATTGGATAGTTTTAGAAAATGGCAACAGTTACATTGTTCTGGAGCTCTATATAAGCAGGCTGACTGAGCTCCTCAGCTTTGTTCTGTTCCATCTTACAAATAAAGAGCTGCTTTGGAAGAATCGCTGTGTCGTCTGATATGTTCGCCCACAACTTAACACTGGCGACGAGGATGGGATCGATGGACATCAGAGCACAGCCAGATGCGGCCATCCTCTGAACTGAGCTGAATCACTGAGCTGAATCACTGAGCGAAATCACTGGACCTTTGCGCCAGCCTCTGAATCATGGGACTCCTACCTCGCTCGGTTCGACTGCTACCTCCAAGCCAACGAGCTGACAGCAGTATCAAAGGAACAGAAGCGGGGCCCATTCTTCAGCCTCTGTTGGCCTGAGGTTTTTGAGACAGCCCGAGCATTGGTTGCACCTGAAGCAGTCCAGGCAACACCATGGGACACGATCCAAGAGAAGCTCCACAACCACTACGCGCCAAAGCTGTCCAAGATTGCTGTCCGCCATGCGTTCTACCACCGGAACCAGGCAGAGGGGGAGTCAATCAACAACTACACCACTGCCCTGCGACAGGCTGCAATGCACTGCGAGTTCCGAAACTTAGACGATGCCCGGATGGATTGAATCGTCTGCGGGGTCCAGGACATCCATGTGCAACGGCGTCTCCTCGCCAAGCCAGACCTCACGCTGCAGAAAGCCATTGAGGCTGTGGCCTCAGAAGCTGCCCAGGAGATCCGCAAGTCCAGCAGCCCGTGTCTTGCTAGGAAGCCAGTTCCAGTGCATCACGAAGATGCCAGCAGTGATGAGGCATCCTCCAGTGAAGACGATGACGTGCACCAGACAAAGCGGGAGCACAGGAAGTTCCAACAGAAGTCCAAGGGCCAACCGGAATGTGCCAGCTGCGGAGGCAACCATTCCCGTGCCAAGTGTCGATTCAGAGATGCCATCTGTCAGACGTGTTCCAGAAGGGGCCACATCGCTAAGGTCTGCCGATCGGCTCCGTCTGACACCCCCCCTTCACCGACTCACAAGTCCAAGTCTTCACTCCAGTCTGTCAAGGAAAGCTGTTTCGCTCTCACCAACTGCCGCTGCCCGTCTGGAACCACGCTTGGCCAAACCAACTCGCCTACGCGACGCAAGCTGAACGTCACGGTGCTCATTGAAGGAGCTCCATGTGACATGGAGATCGACACCGGGTCTGCCCTGTCCATTGTGTCTTGGAGCACCATCAAAAGACTGGTACCCAGAGTGTCCAAAAGGCAACTCGACTCTCACCGCGTACACCTGACTACCAGGGAAACAACATTCCCATGGTAGGCGTTGGCCGGTTCCGGATCGCCTTCAAGGATTTTTCGGGCCTGCTCCGACTGGTGGTGGTCGAAGGTCAGCGGCCAAGCCTCCTAGGGCTAGACTGGTTTGATGCCCTCGGCCTGGAAGTCACCGGCATCAACTGCATCTCTAACGCAGAGACTGAGGGTCTGGTCAAAGACTTTGCCGAGGTTTTTGACGGCACTTTGGGGCAATATACAGGTACGCCCATCTCCTTTAGCCTTGATCCACAAGTCGCCCTCATCAAGCTAAAGCCACGCCGGGTTCCCTTTGCTCTCAAGGCTAAGGTGGACGAACAACTGGACAAGCTGATCGCCCAAGGAGTTTTGGAGCCGGTTGACCACGCCAAGTGGGAAACCCCCATCGTCACGCCTGTCAAGCCAGATGGGCCGGTGAGAATCTGCGCTGACTACAAGTGCACAATCAACAAGGCACTTCAGCAGCACGCTTATCTGGTTCCTGTTGTCCAACACCTGCTGCATTCCCTGGGTGAGGGTAAGGTCTTCGCTAAGCTGGACCTTGCCCAAGCCTATCAACAACTGCCCGTCGATGATGCCACTGCTGAAGCCCAGACGATCGTCACCCACCGAGGGGCATTCCGTTGCCGCCGGTTGCAATTCGGGGTGAGTGTGGCTCCTGGCATCTTCCAAAGCCTTATGGAGCGTCTCCTGCAAGGGCTTCCGGGTGTGGTACCATATTTTGATGACGTCTTGGTGTCCGCAGACTCACACCAGCAGCTGTTCGAGCGCCTCCGTGCCGTGCTGACCAGGTTCCAAGAGGCCGGGCTCAAGGTAAAGAGGGAGAAGTGCCAGATCGCTGTTCCACAGGTGGAGTTCCTGGGCTATCTTATCATCGCCTCCGGCCTTCACCCGACCACATCCAAGATCCACGCTATCCAGCAGGCCCCCATCCCAAAGAACAAGACGGAGTTGCAGGCGTTCCTGGGGCTGCTGAACTTTTATAACATGTTCCTGCCCCACAAAGCCATGGTGGCTGAGCCTCTTCACCGACTCCTCAGCACAAAGATGCCTTGGTCCTGGGGTCATCGGGAGACGGCGGCCTTCAACGCGGTCAAGGCTCTCCTTTCATCGGACAGTGTGCTGGTACAGTACAGTGAAGCCAGGCCGCTGGTCCTTGCCTGCGATGCCTCACCTTTTGGCATCGGCGCTGTCCTTAGTCACCGTTTTCCAGACGGAAGAGAAGCACCGCTCGCCTACTTTTCCAGGACGCTATCTCTGACTGAACAGAATTACAGCCAGATCGACAAGGAGGCACTGGCATATGTGGCTGGAGTGAAGAGGTTCCATGAATACCTCTATGGCAGGACTTTTGACCTCATCACTGACCACAAGCCGCTCCTGGGCCTCCTCGCTGGTGATCGTCCAACTCCACCGGTCCTCTTGCCGCACATGCTGCGATGGACTGTTTTCCTGGCTGCCTACCACTACCAGCTCGTCCATCACCCGGGGAAATCGATGGGCCATGCCGACGCCCTCAGCCGTTGCCCTCTTCCAGCGTTTGTGGAAGACCCGGCTCCAGCTTCATTGCTCCTCCTGATTGAGGATCTTCTGGCAGCGCCTGTATCGGCTGCCACTGTGGCCTCCGCATCTGCCCAGGATCGCACCATCAGCCGTGTGCTCAACTGGGTGTGGAGGGGGTGGCCACAAGGGCCTTTTGCATTGGAGTTCCAACCGTTCGCAACCAGACAACATGAACTCTCGGCTCATCGCGGCTGTCTGCTGTGGGGAGACCGCGTTGTGATTCCCCAAATACTCCGTCAACGCGTCCTGGAGGCACAGCATGTTGGCCACCCGGGAATCATCAAAATGAAGGCGTTGGCTCGGTGTTATGTCTGGTGGCCTAACATGGATGATGCCATCACTGCCTGGGTGTCCGCCTGTCAAGCGTGCCAAGAATTGAGGCCTGCACCACCGGCAGCTAAGGGGCACACCTGGGAGACGCCCAAGACACCCTGGTCGAGGGTGCACATTGATCTGGCCGGCCTCTTTCACGGCCGGACCTTTATGGTAGTGGTGGGTGCCTATTCCAAATGGCTGGAGGTGGCCCTGATGCCCTCCACCACTACTGAGGCCGTCATCCGGGTGCTGCGAGGCCTCTTTGTGACGCATGGGTGTCCTGATGTCCTTGTCTCCAACAACGGACCGCAGTTCACGTCAGGCACTTTTGAGCAGTACCTTTTGGGACTGGGCATCCACCATGCCCTAACGGCACCATTTCATCCATCCAGCAACGGGCAAGTGGGGAGAATGGTGCGCTCGGCAAAAGAGGCACTGGCGCGCCTGGACCGGGGAGACTGGCATGAGCGGGTTGCCGAATACTTGTTCGTGCAACACATCACCCCTCATGTGGCCACAGGGCGGAGTCCTGCTGAACTGCTTATGGGCCGCCGCCTCAGGTCACCGCTCGACCGGCTGCACCCGGACTTTGCCGTGGCCGAACCCCCAGGCTGTGCCAACGCGCCACGGTCATTTGTTCCAGGAAACCAGGTCTTTGCCCGGAACTATGTGGGGGACATTCCTTGGGTGCCAGCCACAGTAGTGGGAGTCACTGGACCTCGCTCGTACCAGGTGGCACTTGAAGACGGACGCTTGTGGCGCCGGCACATAGACCAGCTTAGGCGCAGGGTTGGGGACTTGGACACTACCGTGGTGCCCCCAACTGCGCTTGTGGCTCCAGAAGAGACACTTACAGATGGCGAGGCTCCACCTACACCTCTCTCGCAAACTGCCACCGTGGAGCCGAACCAAGCCACTTCAGAGGGTCTGCCAGACTTACCACAGGCTCAGACCACTCCACTTGCGGAGGCTCCACCCACAGCAGCGGATCCAGGGGATTTGGTTTCAACGCCACCTAGGGTCGCACCACAGCCTCAGCAAGAACTGTGTGGCCCCCCGGACTTGGCTACCAGTCCCCGGCGGTCTGGCAGAGTTTCCAAGCGCCCAACTTATTTAAAGGACTATGTTGTTGGACATGTATCACTGTTGGTCTAAGTATGTGAAATGTAACCAATATGCTTTTGTGCCTAATTGAACCATTACGTGTAGTGCTGTATATAAGGAAACCATTACGATTGTAACTAATGCCTTATCTCGGTGGGGAGGGGTGTTATGTACTCAAGTTCTCACCCTGGGCCAGCAGGGGGATACTGTAGATAGTTATGCAAATGAAGTATCGAAAAGTGACGTTCAATGATTGGATAGTTTGTATGCAAACATTTCTGACTCGCACTCTCTACCCTGTTCTGTGTCTTGTTATTTTCCTCCTCATAACTCTGTATCCCTTTGCTAGCTGCTGAGGTGGGTGAAGGCCCACCCAGTTGAATTTGCTTCCACACTAGGGCCCCTCACGATTGCTAAGGCACCGCCTTCTTGCAAATCAGCTGGAAGTTGCATTAAAATGGTGGCATCACACGCTACTTAACATGGCGCTATATTTAGCAAAAAGGCATTACGTTCCCCATGTTCGGAGATGGGAAGCCTGTGACCTTCCAGATGTGGATGGGCTCCAGCTCCCGTCAGACCTAGCCAGGAAAGCCAGTGGTCAGAATGATGGGAGTTGTAGTCAAAGGACATTGGAGAGCCACACTTTCCCCGTCCTTGCCTCACAGGACCTGTAGTGAGGTCCGTCTGGCGCCTCCATTGACCTCTTACCCCCCCCAGGCTGTGATGGACTAGAATGGCATTTTTCACACCTGCCCTTTAAAGGAACATAGGTCTGACTAAAATATGCAATTAAAGGGCTGCATGTCAGTAATCATTAAAAAGCACAAAAGATGAGAGGATGGCAATTCCAGACTAAGCACTTGGCATGGGAGCAACACAGCATTCTGCCTCCAAAGACCACCAGTCGGAAGCCTCTAGTGGTCACAAACAGGGCACAATAAATTCCTTCTTCGCCCCATTCTTCTCTTGAGGTCAAGCCACATGTCAGGATATTATTGGATATCTTGCTGCCTTTTTCCCTTAAGTCAAAACTGCTGTGGAGTGCAACTCTTAATTCGACTGCGGGGAAATGATGGCACCGGAGGGGAGAATTAACCTTTTCCCCAAGTGCCTTCTTAAGGCAAACTGTAGCTCTGCAATAGTGACTTTTGTTGGTCTCAGGATATAGTTGGACTCGGACCCTTTGTCCATCTAGCGCAGTATTGTCCTGGCAGCAGCTGTATGCAAGGTAGATGTTCTGGTGCTGAGCTGCTCTTGTGTAATGCATTTCATACAACTGTGGCCTTTAGAGACTGTTAGGTGGGTTGCCTTTATAATCTGCAGTGTCTCCCTCTATTGGCCATCACCAGACTTGCAGGACCTCAACATCTCTTTCCTCTCCTTACAGCTCGCCCAGAACTTCATATGCTCACCAGGCCATCAGGGAAGACGTTCTTGGTAGCTGAGTGCCTAGCGTGTGGGTTTTACCCACAAAACATTACAGTGCAGTGGCTGCAAAATGGGGAGCCGATCCAAGGGAAAATATACGAGTCGGAACTTGTACAGAATCCTAATGGGACGTTCTCAACCGGAAGCGTCTTCTTCCCAAAGCAGGACCATTTTGCAGCCAATTTTACCTGCCAGGTACAACATGAAGCACTGGAGGCACCACTGGAGGAGACGATCCCCTGGGAGCCAGAAGGTGAGGGTGATAGAATTACCCACCCCTCATCCCCAGAATGTAGTACCAAATCACACTGGCCAAAACTAAAACCTGCATCTCCAACTGACTCTCCTCCAGCTCTAGGATACTTTGGATCACCGATGACTTGGCTACTAGGATCTGCGGGACATGTTGTGGGAATTGGCACGGGAGTTGGAGCGACGTTGATGTACCAAAGACGCAGAGGTGAGTTGGGGCTGTTGGGAAGAAAGGGCAGCTGTGGCAGAAAGGGCAGCAGAGTCCGTGGGGAGGCAAGGCTGCAGTGCTGGGGCACGAGACTGCAGATTGCGGTTTGGAGACGCCTGATAATTGCGCGCGCTCTCTCTCTCTCTCTCTCTCTCTCTCTTATCAGCCCTGTAAGCTCAAGCTGCGCTGAATGACGAAACCCTCCTGAAGAAGATGTCGAAAGTCAGGAGGGAAAAGCCAGATGAAGTCTTTGGTATCTAACAGTCCACGGAATGACATTTTGGCACAGGGTTGTTCTAGGCAATGCAATATTGTTCCATTTCATTATGTATTTCCTAGAAAATCTATTTCAAGTATGATAATTGCAGGAGGCTTCATTTTAAAGTCAAGGCGATTTAAATCATTTAAAATCAACCTTCCATTCTGAAATTATATACATATAGTAGAGCTCTGCACTCTTCGGGTATTCTAAGAAACCAAGGGATATTGAGGCTTTTAAGATGGATATTATAATTTGTTAGTTTCAGGGCTGTGCCTCTCCCAACTCAGGGCCCCAAACAAGCCCAAGGAACACCTGATCCAGCCTGATCTTCATACTGATGACCAGTTGTGTTGTGACATACAAAAGTGCCTAGCTTGAGGGTTCAGTTAATGTTTAATTAAGGTTAATAAACCCTTCATGTCAGGAGGCAGGTTGGGGAACAAGAAGTAGCATCTCCTTGCCTCCCCGCTCTGACTGGAGCATCGAGAGCAAGAGGGTTCAATCCTGCCTGGTGCTGCTTCACCAACACATCCCCCAGTCTGCCTCTCCTCTTTCTCCATCATTTCCCTCCCCGTTCCAGTTTGTGTATAATACGATTTCTTTTCTTCTTTAGTTTTTCACCTTATACACTGCATTATCTGTATGGCTATACTTTAGCTTGACGTCTACCAAGTTATGTTTCTTGTTTTTTGTGTTCTGAATTCTGTATGGAAAAACAGATTTCAATAAAGTGTTTATTTTTAAAAAAAATTCCCAAATCTGTAGTAATTCAAATGTAGGAGAAAATAACTGACAGCACCAGTGCCTGACTTGGGCAAAAGATTCCTGCAAAGCAGGAGGTTCTACTAGGCGGCCCTCGGGGTCCTTTCCAAGTCGTCAGTTCCACAATTTTATGAAATCATCTGTCCTTGAAACAGCATTGAATTATGCCCAGGGGCTCAATGCTGCTTTGGGGAACTGCACACTTTCCCAATGCCCACATTCACCAAAATTTGTGGGTGCCTGGCCCCTTCATGGGGAATTTGCGGGTGCTCAGGCACCCAGGGGCCCAGGGAGTTGGCACCTAGGGGCTCCCAAATAAGCTTTGGGCCGCTGCAAATCATTCTTAACCGAGAAGGAGATCTGTGACTGCCAGCTGCTTATGGCAAACTCTGCCTCTAGTTTGTGACCTGCTCTGCCTCTGCCCTGCCATTTTGTGACAGGCCTCAATAATCCTCAATGTCAGAAGAAGAATTTTTTGAGAACAAGCCACTCAATTGGCCATCTAAAAACTAAGTCGACTGTTCCTCCCTCGGCAACCATTTTTAAAAAGCAGGTGTATACCCATTCTGTTTTAAATTATTTAACAACATTCATATATACCACTTGGTTTTAAGAAAACCTCTAAACAGCTCACAAAATATTGAATGGAACACAGGCATCATTGTTAAAAACAGTTATGCAAAGGAGACTTTTAAATCTCCAGTACTAAGTAAAAAGAAACGAAATGCGCCTAACACGCCTGGCTGGGCTTGCTGCAATAAAAGCAGAAATGTTTTGCTCGGTGCCAGGAAGTCGCAGCTCAACTGAAATTTTATCTCTCAGCACATTGCACTCACATCCTTTCTGCAGAAATGAAAGTAAGCAAGGCGGCTCCAAAATGTCCAGCTTCTCGTGTTTGCTGCTCTTCTTGCAGGGTGCATGTAAGTCACAGCCTCTCACCCAGAGGACTCTGGCACAGCTCCTGGGGGCGAGGGCGATGGGGGAGGAAGGAGCGACGGGCGACTTCGCAAAGACCAGCAGGAGCCAGGAACGGGCAGCCAGGCGGCCTAGTCCTAGAAGGACTAGGAGAGGTTTCCTGTCTGGAACCCTGGAGAGCCTCTGCCAGTCAGTGTAGAGAGTACTGGCCTAGGTGGACCGATGGTCTGATTCAGTATTAGGCACTTCCTGTGTTCCTATGAAACTTCTTTTTCCTTCAACGGCAGGGTGGGGAGGGGCGCAAGACTCCCCTCTTGGCCTTACTGTTGAGGTCCAAAGGAGACCAGAGCAGTATATTTGGTACCAGTTTGGCTCAGGAGTTGCCAGAAGGAGGCGTACAAGGCGCCATCCAACTGCCCAAGGGACTCCACTCCAGCTTTGTGTAGGGTTTGCTCCTTAGCCTCTGCTGAAGATGTCCCACAAGAGAGTTTTTTTCCTTCTCCTAGATGGGCTACCTTCCCATATTGATAAGCCCCATCTGCCCCTCACTTCCCTCTATAGCTGGAACTTGTCTTCACACGCAGGGGAAATCTCTTAACTCACTGAGGGTTTGAGACACGTTAGCTATCCTCACCTCATTTAGCCATCCAGTCGAAGCATTTCCCAGGGAGTGGCTGCTATCACCTGCTGACAGCTTCTTGGCTCTTTTTATGTGGATTGCCCTGAGACCGCTGGGTATAGGGTGGAATAATAATAATAATAATAATAATAGCCACAGGTGAGAGCTGAGTGCAGACTAAGGACCAAAGTTGGACAAGCCACCCCAGAAAGAGCTTGACGTGTCCCACACCAGAGGTACTCCCCCTCCCCTAGCGCCCCATACACCACAGTAGATAGTTACTTTTTTTGAGAAGTCAAAGGCGCATCCTGCATTCAGACTTAAACTAGTCCTCAAACTCCTCTAACCAGCCTGGTTTTTTTTACCAAAGGGCTTTGGGATTCCCTTTTTTGTATAACTACAGTTTGCAGGAACCTTAGAAGTTAAAACTGGCTTATGATGGCTTTAGCCTGTGATGGAGGTCCTGACTAATTACAGTCTAACTTTATCTCTTTGTTCTTTTCAGGGGCAGCCGTGATAATCCAAGTCCCTTCATCCCCAGTCCAGGCAGGGCCACACTCTAATGTATCCCTGCCTTGCCACTTCTCCTTAGACCCTCCCAGGCCCATAGACGTTGATTACCTGATTGTGAGATGGTCGCTGAGAGGAGAAAATGTTGCAAAGTTCGATACCATCATCACAGTGTTTAGACCGAGGGGAGCAGTGCTTGATGCGACGCGGCTGCCAGAGGGAAACGCCTCCCTCTACCTCTCGGACGTAAGGGAGGAGGATGCTGGGGAGTATACGTGTTTTGTTCTCCATACTCCTGACAGTGCTGAAGGGAAGGTGGCATTGAAAATAGAAGGTAAGGGAGGCAAGGCGGCGGGTGGAAAACCTTTTTTAAAGCACTAAACATATTTCACATTAAAGTACTTGATGTAAAATACCATTTTAAAGCACATCCTTTGAAGCGCTTCACGTTAACTCCAGGCTAAACATACCTGACAGGGCCCTAGTTTTATTCATGTATCTGCCTCATTGTGATATTAAGCAGCTGGGCTGTGTCTATTTCTACAAGAGAATAAAATGTCCAACTGAGTTAACTGAAGCTTACTCCCAGGTAAGTGGGTATCGGAATTGCAATTTGTACAGTTCCGTTTCTTGAACTGCTGCAACTGTGGTTTAATGGTTTTTATTTTGTATAGTGTAAATATTGTATTTTTATCTTTTATCTGAATTAGATTTCTGGCCCATGAGACAATATGGCTGCTGATGGTGCGGGCCAGAAATTTTTAAATAAATAAATACTTATAATTTGGGTCCCACGGTGCTCCCTTGGAAATAATTTGCCTATTTGAAGCACATAACACTGGTTCTCTCTCAGCTGTGTTGGCTGCCATTATACTTCCCAGCATTTTTCAAGATGCATATCTTGATATCCTAAATTGGTTGGGCCGTGTATTACAGGGAACACCAGCTCGCATTCAAGCCTACTCCTCTGGAGATGAGGCTTTGGGGAGAGCTGCAGTTTCATGTTCCATCATTTAGAGATGTTCATTGTAAGGAAACAGAGCAGGGCCTCCTTTGTGGTAGTGCTACAGAACTGAGACGTGACCTCTCAAGAGAGGCTTGACAAAAGCACGCTTTGACAAATATCATCATCATTTATTTATTTATATCCCACCCATCTAGGTGGGTTTCCCCAGCCACTCTGGGCAGCTCCCAACAGAATATTAAAAACACAATAAAACACCAAACATTAAAAACTTCCCTAAGCAGGGTTGCCTTAACGTGTCTTCTAAAAGTCAGATAGTTGTTTGTTTCCTTGACATCTGTTAGGAGGGTGCTCCACAGGACAGATGCCACTGCTGAGAAGGCCCTCTGCCTGGTTCCCTGTAACCCCACTTATTGGAGTGGGGGGGAGCCACCAGAAGGCCCTCAGCGCTGGACATCAGAGTCTGGGCTGAATGATGGGGGTGGAGACGCTCCTTCAGGTATACTAGGCCAAAGCTGTTTAGGGCTTTAAAGGTCAGCACCAACACTTTGAATTGTGCTCAGAAATGTACTAGGAGCCAATGTAGGTATTTCAGGACTGGTGTTATACGGTCTCGGTAACCTGTCCCAGTCACCAGTGTAGCTGCTGCATTCTGGATTAGTTGTGGTTTCCAGGTCACCTTCAAAGGTAGCCCCACGTAGAGCGCATTGCAGTAGTCCAAGCGGGACAGTTTGCCCAGACCTTGAGGGATGGCATAGTGGAGATACAGGACTGCAGGTCATACTGCATTTGGGGGCAGGCCAGGCAGGACATGGGGCTAAGAGGATAGTGAGTAACGTAAAGGCCACCTAATGAGTTCATGGGTAAGGTGAGATTTGATCTGCAGATTCCCAATGCATGTTTTCAACCATGACTTCTACTCCAACTTCCTTGTACTGAGAGTTTCCTTTTACTGTGGAAGGGAAGAGGGAAGTCATATCCATGCCATACATTTAAAGCACACTTAAATCGTGTGGCTTCCAGTGAAGAATCCTGGGAACTGCAGCTTGCTGCTCACGAAGCTACAGTTCCCAGCACCCTTTAAGCTGTCCAAGGAGATGCTCTCCTAACTCTCCTCTCTCCCTCCAGCTCCCCCACGCCTAACACTTGGCCCCACAGAAGTGCCGCTGGGAAAACCAAGCACTTTGACATGTGCAGCATCCGACTTTTACCCTGACCGTGTCTCTGTGAAGTGGCTGCGAGGCAGTGAGACTCTGAAAGTTGACTCGCCCCCTGCCAAGCTTGAGGCCAATTACCACTTCTATGCAGAGAGTGTCCTGAACTTCATACCACAAATTCCGGATGCTGGTGTTACCTTCTCATGCCACATCCAACACCAAGCAGCGAAAGACCCAATCCGTAAAGATTTTGAGCTGAAGGTGCAAGGTAAGTGGGAGCCTTTCCTGTGCAACCTTGAGTCCTGAAATGCCTATGCTAAGCACAGTTCCCCGTCTTAGTGAGACCCAGTTCTGACTCGCACTCTCTACCCTGTTCTGCCTCTGCTTATTTTCCTCCTCAAAACACTGTGTCCCTTTGCCTGTAGTGAGGTCCGTCTGGCGCCTCCATTGACCTCTTACCCCCCCAGGCTGTGATGGACTAGTATGGCATTTTTCACACACACCTGCCCTTTAAAGGGAACGTAGGTCTGACTAAAATATGCAATTAAAGGGCTGCATGTCAGTAATCATAAAAAAGCACAAAAGATGAGAGGATGGTAATTCCAGACTAAGCACTTGGCATGGAAGCAACACAGCATTCTGCCTCCAAAGACCACCAGTCGGAAGCCTCTAGTGGTCACAAACAGGGCACAATAAATTCCTTCTTCGCCCCATTCTTCTCTTGAGGTCAAGCCACATGTCAGGCCATTATTGGATATCTTGGTGCCTTTTTCTCTTAAGTCAAAACTGCTGTGGAGTGCAACTCTTAATTCGACTGCGGGGAAATGATGGCACCGGAGGGGAGAATTAACCTTTTCCTCAAGTGCCTTCTTAAGGCAAACTGTAGCTCTGCAATAGTGACTTTTGTTGGTCTCAGGATATAGTTGGACTCGGACCCTTTGTCCACCTAGCGCAGTATTGTCCTGGCAGCAGCTGTATGCAAGGTAGATGTTCTGGTGCTGAGCTGCTCTTGTGTAATGCATTCACACAACTGTGGACTGTTTAGAAGCTGCTAGGTGGGTTGCCTTTATACAGTGGTACCTTGGTTTTTGAACTTAATCCGTTCCGGGAGATCATTCGACTCCCAAAACCATTTAAAAACCAAGGTGCAGTTTCTGATTGGCTGCAGGAGCTTCCTGCACTCAATCGGAAGCCGTGGAAGCTGCGTCAGGCATTCGGCTTTCAAAAAACGTTCGCAAACCGGAACACTCACTTCAGAGTTTGTGGTATTCAGGAGCCGATATGTTTGACAACTAAGCCGTTTGGGAACCAAGGTACCACTGTACAGTGGTACCTCAGGTTACATAAGTATCAGGTTACATAGGCTTCAGGTTATAGACTCTGCTAACCAAGATATAGTACCTCCGGTTAAGAACTTTGCTTCAGGATGAGAACAGAAATTGTGCTCCTGCGGCACGGCAGCAGCAGGAGGCCCCATTAGCTAAAGTGGTGCTTCAGGTTAAGAACAATTTCAGGTTAAGAACGGACATCCAGAACGAATTAAGTACTTAATCTGAGGTACCACTGTACTCTGCAATGTCTTCCTCTAGTGACCGTCACCAGACTTGCAGGACCTCAACATCTATTTCCTCTCCTTACAGCTCGCCCACAACTTCATATAGTCACCAGGCCGCCAAGGAAGACGTTCTTGGTACCTGAGTGCCTAGTGTGTGGGTTTTACCCAGAAAACATTGAAGTGCAGTGGCTGCAAAATGGGGAACCGATACAAGAGACAATATACAACTCTGACCTTGTACAGAATCCTAATGGGACGTTCTCAACCGGAAGAGTCTTCTTCCCAAAGCAGGACCATTTTGCAGCCAATTTTACCTGCCAGGTACAACATGAAGCTCTGGAGGCACCACTGGAGGAGACAATCCCCTGGGAGCCAGAAGGTGAGGGTGATGGAATTACCCACCCCTCATCCCCAGAATGTAGTACCAAATCACCTCAGCCAACACTGAAACCTGCATCTCCGACTGACCCTCCTCCAGCTCCAGGATCACCGATGACTTGGCTTGTAGGATCTCTTGGACTCGCTTTGGGACTTGTCCTAGGAGGTGGAGCGATGTTGATGTACCAAAGACGCAGAGGTGAGTTGGGGCTGCTGGGAGTGGTGGCAGAAAGGGCAGCAGAGTCCGTGGGGAGACAAGGCTGCAGTGCTGGTGCACGGGACTGCAGATTGCAATTTGGAGGCACCTGATTATTGCGTTCTCTCTCTCTCTCTCTCTCTCTCTCTCTCTCTCTCTCTCAGCAGCCAAGAATGAGCAAGCTGAGCCAAATGACCAAATCCTCCTGAAGAAGATGGGAGAAGATGCCGAAAGCCATGAAGGAAAAGTCAGGTGAAGTTTTTGGTATCTAAGAGTCCACAGAATGACATTTTGGCACAGGGTTGTTCCAGGCAATGCAATATTGTTCCATTTCATTATGTATTTCCTAAAAAATGCATTTCCAGTATGATAATTGCAGGAGGCTTCATTTTAAAGTCAAGGCGATTTAAATCATTTAAAATCAACCTTACATTCTGAAATTATATATATATATATATATATATATATATATATATATATATATATATATTAGAGCTCTGCACTCTTCAGGAATTCAAAGAAACCAAGAAAATTGAGGTTTTTAAGATGGATATTATAATTTGTTAGTTTCAGGGCTGTGCCTCTCCCAACTCAGGGCCCCAAACGAGCCCAAGGAACACCTGATCCAGCCTGATCTTCATACTGATGACCAGTTGTGTTGTGACATACAAAAGAGTGCCTAGCTTGAGGGTTCGTTTAATGTTTAATTAAGGTTAATAAACCCTTCATGTCAGGAGGCAGGTTGGGGAACAAAAAGCTGAATCTCCTTGCCTCCCTGCTCTGACTGGAGCATCGAGAGCAGGAGGGTTCAATCCTGCCTGGTGCTGTTTTACCAACACATCCCCCAGTCTGCCTCTCCTCTTTCTCCATCATTTCCCTCCCTGTCCCAGTTTGTGTGTAATATGATTTCTTTTCTCCTTTAGTTTTTCGCCTAATACGCTGCATTATCTGTATGGCTATACTTTAGCTTCACCTGGACCAAGTTATGTTTCTTGTTTTTAAGTGTTCTGAATTCTGTCTGGAAAAACAAATTTCTTTTTTTATTATTCATGTATGCTACAACAGCGGCAAGAGTCTTGATGGCACAAGGATATAAGAATGAGGAAACCCCGCCAAAGGAACAGTGGCAAGAGAAATTGATGTACTATGCAGAAATGGCTAAACTGACATACAAACTGTGAGATAAGGATAACTGTGACTTCAAAGAAGAATTTGAACTTTTTACAAAGTATTTAAAAAGACAACAAAATGAATTGGACTCCTTGGCAGCTTTTGAATAAACATACACAAATTTAGTGATTGATAACTAAGGATGGAGAACCCCAGTTGCCTCCTGCAACCCTTGAGCCATAGACCGGGGTCATCTATAACTACAATGCTACATCTGAATTAATACAGATTTGGGGGTTTTTTTAAATAAAATAAAAACACTTTATGGAAATTTGTTTTTCCTTTTTTAAAAAAAAAATTATTAACAATTTCAACATAACAACATATCAAAACATATCATATTCATTACACTGGGGAACAATTTTTTTTCCATTTTCTGTTACATGAGATTTTTCAGCTGTTCTTATATGTTCTTTCAATGCTGATTTCAAATCTGAAATCGATTTTCGTGTACACGCTATAGTTATCTTGCAATTTCCAACTTTTGCCGATATGTCATATTTACACTGGGGATAATTGGACACATTTGTGTCTATTCGAAGAAGCCATGGTCTGATATGAAAAATACAAATATTTAGGCTACAACAATCACACCCTAGGCCAACCCCAACCTCTCTCACCACCAAAGGAACACAAGTGAACAACACAATCAACGCTGACACCAAACTCTACATACATTAAACATAATAGAAACACCGCCACCCGACCCCACCCCATCCATCTTCCCTCTCTCCACCCCCCTTTCTTTTTTCTTTTTTCTTTTCTTCTCCCCCTAATGCCTCAACAAATGAAACAGATTTGTAAAAATGTTACATGGGGGAAAAAAAAACGAGGCACTACACTTCTGTAAAACAAGAAAATCCTTAATAAAATATTTTTTAAAAAAATATTTAGGCTACAAAACTGTAAAAATAAAGAAAAATTAAGTTTGCAAAACAATAATTACCATGTGGTTAGGGTAGATCAATGTGTCAGTGTCCACTTATCCCCAGTGTAAATATGACATACAGTGGTACCTCGGGTTAAGTACTTAGTTCGTTCCGGAGGTCTGCTCTTAACCTGAAACTGTTCTTAACCCAAAGCACCACTTTAGCTAATGGGGCCTCCTGCTGCCGCTGCGCCACCAGAGTATGATTTCTCTTCTCATCCTGAAACAAAGTTCTTAACCCGAGGTAATATTTCTGGGTTAGCGGAGTCTGTAACCTGAAGCGTATGTAACCCGAGGTACCACTGTATTGGCAAAAGTCAGAAATTGCAAGATAACTATAGCATGTACACGAAAATCGATTTCAGATTTGAAATCAGCATTGAAAGAACATATAAGTACAGCTGAAAAATCTCATGCAAAAAAAAATAAAAAAAAATGTTCCCCAGTATACTGTATATCCCAAGGGAATACATTTTTTTTGCATACCTCCAACTGTACATAGATATGCATGTCATTTTCAATGCTATACATGTCATGTTCAATGCTATATAAGTCACTTACATTTATACTCATATTGTACTACTTTGGCTATGTGTTTAATAAAATATTGAATTCTTGCACTGTGAAAAACAAAGATTATGGTAAAAAGTGAAAAACATGAATTGCAAAAAAACTAGAGTTTACAGAACAAAACCAACTTCAGATATGAAATCAGCACGTCGAAATCAGGTTAGAACAACTGCAGGTGTCAATGCAACAACAAAATTGTTCCCCAGTGTTATTTCCCCCCCCCCCGACTTCCCTCAGCTTCTCCTCTCTCCTTTTTATCAGCACATATCATTCTCTGCATATTATAAAAGTATATCAATCCTTATATTATCTATCTACCATGTTACTGTTTTGTGCCTGGAGTCAGTCAGTGCAGCTTGGAATTCTAGTTAAGAACAGAAAAGAAAAAACAGACACAGCCCTGAAGTCTGCGAAGCCCTGCTAGAGGGCATGCACATTATAGCAAAATTCCCCCCCTGTGATATTTTGTTCCTTCATACTCAGATAATAATATCAGGCCATTTGATAAATTGCTGAGAAAAGCAACTAGTGCTTCTCCAGTGAGTGGCATGTCTGAAATCCTAGGGTTTATTCAAAACTGAAGCACAACTCTCGTTCCCACTGTCAAATGCTGAGATTCAGCCCTGAATAGTATTCAAGAGTGCTTTTTGACAGCAGAATACCTGGGAGGTTTGGAACCAACTTACTAACATATAGCATCACAGTCCTTCTGTTTACTCCTGAGGTTTTCACATGCAAAGGAAACTGCCTTATGCCAAGTCAGGCTATTGGTCTATCTAGCTCAGTGCAGTCTACACTGACTGGCAGCAGCTGCCCAGGATTTTAGACAAGGAATATTCCCAGCCCTGCCTGGAGATGCCAGGGATTGAATTTAGAACCTTCTGTGTTCTAAACAGATGCTCTATTGCTGAGCTGTGGCACTCCCTGATAGTTTTAATTCTGATTTTTCGAGGATTTTAGCTTTCTAAAGTGTGTAAACATTACTATTGCTTTTCAGTTGTGTATTTCTAAGTATATTTAGAAGACTCTGATTTTATTTATACATTTCTTCTTTATGTAGATCCCACATGGGACTGTATCCCTTTTCATTACCACTTTCAATTCATGGGTCTATTGTTCTTAAGGAGGAACCACACTAATATGCACATAGACAGAAGTGCATTTAGGCGTGGTTCCTCAAAAACAACAGACAATCCGATTTTAGATGGCATGCTTATTTCCATGTAAGTTGACATATGTTCTTTTCATCGACATGAGCAATAATATATATAGTGTCCATTTTTTAAGGCACTACAGAATTTACTCTTTTATTATGGGTTTTCTAATAACCTGCAGGTGTGGCTTTGCTTTAAAATTATGGTACAATTTTCTGCTTAAAAAGACTATTTCAGGCTGAAACACATTCAAGCCTTTGATACCTTTTAATACACGGGCACCAAACTGTTATAATCAAGTTTGTGGTTATTTATCGAATACAGTGGTGCCTCGCAAGACAAAAAGAATCCGTTCCGCGAGTCTCTTCGTCTTGCGGGTTTTTTCGTCTTGCGAAGCAAGCCCATTAGCGGATTAGTGCTACAGTACTGTATTAGCGGCTTAGCGGGCTTAGTGGATCAGCTGATAAGCGGCTTGACGATCAGCTGATAAGCGGCTTAACGATCAGCTGATAAGCGGCTTAGCATCAGCTGTTAAGCGGCTTAGCCATCAGCTGATAAGCGGTTTAGCGGCTTGGGAAAAAGGGGGGGAAAGGAAAAAAACCCCGCAGGAACTCGCAAGACATTTTCGTCTTGCGAAGCAAGCACATAGAAAATTCGTTTTGCGAAGCACCTCCAAAACGGAAAACCCTTTCGTCTAGCGGGTTTTCCGTCTTGCGAGGCATTCGTCTTGCGGGGCACCACTGTATTGATCTTTGGCTCAGTGTGCTTATTGAGTTTTATTCCATTACTTGTTTTAGCATTAACCTCTATGTCCACTTTAGCCTGAGAAACATGCAAAGGAACATAGGAAGCTGCCTTATATTGTCAGATCCTTGGCCCATCCAATTCAGTACTGTCTACACTGACTGGAAGCAATTCTCTAAGGTTTCGCGGATAGGTTTCTTCCAGCTCGTTAAATCAGGCAGGGCCAAACTTCGCCCTCTAGCTGTTTTGGGACTACAACTCCCATCATCCCTAGCTAACAGGACCAGTGGTCAGGGATGGTGGGAATTGTAGTCCCAAAACAGCTGGAGGGAATCATCATCAACAACAACAACAACAACAACAACGCCAAAGACTTCGGGAGAAGCAGGGCAAGGAAAACTACAGTTCCCAGAATTCTTTGCGCGCTGCAGCGGAAGAGGCGGCTTGATTCGAAACCTTATTGGGTGGTGGCGGTGAAGGACAGAGGCGTCGGGCGTGACGACCAATCGGGGCGGGCTGTCAAACAAAACCAATAAAGAGAGCTTGATGCCGCTGCCATGGCGGAGACGGTAAATAGGCGCGGGAGGGAAGGGGGTCTGTGTTTAGGGATGGTGGGGCCCTTTCGCGCTCGCGTGGCGCCTCCGCCTCACTTCCCCGTTGCCTCTTGCAGGTGGGGCCCTGCTCCAGCAGCGACTCGGAGCCGGAGGGGACCCCCAGGAAGCCCCCCATCAAGCGCCGCCGCATCCTCCCTGCGGACTTCGGCGTGGCCGCCGTCCCCGTTTACTCCAGCAAGGCGAGTGCCGCGCGGCGGAGGCGCCTCTCTCTCTCTCCCCTTCAGCCGAAAGGGAAAAGGAAGACTTGCCAGGGCGGCTTGCAGACGTCAGCGGCGAGACAGTCCCTCAGCCCAACCTGAAAAGGCGGGAAAGGAAAAGGGGTCGAGGAGGGAGGAGGAAAGAAAGCTAACTGCATTGGAGTCGTGCTCTCGGGGCTTTCAGTGGAGGTTCATTTCTCTTCAGTGAATGACGGAAGCAAAATACTTAACCCTTCTGCCTTCGCTGTTGTTACAGCATTATTATATCCAGCCCCCCCCCCACAAGCATAAGGCAGCATGCTCCCCACCCTGTTCTCGCCTGCTCAACTTCTTTTTCTGTGCTGGGAGGAGGAGAACCCAGGAGTGCTTTAATTTTAGTTCACTTCCCAATAGCTCCAGGGATTCCCTATTTTTTGCTTACTTGATTTAGACTCTTCCTCCACTCCTCACTAACACCACACTCGTGGCTGGATTGAACCCTGATGTCCTAACACCTACCTTTGCAGAAACTAATCCACTGTCCTTTTCTAAACGGCTTAGCAGTATTGCTTCCTGCCTGCCCAAGTGTCCGGGGAGAAAAACTGAGTTGTTTTTTGTCCTTCCTCTCTCTCTCTCTCTCTCTCTCTCTCTTCCCATCCCCCCCTTGACAGGTTCAGAACAGTCTCCATCTGTTCCCTGAGTCTCTGAAACTGCCTGTTCAAATCCCAGTGCTGTCTTCTGAACCCCAAGTCATTGACACATCAGATGAGGAAGAGGCAGAGGAGGAAGAGGCTCCTACAAAGCAAGTGGAACAAGAAAAGAGGTCTGCTTCTTTCTCTTCCTCTAACCAGCTGGTCTGGAATTCCCAATTAAAACCATATCTCTGTTGGTTCTCCCTTCAACAGACGTAAAGCTCTTTCCCCTTCACCGCCACCTCCACCGCAGCTCAGGAAACGACGCCATGGAGCTAAGTAAGAATCTGGGGTCCTCTGGAAGGGGAGTGGGGTTCTGTGGATTGGTGCTGGGGTGTGGCGGAGGGAGTGAAAGAGAAGCCTTCCAGGCTTGTTGGGGAGGATTGGGATCTATAAAAACCCCTGTCACCCTGATTTGGCAGGCACAAGACATTTCTAAAGCCATGGGTAGGCAAACTAAGGCCCGGGGGCCGGATCTGGTCCAATCGCCTTCTAAATCCGGCCCGTGGACGGTCTGGGAAACAGCGTGTTTTTACATGAGTAGCATGTGTCTTTTTATTTAAAATGCATCTCTGGGTTATATGTGGGGCATAGGAATTCGTTCACCCCCCCCCCCAAAAAAATATAGTCCGGCCCCTCACAAGGTCTGAGGGACAGTGGGCTGAAAAAGTTTGCTGACCCCTGTCTAAAGCCACTTTTTGTGCATTTAGCTGGCTCATGTATTGTGCCAGCTTTTGTTTTCTTGTACTCTGCAAGAGATTTGGCTTTCTGGGAGGGGAAGGAGAGACAGGTTTCTTGGTGGGAGGCTTAGATTAGCTAGAGTCCACTCCCATAAAGCCAAGCAGATCAGTGAAAGAAATATGTTGTACTATGTGTCTCAGGTTTACAAAACTTTGTCCTGGGGTTGGGGAACCTGTAGTCCTCTAGTCTAGATGCTGTTGGACTACAGCTTCCTCCATCCACACTAACCTTTAGCCATGCTGCCTGGAACTGGTGGAAGCCAAAAAACATAGGTGAGGTCTCCCCATCCCTGCTTTATGTCATCTCTTTCTTTTAACCAAGTCCTAACAGTATATGTCCCCAGAACACCTTTGCTAAGCTAATTTGTCCTGTACATATTTAACAGATGGGGCTCAGAGAATGCCTCAGCCTAGTTCCCCATAGATCATCCATGACAGAGACATGTTTTGAATCTGGTCTGTCAGTGGTCTGGTCCTCTAACTCACGACTTGTGGCTTTCAGAACTACTTTCAGCAAAAGGTTTATGGTGATTAATTTTTTAAGGTGGTATGCTTGCGATGTAGGTATCTTATTCCCACCTGTTTTATGGGGTTCTTTTTGTTCCGTTGTCTCCTCAGAAACTTCCACCAGAAGCTCAGGAATCTGACATCCTCCCTCTCAGCTGCCAAGAAAAGCTTGCAAGATGAGGAACTCAGAGATGATGTGATCCTGATTGATGTGCTTGAGCCCTCCGAGTCCCAGGAATTGGTGCTAAAGATCCGGTGTCGGGCTGATCTCTACAAAGTTTCTGTTCAGATGGTGAGTTGCCATTGGGGGAAGAGCATCTGCTTTGCATGCTGCAAGTCCCACCTTATATCTCTGGCATTTCCAAGTAGGAAGGATTGGGAGAAACTTCCTGCCTGAAACCCTGGGAGTTCGCCAGAAGCGGCTTAGTCATGCTGGCCACATGACCCGGAAGCTGTACGCCGGCTCCCTCGGCCAATAAAGCAAGATGACCGATGCAACCCCAGAGTTGTCCACGACTGGACCTAATGGTCAGGGGTCCCTTTACCTTTTACCTTCCTAGTCTATATACTGCAGTCAAAATGCCTGGCCACTGCTTTGTTCTTTCCCATCTGTTACAAGTATTTCATGGCTCTTTTCCTGATAGCCCTGCTTAAAATTGTGAATGTTTTTGTGATTCTCGGGAATAGTATGGGATCTTTACTTATCTAAAATATTAACACCCCACTTTTCTTCCTGACTATTGGCCTCCGAGACAGCTGAGAATAATTGAAAACAAATAAACAATTTTTTTTTTTTTTAAAGGCTGTGTTGGCTTGTGGAGGCAGGAAGATGGTGATGATAGTGATAACTGGGAAATGTCCTCTTTCCAGGACCTGGTTGTTACTGCAGCAACATAAATACGTGTTGAGACATGTTTGTTTTCTGTTTGAAGGGTTTCTACCCGTATCTTCAGCCAAAAAATGGCTTGTGAGACACTGATAAAAATCAGTAAGAGAGTTCTGCCCTCAGGGCTTAAATTCTCTAAAGATCACAAAGGAAATGGAATTGGGGAAGAGAAGGAAAAAACAACCTCCCTGGGCAATTGAGCAGGTAGGGTTTTCCTGGTATATGGTGTTTTTTCTAACTCACTCCTTTAACTTTGCACCCCATAGACTGACCCCCTTCAACGAGTGATTGAGCACATGGCTCAGACGCTGAAGGTTCACCAAGACAGAATACTACTCCTGCTCCGAGATCGCGAACTTGCCGCTGATGCCACCCCCCGTGTACTGGGCCTGGGTGTGGCTGATATAATCGGTGAGTAGTGAGTGGGTTTTTTTGTTTCCAGGGGGGTCTTCAGTCCCTTAAGTCTCTCTGTATGACTGTCGCCATCCTTGTCCTCTGAGTTGGGGATGCTGATGCCCTTCTTGAGAGCCAGTGTGGTGTAGTGGTTAAGAGCAGTAGTCTCGTAATCTGGGGAACCGGGTTTGCGTCTCCGCTCCTCCACATGCAGCTGCTGGGTGACCTTGGGCCAGTCACACTTCTCTGAAGTCTCTCAGCCCCACTCACCTCACAGAGGGTTTGTTGTGGGGGAGGAAGGGAAAGGAGAATGTTAGCCGCTTTGAGACTCCTGAAGGGGAGTGAAAGGCGGGATATCAAATCCAAACAACTCTTCTTCTTCTTCTTCTTCTTCTTCTTCTTCTTCTTCTTCTTCCGCTCCCAATGGACCCCTTGCTCCTGTTCTCCTGCTTTGTTCCCAGACCCTGCTCTTCCATTATGAGAGCTAATCTGTGATCTAGCGGTCGGAAGTGATTGTGGAGAACCCAGCTTCAAATCCCCATACAGCTCATGGGATAATGCTGGGTCAGTCTGTGCCTCTCAACCTAATATACCCTACCATGGAATTGAGGATTACATTGTGGGGGGATTGCTGTCTTGATCTCGCTGGTTGTTTATCAATCTAATGTGGACTTCCTCCAGATTGTGTGGTGGAGACGACTAGCCAAGGGAGCAGTGATGCTGGAAACCTTCAGCTCCGGGTGCAAGGGAAAGACAAAAGCTCCCAGATGGAGTTTACCCTCCAGAGGGTAAGGAGACTGTGGTTTGGGGGCAGAGGGCTACTTGGTGTTGGTGGGGCAGTATTGCAGCTGTCCTTCTCTCTTGTTCCTGCAGTGGGAGCCATTGCAAAAACTTATGAGTCACTACCGTAAAGCCCAAGGTTTCGGCAGATGCAAACTTGCGTTCTATTTTGATGGACAGCGTTTGGCAGGAACCTGCACCCCTGAAGAGTTAGGGATGGAGTCTGGCGACGTCATTGAAGTATGGAGCTAGAAATCCTTCCATCTCTTCAAAGAGGCTGTTCCCGTGAGGGGGTTTTACTGCTTCACCTGGGCTCTGTGTTCTGACCGACTTCATTGTGTCTAATGTCTGAGTGCAAGGGAAGCAGCCTTGTTCTTCTTAAACATGATAGGAGTGTGGTAATTTCTGTCTGTTCCAGACACAGGGAGGGATGACTGCATTCCAATGTCACGTTCCATGCACCTACCTGAAACTTATTTAATAAAGCAAATCTTGTAACTGGCCCCCTTTGAGCAGAGTGGAAAGAAACTGCTCAGTTATAGTGAAAGCAATACACATTCTGGAGGGCCAGTGTGCACTGAATAATTCTGTTTTGTTTAAATAAGTGGCTCTTTTCCATTTGTTTTAACAATGCTGTATAATCCTGTTACCGTTTTCCTTCTTTACCTTTACTTGGTGGTAGTAAGCAGAACTGGATTATTTGAGACCTGTGCAGTCTTTTAAACCCTACTAGAAAATTATAGTCCTCTTATTTCTATGCCAGATTTCTCAAACTTCCTTTTTGAAGGCTAGCCAACCTCCAGGATTGTTAGGTTGAAATTCCCATGACCACTGGCCATGCTTGCTGGTACTGCTGGAACCTGTAGCCAAACATCTGGATGATATTACATTGTCTATATCTGTTTATATGCATCACCACCCTGAATATGGCTTTTTAAAGCAAATTTGTAATCCATGTGTGCAGAGTATAAATTGGCGTGTGAATAGCATAGCTGCACTGAAAAGATACTATCTTACCTATACTCTTCCATGTACATCTAACTTACCTAACAATGTCTCTTTGTTATTTAATTGCTAGATTTGTACCTCCTTTTTATTGAAGTCGTCCCTACAACAAATGAGAGATGGAATGAATCCTAATAAAAAGCAGTATTTTTTCAAAGTAACACAGAACCAGTCCACCAGAATCCTGATGTTGTCTCTGCCTCCCTTCCTACTTTTTCTCCTGTTCCAAGTTAGGTCCAAAGTCCTTCACATAAAAGTATGTCAAAGCTGTAGTTTACTTATTTAGGCATTTGTCCATGAAGTTCAATGGGATTAATTCTGAATACAAACTCTGGCCTTGCAACTCATAGGGGACAAAGATTCTGATATTTATTGGATTATTTGTGTTTCTGTGGAAACATAGCATCAACTTCATGGGTATTCAATGACTGCATAGAATTTTGGTAGCTTTTCTCTGTTGCTATGCTGCAAGAAACTGTCTGCCAAAGTTTCTCTTCTCGGACGTTGGCAGGCTTTAGGTTTCAGGCTGCAAAACTGCAGGCAGCTTTTAGAATGGAGTTGGGATAATATATGGTGACAGAGTGGCAGGAAGTTCCCATGCCTTTTATTTTTTTTATTTTTTCAGAAAAATGTTACAAGCTACTAGTTTACTTTTTAAAATGTGAAGGACTTTGCCCCTAATTTGTATGTTGACTTTTTCATTGTCTAAAGCTTGGCATGCTTTGCCCTACTTAAGCATACTTTCACCTAGTTTTGATCTTGGCCAATGCAACTCTTAAACCCATTTTGCAAAGTGTGAAATGTTTTAAATAGGCGGTTTTGTGATTTGAAGGGCTTCAAAGTTGTTTGCGTCTTCAGTTCTGCCAAATTTGAGACTTTTTTTGTTAAAACCTATATTAAACAACCCACCACAAAAAATAGCAGAGCAGGCCCTGCCTTTAGCCAGAATAAGGCAGCTGCCTCAGGTGACAGATTTTGGAGGGGCAGCAATACAGGATATACACAGACTAAGGCTTAACTGCTAGTCTGGCTGGCTTTGAATGGGGGCACCATTGTATTCTTTGCCTTGTACTGGTTCTGACAGTTACAGCCATCAACACACTGGTGGAGGAAGAGGAGTGCAGGGAGAGCGCACTGCCCCCGGCAGCGCGATCCCCAGGGTGCCATCGTGACGGCCCCCCCGCTGGGTGTCCCGCCCCCACCTCCTCTCCACCCCCGGTGCCGGAGCATGAAGCTCCGCCACTACATCAACGCCCTAGAAGTTGGTACCAGCAGGTTTGCCGAGTCTACGAAACAAAATGCCTTGAGGAAAAAATGAAGGGGTGGGGGAAACAGCCCAATGAGGAATGAGTGTACTCACTAGCCCCATACATAACACTTACGCGTGAGGGTGAAAAAGAGGGATGGAACAAAATGTTTTGGAAAAGGACATGGTTGGCCTGAGCAGCAGCAATCTATACTAGAACATTTTTTACAGACCCCTCACTTTACAATTTACTGTTGTGTTGTGTTGCAAAAAATAAAACTCCTCTGGGACTTTAAAAAGAGCCTTGTGCCTGGCTGAAGTGTTTTCATTTAATCTTTCTTAGACTGCAGGCAGTTTAGTTTTATGTGAAGTGCACGACGTTGTCTTGCCAAATGAGTGGCAGCTTGATTTTTGCCCTTGCAGCCAGGCGGTAAGTAAATGCAGCCTTTAAATATCTGCCAAGTCTGGCAGGTTGTGAGTTGTGTAGATCTGAGTTAGGATGACTTTATTACCCACCAGTGCCGAATTTATGTATAAGCTAAGTAGGCTAAAGCCTAGGGCCTCTAAATCTAGGGGGCCTCCCCAGCCCGCCCACCCCCGAGCGGGTAATCTCCCCTCTCCCCAAATTGCAAATCCAAGACTTCATGCGAGGGCAGGGTAACTCGGGCCCAGCAACTATGAGACTCAATTTGCCCAATTTGAAACTCGGGGGCCCAACTTGAATTTTTTTTGTGGGGGCCCTAGTTCACAGCCAAAGTCTATATCTTAGAGATATAAATCTGTGTACTAGGTCATTTTCACAAGGTCAGCAAAGCCCTTCAGAAATCAGGCCTGTTACTGAGTTCTTGTGCAAGTTTGTACTGTTCACTTGTGGATATTTAAAGGAAAATTAGAGAAGATTTTGATGAGCCTGAGAAGCAAGCAAATGCCACCTTGCTAAATGTTAACTGCAAAACAAGGCGAAAAAGAGTGAGGGAACAGCAAAGAAATGACAGAAGTGCACCTGATGCCTTAGATGCACTTTCTTCAAGAGATAAGTTTAGAATAAAATCCTTTATTCCTATATTTGGAGCACTTGAAGCCAACTTAAAAAGAAGTAGTACTCTGTACAGGGATGTTGCACAATTGTTTTCCATTCTTGCTATCCTGATAGCATCCAAGCAAGAAATTCAGCAAGGTGTTGAACTGTTGATGGAAGCATACTCAGAAGATACTGACCTGAAATTTATAGATGAACTTTTGCACTTTCACCTATACATGAGACAAAGCCATAGGCTTACAGCAGAGCACTCTCTCATACAGACCTTTATCAAATTATACACAAGAAAAAAATTCAGATGGCCTTTCCTATTGTGGAAGCAATCTTGTGGCTATTTCTTAGCTTTTATGGTCTCTGACTGCTCGGGAGAGAGAGGAGTTTTTCAAGACTCAAAAGAATTAAACATGAATTGAGGGCCACAATGTCTCAAGAGAGGTTGTCTGCACTGAGCATTCTGTACACTGAAAGTGACAAATTTTAATGAAGTTTTCTGATGTCCTTTAGAGGAGAAATTGTGAATTGCAGAATTTTAAATGCCTGTCATCCTTGGCTTCACTTAATTTTGTTTATAACTTTCTTCCATTTTCTTCCAGTTGTGAGGGTGGGGGATTGGGAGGGGCCTCACAAGTGGAGTAGACTAGGGCCTCTCTTCATCTAAATCTGGCCCTGTTACCCGCACTAATTCAGGACTGTAAAAAGTGTTGGTTTCCAGGCAGTGTGAAGGGGGGGGGGGACTGCCATGACAGGGAGAAGACCTGGGGTGTAAATTTCAGAAGGGTAGCCATGCATGTCGTATCAAACACAACAAAGGCTCTGATGGCTTCCTGAAAGACTGACAAAAAGAGTTATTGTGGAGTAGGTTTGTTTGGACTAGATGGTTGCACAAACAGGATTTCTGGTGCCTCAACAAACCTATTACATCTGAGGTACCACTTTTGTTTGTAACAGACTGAACAGGGTTACCCACTTCTAGATGTTACCAATCCTCTTGGTTGTGTGTGGGATCTCTCATAAAGCATTCACGTTCAAGATAGTGACTCATAAGAATGCAAGTGCCTGCTGGATCCGGATTTCTAGTCCAGCATCCTCTCCTCACAGGGGCCAGTGGGAAGCCTGCAAGCAGGGCAGGAGCACCACAGCACCCTACCCATCACCTGTCTCCTGTTCCCAGCAGCTGGCGAACCCAGCCATTTTGATAGCCTCGTCCTCGACAAACTTGCCTGATCCTCTTTTAAAGCCATCCAAGTTTGTGGCCATTCCTTACTCCTGCGGGTGGGGGTTCCAAACTTTTTAATCGTGTGTTGGGGGAGATTCAGTACTTTTTATTTTGCCGCTCCTGATTTCTCCCAGCGTTCAGCGTCAAGGGATGCCCACGAGCGCTGCGAGGGAGAAACCCATCTCTCTATCCATGCCATCCATGCACGGTGTTGGCAAACGTCTATCATGTCGCCTCTCTTACTCAAGGGAGTGTTTGTCACAGATTTTGGGGTAGGGCGTGTGACGGGAAGTGATTATGGAGTTTAATGTGCTTCGGAGACGTGACGGAAGGCGCGCTGGCTGCTTTCCCGATAGTGAGACGGCGGCAGTAAACAAGGCGCCAGGTGTGCTGCGGGGACCGGGGAGCGCAGGCCGCAGCGCTCTGGTAACCATGGCGACGAAGGAACGCGCCTCGAGGAGGGCAGGGACCCGTTCTGGGTCGTTCAAACTTCCACAGAAGGGGCAGGGAGCCTGGGCTTGGGCTGGTAACTATGACAACCGAAGTAACCCCCACGCTGCCGCCGCCACACACACACTAGCCTCTCTGACGTCTTGAGGGGCGGGAGAGCGCGCGGCGCGTCCGGTATTTGTATTGGTGACGCGGAAGGCAATCAGGCGACCGGCTCTGTTGCCATGGCACCCAGGGGTCGGGAGGCGGAAAGGGCGGGGACGAAGAAGAGTCACATGATAATCAAAGCTCGTGAAAGGAGGGCGAGGAAAAGAGCCGTCACGTGATCCCGCCGAGCAGCTCCGCCGAGTGGGGAGGGGGTGGCAGGCCGGGTACGTCCGTCGCCGGGGAGGGCGGCGTGTGAGATGCTGGCGGGGCCTTGGTAGGGCCGGGGAGAGCGGGCGACGGGACTCCCTCCCTGGGTAACTCTCAGGTTAGAACTGGGGGATGCGAAAGGGGGGCGTTTGAGGGTGGGGGCTACAGGTTAATTACAGCTTTAGGGTGAGGTCAGGCTTGGTGGGGAAAGGGGCCTGTTGTCATTTTTCTCCCTTCAGTCTGAGATGTGACTCTGAGGAGTAGCTACCCTTAAATTCATCTTTGGCTTTGTTTACATTATAGCAATATATGTATGTAATAATAATAATAAAAACATAATAAATAAATAAGGGAGTGGGAAATAAGAATCTAATGCTGAACAGTGGGTGTGTTTTGCCTTTGTGTTACTGACTGGCCTTCTCTTCTGGTCGTCGTCTTCTTCTGGTTCTTTTTCTCGCCCTAGTTAAGTTCTTCTGTAACTGTCATAAGATTTGCTGTTCTCCCCTGCAGTTCTTTAGGGTTTGTAAGGGGCTGGCTATCTCATATTGTCTCTCCAGTGGGTTCTTCTTGCCGCTGGCCATGGCATCTCAGCGGCAACCTTACATGGATACGGCCCCAATCCTGACCCAGGCAGATGACACAGAGGAAGAGGGAAAGGATGGTCTGCAAACTGGGCATGAAGGGGAAGAAGAGGTACAGACCCTCACAGGCATCTCCTCTACACGGGCTGGCTTCATTGTGGGAGTTCTCTGCTTTGTTAACCTGCTGAACTACATGGACCGCTTCACTGTGGCTGGTAAGGGTGCTGGGGTGCTATGAGACTGTAGCTGGAACTTCTCTTCCCAGCTGTGTCAGGTGGGTGGGCACTGTAAGTTTTAAAGCGATGAGGTGTTGATTTTCTCCCCACCCACAACAATCCTTAACTTTAGATAATGAAGGTCATGATGGATTGTTTTGGGGTGAGGATACTTAGTTGTCTTTCCTCAGTATTAACACTGTGATCCTTCTTCCTTACCTCAGGCGTTCTTCCTGACATTGAGGCATTTTTTACAATTGATGATAGCAAATCAGGGCTCCTACAAACAGGTGAGTAGGGTGGTGGGGCTTGGTTCTTCCCCACCCACAACCCAGGCACTTTGTAAGGGCAGTGCTATTGAAGCAGGAGCGTTTGCCACTGGGAATAATTATTTCTTTCTTCTCAGTTTTTATTAGTAGCTATATGGTACTTGCACCAATTTTCGGTTACCTGGGGGATCGCTATAATCGCAAATACCTGATGTGCATTGGGATCACCTTCTGGTCAATAGTGACGCTGGGGAGCAGCTACATTCCCAAGGAGGTATGGGGGCAGGGGAGAAGATTCTGTAGATTAGTTTTCACCCAGGCATGGGGAAGAACTTTGGGTTTGGGATCTGTGTGTCTTCCCTTCCACCCCCCAGCATTGAGGCTTATGGGGCAGGGGAGATCTGGCACAGCTGTCCTCTTGAGATTGGGAAGGTGCAAGGCTTTCCTTCAGTTTAAGCTGTGTGTCATTAAGCTGAACTCTGGATAAAATCACAAACATTTGCTAGCTGGTAAGAAACTGTTTTGGAAGGCCTTGTGCCTGACTGACTAGAGGAGATTCTTACTTGTCACAAGCCACAGAAAAGTGGCTATTTATAAAGTATTGCTGAACAGGTTTGAAACCTGTTCTTGACATTCACACTTACCAAACAAGGAATCCTAGGAACTGTAATTCTGAGAAGGGGTTAAGAATACTTGACGAAGTATTCTTTGCACCCATACATGACTGCATGTCCTGAGGTTCTTTAGGGGTGTGTTTCAGATTTATAGCTACACTATTACATCTCCTCAGTTTATTGTTTGTTTTCTCTACGTTAGATGTTCTGGCTGTTGCTGCTGACACGAGGCATGGTGGGTGTGGGAGAGGCCAGCTACTCAACTATTGCCCCCACCATTATTGCTGATCTGTTTGTGGGTGACCGGCGATCCCGCATGCTCAGCATCTTCTACTTCGCCATACCTGTGGGCAGGTGCGAACACCCTGTGGTCTGTTTCAGGGCGGGGTATGCACTGTAGTGAAGTTGAACTGGAGATATTCATCTGTTTACTGTAAATTGGCAATCAGCCTTATGCAACAATCAAAGCAAGATGTGTGTGTTCATAAGCCATGGAATAGGAGCATGGGAAGCTGCCTTATATAACTGATTCAGACCATTGGCCCATTTAGCTCAGTATTGTCTACACTGACTGGCAGCAGCTCTTCAGGGTTTCAAGCAGGGCTCTTTTCCCAGCCCTATCTGGAGATGCTGGAAAGTGAACCTGGGGTTTTCTGCATGCAAGACAGGCGCTCTACCGCTGACCTCTGGCATTCCCCCATGTTGCAATGACCAAACCTAATTGGCTTTCACAGAAAGAGGGGAGCCTGCCTGAGTGTGGGTCTGACTGTTCTCCCTTTTCACCTGCAGTGGACTGGGCTACATAGTGGGTTCAAAGGTGAAAGATGTGGCTGACGACTGGCATTGGGCCCTGCGGGTGAGTAGGGGATACAATTGTACTGGTTGGTGTTTGTTGCCTTATGTTCATGTTGCAGTTCAGCTCATCTTCATCACATTGTAGTAAGCTTGTCTGCTATGCACCTATGCATACATGTTTTTATTTTCTTCTGTTTAGAATGCCTCCAACTTAGATCATTATCTTCTCATACAGGTGACACCAGCCCTAGGGGCGTTGGCGGTGATACTGTTGATAACTGTGGTGCGGGAGCCGCCTCGGGGAACTGTGGAGACGCACTCAGATGCCCCTCTGCAATATACTTCCTGGGCAGCTGACCTGCGGGCCCTGAGCCGCAAGTGAGTAATGGGTACCATTTAATGTACTGCTGCCATGTAGGCCACATCCCACCTTTCCATTCTGGAATAGCTTCCTTGCCCTAGTTTCATTGATTCCAGATCAGTGTAGATATTCTCTTTAGTGATAGATAAAGGACAAGAAACTGAGAAGCAAAACAAACCACTTAGGGAAAATCTGTACAGTCTTCTTTCTTGTGGGGGCTTTCAAAGCAAGACTGACAGGTAGCTATCCAGAGTGCTTTATGGAGGTGGTTTTGAAATTTGGTTCCTCAGAGTATTGGGGAACTTAATTAAGGAAATTGGTAATGGTAGCAAAGGTTCCCTTGACCATAAGCTTGTCCAATATTATCAGTCTTCCCCTGCAGTTATAAGCAGATGTTGAGATGTGTTCTAGGGTGTGTGCTCAAATTGCACCAGGTCCAGCAGGCCTGGCCAATGACTTGTTTAATCCACGAGAAAGTGCCCCAACATTCTTTGTAACATAATAAGAGCCAACAGGCCAGTGCAGTAGCTGTTCATTGAAAGGGTGAAATGGAGTGAGGAAGTGATAAAAGCCCTCTGCAAGTGATCAGTCTGCAACTCTGATAAGAGTGCTCTGTCCTCACTGCAGTAACCTGCTAGATAGGAAACAAGGTGAGGAGGAGAGGGGAAAGGAAAGGGATAGCCTTGTCCATCATTGCCTCTGGCCCTGACCCCACCTGGCATACCAAATAATATAAAGCCCTTGACAGAAAATGTTCTTCCCTGCCCTGGCTTTAGGCCTAGGGTTGCGGCTCTCTGCAGATGTGATAACTGTGCCATCAGTAATGTTCTCTGTAGGAGGCAGTGGCACCCTACACACTGTGTTTTACAATTTGCCCACAGTTTCAGTTCCCTGGTATGGTTTTTTCTCCTAGTAACCTCCTGAGCTGGAGAACACCTTGCTACTTGGGCCACCACTATTACAGGTGGGCAAACCGTGACCTAAGAGATCCTGCCGTGAGATGGCTGAGTGTTTCTAAGGACTGACTCATCCCTGGTTGCCCTATAGTTTGAGTTCTCTGTATTTTTACAGCTGAATGGGTGAGCCAACTCTCTTGTAGAGCATTATATGTGAGGTCATAGGAAAGTTATGTTTGTGGCAATAGATCTCTGATGATTCCAATTGCTCAACTGCAGGAATGATTAGGGCTATTGTTTTATGCTCACATTTCCTCTCTCTCTCCCCCCCCCCCCCATGGACAGTCACAGTTTTATATTGTCATCGCTGGGCTTCACAGCTGTGGCCTTTGTAACAGGCTCCCTGGCTCTGTGGACACCAACTTTCCTGTACCGCTCACGCCTGGCCGCTGGCACTCTCCAGCCTTCTCCCTCAGGACATGCTTCTGACTCTGATAGGTGAGTTAGTAGCTGAGGAAGCCCTTAGTCATGACATCAGTTCAGCTCTCTCTTGAGGAACACTTGGTTCAGCAGTGGAGGTTCACCACTGCTGTCTTTTGACACCTCTGTGTTTCTTAACTCTGAGCTGTTTGTAGTATAGGGGCTAAGAGACTGTCACAAATGGGGGTGCCCCAAATCTTGAATCTTGCCCCTGCTGTAAACTTGGTAGATGGCCTTGGCATGCTACTGTCTCTCATCCTCCCATCTGCAATGTGGGGTACCATATGTGAAGTGCTCTGAGCCTTCTCTGCGGTGCTTTTATGAATGCTTTGTATCATTATCTCTGCAGCCTCACCTTTGGCGTCATCACTTGTGTGACTGGTGTGCTGGGTGTCAGTGCTGGGGTGGAGATTTCCCGGCGCTGGCGCCGCACCAACCCTCGTGCTGATCCCCTGGTGTGTGCAACTGGACTGCTGGGCTCTGTCCCCTTCCTGTTCCTGGCAGTGGTGACCGCTAAGCAGAGCATCGTTGCCACCTACGTGAGTTCTCCCCAACTTTCACTTGTTAATTTGGTACAGCCCCTGGAGGTGCTGCCAGCTTTCTTGTGGCAGTGTCCATGGTGTGGCATGGTGGGTACCGTTGCCTGTCCCACTACTGCCCATCCTGTGCTTTTTAAACTTTTGTACACTGCTTTGGAATCTTAAAAAATAAAAAGGATGTTAAAAACAAAAATAATACCGTCTCTTCTCTTCACCCCTCCTTCCTCTGCAGGTATTTATTTTCATTGGTGAGACCCTCCTCTCCCTCAACTGGGCCATAGTGGCGGACATCCTTCTGGTGAGACTGTGGGGAAGAGGCAGTGTGCAAAACTCTAGACTTTTATTTCATTTGCAGAATTGCACCGTTCTCATTTGCCTTCCCACGTGGTGGTAGCCAGGGAGAATCAAGTAGAGTGAATCAGCCCTGGATTTAACTGTCCATTGACAGTGGTTTTGTTTGTTTTTTTAAACTTAGTTCTGTTGAGAATTCACAAGATATCCTCAGGCAAATCTCTTTCCCTCTAATGAAACAATAATTCTGGCCTACTCTAGGGAGGAGTTAGAAGTATTGCTGCGAGTGTGCACCTTGGGCATCCCTCCAGGGCTCCTGTGCTCACGGTAGATAGCAGGGTAGTCAGTGTAGTGTTTCTTACAGCTCCAACATGATGGTTTCTCCTCCCTTGTGCTGCCCAAATCCCTATCCCATTTTGGCTGTGCCACTGTGTCATAGATCCACTGGCGCAATGGTTCACGGGTATATATTTATGCCACCACAATTGCTATCTGGCATGGCAGTTGGCATGGTGTACAGGACTGCACCTCTGTGCTGCTTTTCTACAGAGGACTACATGAGCTTCTGGGGGCTTCTGGTCCCCTTTGTCAAATGTGCTAAGTGAAATCCTCAGTTTGCAAGAGTGTGTATCACACCAAAGTGGGTATAGAATAAAAGAGGAGCAAGATGAAGGGCAACCAGAAGAGGCTTAGCAATGTGTGTGAGAGAGTGGCTTGTAATGGCTTTATAGTTATGTGGGGAAGCAACCGTTTGCTGTCCAGCAGAGGGCACCAGTAAATCAGCTGTATTCTCTTCCCAGTATGTTGTCATCCCCACACGCCGATCCACAGCTGAAGCTTTCCAGATCCTGCTGTCGCATCTTCTGGGTGATGCTGGGAGCCCTTATCTCATTGGCCTGGTAAGTGCTTGGACAGCGAGAAGGCACTTCTGGTCAGCTTTTCAAAGCTTGCGACTTCCGAGGCATTCTACCCATCAAGTAGCTCCTCTTTTCTCTGTCATCAGCCGCTTGCTCTTTCCCAACATTTAGATCATACCTTGCAAGGCTCACGCAGCTGTATTTCTTGGGCCAAAAGAGCCCAGGCTGATCCTGCAATATTTGTTCAGGCCGAGCGAAATTGATGCATTGCAACCTTGTGCAATATTAACCTCCCAGGACCTAAGCTCAGCTGTTGAAGCTCTGCTCCGGGTGATCATCTTAAGAACAGACTGTTTTCCATTTGGGAGCAGGGCCTTCTTAATAGCGACTCCGGAGCTAAGACTCTCTCAAAATGTTTCTTGTATGTTGCCTGCCAAGCTGTGTTTGGAGGCATGTAAAAATGTGTTTATCTTGCCAGGTCTTATGAGAGTTAACTGGAAGTGTGCTCTCAAGTTTGTATTAAATAATTTTTTATTTTATATGCTTGTACTGTGTGGCTTTGAAAAATGTTAAAATAGTTCTATTGCCTGTCAGCCACTTCGTAGTCATTCTTGTTAAAAGCCAGCATCAATATAAATAATACATACAACATTAGCAGATACTCTGTTTTGGAAAGAATTTTGTTGGTTTAGAAGTACTGCATCTTCGATTCCTTTAGGCGAGTTTTGAGCAACAGCACACTACAAACCAGGGGAGAGAGAGAGAGAGAGGGAGAGAGTGGTTGAGTGGTAGGGATGGGTTTTGCCACTCATTGCCTCAGCAATGCTATGTGCTAGGAAATAGCACAAGCAATAAATAACACCAGCAATTTCCAATTCTGCCAGCTTTCCTATTGGTTGTGCCGCTCCACTTGACACTGCATAATGGTGTGCATGTTCTTTTGCTGAATCCCTTTTCCAGATCAGTGACCGAATCCAAGATGATCGCCCCCAAACATTCCTGTCGCAGTTCCGAAGCCTTGAATATGCGCTTATGGTCTGTGCCTTTGTGGGAGTTATTGGTGGCGGCTTCTTCCTGGCTACGGCTTGCTTCATCCAGGCAGACCGTAAGCGCACAGAGCTGTATGTACAAGGTAAAACCTCTTCCCTCCATTGGCCAGTCAGAGTTGAGATGTTAAGGTCTGTGAAGCCTGGCACAGAACTGCTGCACCAAGCATGCACCCCAGTAGCAAAAACGATTGTGGGTTGCTTTAGTAGTGGCTCTGTGTCATGAGGAAGCCACTCATCTCCTGTGGCATGATAGAACTTTCCTGGAAAAAGAGGGTGGTCTGGTGTAACAGCCAGTTATGAGTTAGGATGGAAAGGGAAGGCGTCCCACAAATGTGGGTGTCCAGGGAGCTTCCCTGTGTGATTTTAAATTGCCCAACAAGTGTTTGTCAGGGACAACAATTGTTATTACCTCACTTTGGAAGCATCTTTTTGATTTAGAATGCCTTGTCCCCCACGAAGAAACCTTTTTGGGCAATTACATGAGCAAGCTTTTGGCTTCTGCCACAGTTTCACCTCATAACTTTGCTGTAGTGGCTGCAGCTGAGTAGCGACAAGAGGAATTTCTGAGTAGCAGGGGTGGCACATGTCTTGATAAGTCCTGTGTGTTAGGAAGTGTGCATGACCATGTAGGAAATCAAGGGAGGACAACCAATCAGGAGCCTCCTTTCCTCTAACCTGAGGCTGGCGCAGCCTCTTTGGACAAACACCTCTGACCCTGTCATGCTCTTTCTCCCTGCAGGGCAATTTCACGAGTCACCTGAAGGAGAAGATCGCATTGTTGTTCCTCAGGGTGGGCGACCCACCAAAGTCCCTGTCTCTAGTGTCCTGATCTGAAGCCCGCCCCACTTGGTTCCTTCAATCTGGGAAAGAATGATGGACTTGTGATCAGCTGAGCATGGCACTCACAGGGAGATGAGGACTCTCTGAATGGACCCAGGCGGGTGGTTTTGTGGGCAACAGGGGAAGATCAGTTTTTTGTGTCTGTGTTTCTGGGATTTTTATAAAGCACTAACTTTATCAAGAGTCATGTGGTGTTTTTCAGATGAACAGGATGAAACAATGAAACCCTTCCCCCATCTCTGCCTTCTACTTTAATGGTTTTTCAAGGGTTCCCAGAGGCTTTTTCAATGGTGTTCCCAATATATGTGATTTCACTTACATTGTGGTGCCTCAGAACGTAACCCCTCGTATATGGGGAGTTGCCTGTATGTCACAAGAGGTCTAGGAGAAGGCAAGTAAGGGGTAAACTGGGGCACATTAGCTGTTGCAGCAGGAGAGTTTTCAAAAGCTTTTATGCAGGGGGAAAAACTAGAAGTGGCTCTAACTCAGCTTTTAATAAATGTTAGGGAAGAAATCAGAAAAAGTTTTTTTTTTATTCAAGAAACCTCTGCTTTAGTAGTAGTAACTACATCTTACTGACTTCAGAACAGAGTTAGTCATGAGGGATACTTTTAAAAATAAAAAAATCCTGAAGCTTCTGTTCTGGCCTATTTGGTGTTCCAAAGGTTCTTGCCTGTTAAGACTGTGTTGTCTTACTTTGAAGCGTCAAGAACATGTGCAATCAGAAATTGGGTGTAGTCAAAAGTTTCTCTTCGAGATCCAGAGGATAAGGTGCCTTGTTTTCTGTGTGTTTTTGCTTCTGACTTACATTCTTGCTGAAAACCATCTCGGCTAAGGAAGTAGTGCAGTGAGGTGATGTCACACATTTGGTGGATAAAGGCTGGCTGTTTTGCACATGCACGTCATCACTTGATGGCTGTCCATTGAGGCGGCGGGGGGGGGCATTCATTTGTGAAATCTGCCTAATTGCAAAGTTGGAAGGCATTTTTTGTGACCCTGTAGCCATCTGACTTGCATAAGTGGTTTGGCTCACGTGCTTGGTTCATTAAGTGAAGCTGCATTGTGTTGCAGTGACCTTGATGTGATACAAATTATCTTGAAATTATTTCTTTTGTTTTCAGATTGTGGTGCACCGGGATGTAAAACCAGGTGTCTTCTGTAGAGACATTCCAGTGGAATAGCTAGGTTGTTGCTCTTTGTTGCAACAGATTCAGGGCCCAATCTAGAAGAGCCTGTGTGAGATAGACAGATAGATAGATCTGTCAGCTGAGGATAACATGCCATGCAACTAAGGAAGTGAGCTCTGGCCCATGAAGGTTTATGCGACTATAATAAACATACTGGTTTTTGAGGTTCTTTCTTTCAGATCAAAATTAGTTTCTTTATGGGTTGCTTGGGTATGGTTTATTACTGGTTTTGAAAGATGCCCCACCACCACCTATAGAGGCCCTTCTATGCTTCGGAACAGATGTTGGCTTGAGGTCAAAGGTGTGTGTGATGATTTGCATGCCTGTTATTCCTTGAGGAATGAATGGTGGTCTGTAGCATTTGCAGGTTGCAAAGAATGGAAATGAGATTTGAATTGCCCTTGTGGAGGGCTTGGAGGAAACCCCCAGGGGCTTAGTGGAAGAATGAGAGTCTCTATTGAGATTGTCTCTAGTACAGTGCTACCTCGGGTTAAGAACTTAATTTGTTTTGGAGGTCCGTTCTTAACCTAAAACTGCTCTTAACCTGAGGTACCACTTTAGCTAATGGGGCCTTCTGCCGCCACGCCGCCAGAGCACGATTTTTGTTCTCATCCTGAAGCAAAGTTCTTAACCCGAAGTACTATTTCTGGGTTAGCAGAGTCTGTAATCTGAAGCATCTGTAACCCGAGGTACCAATGTACTTCATATCAGCCGTGTTTCTTTGCCGGTTGGGTGGGGGAAAGCAGGGTGAGATACATTGTTTTTTCCACTGCTCAATTCACAAAGAGAGGCTGGTGAATCTCTTTCCCGTAGATTTGTTTCATGTCAGCAGAAGTGCCAAATGCCTTTTCCTGGACTGTACCATCTTTCTTGAAGAGCAGGGAGAGGGTTGTAAACTTCTCTGCACATTGAAAAACAGCAGGTTGAGAGGTTGGGTCAAACCCATCTTGCCATTTGGGGGGTGTGTGTGTGTGTGTGTGTGTGTGTGTGGAGTTCTACAAGATGTATGTTTAACATGCTTTGCAAGCCAGAGTGCTGTGAGGTAAGGAGAAGTTGGTTTCTTTTTATTTTCTATTTCCTATAAAAAAAGATGCCCCTTCAATCTCACATCATGTATAAATGGGGCACATATCTGGATAAAATGCACATGCCTCACTGCCTCCAGCTTGGCATGGAGATGTCATTTATTCTTTATGTATAGGAAGGCTCCCCACCCTCAGAAAAGCATTGAAATGTGCAAATTGCGTACACACCCCTGCAGCCTGAAATGGTACAGTCCAGAAAAGGCTTCACCACTTGATTTTACAGTGGTACCTCGGGTTAAGTACTTAATTCGTTCTGGAGGTCCGTTCTTAACCTGAAACTGTTCTTAACCTGAAGCACCACTTTAGCTAATGGGGCCTCCTGCTGCTGCCACGCCGCCAGAGCATGATTTCTGTTCTCATCTTGAAGCAAAGTTCTTAACCTGAAGCACTATTTATGGATTAGCACAGTCTGTAACCTGAAACGTATGTAACCTGAAGCATATGTAACCTGAGGTACCACTGTACTGAGCGTATAAAACTTGTCCTCTGGTATATCTGCATACAGGGCCCCTTCTGTCCTTGGGAGAGAACTTATGAGTTACACATTTCTCAGAGCACGTTCCGGGGTGTCTTGCAGTTGGGAGGAGGCAGGTAGATCTGGAACAGATTTAAGGATTGGCGAAGTCTTAGAGGCCCCCTTGATGTCTGGCTGATATCTCCAGAGCTTCTGAACACAACAGATGTACCAAGAAGATGTGCCTTCTCTTCCTCCCCCAAATGTCATAATTTAGTGCACCTGCCCTTCGACTTCCTGCTGGCGGCTGTGGTGCTTCCTTCCTGCCCAAGCAATCGAACAGCAGCACCGTCTCAGCCACAGCAGAGAAAAGAAGGCTCCATCCAGGCGTGAACTGGGAACCCCAGATGTGAGTTTTCACTGATGTGAGTGAGGAAGAGGAGGTGGAGGCAGTGGTGGTGCATGAGGAGTACTTGGGTGCTGACCCTTGTCGTGGCAATATATCCTAGGTGGTTGGATTCTGGTCCCTGGGTCCCGTGGTGGAAGGAGCTGAGTTCCAGCTTCTGGGATTGTGCAGGGGGCACAAAGAGGAAGGAATGGCAGTACAAATGGCTGGGCTGAGGGGGGGGGGGATTCTGGGGGGAGGCTGAAAAGACTTTTTCATGTGGGTGTTAGTTTGGAGTCTGACTTTTTTCCTCCTGAGCGTCCCAGTGAGTGTAGTGTAACCAGTGACCAGGACCACTGACTCAAGTTTGAAAGAATTCAGTTTTGACACTGCAAAATATAGAAATAATTGAAAATGATGTGTTGGAAGTCATTTGGACCTACACTAAAGCTGTGTAGTCATGCATTAATAAACCGTTTAGTTCATTTTGGCTATAATTTTGGGTCTGTGGCCCTTGTTGCTGGCTAGGCTGTGCCCATTGCCCCACCAGGGTACGTAGGAATGCAAATTCAAACCCAGATTAACAACGGGAAGCAATAAATTGTTTTTCTTCGTTGCACAGAGTGCTTCTTTTCCTGCTCTGTGCCTCCCCCACCCCTGTTCTGATCGCAATCTTTTTTCTGTCTTGCTACTGCATTCACGCTCTCCTTCCCTCGCTCCTATTTATCCATCTCTGACAGTGGGTTCGCTTTGAAGGGTGTGGGGCATAATAAACGAGTAACGCTATGTAGAAGAGGGCAAAAGAAATAGAACAGACACATCCACATAATAACCTCCCTTGAATTTTGGCCTGGCACCCTCCGCCCCCCAACCAACTTTCCCACCCCTTCGTTTTGCCATTTTGCTCCAGTTCCCTCCAACAAGCCAGTTTCTACCCAGTAACGGAACCCGTGGTTTGTGGTCACTTTGGCTTGTTGCCAGCGCTCCAATCAAGTGGCGAAGAAGTGGGGAGACACTGTGTGTGTGTGTGTGTGTGTGTGTGTGTGTGTGTGTGTGTGTAAGGAGAGAGTTTGGCATTATTCAGAGGTGTCAAACGGTAGGTTTCTCATAGGCCCCATCCCTTTCCCTGCCCCCTCCCACCTACTGAATCATGAGTGGCGCCTAGAAGGTCTTGGCTAACTTCTGTTCTCCCCCCTCCCCCCAAGCAAGACATTGCAACCTTGCAGCTGCAGAGTTGCAGCTGCAAATTCCCTCCCACGGCACCCACAACACAGAGCGAGGCTTTTGCACTGGCGCCCAAATCCGGCTGTGGGTTGTTGTCACTGGCGTGAGTCACCCCTGCTCCCACTGCTGTTCCCACACTCTTTTTTTCTTCTTCTATGCTGGGGGAGGGGCGCATCAAAGAACCTTCACTTACAACCTCAGGCTTCTGGAACAGGTTTTCTCTGTGTAGGAAATGTGGCATGGAATGTAGTATCTGGTAAAACATTTGGATGGTTGTGTGTGGAGGTTTTTATTAACAACATTTATACCCCAATTAGGAGCAGCAGAGGCAGCTGCTTTAGACTGAATCAGACTGTTGGTCCATCTTGCTCATTACTGTCAACACTGACTGGCAGCAGCTCCCCAGGGTTTCCCAGCCCTACCTGGAGAAGCCTGGGATTAAATTTGGAATGTTCTGCATGCAAAGCAGATTCTCCACCACTGAGATATAGTCATACCTTAGAAGTTGAACAGAATCCATTCCGGAAGTCCGTTTGACTTCTGAAACGTTCAAAAACCAAAGCACGTCTTCCGATTGGCTTTAGGAAGCTCCTGCAGCCAATCGGAAGCCCCGTCGGACGTTCAGGTTCCAAAGAACGTTCGCAAACCAGAACACTCATTTCCGGTTTTTGATCGTTCGGGAGCCGGAACGTTTGACTCCCAAGGTGTTCGGCAGCCAAGGTACGACTGTACTGCCCTTCCTCAATAGTAGTAAAAAAACTGAAAACATTAAACAATATTAACTGTAAAAGGGATTAAAACATGGCAACTTCTATCTGTCTGGATAGGCTTGCCAAAACAAAAACGTTTTAAGCAGGTGCAAAGAAGAGGTATGAAGAAAGGCAATCCTGCATGTAACCTGCTCCCAAATGCTGAAGGGCTTTATATATGAATAGTAATACTTGGCCTGGTAGCCAGTGAGGATTCAGTGCAGGTCTCTGAGCAAAAGTACTATATGCAGCGAGGGTCTCATTCCTGCCAGCAACTGTACTGCACTAACTGAAGTTGGCGGGTTCAGTTCAAGGGAAACCCCACATAAAGTGCATTGCAGTAATCCAATCTTGAAGTCACCAGTGCCTGAATTACTGTAAATTCTCCCAGACCAGGAATGATCAAAGCGCATTTTGTACCATACACAGCTGGCAAAAGACACTTCTGGTGCCTCAGGACATGCCAACACCCAAGTATAGAAGTGTCAGCTCCAAGTAGCTAGCTCTATGATGTTCTTTCATTCACGATGGAGATGTCTCCACTATACCTCCTAACCCAGCAATTTAATCCATGTACGTTTCTAGTCCACAGCAATCTTTTTTAGTTGGAGTACCTTGACAAAAAAAGGGATGCGGGTGGCGCTGTGGGTTAAACCACAGAGCCTAGGGCTTGCCGATCAGAAGGTCGGCGGTTCGAATCCCCGCAACAGGGTGAGCTCCCGTTGCTCGGTCCCTGCTCCTGCCAACCTAGCAGTTTGAAAGCACGTCAAAGTGCAAGTAGATAAATAGGTACCACTCTGGCGGGAAGGTAAACGGCGTTTCCGTGCGCTGCTCTGGTTCACCAGAAGCGGCTTAGTCATGCTGGCCACATGTAAGCTGTACGCCGGCTCCTTGGTCAATAAAGTGAGACGAGCGCCGCAATCCCAGAGTCGGTCACGACTGGACCTAATGATCAGGGATCCCTTTACCTTTACCTTACCTTGACAAAACCTATGTCCATTTTTAAATTATTTTGTTTACATCTGTCTCTCTTCCCTGGAGCTCAAGGAGGTGTGGGGAGGGTTCTAGCCAATCTCCCATCCAGACCCAGGCCAGTTTGGCTTCAGCACAGTGGCTGCCAAAGGTGCCTTCAGACTAGGGGTGAGGGAGAAATCCAGTTCAGTTGGCATTTGTCTGTTGGCATTAAGTGAACATACCTAATCCACACTTTCTGAAGCTGTACATGAACTCAAACAAAGCCATCTTTTGAAATTCGCACTCTTAGGAATTTTGCAATGCAATTCTCTAACCAAGCAGTGCATAACAAAATGCGTATACTGGGGTAATGTGTGCATTTAAAAGGCATGTACAAGGGAAAATGCATTGTGTTAGGGGAATCTGCATTGCAAAACTATGTGTATTTAGGGAAATGAGTGAGTTCTCCACACACAAACATACTGCTCCTTTCAGGCAGTTGGGTTATCAATTTGGGTTTCTCTCTCTTTCTCATTTTTACAGTCTTATGTTCAGTTCTCTGCATTAGTTTGCAATTTTTTAAAAAATCCTCAAGAAAATTGATCAGCACTTTAGTGAAAATGTCTCCTAACAGACACCTCTGAAAGCAATTCTGTTAGCTAACTTCCCTCTCTATTCCCCATCATGGTCACTTTTGTGGCAAACCATGATGCTGTTGTCTGTTGTCTCTTGCTCAAATCCAGAATGTGTATACCTGCCTTGGCTTTGTGAATTAGCATCCTGCTGAAAGGTACTGTGGATCATAGCCTAGAACGCCATTTGTATCTCCAAGCTTGTATTGAATTTGGGGGTGGTCCCTCCTTTCTAAAGCCTTCTTGAACCACCCACCCCAACCATTTTCTTTCGGCCCAGCCTCTTGGAGATTTCTTGTGCATCCTGCTGCTACATGCAGTTAAGCGGTGTGTCAATTGGGTTATTTCCACAAGACCACTGCTCGCTCTGCTGTGCTCCCTCCTGTTAACGCCTCCCTGGCTGAGCTGTGGGGATCTCTGTGGTCTATCAGTAATGGTGGGATTAGCACATGCATTTGAAAGAGAGCTCTCTCTGCGCTATTGATTGCCTTCCAGCTGCAAATTCATAAGGGAACAATGTTGCGTAAGGCTCAGTATCTCTGTGTACACAGGGCAATGGTGAGGCCCTATAGGCCATGTTGTTCCATCCTGAGCGAACAGAGTAGTTGGCCTACAATGTTTCCCTAGAGCCAGCCTATCCGCAGACTCAAACAGCAACTTTTTGGGACCCAAATCCCCCAGAACGCAGGCTGGTGCAGAGGAAGGGGGCAGCCAAGGTCTCGGAGGGCTAAGCCAGCTGGGGGCCCCCTGAAAGACTTAAGCTGCCGTGCAAAAAATGCCCTGGGCCTCTCAGCCAACCAGGGACTCTCGTCTTGGCCTCAGACAAGCTATGCGCAGGCCTGCTGGGGTACCTGCCTAAGCTATATAAGTATCGTGGAGATAACTTTTTGCTACAATTTTGGGAGTTTTCTCCCCCTCTTTTTTTCTTTGCTTCCACAGACGGATGCCAGCCACTGGCAAAATTGGGATTCTTATATCTGTTTATACCCTAGGAGTTTGGGATAACTAGTTAGTCTAGCTAGAGCAGAAAAACACAGTGCACAAGACTATCAATGAGTTGCTTACTGAAATGCCATAATGAAAATTATATACATTTGCAAAGCATTCACTGAGACAACATGATGTGCTACTCAAATAATAAAAAATGAGGGATGGCTTTTAAATTTGACTGAGGCAGAAAAAAAGCCTTTCGTTTTCCTTTGTGATTTGCCAGCGCTTCATTGGCAGATGGGCAAGAATTATTGGCAGGCAGGTAGAAGGCTGTAAAAAGGATTCCCTGATAGGAAATTTGAAGAGCATTCTTGTAGTGCAGGCCTGGCAAACTTTGTGTTTTTTAGAATCTACTTCAGATTTTTGCTAGAATCCCACAGTTCACTGGCCAGAGGTGAACATAAAACAGTAGCTTGGGTCAGAGTCAGACACAAAATGGGTGGCCAGTGGGGTGGAGCCAATTATTTCTTGAACCCCATGAGCCATACAGTGGAACGACCTTGCATATATAAATAAAAATTAGCAGGTGGCTGTAAAACTGGAATTCTAACCTAAATTTGGAGCGGGGAATCTTTTTGTTAAACTGTTGCCGGGAGTGAAAAACACTTGCCAATCTATTGCCAATCATTCCACGGTCTACCAGTTGAGATGTCCACACTTGCTAAGGCTTTGGCCTGAAGAACAGCAACCAAGACACTCCTTCCTCTACCTGTTGGATACTGAATGTTCAAGTTCCCATTCAGGAAGAGAGAACAAATGCCTCTCTGCTGCCCTGTCTCCTAATATTCCAGCATTCATCAGGCCTAGCGAAGGGGCGACCACTTCACAATGTAAGCAAGCCCAAGCTGGTCTCCCCCCACTCCGCTATCTTTTGTGACATGCTGCTGCTACATAGTGTGAAAATCCACCCAAACGCTGTCAAAACTCGAAATAAATTCTGAATAAGACATTTCAATAAGCTGAATTTTCTGGGTGGATAGGGACCGGGACAAACAGTTATATTTGGTTTCATTATCTGTTTAACACACACCGAGAACTTGAATTTGGCTCTTTCCCCACAGGGCTATTGACATGTTGTGCCGCTAAGCTGCTCAATGCTGTTTTTCACCTCGGAGTTTGCACCTGCCCTGACTCCAGGATACTGCTACTGTCCCCCTTGCAGGTGGCATGGATGCCTCGCACACGGGTGACATCTTCTGGGTGCTGGCATTTACTGTCCCACTTCTGGTGATTCTACTTGTGCTTTGCATTGACTGCCGGGACCCTGAATTAGACAGTTAAGTCTCTTCCGCCCTCCCCAAACTTCCTTTCCCCGAGGAGCAAACAGTTCCTGACTTCTCCATTCATTGCTCTCACCCCGGTGAACTTCTTAATTACATTGGTGTCTCTTTCCCTCTCTCACAACAGCACAATCTGTTGATGATTACCAGTACAAGTAAGTTCGTGACTGACCGGGTTTTAATTTGAGGGTAAAATTGGGGGGGGGGTGCAAAACCAGAGGTTGGGGAGGTTTGGAAAATGGATGCATGTTCTAAGGTGGCCAGATGCAACGGGCAGCTTCTACCCCAGAAGGAAAAGGTGCATTTCTTAACATTTCTTCTCTTTTGCACCACTAGGAAGGTACAGATGTCCTGCCTTCTGTCTACTCCCCTCACCCCAACTCTATTATACAATTCCCAAAGTCGCAAAGCACATGGATACTGCATGAAGGCCACTTTTAGATACAGTGGAGGAAAGAGAAATTGTTTGTGGTGTTAGCATGCAGTGCTTTTGCATGCAGAAGGTCCCAGGTTCAGTCCCTGGCATCTCCTAGTAGGGCTGAGAAAGACTCTGATGTGAAACCTTGTACAGCCCATGTCTGTCAGTATAGACCAGGGATAAGGAACCCTGTGGCCTTCTAGATGTTGCTAGACTATAATAGCCCCTGGCTATTGGGAGGGTGGGCTTGAAGCTGGTGGACGTTGGGAGTCCCAACAGTAGCTGGAGAGCCTTGGGTTCCCCATCCATGGTGCAGGCTGCTCTCTACAGAGTAAGATGGACCAATGGCCTGGCTCTGTAGAAAACAGCTTCTGATGTTTCATCCAAAACCTGGAAGGGGAGATTTTATTGTGCTATTTTGGGGAGCAGATTGATATGTCTCTCAAGCATGATTCCTGTACTGTCCATGAAGAGAAGAATGATTAATGTATTGCCCCCACAGGCCTTCAACTAGTGCACGTTCGAGTTCAACCTTCAAGTTGATACGTCCTCCCTGTGAGTAGCTGCCCATTCAGTGCTATTTTAAAATTGAGGTTTTAAGAAAGGCTGGCTTGTAGTCTCCTGCTTTGTCTGCTCTTGGTTGTTGTTGTTATTGTTGTTACTACTACTACTACTATTACTATTATTATTTATTACCATCACTGAAGACTTTGGGAAGCTGATACAGCCATGTGGGGTCTCATTGAACAAATCTGCCCCACTGTTCTGCCTCAACACCACCACCACCACCTCAACAAGCCACAGTCTTACAGGATTCCTAACAATATCCTCTGCTCCAAACTTACAACTTTTAGATCTGAAATGCCATTGATGGCTATGCTCTGCCTCCACAGTTGGAGGCAACTATACTTCTGAATACTAGTTGCTGGAAATCACAGGAAGTGAAAGTGCTATTATGCTCAAATCCTGCTTTTGGATTTCCCACGGGCATCTGGCTGACCACTTTGTGAACAGGATGCCAGACTAGATGGGCCATTGGCCTGATCCAGTAGGCTCTTCTTATACGCTTAAATTCAACAAGGCATGGTCTTTTGGCTCATTGCCAGTCAGACACAAACTACATGTGATACTAATTTGTGAGAATGTCAGATTTTGTTTATTTAATAGCCATGAGCTGCTGTGCATGTGACTCCCCTCTCCAAATTTTCATTGGGAGCCCCCTCCCTCAGACTAATATAATAGCTGTGGTGAGGTTAGGGGGCCTATTTCCTTACTTATTTTATTAACAAAACCCAACTTCCACTTAGTGGTTTTCCTAAAACCTTACCACTGCCAACATTTAATATCACTTATACCCTTTGCACTTTTAACACACCAATAATCCTAATGGTAACTCTGCGATATAGGCGTGGTCCGTAGTTACTATATTTAACAAAGGTATTAACATCTATGTATTGCAAGCTTCTCTAGTGCACCAGCTTATGCGGTAGCTTTAATATACAGTAGTACTGTCTTTTTAGATGGTTATATACTGTATTAATTTGTTAGTGTTACTTCGATTCCAAAAGCTTACTTTGTACTACTATTACAGCTTTGAGAAAGCGGTTAGTTACCCCATTAAAACACTTTTGCCAGATTGCCCTTGTATTTACTTCACCCTGGTTGTGCCTCACCAACACTATAACTGAGGACTTTTACTGCAGCCTTTGTTTTAACCCCTACTGACGTACTGAGAAGCACGTCTTCTTTTACTGTACAGTCATACCTCGGGTTACAGACGCTTCAGGTTGTGTTTTTTTGGGTTTTTTGTTGTTGTTTAGTCGTGTTCGACTCTTCGTGACCCCATGGACCAGAGCACGCCAGGCACTCCTGTCTTCCACCGCCTCCCGCAGTTTGGTCAAACTCATGCTGGTAGCTTTGAGAACACTGTCCAACCATCTTGTCCTCTGTCCTCCCCTTCTCCCTGTGCCCTCCATCTTTCCCAACATCAGGGTCTTTTTTGGGTTACAGACCGCCAAAACCCAGAAGTACTGGAATGGGTTACTTCCAGGTTTCGGCGGTCGCGCGTGCGCAGACGTGCAGACACAGGTTGTGAATGCTGCGGGTTGCGAATGTGCATCCCACACGGATCACATTCGCAACCCAAACGTCCATTGTAGTGGAATCTATACTCTTGCTTTCCTTCCAGACACCAGAGTCCAGCAGCCAAAAGTGTCATTCACCTCTGCCCTCTTGGCAGAGGTGGAGCTAGCTGCTCTGGCACCCGGAGCAGTGCACATGCTGTGCACCCAGGGGCGGGGCTAGCCGGGCCCACGGTGAGTGTCCCTCAGGGATGACACCCGGGGTGGTTAGCCCCCCCCACCCCTCTTCTTCCGCCACTGCCTCTTGGTGCTGTAAATGATGAGTTGTTCCTCTTGGCTCTTCAGCCTAAGCCAAGTGATTCACCTGACTTACCCCAGCCAGTCTTTGGCCACTCTGCCTTCCCCTCAGGTCTTCTTTCCTCTTCCGTGATCCAGCCTGGACTGAGCTCCTTGACTGGCCAGCACCCAGCTTTATAGTCCCTCAGTCTAGCCCCAGCCAATCACGCTGTCTAATTAAACATTCTAAACCTGCAACCACCAACCAGAATATGCGTATCTTCTATCCTTCTTTTGCATACTGAGAGTTCCATCTCCAGCTCCTCCTCCGCTGTCAGTTAAGGTCCCCCACTGACAGTTAAACCAGCTTTTACCTGACCAGAAAGAAGACTTCCCCCACCAAACACACTGCAGTGTACATCAGAATATAAATGACAAAGCACACCACTCAACACACTTTGAAACACTGGTGAAATGAGCAGGATTTCTTCACAACAGTGCAGGGGAAAGCAATTTTAATTGGGATTGTAAACTTCTCAAACTGCAGCCCTGATTTATGTATTGAGGGCTCCTGTAACTTTTACATCTTCTTAAAAACTTTTGAAAAACTTTGCTACCAGATGCCCATGGCTGCCCATCAAAACATATTCCCTTATGGTTTGCAAAACAAAACTAAAACACAACATCATAATTTTAAAACATTTAAAAATGTGCTAACACAGCATAAAAAATTGGAGGAAAATGCGATCCGTTAGGAATTTACCAAATGCCGCTTATACCATTAGAGCTCAGATCTTATGTTGTTTTAAAATTCAAATTGTTTTTAAAGGCATGGATGGATAAAAGCAAATTTCTCCCCTTGTGCCAAAAAGGCCACAAACCTGATGGTAAGCAGCTCTCTCTGGGGAGGCCCTTTTGGAGCAGAGGTGCCACCACCAGAAAGGCCCTCTCCCTAGAAGCTGCCCCCTCCTGTAGCCTGGCAGGGCCGATGAGGTAGGGCCTCTGGCTCTGAAGAGAGGAACTTAAGGTTTGAGTGCGTGTGCATTTGGGAGAAGACAACCTTTCAATTTACCTGGTCCTCCCAAGCCATTAAAGACTTGAGTGTGGCCTTTGTGCTGCTGCTGCTTTTTGGGGGGTGGGGGTTGGGGCATGGAAGGTGAACCAAAAGCTGGGATCTCATGCAATCCTCTCAGGTGATGGCATCTGCGTTCTTCTCTTTCTTCAACCTTTCAGCCCCACCTTGGCCTGCCGTTTCATCCCAACCAGACACATGGAGGTAAGCAGTCCCTGAACAATTTGCGAGCTGCTTACTGAGCATCCGTCCATCCAGGCATCCCCAACACTACACACTTCTGTTTTGAGCAAAGAATTAGCTTGTTTCTGGGAGTGAGCACATGTGCTTGAAGCCTTGCCCTCTAGTACAGTGGTACCTCGGTTTTCAAACAACTCCGTTGATTAACATTTCGGTTTTCGAACACCACAAACCTGGAAGTAAATCCTTCCGTTTTCGAACACGCCTCAGAAGTTGAACATGCCACACAGCTTCTGCTGAGTGCAAGATCCTGAGGCCTAGATGTTGGCTATTGAGTTTTTGGTTTTCAAACGTTTCAGAACTCTGGAATGGATTATGTTCGGAAACAGAGGTACCACTGTATGTCTGCACACAAGCAAATGTATTTTGCGTGGGGGGGAACATCAGCACATCAGTCACCGCTGGTTTGTAAAGCTGTATGGGTACAATGACCACTCCCCACATCAAATGGGGGGGGTGCCTTTTGTGTGGTCGGGTGCAGCCCCCCACATCCCAGTGTGGCTCCCGGTAGTACGGGCTGGCTTCGCCCTCCCCAGGCTGGATACCTGGAGGTCTCTGCCTACCTCAGCCAATCGCCCAATCCTGCCTGGGGAGGCATTGCCAGGGGATCAACCAGGTAGGGGGAGGGACCGCTCTGCCCACACAACAGAAGGTGAATCTTACCTGCGAAGCGTCAGTTGGCTCCAGAGCTTCTCCCACCCTGCCCTCCCTCAGTTAAGCCTTATTTTGCAGTTTAACCTCTTCTCCACAGTTATGTGGGCGCTGCTATGTCATGGTCACTGTTGAAGGGCCGGAAAGGAATTTTCCTGCATTGGCAGGTTTTGCCTAAAATGCCACAACTTTGGCGGTTTTAGGCCTTGGGTGGAATCCTTTAGTCTATTTTCCTAAATGGGGTGTGTGTGTGTGTGTGTGTGTGTGTGAGAGAGAGAGAGAGAGAGAGAGAGAGAGAGAGAGAGAAGCGGTGACCCACACCCCCCTTGCGGCGGTGATCCCAGGGTTCCCCATTAAAGGGGTTTTGAGGGGAGGCATTGGCCATACGCCAAGAGGTTGTCATTGCTCTCCCCTGTGATGGCGGGGGGGGGGGGGCTCTCTGCTTGAACATATGTTCTCCAGAGCCAGCCCAATCCCCACATATTCTGGATAACCCTGATATCTCCCAGATCCCCGGCTGAGGACTGGGAAGGATAAATGCCCAATGCCTGAGCCAAGGTCTCCCTACATCTGAAACTTAATAAAGTTGTGGCCAATTTTAATCCCATAACACAATGTCTTGAGTTATTATTCCGCTCGGGGGTCGCCTGGGGTTGGGGGGACTTCGCCTGTCCACGCAATATTCCCCACTGCCCACAATGATCCTGTAGTTTCTTGAAAAATGTTGCTGTGTGTGAGAGAGTGTGAGTGTGTTCCTCCCAACCAGCTCTGATCTGGTTTGAAAACATAAACCGTGTAAAGACATCCATGCCCCACCCCCCAGTGGGGACAGACAGTGGGCAACTTCAAAACGCATCCAACTGTACTGATGTTTACATCAATGTACAAATGCGATTTGGAATGCAGTATGGGAGGGGTTAGCGCCCTTGTTATGCTGTAAGCTGGTAACTATTCACCCAGTATAAAAAATGCTGCATAAAAACCCATAAAGAAGCAAAGCAATAAACAGCAAAAGAGTAAGGCAGAATTCTAGCTCAGAGGTCCTCCAAAATGCTTGGGCAAATAAGAGTCTGTCTCTGAACCTTTCCCAGTGCACCACTTATTATTATTATTATTATTATTATTACTACCCCACCCATCTGACCTGGTTTCCCCCAGCCACTCTGGGGGGCTCCCAACAGAATATTAAAAACATGATAAAACATCAAACATAAAAAAGTTTCTAATATCTTTCACACAGGGTAGTTGATAAGAGAAAATTTAAAAAACCCTACATTTAGATGCAAAAGCATCACTTGCCTTCAGCTTCAGAGAATATCTCCAGTTGGCATTCTTCCAGCACCTATGGATTCCTCGTCAAAGTGGGGGTGATGGCTGGAATAAGAAAAGCATGTTGGGAGCATCATCTTGGTCCCCTTGTCATTCCATGGCTGCTTTCGTACCTGTATTTAACCCCTTTCCCTCTTTGTTCACAGGCACAGCAGATGCCCCCCATGCAGTCTTTCCTATCCAGCACCGTCATACAAAGTTGAAAGGGATAATGGTGAGTTGTGAAGGAAATGGTGTGGTGTGTGTTTTGCAAGGTTTAGGAAGTGGAGGGGTTGGGGGGCTTCTTTCCTACCAAAGCCTTTAAAGGGCAATGGGAGGCTGAGGTCTGGGAATCTAGCCATTGGGATGAATAGCCTTTTGAAGGTCTACTTCTATGAAATAGAAACGGGGGGATGAGGGGCAAATGGTCTTGGTCTGGGAAGCTGCAGGCACTCAGCAGGCTTAATCAGTGCCCTCCTTTTCTCTTTGTGGCATGTCCCCGTCTCAGAAAGCATTCCCAGTTATGAAAACCAAGGCGAAGGTGAGTAGGAATTATTGGTTTTAATGCCATTTGCTGGAACATACAGCTTGGCTCACTTGCATGAGTCATCTACTTGCTCTGCAGTTTTGCAGTGCTCTTGGACTTGACTGTGCCTCACTGTGACTGGATTCTGAAGGCTGGTTTTGGCTCAGTATGGGGTGGAGGTTCCCAGTATATGTGAATGTAAGCTCATATGCATATCATAATTCTGCTAATGGTCTCTGTGCTTCCAGTACAAGCTGGTGCCACTGATGATGAGGATAATGATGACAACTATGTCCCTCCGTACATGTAAGTCTTTTTTGGGGGGTCAGAGGTCAAACCTTATAATGGATTTTAGCTGGATCATTCATAGAAACCTGTTGGCACACTATGTGCTCTGCATCTATAAAGTCCCCAGCATCTCTGCTTAATGGATTATATGCCACCTTTCTTCCGCTTGCTCCATCAGTGTTGTTCACTGCTTAAAGCAGGGATAGGGAATGTGTGGTTGTTGGACCGCAGCTCCCATCAGCCCCAGCCAGCACAGCCAAAGGCCAAGGATGATGGGAGTTGTAGTCCAGCCAAATCTGGATCCTCTCCAGACTGTGCAGAACAGATTCCATTTTCTAAATCTGCATATTGCATACTGGCAAATTTACATTTGCACAACTACCGCGGACCAAAGCACTCTGCTGCTTTTGCACAACAAATCCACTTTGAAAAAAATTGCACATTTTGGAGTCGGGAAAGTGGTGGGAAAATATGAAATATTATATGAAAAATATTAAACCACCAGCAGTTAATATGTTATAAATGGATGTCAACACACAAACAAAAAAAATCTAAAACATCTAAAAACACCTTTAAAATGCAATTCCAGTACAGAGCTGCCTTGGCACTAGGATTAGCTGCGCAAGGCAGTATCCAAATGAAAATATATACCGTAAGCAGTGTTGGCCCTTGACCTCAGAAAACTGCTGCCAGTCCAAGCAGGCAATGCTGCATGAGATGGATTGGTGGGTTTCATTCAGCATGAGTCAACTGCTTATTTCTCGAATCAGTGCAGCACCAAAGCTTCTTTTCCCTTCTCTTCCACAGTGACGTGCTGCCAGATGCGCCACTTACAGATCAAGGCAATGAAGACGGTGCTTCCACAGGTGAGTTGGCAGCAGGTGGGATGGACTGACTCCCTCCTGGCATCGGGGCTGGGGTTCTCTTGGAGGGTGTTGTGGCAACCCATCTGTCTACAACCTCTTAAAATTCAGGGTCATCTAAATGTAGCATTTATCTCTCTCCCACCTTACAGCCAAGGAACTCAGAGGTGCTGTAAATGGCTGCTCCCCTCTCCCATTCAATCCTCACAGCAACCCTGCAGAGTAGGTTAGGCTAAGAGACAGTACCTGGTCCAAGATCACCCAATAAGCCTCTTGGCTGAGTGGAGATTGAACCCTGGTCTGCCAGGTCCTGCTGCAACACCCTAACTCAGTGATGGCCAAACTTGGCCCTCCAGCTGTGTTGGGACTACAACTCCCACCATCCCTAGCTAACAGGACCAGTAGTCAGGGATGATGGGAACTGTAGTCTCAAAACAGCTGGAGGGCCAAGTTTGGCCATCACTGCTGCATCACAGTGATTCTAAATGAGAAAGGAACTTGGGACACAGTTGGGAAAGGGCAGTGTTTGAAGTGCTTCCGGTTTTTCCTTTTCAGATTCCCTAGGGGAGCAGTATGAGAATGTGCTCGAGTGTGAGCGGAATTCGCCTGGTGAGTGTGGAAAGTAGATCTATGGGGCCCGGGTAGTCAGGAATGAGGGCATAGGATTGCATTGAAAATGGAGATGGGTTTGTACATGCCATGCTGGGCACAGCTGGACGTATCATTAGGCAGAATCAGGGCCAGGCAGAATCGGGTGGGTGGAAGGTTAATTTTTGGTGTCCCAGAGCATTCAGTGGCGCTTACTCCCTAGTAAGGGCATTTAGGGTTGCAGGCAGAAGCAACTAACGGAAAGATCCAGCCAATGCTGACCCCAGTTTTGCACTAGTTGCCGGAGACTTATATTAAAAAAACTTTGCTATGAGCAGCCTTGCTTCCAATATTTTTAAAAACCGTATAATAATTTGCATAGCTCCTGCAAAGCAGTATACCACCTTGGCAAAAATAAAAAAAATTCTATGTGCTGCAGGTTTCATTGTGCTGAGCAGATGGCCCACATAAGCTACTGTTTATGTGTCCATCCCAGAGGCTGAGTCAAGGAGCTTTGTGGTTGTGGAAGGGGACTTGAAACTGGGTCTTCTTGAGTTAAACCAGCTCCTTCGTGCTGTCTCTGCTGTGACTGAGCAAGCAAGAGGCACTGCTGAGGTGGGTGCAGTGCAGGGTGGTCCGTCAGGACAAACAGGACATTTCCCCACCAAGCTCAGTCTGTCCTCAGCCCAACCCCTTTGGACGACCTCCTTCCTTACAAGCGGTCCAAGAGGTAGTGCCATCTGCTGGACTCTTCTGCCTTAATTTCAGGGTTGCCTTTGTCAAACTCGGCAGGAAGGAAGGGTGTGGAGAAAACTAGAATGAGTTGGCTCCACCCATCACTGGGTCTAGCTCCCCCTACTGTTGACCTCCCTGCCTTCTGCCCACACAGTCCCAGTGGACACCAGTCTCTCCACTGGATGTACCTCAGAACCTTCATTAAATCTTCCATTTTCTCTCGCCGTCAAAGGTGACTATGTCAACGTACTAGAACCAGAAGCTACTATCATGGGTCCTTGTTTTGGTGAGTAGAAAAAGCCTGCTGTGTGGGCCTGCTAGGAAGTTCTCATTTAATTTCCCTATAGTCCCTCATTATCCATTTCTCTGGCTAATTGCCTGAGGGCTACGGGTGGGGCCCTATATCTCCCTGCCATAATTTTAAGTCCTTTTTCATTTTCCTGTAGTTGGCAGTGGCACCAGTGATCGGGAAAGTGAAGATGACACTCCAGACTATGAGAATGTCTGTCCTGGGCTTTGAGGTATCTGGATTATGGTGTCTGGGGCACGGGACGGATGTAGGGTGTGTGTATGGATGTGGCTTCATATATATGATAGAGGGCAACCCTAGAACCTGCATGCCAGCAATTACCTTTGAGCATTTGTAGACTCTTAACCAACATCTCTTTCTCCCTAGGTTAAAAGGTTCATTTGCCGGTTGCTCCAGTCACCTATATGCAGGATGCATTACCTGGTTGGCCTAAGGACACTGTCTTCCCAGTCACCCTCAAATATTGCCATAACTTATTGCCCTCCTTTGCACTTTGCCTGACACATCCTGAGAATTTTCCACAATACTATAGAATCTTGGTAGCAAGATTCGGAAGCTTGACTGTCCATGTGGAACTGGTCTTCTAACACTCCCCACCTCCCCAGCCCGCAAAGCATTCTGGGTTGTTTTATGTCTCTTGGCTAAATAAAGAACTGGTAATTCCATCATTGTTGTACTTGAAAGGGAATTGGTGCAGGATTATGGATGGGGAGAGATGCCTAGAAGGGTCTGAACAGTCTGCAGTGATCAGGTGAACAGAGAAGTCTTGGCAATTGCTAAACAGTGCACTGGGATCCTAACTTTGGTTTCTACTTCAGCTGAAATGAACCTTGGAGGTTCCTCGCTTCCTTGAGCACCGCAGCCTGCATTCAGTTACTTGGGACGACATTAGAGTATTAAAGACATTATGCAACATTATTTCTTCCTTGACTTGAGATGCTTACACACAAGGCTTTTAATGTGGAATTGCTGTGCTTCATCCACTCTTATTTATACTCCATCTTTCAGTTTTCAAAAGCGTGGCACCTAGGCAGTTTCCATCATTAAAGTAACAACCAGTGTTTTTTTTTTCTGGGGGTACGCAGGGGAAGGAAAACCCCTAATATTTTGTGAATCTAAGTTTTACCTCATTGAGGGGCAGTATTTCAATATGAGTAGGAAATTGGAGTACCCCTAAACATTTTTTTAAGGAAAAAAAGCACTGGTAACAAGTAATATTTTTTTTAAAATGAGCATTAAATCAAGCCGATCAAACAGATCCACAAGGAGACAGAAATTAAAGGAAGCCAAAAGCTTATCAGAATAAACAAAATTTATGGCTGCCTTCTAAACTCCAGAGAAACACTTGCCTGTCCTCTGTGCAACACAGTAGAGGATGATAGGGATGCAGGCTACTGGATTATTTTATTTTTGCTTTTCCTTAGATTCACAGAGTCCTGAAGCTATTGCTGCTCATTTTGTGAACAAGAGTCATATAATACCCACACCTGCCCAGCTCCATTCGCCTCTAAGTGGAACGTTGGTTGGGGGAACCTCTTCTGTTTACGAGGAGTTGGCATACACTGGTGGATAGAACAAGTCACAGCCACTGCCACTCTTAATCTTATCTTCCATGTTTTGTAGGCACAGGCCTCTTGGCGCGAGACCTTTGGGGCACAGGGTGATGCCCTGCAGCCAGGTTCTTGAATCGACTATCTGCCCGAGGCAAATGCCATTTTTATTCCCCACCCAAGTCACCACCAGCATTCAAGATAGGCCAGATATTTCTTGCATAATACCCATGGGAATACTGGGTAGGGACAACCACAGAGATAGAAAGGGTTGAGATAACAGGGGCAGTGCCCGGCAAGCACAAACACCCCGTTATCTTGGGGTGCCAGAGAGTGTTGAGGTGCCCTCAGTCTGCTGTCTCTGCTGATAACGGAAGCAGGCACGTAAGCCGTTCCCCCTTGGCTGTGTTTTGCTGTGCTGTAAGGGACTTCCACAATCTCCAGAAGAACAGTCATTGCTTGCAGGGATGGGCTTCTTCACATTGATCCTCCTCACCTCCTCCTGCTTCCTTGGAAAAGCCGGTGAGTTGCCTGTGTTGAAATTGAAGGAGGTGGGCAGCAAAGGCATCTTAAGAGTTGGAAGAGACTTTAGAGGTCAAGATCTAGTTCAGCCACCTGCTCAATGCAGGATGGCACTACTGAAAGGTTGCTGGTGGTACCAGTGGCCCTCCAGATGTGGCTGGACTACACTCCCATCATCTCTGACCATTGGCCGTGTTGACTGGGGCCGATGGGAGTCCAAGAACATCTGCAGGGCTATGGGTTATCCATCTCCAGACTGCAGCACCCCTGGCAGATGGTCCTCTGGACTCCAGCCAAGGAGTGCCCACCACTTCCCAAGGAAGTCAGTCTTAATATAGCAGTATTATTCACAATTATCCATTATTCTGAAAAGCAACATGCAACCACTTAAGCGGAGTGGTTGTAGGGGTTGGCACTTGGCATTAAGTGTTGCTGGGCTAGAGAAGGGAGCAGAGAGCAGGGGATGGACAGTGTTGTCTTTGTGACTTGCTTGTGAACCACCAGACACATTGTTTTTAACTACTGTCAGTCATCTGGGGAGCAACCTGGTGCCTCTGCAAGCTCACAAGCAAGGTTTGCTCCCAGCCTTTCAGTGCTTTAACACAGGTACATTACCTTTGAACATGGGGATTCCCAGTACTGTACTATATTTTTACATCAATATATATCAATAGATTGCAATCTTTGCAATCTGATCTTGTGGGCAGTTTTTGCTGCTAGGCAATTATCAATATAATTTGGCAGCCATTGAGCCCGTCTTTAATGTGGAATTAAGTAAACTGTGTGTTTCAAATAGAAAAACTTTTGCTTGCTCTGAACCTATTTATAATCAACACCATTGGGGTGGCTCAAGGTCTTTCCAGATGACCTGCTCATTTGTCCTGATTTGTTTGAGAGTTTAGATGGCCTTGCACCAAAGAAAGTGCAATCCAACGCTTTCGATGTGTTTCCTTGTCACTTTCCTTATCACAAGAAGTCTGACCTTTTGGGGAAGCAGGTTTGTTGCACGAGACCTCCCAATCCATTGCAGTTATGGGACCTGAATTTACCTGTATGTGACTAAATCTCACCCGAATACAGTGAAAGCCTGGAAGCAACCCCTGAATGAAGTTAAGTTGGCTTATCTGAATTAGAGCCTGGTGTTGTGTACGGTAACTTGACTGGCAAGAGCCTTCTAAGGATTTGGAAAAAGTCTCTTCTCAATCCTCTTAGCTGGCAAGCTTTTAGGTACAGATGCATGGATTTGAACCCAGGACAGTCTACAAGAGATCTGCTCACTTACTGAGCTATTTAGGCAAGATGGACCATGGAAGACTGATCACTGGATGATCTTTGGCTGTATGGCTTCTCAGTTTGATGCCGTTTAGGATGGTCCTTAGATTTCCCCAATAATTATATTTATGGCCACATAGGCATCACTGATAAAGAGGAAACACATAATTATTTTTTAAGAAAAAGATATATTTGTGTAAAATCTGCATGTGCTAATTTGTATGTTTGGATGTAAATACAGACACAGTCACTATAATTGAAACAAAAATGCAATCCATCTCAACATCCTGGGGAAGACTGACCTCTGTTGATGGTCTGTTTCAAGGCCCCTGTCATATGGAAGACGGAATTGTAGAGCTGAAAAGGGACCCCAATGATCATCTAGTCCAACCCCCTGCAATGCAGGAATGTGCAACTGTCCCATATGGGGATCAAACCTGCGACCTTGTTGTCATTAGCACCTTGCTCTAACCAGCTGAGCTATCAGGTGTCCAGTGGTTGTATTTTCTCAGTTAAGCAGGCAGCAACCCAAACAGAATGATAAAGTAGGACGTGCTGCCTGCCACCCTAAGGCCAATTCACACATGCCTGCATATTCATTGATTTCTCAGCACTTGCTGTGAGACCTGACTCCTAAGCAGAAGAGGAGGGCTCTTCTTATGTGTCTGTTCTGTGTCGCTTGACCCAGCCGGGAAGCAGCAAGTGCAGGCCGAGCCCTCTCTGGTGAAAGCTGCGGTTGGAGATGATGTCTTGCTGAATTGCATCTTTACTGTGGACGAGCCCACCGTGGACCTCAGCCGACTCTCAATCCTCTGGTTCCACCGCGGCAGGCAGCTGGCGGAATTTGACGATGTGGTGACCACCTCCAGGGAAGGCGTCAGCCTGAGCCGGGAAGAGCTGGAGAATGGCAACGCGTCCTTGCTCATCTCCCGGGTTGGCACTGGAAACTCTGGAAACTACGGATGCTACATCACATACACGCCAGAAGTGCGCATCCGGGAAGTGACTTTGCAAGTTGCAGGTAAGAGAGGTGGATGGTGTGGTGTGTGTGTGCGTGTGTGCGCACGCAACCAAGCACCAGCAGGAATACTTTTAAGGTCTGGCTGCCTCAGAATATGCCTCAGTATCATGCAGCATTCTTTACTGGGGCAGGCAATAATATATACATTTTTACACACACACACACACATTTTTAAAGTTTTATTTTCTACACTACTGGATTCAAGGCAGTTATTGTCCAAATATGCAACAAGAGTCACCTTGCCACCCTATATTAATTCAGAGTATAGTAAATGCAGAATCCCTTTCTCACACAGCACAAGATAATTTATCTACACAATATCAGCAGATTTTGTTGTTGTTTAGTCGTGTCCGACTCTTTGTGACCCCATGGACCAGAGCACGCCAGGCTCATCAGCGGATAAGTAAACAAAGCCGCACCCTTCAATTCCAATTTAAATAATTTGCAAATCAATAGCAAATAGCCACAGGTTGACACAGAATTGTGTGCCTATCCTAGAAACCCCCCCATTCTTCACTGCTCTCTCTCTCTCTCTCCCTCTGACTCCCCCCTTCAATAAATATCTGTTCCTAGCCCCCATCTCTTTTGAACACATTCCCCTTTCAAACACCCTATGAAAGAGGAAGGCTTGTTTTCCTCTGGAGACTTCCAAAATGCAGCCTTTACCTTCTACAATGTTTCATTTTATTTCCAGTTTAATTTGGCTTATAGTCACATTTTAAAAAATTAAGTGAGCCTAGCTAACATCTATAAATCTTAGATGTCAACAAAAAGACACTCACCTGTTTTCCCCCTGCTCCCTACATGATGTTAATAATTTGGGTACATTAAAGGCATACATTTTGCACCATAAAAGAAAAGCTTTTGCTCTCTTCTAGTTTGCAAGTAACTCCTGCCTTGACTGGCCTGCAGAAGCTGTGCCTTACTCACCCTAGGTGACTAGGCAGGTAGCTATGAACAAAGCCATATCAAATAGAGGTGGAAAAAGACTTGCCCAATGCCTAAACGTTACTACAGTGCCTTGTAATTCTGCGTAGCAATTTCAGTTTTTAGAATTTGTATGGATTGTGTTTAAACATGGGAGAAGTACAGAAGATGTTGGTGGGTCCATCACAAGAGTCTCAGTTTTGATTTCTGTGTTTCATTCACTCATTTCTAACCCTACTGTGTGTTGGATGCTGATACTAATTCCCTGCAGACCCCGAGGAAGATCTGGAAGATTCCTTTTCATCCCCGTGTCTCAGCCGTTCAGATATCCTGAGCAAGCTGGGTCAAATTGAGGAAGCTGTGAAGCAACTTGAGGCCAAGCTCCAGGAGCTCGTGACCAGCAAGAGTGCCACAAGATGCAGTTCTGAAGTTGCCTCCCCGTCCGCGCCAGAGCCCTCACGCTGATTGCATTTCTGCACTGCTGCAAATCAAAATAGGCTTCAAACCCATTTAGCTTAAGCTTCCCGTGTTATCCAAGTAAATGTGGAAACTGTAGCTCTGTGACAGGGCTTAGAGTCTCTTGACAAATCATTCCTGCAATATCTTAATTCCTAGGATTCCCTGGGGGGATGTTATGACCATTAAACCAGCTTCAGAATTAATACTGTGTTGCATGTACTGAATGGCAGTGAAGGGGTGTGGCCGAATTGACTATTTCTGAGTGCACCAGGGCCTGGAACCTGGTGGGGTGGAGACAGAGTTGGATTAAACAGGAGGCAACGCAGGGGACTGTTGAGGGCGCCAGCCTTGAGGAGTGCCTGGTTCGTTGACCACTCATCCTGATTTATTTGAGGGGAGACTGAATGACATTGCCTCAAAGCAAATGTAACCTCGCACTTTCCAATGCATTTGTTCACCTTATGGTAAAAAGCCCAATCTTTTGTAGAAGTGGGTTTCTTGCACAAGATCTCCCAATCCACTGTAACTATGTACCCTGAATTTGATGGGATGTGACTGAATCCAACCCCAAAATGGTATGATGGGGGGTGAGGGTTGTTTCTAGATCTGCTCAGCTATCAAGAGCTGACTCAAATAGAATAAACACTTCATCTTCACCTATAAATCTGGCAATGACATATGCGGACAGCATGCATTACTCCTTTTGGGAAACAACATTAGAGAAGTTATTTAAAAACATAAAAATAGCTCTGTTACATCTAGGCCAGTGGCCCACCTAGCACAGACCTGTTCTCACAGTGGTTGGGATCTGCAATCAGGATCTGAGCACAACAGCAACCTCCCAGTATTATGCATCCTGCTTTTGAGCTTTTGAGTGTGTTCTGGCGTCATGACCATTGATAAAGACCCAAGTATTGGACTCCAAGGACATGTGGTCAAATTCATTTGATATTCTCTAGCGTTATGTCAGTCCCACATTCTCTAAGTGCGCTACATGGGCGGGGGCAAGAGGGGGAGCTGCCCCCTCTAAATCAATACAAATCTGAGGTTCTGCCCCCCCCCCAACAAAAATCCTGGCTACTCCCATCGTGTGCTAGTACAGTGGTACCTCGGGTTAAGTACTTAATTCGTTCTGGGGGTCCGTTCTTAACCTGAAACTGTTCTTAAGCTGAAGCACCACTTTAGCTAATGGGGCCTCCCGCTGCCGGCGCGCCGCCGGAGCACGATTTCTGTTCTCATCCTGAAGCAAAGTTCTTAACCTGACGCACTATTTCTGGGTTAGCGGAGTCTGTAACCTGAAGCGTATGTAACCTGAGGTACCACTGTACTCAGCAAAAAGCACTGCTTATGGTCAGAGGCGCTCTTGTATTTTTCAATTACACAGCCAAGTGCACTGAGAGAGAAAAACACACACACAAAACGAATTAAGCTCTGGGGAAATGCAACTCCTGGTTAAAGGCACAAGTCTGACCCCCCCGCTCCTCCGCCAGGAGAGGCACACGGAAAATACACGCCGAGGGGCTTTCGCTTTAAGAGCCTCCCCCTGGACTCTGGCTGGGGTACAACCCGGGTGTCGCTTAGCTTGGAAAGCGCTGAGGCAGCAGCAGCCTCCGGAGGGGGGAGGGGACGGCCAGGGGCCTGTTGCAAGAACCAGCCTGGAAGGGAGGAGAGAAGCTCTGCAGCCCCCAGCATGGAAGGCTTGTAAGCAACTGATCCCCCACCTCGCAAAACAATAACCGTGCCCGCCCTCTTCCCAATGCCCACCTCGCGCCCCTGCCCCACCCCCGCTTGCTTTTTGCAACAGTCCCCTACTGTCCTAATACTGTAATGGCACAAGAGGGTGGGGGATGCGTGCGCACGGGGCATGGCGTAATAAACGTAATATTCGCGCCACTCAAAGGTCACTGAAACTAACATGTCGCTCCCTTACATGAAGTTTTGCAGATAAGTTTGCTTGCTACCGTAATGCAGGAGAATCTCATCAAGGAGAGTCCAAAAATCAGGTAGCTGCGTCGATGCATTCGATTGAAATGAATAAAAGGTGCATCGCACAATGCCTAGTTCATTAGGTGGTAGCCATGGAGTCACGTGCTGGCAAAAGGTGGAATTTGTCGCTCGGGAGTGTGCGACTGGAGTTTCAGTCAGGAAGCCAGTTTAGCCCTACCTCGCAAGGCTGTTGTGATAAATGGGCCACGCCCACATCCATGTATCAGTGGAGGAAGAGTGGCGATCGCATGCAAAAAAAGCCTCATGTATTGCGCACAGCTTGCCAGGCAGTTGGGTCGCTTGTGAGGCTCGTTTTGAACAGTTTATAACAGATTGTTGGCCAATTTGTGCTTTTCCTGACATCTCTTTAAGGTACAGATAAGACATCTTGGTACTGCACACTTGTAAAAGGCCACAAGACATCTGACGGAGAAGGAAAGCAAGGAATGGGTCTCATTCAGGGAGACTTTGGCCATCTCCCTTTGCAATCCTGTGCATGTTTATTTGCAAGTAAATGCCATTCATTTCCCACTGAGTAAGCATGCAGAGGATTGTAGCCTTAGCATTTGCCCCAAGGCAAAATGCATAACCTCTTCATAGCACATGTTAGATTCTCTGTTCAATATTCTAAAAACGGCACATACTTGCTTTACGTGACCTTTGAGCCCCTTTGTGCTCTGTTTTCTCCCTCCCTACCCAAAATCTGCAGCTACCACAATGAGGCCAACACGTCATACATCCAATGTAATGGGCTTTTAGTCTATCGAAGCTTATGTATGTCACACAAACCCATTAGTCTTCAAGGCACGGTGAGCCTCCTTTTTGGGCGCATGCGATAACAGACGTTATCCCTACAGCATCTTTGCACTGCCTCCCCGCTACCCACCCAGCGCAAATGTCATACTGATGTTGTGGAAATAGCAATTGTGCCTAATGTCACTGGTGGCAACTATTGATTAACCCTTCAGGGGTTGGTTGCTTGGTTATGGCTTCAGTGCATATCCCTCCCCTGCGTATATAAGCAGCATGAACTATGGAAAACAAGAAATGCTACTCAGTTAATACAGGTTGAAGAATTCAGATTTTGTCAGGAGACTGTTTGGTTGTTGCTGTTTGGATATATAAAGTATACACACACCTGTCTATGCACGTTCCCACGGCAGCCCCCAGGCTCCCCCCAAAGAAGCCTACCGTGCGGCAATGGTGCTCTCTGGCGCAGGAGATGCTCTCGGCTATCGCAACCAGCGCTGGGAATACTGCACCTCAGGGCCGCAGATCCACCAGGAGCTCCAGGAGCTGGGGGGCCTCGGCAAGGTTCGGGCAGCCCTCCCTGACTGGCCTGTCAGCGACGACACTGTTCTGCACCTGGCGACGGCCGAGGCTCTGGCCACAGGTGAGTAGCAGGAAAGGCTGGGCAGCCTCACAGCCTTTTCTCAGCAGGTCCTTGTTCCCTGCGGAATAGCATTTTTCTCCTACAGCAGAGCTTGGCCTACATAGGGCCGACTCAAGGTATGACTGAGGCAGCAGCGTAGCGTGGGTTGTCAGCACCCGGGGCAAGGCAAGTAATTTGCGCCCCCTAACCCCTAACCTGCCGCCGCTGCCAGCTTCTTCTTGCTGCTGCCTGGTCTGGTCTGGTGTGGTTCTCTTCCGCGCTCAGCGCTGCGCTGGGCGGCCGCTGCACTGTCCCTCCCCCAGATAGTCCCTCTCTCTCTCTCCGCACCGCACGCCTGGCACCCACCCCCTCCACAGTGGGCGGCGACCCAGCGGCTCGGATCGGATTCGCACAGCCAGCACTGCAGTGAGAGAGAGTGAGTGAGCCAGGTAGGGGCAGAGAGCTGCGAGTGCGAGCGAGCGCCCCCCAGATGTTGCGCCCGGTGCGGCCGGCCCCCCCTGCACCCCCCACGCTACGCCACTGGACTGAGGGGGTTCTCCTCAGCAAAGTGTCATCTCTTGGGTCTCCTATGCCCATAGGTTCACTTGTTCGCAGCCATGGCGGCAGCTCTCCAGTCAGCAATGGGCAGGAAGTCCTGTTGTGGTTGTTGTTGTTGTTAAAATTTGTATACCACCCTTCATCTGTAGATCCCAGGGCAGTTCACAACATGAACCAACCTGAGATTTTCACATGGGGTGTGGTGGATGTGGGAATGCAGAGGAGATTTTGTTAAAATTGATGCAGAGAACTTCTTCTCTGTGTTTCCTCTATCCAGGGAAGGAAGGGGAGCCGCTGTTCCAGGAGCTGGCCAAACGCTATGTTGAAGCCATGAACGACATGGAAGGGAGGAAGCCTGGGCCCACGAGCATTCTGGGTAACTTACGACGGCACTCCTCTGTGCAAGTTACAGCAATATAATTCTCTTCAAAAACAAATACATCCCTGCTCCGTACCCAGACGGAAACTGATCCGACACTAAGGAAGCGGTGCTGATGTTAATAGGCAAAGAGCTTTGAAGTGTGTGGAGGTGGGGTGGGGACCTTCACTGTGCCTTAAGGTGGTCTTGTGAAAACACTGTCAATGTTGTTCTTGTAGTACAGTCATACCTCTGGTTACAGATGCTTCAGGGGTTTTTTTGGGATTATGGACCTGCCGAAACACGGAAGTACCGGAATGGGTTACTTCCGGGTTTTGGCGGTCGTGCATGTGCAGAAGCGCTGAATCGCAACCCACGCGTGCGCAGACGCACCGCTGCAGGTTGTGAATGTGCATCCCACACAGATCATGTTCGCAATCCGAGCGTCCACTGTACTCAACAGGAAAGAGGATTGGGGCAAAACTCAAATTAGTTGGCTTCACTTGGCATTCCCTTCAGCTCCACCTCCTGTGAGTTTCCAGGACACCAACCCTCTATGGGGGGAAAGCAGACTGAACAGTAGTGATATTTTGCAGAAAAACTACAAAAGGGGGGAAAGGGAAGGAGAGAGGAGCTTAGGACAGAAGGCCATTTTTAGGAAAAACCACAGAGTAAGGTCAGGAGGCCTATTTTCTTTCCACCCTATATGTTTCTTCTACTTTAGACGGCAGACTCTGCAGTTGTATTCTGTGAAATAAATGAAATGTCCAGGGCTGCCTCCATATGGCTCAAGAGCACAAGCAGTTTGGCCCATACATATCTTCGCATGTCTCTCGTTTTCATCCCGCCTGCAGGAACATCTCAGTTGCGTCCAGGGGAGCCAAACGGATATCGCATTCCTTTCAACCCCGGTGCCACAGGTTGTGGTGCCGCCATGAGATCCATGTGCATTGGGCTCAGGTAATGTGGTGTGCTGTGGTGGGGGGACACACATAAGAAAGGACAAAGCTGGGGCCAAGCGGGAAAGCTGAAGGCCAAAGTCGGACTCCAGCATGACCCCCAGCCGCCATCTCTCCCAGGTATCCTCGCCCTTCAGACCTGAGCACTTTGGTCCAAGTCAGCATAGAAAGTGGAAGAATGACACACCACCACCCCACAGGTAACTGATTATGTGCGTAGTCGTCCTGTGTCAGGGCGCCTTTCCCGGCAATGGTACATAAAAGGGACAATTCTGAGATGGGTGGGAGGCCTTTCTCTATGACTTGAAAGCTGTGGGTGTGTGGGTGTTTGGAGTAGTGGTCAGTGTGGGTCTTGGGGCTGCAGGTCTACCCATACAGATGGACAAAACCCTGAAGTGGTAGAATAGGGACTTCAGGCTGCAGGTGGAGGATCCTCTGTTTGAACACCCCTTGCATTGAAATTTCCCTGAAAATTGAAGCCTAGTACACTAAGCAAAGAGCCAGAGTACGGTTATCCATGATGTGTTCATTTTCTGTTTGCAGGGAGTTTTTAATACAGAGGAGTGTTCATAAAGTGCCACCCCCCATTTGCATTCTGAAGCAATATCGTCAATTCTACCGCTTCATTCCGTGACATGTGTAGACCCAGCCTAAGTATCTTGAGGGTGACGGCAGATGTGACATTTTAACACAGGTCATCCTGGGTCCTTCACTTTTTTTTTGCAATTTATGTACTACCAGATAACACACCACCAGCAAGCAAGCAAAAATGCCTTGCCTCTCCCTTAACACTGCAGGATGGCAATCTGTCGTTGCTTCTTTTTCAAAAATTAAAGTAGATTCTCTAAGTGTATGTATATGTACATTTAAAACCTGTACCTCTCACCTTATCAAATAATTGGCAAACATTTTCAAAACTGTTGCCAAACTGCTCTGGGGGAAGTCGTGGGATGGTGATGTCACAGGCGCTGTGCAATAGGCCCTCTTCAAAGCCAGCTTTACCTTCAAACTGAACTAAACGGGGGTGGGGGGGTGGGATGTAGAAATATTTCCCCCGTCAGGGATGAAAGAAGGCATATTTGTATTGAACCAGTGAGTACTTTTTAAAAGTTGAGCTCCCTGCTAAGCCATAAAGTCTACTTGCCTTGGGCAAGTCTCTGTAGCTCAGCCTAATCTACTTCTTGGAGCTGCAGTGAGGGTAAAATTCCTTGAGGGATCCTGACTTCCACCTATCCTCTTCCTCTGTTGTAGGCTATCTAGGAGCTCTGGCCTCTGCTCTGTTCACTTCTTATGCAGTGCAGGGCCTCCCCCTTGAGCGCTGGGGAGCTGGATTGCTCAGGACCCTGCCCCTTGCTTTAGAGTACATTCAGACTGCTGCAGCTGAGAGTGACTCCAATGTGGGGGCCTGGGCTTATTTCCAGGAGAAATGGGAGTGGTAAGTCCTTTGGGTGTGCTCTGGTACGGCGAAGGGGGACCTGAGTAACTGGAGGGTGTTGTTATTTTATTTTTTTAGGATAATGCAGTTGAAAGCTTTCCCCTCTTTTTTCCAGTGTGCATCTTTTATCAGGATGTCTAGAAACTTGCTTTTGTAAAATGAATAAATGAACAGCCAGACTTTGTGGTGAATGGAGAGCTGGAGCAATGTAAGGTTAGAGTGCTGGATTAGGATCAAGGAGATCTGGGTTCAAATCCCTACTCAGCCAGCAACCTCTGAGTGAATTTGGCCAGCAACTACCTAAGCCTAGCCTACCTCCCAGCTTTGTGAATATAAAATGGATTTTGGGGGTGGGGCGGAGGAAGATAATCGGTTGTATCCAACAAAATCATAATCAAAGTAGACCCATTGAAATCAATAGACCCGACTAGTAATTTCCAGTAATTTCCAGTAATTTCAGTGGGTCAACTCTGAGTAAATTGGAGGCAACCCAGCAAATGCTATCTTGAAGGAAAAACTTAAATCTCCTTGTCAAAATTGATTGTCCATTATAATTTTAATACACCCCCCCCACCGTGTTCCTACTCTCTTTATGTACCCAATTGGAAAAAGGAGCTTTTAACAAAATTTGAAGGGGGAGGTTTTGACAAGACAACAATTCAACATTACTTTCAAACAGAACTTAAGATTGAGTTTGATTTTTAAAACAAGCAAACAGCAAAATTCAAAGCTGAATTCAGGGGGGAAAACCTCAATGTGAAGGCAAAACAATATCTTGGTTCTAATAGTAATGTTTATCAGGTAGGTCAGAGTAAAGAGAGTCATTGTGGTGCAGGGGTCATTCTGTTTATTTCACTGTACATTGTGCCCTCATTGGCTCTCAAGGAGGTCTTGGATTCTTGGCTTTTTCACTTTTGCTCTCTAACCATTTAGGTACCTCTCTGAACGGGGCCTGGCTACGGGTCAGGGCCCTTGTCTGTTTCCTGCTGCCTATAGTCCTGCTGAGCGTGACGTCATCTACAAAACCTTCAGCCTGGACGGGTGGGCCGGACGGAGCGGTCACGATGCCCCCATGATTGCATACGACGCCTTGCTGGGCGCAGGGGAGAACTGGGAGGAGCTCTGTAGTCGTTCCATGTTCCACGGGGGTGAGTCGAAAGGAGGCAAATCCTGCCCCTCCCCCACTGTAAAAGTGGCCCACCCTAAAAGTAAAGGTAAAGGTACTCCTGACCATTAGGTCCAGTCGCGGACGACTCTGGGGCTGCGTGCTCATCTCGCTCTATAGGCCGGGGGAGCCGGCGTTTGTCCTCGGACAGCTTCCGGGTCATGTGGCCAGCATGACTAAGCCACTTCTGGCGAACCAGAGCAGTGCATGGAAACGTCGTTTACCTTCACGCCAGAGCGGTACCTATTTATCTACTTGCACTTTGACGTGCTTTTGAACTGCTAGGCTGGCAGGAGCTGGGACAGAGCAACGGGAGCTCACCCCATCACGGGGATTCGAACCGCCGACCTTCTGACTGACAAGCCCTAGGCTCTGTGGTTTAGACCACAGCGTCACCTGCGTCCCTGGCCCACCCTAAAGCTGGCTGCATTACATAGAATTGTAGAGTTGGAAGGGACCCCGAGGATCATCTAGCCCAACCCCTCTGCAATGCAGGAATGTGCAGCTGTCCCAAATGGGGATCAAACCTGCAACCTTGGTGTTATAAACACCAGGCTCTAACCAAACTTGTTTTCTCGGTGTGTGTGTGTGTTTTCCTGCTCACCCACAGGGGATAGTGACTCTACAGGGGTGATTGCTGCCTGCTGCTGGGCTCTGGCTCACGGTTTCAGAGGAGTCCCAGAAGATAACCACATAGCGCTTGAATACCGAGACAGGATGGTGGCTGCAGCTGATGCCCTCTATCACCTTGCCTGGGGACAGACTCCTGTTTGAAAGATCTTTCTGCTGTCTCTAACATCTAAGGATGGACTAAAATCCGTTGATTTTGGTTTCTTCTCAATCATAATTTCAGGTCTTCACATTTCCACATCAATTTATGATCTGTGCATGACACAGTCCTTGTGAAAATTATTCAGCGTTTTAGTGAGAATTTCACTTGATACGCATTTGTATGTCATTTCCCCCAATAGACATATTTATCTGCAAAGCAATTTCCTTTATTGTAATGTTGCTTTTCACTAACACCTGCATTTGTATGTACACTTTGCCCTAATATATGCATTCTTGTACATGTTACTTGGTTGGGAAACCGCATTGCAAAATTTGGAGAAGCACCAATGTCCAAGGATGGTTGGCTTTCAATTTGCATATTGTTTTGGAAAGGGCATATTTGTTAACTTTAAATGTGAACTGAATCTAATTTCTGCTCCATCTCTAACTAGCATCCCAGGCCCCTTAGAGAGGCCCTGAGCATGAGCCGCAACAAGCTGAAAACTGTTCTTCACAGAATAAACTGAGGCTGTGTTTGCAATTCTGCCTTGTGTTTTGTGGGAGGAAAATTTCAGGCACTGGATTTCTAAGATCCTCTAAGGAACCTCCTGTGGCCTGGGAGATCTTTCATGCGATCCCAAAGCTATGGTGGAGAGCTGTTTTTAGTAAGTGGTGAGGTAAATGCACTCTGCACATGCCCAGAGGCACTATCTTCTTTATTATATCTTCCCATACACCATTGGGAAAATAATTTTGTGGGTGAAATCTTGGCCTCTTTCAGAGAACCCAGCAGTCTTAACTCCCATCTCCCCCACTCCTGTATGGCCCAGATCCCATTCTTCTCCCAAAGAACCCAGGAGTCCTGGACACACACAGAGACCCAGCCATGATGGTTTAATTTGGCACCAAGGCAGTGTTTTAGGGTAGCCAAACTGGGATGTGGGGAAAAGAGAGAGAGAGAGAGAGAGAAAGAAATGTACTTTCATTTTTAACCCCTGAGCAGGGATGTCAAATCAATGCAGAAACACGAAGGGCTACCCATCTCTGCGTCTGTTGGGAAGATGGTTATGGTCCCAAAGAGTGATTGGCTTCTTTTGTTAGGTTGTCATGATTCTTTACAATACAGGATTATGGGAAATGTTTCAAGCCCCAGAGAGTTCTGGGAACAAGCCCATGAACTGCATGACAGCAGCAGTCAATGAGACCACAGGCCCACAGCAGCAGAGGATGATGGGATTAGTCACAGCTGCTGCAGAGGATGATGGGAAAGTAACTGCAGTCTTGGGAAATATTGAGGTTGGTCATAATTCCCTAGGAGCAAAGACTGGTTGCTAGTACATGGTCCACGGAAGACGAAACTGCTGACGTAGTCATGGTGAGCTTGGCATTGGATCAAGCCAGGAAGGCATCCATAGAAGCAAAGCATGATGAGACGGTTACAAGTGTGGTGGGCATTCATCACCAGAAGAAGAGCATGATGAGAAGCTGCTGATGCAAGCAGAGTATGCTGGGATGGCCACATCCAGTCTCCAGTGGTAGACCATGATTTTGTTTGTCCACAAGAGCAGAGAATTATCAGAGGATAATTATCAGAGGATAGCCAGGTGTGTCAGCATGTCCTTAAACAGCAGAGCATGATGGGAAGGTTTCAACAATCATTTGAAGCACAGCATGATGGGAAGGTGTTGGTGACATAATTCTGTAGTGAGAGTTTCAAGCTGAGCCGTCTGAAAGGGGAGGGCTCAAGGTCTCAGTGGAGTCTGTGCAAGGTACAAATAATTGTTGGAAGTAGCAGCTAGGACCCCACGGGGGCTGACATGAGTACTGTAGACACCTCCAGGCAGGTCATTCAGTACCCCTGTGCTCTGGCAGCAAAGCAAGAGAAGACAACACATCAGAGAAGGCAGAAGGCTGAATCCCCAGATCTCTTCTTCCTGCATCCCACCAACCCTTTCCATCTCCTTTCTAAAAACCAACTATCACTGAGTCATGCAACCTGAGAACATAGGAGCATCTAGACCACCCTCCTGTTTCCAATAGAGGCCAGGCAAATGCTTACAACTTGCAGGTTCTCAAACTTGTATTCAGAAATGTGCTGCCATGGAACAGCCACAGCTGATGGTGGATGCCAGAATCCAGGGAGTGGGCAACCTGCTGCCCTCCGGATGATGTTGGACCTCAGCTCCCATCAGCCCTAGCTAGCTTGACCAGTGGGCAGGGATGATGGGAGTTGCAGTCCAGTAACATCTGGAGGGCCGCAAGTTCCCTGTCCCTGCCCTAATCTAATAGTGATGGATGTGCTAGATGTGGAGGGAGGGACGAGTGGGGGTTGGGTATTCATTTCCACAATAATGTAAGTTGAGCACTGATTTGCGCATGAAAGATGTGCCATTGTGTGCAGCAAATGCCCTGGGTCAGAAGGACAGCACACTCCGATCTCTGCCGCCTGTCAGAGGAACAAGGGCTGGTGGGTCCATTGCAACACTTCTATCCAAGCAAGAAAGCCTGCAAGGGAGGATCACTCTGGCTCCATTGGGACAAAAATGTATGTTTGCAACTTACCCCTTTGTTCAGGCACTGATCTCCCACTACTCCCCTTCCCTTGTTTGTGTTGCCTTTTTGGGTTTGTAAGCCACAGATCAGGGCCTCTCTACATCTTTTTGTTTGTTTGTTTAGTGGTATGAACTACTTTAGGAGACAGTATTTGTCTGCAAACTGGGTTAAAAGATATAAAATCAATGAATGCAAACCTCACATTTAGAATGCAACACAGCCACGGTGTGAAAAGCCCCACCCCTTATTTGATCCATGCAGAGCTAAGTGCTAATGTGGCATATAGATGAAGCCTGGGACAGAGCTACCCTCCATTGGCGCTTCTCAAAACACTGCCTCCTCAGTAAAGGTTACCACATTTTTTTCAGTGAATCCGGGGACACTTTTCAACTTCAATGGATTTTGTATGGGGACTGATTTGTAAATCCGGGGACTGTCCCCGGGAAACAGGGACATCTGGTAACCTTACCCTCAGTAGACCACCTGAAAATGGCTGAAAACCTCAGTGGGACACTTATTTTTGCTTGCTTCAGTGCCAACATCATCAACATTATATTGATGATTATATTATAAAAAAACCACAGGCATTAAATCAGTGTCTTGTTGACCTGTTTGATTAACCCTGGTCAATCAAAAGGGCCTCAATTTCCATGTCAGAAAAAACAACAAGTGCAGGTCGGAATACAGATATTTTTGGTTGTTCCAGAAACTCTCAGCAAATCACCTGGATGGAGCTTGTGGACTACGGCTGGTCCACAGACTACAGTTTAAGAACTTCTGGACCATCGTTGATGGGGCTACGCCATTTGACCATCTAACCCAGTACTGTCTTCTCTGATTAACAGCAGATCTCCAAGATCTCAGGCATAGATCTTTCCCATCACCCACAATGCCGGTTTCCTTGATCTTGAGACACCAGAGGGTAATGAACTTGGGGCTTCACCACACAATGCCTCTGCTCCCCCCCTGAGCCACAGCTGTTTCCCACAAGCGACCCCAGCTAAGCCACCATACCATGAGGATTCTCCTGTCAATGAGCCGACATAAGTTATTCCGGCTCCCACCAGCTACAATATGGTCAACACCGAGGAAGTGGCAGGTATAAATCTGGGGAAGGAGGAAGAAGAGAATCAGGCAGAAGGACAGAATGAAGAAAGGGGAACATTTTGAGTCCCACCATGCCATACATCTCACTAGCACCTCACTAGAAGATGGGAAAGGGGACCCTCTCAGTAATCTAGTACATTTTATGACCAGATGAGGAGCCAGGCCTGGAGAACACACAAGATGCTTAGCCAAAAGGAAGGGTTGGGAGGAATGGGGTCAAAAAAGGGTCTTCAACCTGCGAGTGGCCCCTGAAGTCTTCTGGGATGTCCATGATCTTGGAGCCAGTTTCAGCTTCCCAAATCTGGTTGAAGTAAAAAGTAGTATTTGTGTTAAACCCCCTTTTTTCTTAAAAAAAAAAATTGACATTTTTAAAAGACACATACATTATTTACACATGCACAGTTTATTTTTAGCAATGTATCTCTGACTACCTCTAATTAAAGTCAAACTACACCCCCTGTAGGGACGCGGGTGGTGCTGTGGGTTAAACCACAGAGCCTAAGACTTGCCGATCAGAAGGTCGGCGGTTCGAATCCCCACAACAGGGTGAGCTCCCGTTGTTTGGTCCCAGCTCCTGCCCACCTAGAAGTTTGAAAGCACATCAAAGTGCAAGTAGGTAAATAGGTACCGCTCCGGTGGGAAGGTAAACGGCGTTTCCGTGCACTGCTCTGGTTTGCCAGAAGCGGCTTAGTCATGCTGGCCACATGACCTGGAAGCTGTATGCCAGCTCCCTTGGCCAATAAAGCAAGATGAGCACAGCAACCCCAGAGTCGGCCATGACTGGACCTAATGGTCAGGGGTTCCTTTACCTTTACCTTTACACCCCCTGTGGGATTTGACTTAGTTTTTAATTATTAGCAAACTTGAGGGGGCTGAGTTTTGGGGAAAGAGAACCCTGAGGTAGAATATTTAATCCTTTCTTCACTTGCCCTAAATATAAATCAATCTTCCCCCCTTCAAGCTGCTTAGGAAGCTCCTTATCCCAAAGCAGACCATTGGTCCATCTAGCTTAACAGTGACTGGCAGCGGTTTCCCAGCCATACCTGGAGGGGCTGGGGATTGAATCTGGGACCTTCTGCATGCAAAGTGAATGCTCTGCCACTGAGCCATGGACCCTCCTCACTCCACCAGGGAAAAATATAGCCACCTCCGAAGCACCTCTTTCTCCAGTTCTCACCTGCAAGGTGTTGTTCCTCCTCCAGGAGCCTGTCAGGATATGTGTCCCAGTTTTGTCTATCGAGACGGCATCACCACAGACGTGAGGCCCAGAGATGCGCCTGTGGCAAAGGTGGAGCAAGGGTGCAGAGGAGGAGGCGAGAGCAAGAAGAGAGGGGAAGAATCATTAAAGGCTGAGGAGATAAAAAAAAAAAAAAAGCAGGAAGGTGGGTGGGGAGGGTGAGAGAAGATTGAGGGTGAGAAGGGGAAGGGCAGTGGGGGAAGTAGGGGGTGGCTGCGCAGGCGTACCGTAAGGCATGTGATGACTGCATGCTCCAGAACTGAGGGGACAGAAGCCAGAGAACTGAGGTTAGGTGGGGTTCTCCCTCCAGCATCTGCCTGATAACATTTCCCTTTTGCCTAAGCTGACAGAAAAGCAGGGGTTGCTGGTGCCCGTTGATAGGGCAAAAGACAGGGAGTCCAACAGTAGGTGGCGCCAGAGCTAATGTCAGGCAGAGCCAACTATTGTTTGCTTTGCTCCATCCTCCTCTTCCTTGCTGAGCACGGAGACTGAGGAGGAGGCAGTTGACAGGCAGGGTCACCCAATGGGCTGGCTGTAAGCAGGAAGGCTGACAGGTGGGGCACTGCCTAAGGGCAGAATTACCGTACTTTTCCATGTATAAGACTATGTTTTTTTACAAAAATATATATGATTAAAATAGGGGGTCGTCTTATGCATGGATAGTGCATAGTGGGGACATGGGATTGGTTGATGTCACGAGCCGGAGATTGTCAGCAGCGTGTTATTGGTGGCCTCAGCAAGGGGCGGTGTCGATTGGTTGTTGATTGTTTCTGCCGCTGAGGGGACAGATATTAGGAGGCTATTGCACGAGTGTTAGCGTAGGTCAGGTGGGTGCGTGGTTTTCGGTAATCCTCCCCTAAAAAAAGCTCAACAACTCTGAGCTCTCCTCCCCCATTTTCTGTACAGTGGTACCACTGGTTAAGAACTTAATTCATTCCGGAGGTCTGTTCTTAACCTGAAACTGTTCTTAACCTGAAGCACCACTTTAGCTAATGGGGCCTCCTGCTGCTGCCGCGCTGCCGCTGCATGATTTCTGTTCTCATCTTGAAGCAAAGTTCTTAACCTGAGGTACTATTTCTGGGTTAGAGGAGTCTATAACCTGAAGCATCTGTAACCCGAGGTACCACTGTATTTTTAGTCCCCCAAAATAGGGGGTGTCTTATACATGGGGGCGTGCTATACACAGAAAAGTACAGGAGCTTGGTAGGAGAGTGTCCCATTTCCCCTAATGGACCAGCCTCCACTGCAAGGGAGGAAGGCCAGTGGCGTCTAAACTTCCTTCCTATAGCATGGCCAAGCCAAGATATTCTGCCACCTGAGGCAAAAGGACAATATGACGCCCCTTCCATGTACAGATATTGACTAGACTGGTGGTTGAATCACACCGGTAATGGGACAGCCAGTTAGCTTAGAGGGCACAGGGCAGACCAAATGACAAATACAGCTCTGTCCTCCAAACATTTTCCTTCCAACCCCGCAACACCTGCTGCCTGAGGTGGCCATCTCACACTGGCCTTCAAAGAACGCAGTGCTGGCCTTCAAAGAAAACAGTCAGGACTTGGGAGCCATTGATTTGCTGCAGAAATCCTGCACATTGCAAAGGATTCTGGGAGATGCTAACGTCCTGCTGGAATTTGGAGCTGTGCCCCCAACAAAGAGAGTGTGCCCTAAAATATGGTGCCAGTTTCAGGATTTTTTTGCCAGGGCTGGAGGTGGAGACTTGGGCCTCCCTAATCTGGAAGAGGTGTACGTGCAGAGAATGCAAGCAGAGAATTTTCCCAAGATGCCTTTGAGCTTCCTGTGGCCTTAACAATTACTTGACCCAACCCCCTCTGGAGCTGGGCCTGGATACTCACATTGCACATTCCCCAGTAATTCAGCCCCACCAACACTCATTTTTGCCCCTCACCTCACCCAAGCCTTCTACTTCCCACATCACAGACCCCATCACCTGCACTGTGTCATCCCATCCTCCAGAGATAAATCGTTCATCGTTATCCGGGAAGAAGGTCAGGGCATAGACCCGGGACGTGTGCCCATCCATCACAGTGGGGGAATAGCTGGAGGAAGAAAAGAGTTGCTGCTTAGGAAACCAAAAGCCAGCCGAAACACACACCCTACTAAATCCAGTGCACTGCATGTACAATTCCCCCTATTAGTACTGCCCGGTGTCCTACTACCAGCATAAAGGTAAAGGTAAAGGGATCCCTGACCATTAGGTCCAGTCGTGACCAACTCTGGGGTTGCGGCGCTCATCTCGCTTTATTGGCTGAGGGAGCAGGTGTACTGCTTCCAGGTCATGTGGCCAGCATGACTAAGTCGCTTCTGGCGAACCAGAGCAGCGCACGGAAATGCCGTTTACCTTCCCGCCGGAGCGGTACCTATTTATCTACTTGCACTTTGACGTGCTTTCAAACTGCTAGGTGGGCAGGAGCAGGGACCGAGCAACAGGAGCTCACCCTGTTGTGGGGATTCGAACCGCCGACCTTCTGATCGGCAAGTCCTAGGCTCGGTGGTTTAACCCACAGTGCCACCCGCGTCCAGCATACCTTGGGCTAAAAGTCTGGATTTTTGCCCAGGTCTGAGCATCATACATGTAAATCCCGGGTCCTGCTCCCCCTGTGATGAACTTGGAGCCAGAAGGGTTGAAAGAGGCGATCATTGTCTGGCGGTCCTCCGTTATGGTTCTCACGCAGGTGCGGGAGGGAACATGCCACAGTTTCACTTTCCCACCGGAATCTGTGACGGAGAGAGTGAGTGGCCAAAGGATTTATTACGACATGAAAGGTAGGCTTCTGAGACAAATATTTTCATGGGGCATAGGCAGGAACAGAACAGAATTCTGAACACATTTTTCTGACTTGAATCAGCTTGCAGAAATCCACATTCACCATTGAGGAAGCTGCCAGATTTTGGAGAAAACCCAGTTGGAAGTACTGTATGTGACAAGAGGGTTTACTAGTATTCAGGGTCGTGTGTACTTATGGATAGGTGAATCAGTCCATTTCGGTTTCTCTCTGTTTTTCATTCTTCCAACCTTGAGTTCGGTTGCCCACATTTTCACAGCATTTTGTGATTTATTTATTTTTTAAAATCATCATGGAAATTCATCATTATTTTAGCCCAAATTTCTCCTACACATTTTTGTATGTAATTTTGCCTAATGTGCAAATGTGTACAAATCAGTTTTCCATAATATAGTGCACTTTTGTATGTTTCTTTATGCCCATTTTACTCTAGCATATGCATTTTGGGGCACATTATTTAGCTAGAGCACTATGCCACAAAATTTGGAGAGGTACAAATTGTGAAGGATGGATTCAGAAAGAATGAATTAGGTAAATGTAAACTGAATCAAATTACTTTCCCATCTCTATGTGTACAACACCTTAAAAATAACTAAACATGAAAGAATCTGCAGCAGGAAAAGCTGGGTTTTGAGACCTGTATCAGTTTTGTATAATTTATTTTCCTTATTTTGCTACTTTAATTGTTAATCAATATTTTGCTAGTTGTGAGAGAAACAAAAACACTGATGTTCCAATTCCAACCATTGGGAATCTTATTTGGCACCTCTCTGGATTCTGAGTTTTTGACAAGTCATTTCCCACACACTTTCACCACAGGGGCTAGAATATTGGCTTTAAAAGAGAGAGAAAAGATTCTGTACCCATTTCTACACCCATTATTTGCGTTGCACATAATGCTGACATAAGAACAGCACTGCTGGATATGACCAAAGGCCTTTATTATCTAGTACAGTGGTACCTCAGGTTACAAACACTTTGGGCTACAAACTCCACTAACCTGGAAGTAGTTGCCTCGGGTTGCGAACTTTGCCCCAAGATGAGAACGGAAATTGCATGGCGGCAGTGCGGTGGCAGCAGGAGGCCCCATTAGCGAAAGCACGCCTCAGGTGAAAAACGGTTTCGGGTTAAGAACAGACCTCCGGAACAAATTAAGTTTGTAACCCGAGGTACCACTGTAGAGACAAACCTTGGCTGTTGAACGTAATCCGTTCCGGAAGCCTGTTCGGCTTCCAAAGTGTTTGACAACCGAGGAGCAGCTTCTGATTGGTTGCAGGAGATTCCTGCACTCAAGCTGAAACTGCATCAGACACTCAGCTCCCCAAAAACTTTGAAAACCAGAACACTTACTTCTGGGTTTCAGCGTTTGGGACCTGAAACATTCCAAAACGGAGCTATTCAAGAAGTGAGGTTTGACTGTATCCTGTTTCCCAGAGTGGCCAGTGAATAACTCACAAACTTTAAGAAGAGATATTTTCTTCTTGACTTTTCTTTTAAAAATCATTTTTACCGATAATGGAAACGATGAAAGGGTGGAGGAGAGTCAAAGGATTCAGGGAATCCTAAATGTTGATGTTTAAATTAAAATTTGCAATGTAAAACTTAATAAATTTTTTTTTAAAAAAAATCCTTTTTACCGGAGCCCTCTCTTTTTTTTGACATCTGAAATCAAATGTGGCTGCATTGGTTGTCTTTGGCAATTGTCTATGGATACGTATCTTGAATTTGACACCACTCTGACAGTCACTGTCTGCCATCAGTTCAATAGCACATGTGTCATGCACCTGGTCCTGGTGTCATTAAGGCTGAAGTTCAGGGTTGCCTCCTCTCTGCTCAAAGGTCAAGGGAAAGGTGTTACTCACAGGTGGCAAGCAAGACATCCCCGTTGTGAGCAGGCCCACGAGGCATAAAGTGCAGGGAGGTGACAGGTAACCCAAGGGCTACAGTCTCGCTGTCAGCAAGAACTTGATGAAGTGACCCATCGTTGACAGATAAAACCTTAAACAGAGGAGGGGAAAGAGGCTGTAAGGAACGCAAAGAGGTGGGCAGAACACAACACATGAATACACCATGCAAAAGATCATGTAAATCGAATCAAATTACCTCCCCATCTCTATGTGTACCACACATTAAAAATAACTATTCTCATGGAACAAAAATCGGAGTCTTCAGAAGATGGCACTCCAAGATCTCTGCACAGCATGAGCTGCGAGATACCATTTGTGTAGAGCTCAGCCCAGAGTATGAACCCCAGGAAGTGGACTAGCACATCGGGGCTGCCTTCAGATGGTGGCAGAACTGGGCATCTGCAAGGCCCCAAGACCAGCAGACAGCACTTGGCTCTCCACTCTGCAAAGGTTATTCAAGAAGATCAAATCTAGCCTAAGAGAATTCTCATTTTGTATGTCCTGACTCTTCTAGATTGTGTTTGTGTGTGAGAGGATGTCCAGTTTAGGGTGCCATGTCCGAAGGACCTCCAATCCTGGAACCAGCTCTGCATCCTTTAGAGAATGGGACAAACATGGGACAAAAGCCAGCCCAGCTTATGAGATGGACATCTTCACGGAGCACGGTATTTTGCAGTGGAAACAGAATGTGGTGCAGGTTATAATATAGATCAAGGTTGGTGAGCCAGCAGCTCAAGGGCCAAATCCAGCCGTCGTCAATATTTTGTCTGGACCGTAATAACCCGTGAGACTGACCTTAATGGTACCAGTGCGTATTCCTGCTGCAACCCGTGTCCCTTCATTATTGAACTGGCAGCAAAGAAGCTGATCTCCACAATCTCTGTTGGGGAAGGGAATATATGCCCAGATTATTTGTATTTATTTATTTAGTCTATCTGTTAGTCATTTCTACACTAGAATTTCTAGGCTGTCTTTTAAACAAAAAACAAAAAACTATACATTTTCATATAGGCCCATAGGCCAACCTGATGCCCTCTGGAGACTTTGACCTACAACTCCCATCAGTTGATAGGAATTGTAGTCTAAAATAATTAGAGGGCACCAGGATGGGGAAGGCTGCTATAGGCCTTTATTTTTCACCTATTGGCCTTCATGTATAACAAATGAAGTTATAAATAATGAAAGCATACGATCCACAATAAAACAAGATCAAATGACGCAGTCACATTGCAGCCGAAAGCCACCTCGTCAAATAAAACAGATGAAGGCAGTGATATACAACTTGATCAAGGCAACGGCCTGATGAAGACATGAGGGTTTGACAGCTTATCAAAAAGCCCACAGATTTTTTATTTATTTTTAATACACTTCTCCAAGGGAAGGAAGCTCCACAGGCTAGGCTGCATACACACTGTATATATTTAAAGCATACTTCACCCACCCACCCTCAATATTTATGGGCAGTGTAATTTGCCGCCACAGAACTATAATTCCCTGCATGCTTAACAAACTACAGTTCCCATAATTCTTTGGATGGGGTGGGAGGAATATGATTTATATAGGCTTTAAATGCACAGTGTGTGTGCAACTCTAGATGCCGCAGAAGAGAAGGCTGCCGCATGTCACCAACAATCTCGCTTCTGATTGCGGTGGGAGATGGTGAAAGCAAAGCCATCATCAGAGGCCAGCTGGGCTTCTGAAGATAGCCCACACCCCAGCAGAGGGCACCCTGACAAGAGATCACTGAAGTGTTTCAGTGAGCAGGTGAACCAGGGATAGGCCAATGCCATGTGTTCCAGATGTTGTGGGACTACAACTCCCATCATCCCTAGCTGTTGGTCGCTCTGCCTGGGACTGATAGGGAGTTGTAGGTCTACCACATCTGGAGGGCACCATGTTGGCATCTCCTGAGATGGACTCAGAGAGAATGCCTTTTCTAAGAGGCCTCCAAAAACTGGAGTCAACACTAGAAGTGTGGGCAGGTTCATTTGCGGGAAGAAGGCAGTCCTTAAGAGTCCCAGACCTCAGCCATGAAAGGCTGTAAATGTAATCACCAGCATTTTGAAAAATGCAGGTGGTCTGGGTGAGTTTTGAGGTGAGAGGGGTACATAGCATCTAGGGAGGAAAAGGCCTGCCAATTTTGTAAGATAACCAACATACTTAAGTCTAATTAATGCACGAAGGGGTTAAAACCATGAAGCAAGCTGTCCTGCCAGGCTTAGCTCACCTTGGCTTGGGAAGGACTCTGTAATCAAACCTTTGTTCCCCTCCAATCCACCTGATGAACTTGGTTTGTGAAGAGGCTAAGCTGGTTGCTCCAGCTTAGGCGCATAGCTCTAATAAGCTTCTCTTGAGTTCCTATACCAATAATTTAAGAACTTTCACTACTGTGACTAAGGCAGGTTTTACTGCCTGTGTAGCTAAATGCTGTATAGAAAAGCACATGAATCTGACCTTTAGAGCGTTTGTAAGTAAACAATTTTTAATTTATCAAACGTGTGGTCTTTTTTCTCTGCTGAGAGAAGAGGGAAGTTTTGGAATTTACAATGGCATATTTTAAAGGTCAAACAGCCTATCTTTCTGTGCTTTACCTCGCTGCATATTTTGTGATTTTAAATCTCTGTTGGGGTTTTCCTTAGGAAAATTCTTCAGCATTTTAGTGCAAATTTCTCTTAATAAACCCATTTTTTTCCTTGCAGCTTTGACTACTGTACACATTTTTTGCAGCCAAATTATCGTAACAGAATTCATTTCAATGTTGTTTTCACCAACAGACTCATTTTTATGCACACTTTAACCTAATGTGTTCATTTTGGCAAACAGTATTTGCAAAATCAGGATAACTGAATATCGAAGGCCATCTTTCAGTTTCCGTCTTATTTCAGAAAGTGCGGGTTTGATAGATTCTGCCTTCAATACGAATTGAATTTCCCCTCCACCCCTAATTCACACCCATTGCCCCCCTGGTTACCTACATCGTATGGAGCAGCCGGAGATCCCCAGAGATGGAGGGGCTGCTTGTGAGGTTGTCTTGAGGGTTGGTGGTGGGGTTAAGAACGCTCGGTCCTGCTATGGACAGGCGGCCCCGGCGTGTAGGCTGCATTGCCCAGGGGGTGTGGGTCTTTAAGGGGAGGAAAGATACTCTGTTAGAGACACTTGGGAGGGGTTGTTTTGTTTTTGAGATTCCAGTCATCTGGACCCCTTTCCAACATTCTGAGGAGGGAGCAAAGCTCAGTGCTTTGGTGTGCAGAAAGACCCTGGTTCAGTCCCTGGCCTTGCCAGTTTTAAGAAGACTGGTTGCTGGCGACGGGAGAGGCATTTGCCAAAGAATCTGGAGAGCCACTGCCAGTCAGAGTTGACAATGCTGGGCTAGATGGAGATATAGCCTGACAAAGTACAAGGCAGCTTCCTCCCTCCTTAGCATTCCCTGCCGCCCCTCTGTCGTTCATCCTTTCCCCGCATCTCTCCCACTGCCTGTCCGCTTTCTGCAGGCCCTCCATCCCCACCAGCCATTCTCCCCCTATGCAAATTACCCCCCGCCCCATCATCCTCATGCCCCAGGTTCCCAGCTGCCCCCCAACCCAGCTGCCCCTCATCCCGGCACCAGCCTCTCTCTTCCTCTCTCTCGGGTTCTGCAGCGGCTCCTAGCAACCAATGAGGGAGAAGGAAGAAGAACCCACTTGGTTGCCGTGGCAGCCACGAGGGGAAGCCAAAGGTTCTCAAAGAGAGCAGGGCCCCCAACGTCCCACCATCCCGCTTTCTCCTCCCCTTGGGACAGCAATGGCCTGGCCCCTGGCCAGAACGAGGTGTTCTCAGGCGGCAGACCAGGTGTGGGAAGACAGAATGGTAGAATTGTGGAGTTGGAAGGGGCCACTGGGATCACGCAGCAGTGTTTGTGTCATGTTACCTACACGTCTTCCAAGCCAGCCTACACCCCACAAGTACAGCGCCACCGCCACTGAAGTAAGATTCAAGCAACAATTCAGTTGGCTTTTGTCCATGGAGTGGGAAGGAGATGTGAGCGGAGCCTGCCTGGGCCCCTAGATCTTCATCTGAGGCCTGTCTCCTGCTCCCTCCTGTAAGGGAGGCTCAGAGGGAGGTGGGTCAGTGTGTCTGGCTGTTAACCAGAAGGTTGGTGGTTCAAGTCCACTCAGGGATGGCTGTGGGCAGGATTCCTGCACTGGGGTGGGGTGAGCTAAATGACTCGGGGTTCCTTCGAAGTCACCAGTTCTGTGATTCTAGGTCCTTTTCAGTTGTGGCCCCTGTCTGTGGAACCCTCTCTCCAGTGGGGTCTGCCTGGCGCCTTCACTGACTTCTTTTTAGGCCAGGTAAATACTCACCTTCCTCTACAGGCCTTTGATGGACTGAGCTGATTTTGTTCTACTGTGGATGTTGTGATATGTTTACACAACCCAAGTTGCTCAGAGGTCAGGTCTATCAATATCTCATCTCTGCTAAGTGACTAGATTGAGCAGAAATATTAGCTAGTTACAGTGCTTCCCCCCCCCTAAAAAAAATGTTTAGGGGTACTCTCATTTTGACTCAAGAAAATCACCATTTTATAGTTCAAATCGGGGGAAATAAATACAGTAAATGGACAAAAGTACAAAGATTCACAAAATGTTTAGGGGCGGGCATACCCCTGTGTCCAGGGCTGTAGCTAGGGGGTGGTGAGGTGGGCCCCCACCAGGGGTGCAGGCAATGGGGGGCGGGCACAAAATCGGCTAAAAATATGTCAATAGATATAAATATTGATCATTGCCTCATAGGAAATGGTTTTTAAATAGAGGGTGAATTGAATGGGGGGGTTGAATGAGAGGCAGAAAGAAGAGCTAATTTGTCTGTGGCTAGGGGGCGAATTTGGACGGTTCTGCCGGGGCGCAAGATCACCTAGCTATGGCTCTGCCTGCGTCCCCCCAGGGGGAAAAAACACTGGCTAGTTATATACTTACAGTTATTATTTTACTTACTTGGGGTATTAAATTTGCTTCTGCTCCCTACTCACTCCCTGTCCTGGAAAAGTTCCGTCCTTTGTATGGGAGACTGCAAAATATCTCTTCTAAAAATTATGGCTGCCATCTAGTTCTTGCAGCCAGCACCTGCCTAAAACAACAATATATATATATAAAACAATTTAACAATTAATTTATGAAGAACCGGGGCAGCTCTTTTGCCCATCCAGTTCTTAGCGCAAGTCAATTAATTTAAGAAAATTGCAGGCCTAATTTATTTATTAATTAATGCATCAATTAAAATAGATGGGGGTCATTTGACTCGTATTTCATGCACTAGGCAACAGACTGAATTGTGTGGCACACCTGATACCTGACTGGATGCCTCTGCCGCCGCTGCTGCTGTTTAATGAATGCCAGAGTCTGCTGTAGATGAACGGTAACTCTTTTACTGCCTGAAAGTGACTATACAACATGCCTAACAATCGCACTAATGCAGTCCCTGCATTGCTTCAGTCCCTAGTTCTAGTTTCATTTTCCATGCTGTTCCTTACAAGGCATTGCCTGTCTGGTGAGGATTATATCTCAGCACAACTCCCACTTGTAGAAATAAACTAAAACAAACAAACAAACAAACAAACAAACCTACACATCAAAACAAGAAACTCTTTACATTTTAAAAAGACAAATGCTCTTTATTTTCCTATCCTATCCACCAATGCTCTTCATCCACCACACTCCATACCTCTATAAAGATACTTTATAGTATCTTACACACACACACACACACACACACACACACACACACACACACACGGTTCACAACCTTTTTTCCCCCTACTAGAGACAGCTGCTGCGTCTTAACCCAGGTACACTACAGGTGAACCTGATCCCATCTCCCCATTCCAGTGACAGGCAGAACCTGTGCGAAAAGATATCCAAGGAAGTGGGCAGGGAAAGGGGGGGGTCCCCCTGAACCCACCCGAAGCACTCTAGCTCTAACTGTATAAAATAACATGGCTGCCCTAAAGAACCCGCTGCACTATAATTACACAGAAATCTAGTCTCTCCCTCTCTCTCCCTCTCTCTCTCTCTCTCTCTCTCTGTGTGTGTGTGTGTGTAATACCTTTAAGGCACATCAACCCTTCCCAAAGAATCCAGGAACTGTAGTTGTTTAAAGGTGCTGAGAATTGTTGCTCTGTGGGGTGTAAAGTACTGCCCCCAAGATTCTCTGGGGGGAAGCAATGTGCTTCAAAGCATGGCGTGCTGGCAGCCTAACTCACTGGCCCTTGGGGTGCCTCCAGACTGTCAGTTTTCTGTGGGAGGGATCCAAGCACTTACAGTACTGGGAAATTTAGGTTAGTGCAATTGAAGTGGATTAAAACACTCTGGTGCCTTAGAGCAACAAATCCACTTTTTAAACAAATAAAAAATCAGACTTTTGCAGTTAGGAAAGTGACAGGAAAATGAATGGCAAAGTCTAATATGAATGGCTGATTAATGGGAAGGCATATAAACACTCTTTGAGCAAATCAGGGTGAATGTAAGATGAACTCTTGTTGCCCTATAGCCACCCAGCAAGCAAATCAGAACAAATAAACAAATTAATCGATCATCAGGAGGAGCCTCCGGTGTCCCAGAAGGACCCAGCAAGAGTTCTGGATCAAATCTGCCACTAAATCCCGCTCCCTCTTTCCCAGACAGCCGCAGCAGAACCCTGCACCCCATCCCATTACTCTCTGGACCCTTCTGGCTCCTCTGCCCAGCCTGAGGAGTCCTGGCTGCCAGCTCTTACCATGCGGCAGATGTTAATCTGGGGAGGGGAGGAGGGATTTATTTTGCCGATACCACAGCCAGGAGGAGAACAAAAAGGCCTGGACAGCAGGGGTGAGGATCAGAAGTGAGGGGGGAGAGATAATCCCCTTTCCTCTCTATAAAACATCCTCATCCATAAGAGCCATCTCTTCTTCTGCTAAAGGGGACAAGGCGTCAGAAGGACCATACGGAGGGTGACCAGGACACGCACCACTCAGCACCATGCAGAACACCCTGGGACCAGCCTGCATCTTCCTGCGCAAGGGGATTGCTGAGAAACAGGGGGTATGGCCATTGCGGGGGGGGGGGTGGACTGGGCAAGAGGGCGCAGCAGCCCAGGTGGGCAGGGCAAAGGGTCTGGAACGGTCAGCCAAAGCAAGGGCTGAGTTTCCATTTTCCTCTGCAAGGGAAATTAACCAAAAGTGGGACCCGGTGGGATGAGGAGCCCGCCGGATTCCAGACTCAGCTCCATGAAGGCTGCTTGCAGTTTATGGTGTTCTGGAGGACCCAGGTACCGGGAGGAAAAGTCTAGTGCATTAGAGAAGCAAGAGGGAGATAGAATTCTATGGGCTCGATTTAACTTCTAGAATGTTGGTTTGAAAGAGGCGTCACATCTTATATGCTGCCATCTCTCGTTCCCCTTTTGCCTCTGGCAGGCAGGGTTTTCGTATTTTTTTCCTTTTTATTAGATGGTTTCCAAAACATACCCCAACTTTTCGGTCAAAATGACATGATGGGAAATGTATGCGTGTCCTGTGGGAGCACCCCTCTCACAACCTATTCTCTGTCACCACCACAGCCAAATAGACAACCTGGCTGAGTCTCTGAATGCTGGGAAAGTATGCAAGAGAAAGGCAGTTGGGGGCTAAGCTGGCCTCAGGGGCGTTGGGTAGGAAGTAAAACACCCAGTGCACAGGGCCACGGGGGCACAAATTAACTGCCGGGCAAATTAACATGGTTGGGGGTGTCTGAGGCTCTTGTTGGCACTGTCGGGTGCAGCATGCCCAGTCATCTTGTGAGCAAACTTTTGTTTTTTAAAGGTTATAATAGGGAAGGGGCAGGAGATTGGGGGCAGGGAGTCTAAGGTAAAATATCTGGGACTGGGTCCTGTGAACCATCTCCTAATTCCCTCCCCCTTAGTATGAATTATCTGTCCCACCCCAGGCTCAGTAGTGGAGGAGATTATGATATCTTGGTGTGCTGTAGCCCTAACATGCATTTAAAGCGTGCCTTCCCCCAAACCTGAGAACTGTAGTTTACCTCTGAGAGAGCCCAGTACCCTTAATAAACAACAGCTCCCGGGATTCCTTACGGGGAGGGAAATGTACTTTAACTATATGGTGTGTACGCATCTCTAGTGATCCTCAAGGCACTCAGCTGCTGCCAGCTCATGGACTCACCCTTGGTTGTACTTGCTTGAAGTTTTGAAGAAGGGTCTCTGTGAATCAGAAAGCACAGTGAGGTGGTCTCAGCCTTTCTCTATCTCCAAACATCTGCAGCTACATCGTTGCTCCTCCATGGGCTCTGCGCCGCCTGGGTTTTGTCACTGAGTTTTAGGATTGTGTAGGGTTTCTCTCTCCCCGCCGCCCCACTTCTCCGTTCCTCCATCTCACAGTGATCACTGGCTCTGTCATTCTGGGCAGCGTTCCAGTTCATTGCTGGATCCACTTTGTCCTTCTGTGTGCCTGTAAATATTGAGCTGTCAACTCAACGGGAGCATTGCTGTGTTTTTGACAGCGCGATGCAATTATTTCGATTGGCCTTAGGGAAGAGGAGCCTTTGCTTGGGCGTTGGGAAGGGTTGGGCGGAGAGATCGGTTTGGCAATAAGGTTTTGGGGGTCTTGTTTTCTACAGCTCTGGAGGAAGGAGTAGTTTCTAGTGAGGTTGAGGACTGTGAACCAAGACTTCTTCATTTCCTTCCTTCCTATGTGCCTGTATCACTATGAATGACTTTACATCTGCCTTACAGGAGCGGGAACTGGGAGCAGACGAAATCGAAGGTAAGTAGGATGGGCATTTGTGATACTTTTGAGCAGCAGCTTTGGGGTTGTTGTTTTTAATTGTTCTGGGAAATTCTGAGTTGCTTTGGAAGATTATGAGGGATTCTTTGATGGGAAGATCAGTAAGGTTTGAGCTTCCCATAAAGAGAGTTTCCCAACCATGACTGACCTTCCTCTGGAGTGTAATATAGGCATAGATGAGGGAGAAATTCAATCCAGTTTGCATTTAAAGGCAAACCTACATAATTTGCACTTTCCGCAACAACAAGCAAACCGAAACACAGCCTTCCTTTATAAGTCACACGTCTCTGAATTTTGCAGTGTAGTTCCCCAGCTAAATAATGTTTACAAAAATATTTTAGGGTAAAGTGTGCATAAAAATGCATATATTGGTGAAAATGACATATATCATGGGAAATCGCTTTGCAGAAATGTTTATGTTGATCCACATTTCATTAAAACTGTGGTTATCACGTGAAATTCGCACTTGAAATTACCTGAATTTCACACTAAAATGCTGGTGAATTTTCTCGAGGACCTTTTAAAAGCACAAAATGACAAACTGATGAGAAAAGGTGGAGAACTGTTCGGAAAAATTAAAAACTGGGGGAAAGTGAAATGGACAGATGCGCCCATCCCTAGCCATAGGGGATATGGATTGCACACCCAGTTCATGAGGAATGATGGTGAGGCCGTAAGAAAGGGATGAGGAACCTGCGGCCCTCCATCTTATTAATGGAAAACAGCTCTCATCAGCCCCAGCCAGCATGACTAATGGTCAGGGATGATGGGAGCTGTAGTCCAGCAATATGTAGAGGGCCACGGCTTGCCTTTATACCCTTGCCTTAAAACATACCCAGAATCTTCTAGAACATGTTGGAACTCCACAGCAGGTGCTAGAGGGTTCCTTAGCAGGCCTTCCAGAGGAAGTGTTCCCTGAGGTAAAAACCTGGAAAACCACTGACACAGAGGTTTTCTTTACTCAGTTATTATTGCTACCCTTGCTGCTACTCTTGCTGCTCCTGTTTTGCAAAAACAGAGCTCCGTGAGGCCTTCGATGAGTTTGACAAGGACAAGGACGGCTATATCAGCTGCAAAGATTTGGGCAACCTCATGAGGACAATGGGGTACATGCCAACTGAGATGGAGCTTATTGAACTGTCGCAGCAGATCAACATGAATCGTAAGTGCCTGGTCTCCGGGGACTGGGTTGAATATTTCAATAAAGAATGGTGCTGGACTGAAGATACAAGGCAGCCTTCCTCAGCTGGCGGCCCTCCAAAAGTCTTGGACTACAACTCCCATAATCTCTTACCATGAACAATACAAAGCAAGGGCTGTTGGGAATTGTAGTCCAAAGCATATTGAGGGCATCAGGTTGAGGAAGGCTGACGATGGGCAGGAGTCCTGGTATCACTTCCTGGGTCTCCAATGGGCTCTAACGTAAAGGATGGCCACTGTCAGCTTGCCTGGGATTCAACCAGCCCTTGACTTGTCTGCCATTTCAGAGGGAAAAGAGGTTTGTGTGGAGCCGGTGGTAGGCAGCAGTGAGGCAGCTTCCTGTGTGATGCAGTGGCTGGACTTAAGGCTCATCCACGATTCTGCTTGTCCCGTGCCTAGAAAGCACAGGCCCAAAAGTCTGTCCCCCCCACAGGCCTCCAACCAACTTTGGGAAAAGACAATCCCACAGGATGAAAAACAACAACAACAACACAGTAACTAGATACTATTCATGGCTAGAATGATTCTGGAGTATATATGTTAAATACTCTGAATAATGGTTATATACACAATTGGCAGTTAGGGAACCAAAAGTATCTCTCTTTTTTATCTTTCTCTGCTTTCTTGGCCCCACCCCTTATTTATTTTTCTTTTGGATTGGGTTTCTTGTGTGATGCTTGATTTCTGGTGGCTCTCCAGTAGCATTAACTAGGTGTATGTCTGTGTGTGTGTGTGTGTGTGTGTGTGTGTGTGTGTCAGAGAGACAGAGAGAGAGAGAGAGAGAGAGAGAGAGAGAGAGAGATGAAGATACATACAAGGAGCTGACCTGTATGAGAAGCAAGTCAAAGTGGCTTTTCTCAGGGTGAGAGACTGAGGAAGGAGAAGCTCTCCCTGGTGGGAGGATTCAACTCTCCATATGTGTGAAGCTTAAGGTAAAATGTTGACTGAGGGTTATGTTTATAATTTTGTGTTTTATGAGGATCATATGATGATCCTATGAGGATTATTATTAATGTATCTTACTTTCTTTTTCTCTTTTGTCCCCCCCCCCCACCCTTTTGAGATATCTATCTATCTATTACACTGGTCAACAACAAATTTGTTGTCTGTGTTTTTTCAGTTGATTTAGGACGAATCTGATGCGCTGAATCCAAAAATCAAATTGGTTTTGCTCAATCAGGCCAAGTTTTTGAGCTATGGCCACATGTCGGTTTTTTACGCTTTTGTTCACATGTGCACTTGTGTGGAGCATTTTAGAAGAAGTTGGTGGGGGTAAAATGCCATGTCGAATAATTGTTTTGATTGGAAATGATTATTTTAATGACAAGAAGTATTCAGGTCCGATAGTTCTGGGTGATTATGTCGAAAAGGGATCAGTTTGAAGTCATAAAACCTCTGTTTTTTCTCGGAAGAGAAGGACTTGGTGTACTGTGCAGATATTGCGCAGCTTCTGCTCAAGCTTGGAGTGCCACAGTACGAACCCAAAGATTGGAGACTGCTCATTGACAGCAGCAAGCGATCACTGAAATGTGTTCTGCTACACAACGGAAGCAGTTTGCCTCTATACCCCTGGCTCACTCGAGTACACTGAAGGAGAACTATGAAGCGGTGAAGTATGTGCTGGAGGAAATTGGTTATGATCAGCATAAGTGGTTTATTTGTGTTGACCTGAAGATGGTGAACTTTTTGTTGGGACAACAGTCTGGCTTCACCCATGTTTTCTGTGCATGTGGGATAGTAGGGACCATGCTCAGCATTACACGAAGAAGGATTGGCCTGTGCGGGAGGAACTGGTGCCTTGCAAAAAAAGGAACGTCATCAACGACCCTTTGGTGGACAGAGACAGAATACTCTTCCCACCGCTGCACATCAAGCTCGGCTTAATCAAGCAGTTCACCAAGGCTCTGGACAAGGATGGTGACTGCTTCACTTACTTGTGCCAGGCTTTTCCAGGATTGACCATGGAGAAGTTGAAAGCTGGCATCTTTGACGGTCCTCAGATCCGTCAGCTCATCAGAGATCCAGAGTTCGGAAACTCAATGAACGAAGTGGAACTGGAAGCGTGGAAGGCATTTGTTCTGGTAGTGAAGAACTTTCTTGGCAACAATAAGGCCAGAAACTACGCAGAACTTGTCAACAACATGCTGACTGCTTTCAGAAACCTGGGCTGCAACATGAGCGTCAAGATGCACTACCTATTTTCACATATGGACCGGTTTCCTGAGAACCTGGGTTCAATGAGCAATGAGCAGGGGGAGAGATTCCATCAGGACATGAAAGAGATGGAGACCAGGTATCAGGGTTGCTGGGACGCAGTCGCTGGCTGACTACTGTTGGACTCTGAAGAGAGACCTCCCTGCCGCTGAGCATTCCAGGAGTTCCAAGAAACGGAAGTTCAAGCCCTGAATTTTGAAAAATGGTGAAGCAACATGCGATTTACGTGTACTTACCTTTATCAATGCCCACCATTCAGTTTACAGTAAACCTGACTTGATGGAGAGAAACGGATGCCATTTCCTGATTCAGCAGTGCAAAAATACCCAAAATCAGTTGTAGAAATCTAGACAACATTCAAAAAGTAAAAAATTGTTGCCCAGTGTTATCTATCTATCTATCTATCTATCTATCTATCTATCTATCATCATCTATCTAATCTCTTTAATTTAGTTTGAATTTTTTAGTATATTAGGTTGTAAAGCACATGACTTCCCCCAAAGAATTCTGGGAACAGTAGTCTACCCCTCACAGAGCTACAATCCCCAGCACCCTTAGCAAACTACATTCCCAGGATTCTTAGGGGGAAATCATGCGCTTTAAACGTATGCTGTATATGCAGCCCAAACCCGGCTGCTGATCAGGGATATGTAAGGAAACTTGAAGGGAAAACCAAGATATCTGAGCCTTCTAAGAAATTAACCTGACTGTGGTCACTGCAGTTGGAGGGCGTGTGGATTTCGAGGACTTTGTGGAGATGATGACCCCAAAGCTGCTGGCAGAGACGGCGGGCATGATCGGACTTCAGGAAATGAGGGATGCCTTCAAGGAGGTAAGATGGGCTGGGATTGGACAGGGCTTTGGAGTTCTTTCTCTCAGCCTTGTTTCTTGTTCTCAGGGGTGGGGCAGAAATCTGATTCCGTTCTCATTCAAAGGCAAATCTAACAAATCTACCGCGCTTTCCGCAGCAATGCACAAGCAGCCATCCCTTCAGAACCCGCACTTCCCCGAATTAGTGTTAAAAATGCATTTGTTAGTGGAAATGAAATATGAAAGTGCATTCTGTTTGGGAAAATGGATTTGCAAAAATGTGTATATTGGGCAAAATTACATAGGTAAATATGCACATTAGAAGAAATTCATACTAGAATGCTGGTGGATTTTCACGACGACTTAATTCCCAGCTCCACAATCTGATACGGAAATGTGGAGAAGTGGTTAAGACTAGGAAAATGAGAAACTGAGAGACACTGAAATGTACAGATTCACTTATCCCAGCTTGTCATATGTCCCCTTTCCCTCCCAGAAAATTGAACACCTCTCATTCCCCAACTTCTCATTCCCCAACTAGACAACATCGACCCCACCACCACCAAAAAAGCTGGGGATGGGACGTAGCACTCCCCATGACTATCCCTTCTCTGCCAACCTTGCTAGTTCCATAAAAAAATAAGAGAAGAAAGAGGAAGAAACTTTCTGGATCAGATCCAAGGTCTAGACAATCTCTCCTACTTTACAGAAGTCCTCTGCTGGAAGCGCTGTCAGGGGAACAGTCCTCTATTTAAAGGGTTCCTTTATTTGAAGGACTGTCTGGTCCACGTCTGATTTACGGGAGAGAAAGATCCTTTAATTTACTCATGAACAGTTAGCATCTGGAAGCAGATAGACAGGCACACAAGTTACCTGGTCGCACACATCATGAGGTGTACTGTATTTGTATTTAAATAATTATTATTTATCAATTTGCTTTTATACATATGTTACCACACCGGAATTTTACTCGCAGCTGTGTCCACTTTTTTTGGTGGTCCATAAGTGGCCACTCTCATCTAATTCAGTGTTCTACTTACTATGGTGACCCACCGGATGACCACAAGCAGGGCAGGAAGGCAAAAGCCTACACTGCTGCTGCTCATCTTGTGGTTTTCAGAGGTGTACTGCATCTGGACCTGGAGGTTCTACTTTTTTTCCAGTTTTCATGAAAATACATCAACCTTTTGGTGCAAATCCTTTTGGCACACTTCCTTTTTTTTTTGGGACAACACTAATATTTCACTAATATTTATATTTCCTTAATGCATTTTTCCTCCATTATTTTTCACTGACATGTGCTTCTCTATGCACACTTTACCCTCGTGTGTGCATTTCGGCACACATTTCTTGGCTGGCATTGCAAAATTTGGGGAAATGTGACTTGTAAAAGATGGTTGCGTTTCGGTTTCCTTATTTTTTTGGTATGCGTGAATGAGAACAGTTCACCTTTTAAACGCAAACTGAATTGGATTTCTCTCCTATCATTAACCCTGACAAATAGCCATTGATAGATCCTATGGGATCAGGTTAACTGGCCGCCACTGCATCTTGTGGCAATGAGTTCCATATGCTAACGACCCACTGCATGAAGAGGTACTTCCTCTCATCTATCCTGCATCTCCTGCCATTAAGCTTCGCCCTCTTGCTCCTATTCAGATTAAGGATGCTGACTCTCACTGCAACTAACTACCATGCCTCTCCCCGTTTCCAGTTTGACACCAACGGGGATGGCGAGATCACTCTGGATGAGTTGTACCAGGCCATGCAGAGGCTGATGGGCGAGCGCCTGACGTCCCGGGAGATTGCTGATGTGGTGAAGGAAGCCGACGTCAATGGAGACGGGACGGTGGATTTTGAGGGTGAGATGCAGTAGGGGAATATAGGATTGATGGAAAGAGATTATAGGCTTATCGGGATACAAGGTGAGAGGTTAAAAGCTTTAAAGGTCTGGGGAGATGGGATTTAGGAGCACAGGCTAAAAAGATATAGGCTTAAATAGGCTTGGATAATAGGGTTAGAGAGTTATTGGATTGCTCCAGTTGCATAGAGATGGTAGTACACAGCCCACCTGTCAAAACGGGCTGCTGGTGGTGGGGAAACCAGAAATCTAGTGCCTGCTCCACCTGCCCTGTTTTTGGATTGCAGCCCCATTGGCAGGGTGGTTGTGGTACTAATTTAATAAGCAGGCACTAGATACCACAATGTGGGAGTTGTCCAAACACACCAGGCAAGACTTAATGACCCTGAATGCTATGTTCTCCCTCCACTGTCGGAGGCAGTAATGCTTCTGGAGGGATGCAGGTGGCGCTGTGGTCTAAACTACTGAGCCTCTTGGGCTTGCTGATCAGAAGGTCGGTGGTTCGAATCCCCACAATGGGGTCAGCTCCCATCGCTCTGTCCCAGCTCCTGCCAACCTAGCAGTTTTAAAACACGCAAGTGCAAGTAGATAATTAGGTACTGCTGTGGCAGGAAGGTAAATGGCGTTTCCGTGCACTCTGGTTTCCGTCACGGTGTCCTGTTGTGCCAGAAGTGATTTAAGTCATACTGGCCACATGACCTGGAAAGCTGTCTGTAGACAAATGCCAGCTCCCTCAGCCTGAAAGCGAGATGAGCGCTGCAACCCTATAGTCTCCTTTGACTGGACTTAACCGTTCAGGGGTCCTTTTACCTTTACCTTTAATGCTTCTGGATACCATTCTGGGAGAGTGCTGTTGAGCTCAGGTTCTGTTTGTGGCCTTCTCATAGGCTGACCACTGAGAACAGGATGCTGGACTAAGCAAACCACTGGCTTGATCCAGCGGCCTCCTCTTTATATCCTTAGGTAACGGGACCTAGGTCATTTCAGAATACAGATTCTGGGGATATTTCAGGCTACTACGACAGCACAACCAACTTCCAGCACAAGTAACCTAAATGATTCAGGTGAAGCAGCAAATGTAAAAGTGGAATTTCCCCAGACTTACCTTGTTGCCCAGTTTGGATTGCACTGGTAACTCATTTGTTTAAGACTGCTCACTGCCAGCCAAAAAGGGCACAATAGCCAGCCTTTAGCAAGCATAGGAGCATGCCTTATACCAAAGCCAAACTATTTGTCCATCCAGGCCAATATTGCCTAGTCCAGCAGGCAAACTCTCTATAGGGTCTCAGGCCAGGGCTGCCCCCGTCTCATGTTCCCTCATCCTTCTTCATTCCATTTATTTAACAAAATTTGCGTACAGCTCCATGGTAATGGAACCTCTAAGCCGTTTACAAAATGCAGCAACATTTCGTAGAATCATAGAACTGTAGAGCTGAAAGGGACCCCAAGTCATCTAGTCCAATGATTTGAATTATTGATAGAAGGTAGTTAAAAACAGATATTTTGAGAACTTCAAAAGATAATTAAATTCAGCGCTAGACAAAACAGAACATGAAACAAATAACGATACACCCAAAACAGTTGAATAATATCATGTGCATGTCCAGCACAGGTTTATCTTCTTACTAAATTGAAATAACTACAAATAGCAGCAGTAAAAACATCAATAATATCTGAATAAAATATCAAAGGCGTATCTGAATAATACAAGTTTTGAAAGACAAGAAGGCAGGAATGACTCCAGCCGACCTTCCATGAGCAAGTAGTCCCACAGGACAGGGCCTGCGGCACTAAACCCTGGTAAATGTTGGCCAAATCCTGGGGGCATGGAGGACCACCGAGAGTGCCCATCCGAAGGCCTCAGTGATCAAAGTGGAGAGAATGGAATCTGGGTGTCCTTAAAGTTGTTCAGGACTTTGTGTATTAACACAAAAGACCTGAACCTGGCCCAGTAGCAAATTGGCAACCAGGGCATCATTATTTTACATGTGAATTACACATTTATCTCCAAGGAGCAGGCGGTGGCATTCACAGCCATTTATCTCCCTTTGGATAAGCACAACAGCCCTGTGAGGTAGGTCAGGACAAGGGAGCACTCAGCAGTCTTTGTAGATTTGAAGCCAGGTCTCTCTGGCCTTTCTCCCCAGCCGCACTGATGTGTTTCTTGACGTTTGCCTTACAGAGTTTGTGAGGATGATGTCACGCTGATGGAGTCGCCCTCCCCTCTCTGGTTCCAACGAATATGTGAATGTATGGAGTTCAACATCAAATCCCAGTGTGAACTGGGAGGGGAGGTCAAACCTCCGTTTGCACAAGAGACTGAGCAGGGCAAGGGGTGGGTTGGATCGTCTCCCTAAGAGGAGGGCAAGCATCCGACTTGGCAAAGTCCAATCCCTGCAGGAATCCCTTATTACCGGGCAGCTGCATTCATCAAATCTATCCCACAACTGGTCCAACCAGCTTGGTTGATCCCTCTGAAACACACCCCAGAAGATCGCTTCCCAGCGCAACGCCCTGCCTTACCTCTCCCTCCCCTCCAGCAATCATGTACAATAAAGACTTCCTTGTATAGGATCGCTCAGGATCCGCGTGGGGGTGGCTTTTTTTGTGGCACATCAACTGGAGCCGCCCACTGATGCTGGCATCCGCAGAGGTCAGAATAACACCCTGGCAGCTCCACGTCTGGCCCTGCCCAAAGCGGCTTATCCGCTTTAATCGCTGCTCAGAAGGGCAGCATATGGGGCAGGAATAAACAGATTAAAGAGGAAGCAGGGATCCTCCTGCGTAGGAAGGCCAGAGGTTTCCAGAAGCGGGACTTTGGCGAAGCGGGACACTTGGGTTTGATCACCATCATCATCGTGTGGGCGGGGAGCAACGAGGGTCTAGCTTGGCACAGGATGAGGCAGTAGAAGAGCTCAGACTCCTGGCTCTTTGGCTATCTGAGCCCCTTCAAAGAATTGCAGCTCCAGGACTGTTTGTTTCCTCCTAATGAGCCTTTGCAGATTAAAAGTCATGGGGCTCGAAACAGCTGCTGCACTTCCACTTCTCCATTCCCCTAATCACAGTGGCAGGGAGGGTGGGAGAGGAGGAAGCGGAGCAGTGGGCAAACCCTCAAGGATGTGCCAAGGTCACTCCGGGGCAAACAGATTTAGCTCTGCCCCTGTCTTTTGGTCCTCAGGGCTGCTACCCTTTTTAGCCCAGCCGCAAGGCCACTCTGGGACGGTGCTGCGGTTACGGGGAAGGAAGTGGGGAGAGCTCTCTTAATAAAACCTACAAGGCCCATCCCAACCCCTCCCGATTTAGGTTAAGCCAAGTCATAACCCCCCTTCCCTGCCACTTCTAACCATCCAGAAACACAAGCAGGCCCCCAATCATTGTGGATGCCCAGTTCTCTTCACGGAGAGAAACAAGGCAGCCTGCCTACCATCGCAGCACGCTGGAGGGCACGACTGCAAAAACCCCATTTTATCTGCCCTGTCTAGCACCTTTGGGCAATGCGGAACTGTTGGATCTGTCATCCAGTTATTCCTGCCCACAGAGAATCACGAAATGGTTGAGCTGGAAAGGACCCAGTCCAACCCCCATGCAATGGCAGGAGTCAACATCAACTAACCTACCTTCTCCTCAGAGAGTCCAACTCGCTAATACACAAATTTGGTTAAGCCTGTTATATAAAACCCTTCTCCATCTGTGCTCCACCCCCGCCCCGCCCCGCCCCCCAAACCTGGCTTGCAGTTTGGCCTTGTGTGGCTTGGCACCAAACCAAGCCAGTCAGGAGAGGAGTACACAGGGCACTTCTAGGCAGAGAAGCCTTTATTCTGGGATTGGAGCCACTGCAACAGCACACATGTTTTTCGCAGTATGCACACGTAATCACAGTTTTCAAAATGCCAGCCTGTACTCTTTTTACTTATTTAAAACGTCTAATCTGGATTCCCCCTTAACACAGAAAATCTGATGAGTAAAAATAACCCAGTTATTGCTTGTGTGGAACTCTTTTGACACATTTTGGGGTGGGCAGGTGGTTTGGGGTGTGAACACCTTTGCATAGCAAAAAGACTTGTGCTCATGTCCAAGCTTGGGTGCTTCCTACAGGTGTTTGTGGTTGGCCACTGTGAGAACAGGTTTCTGGGTGCAGGGTGATGGGCCATTGGTCAGAAGGGCTTTTCTTATGTTCCCCCTGTCCCATCAACATCCCCTGATATGTACATGAACAGAAGCGAATCTGAATGGCTAAAGACTCCAATTGGTGTAAAGCTGGTTTGAGAAACAACATTTCAAGCAATAGTGCTTTGTAACAAAGGACGGGATACTTATGCATTTGGGATAATATCATGGGAAGATGGATTAAAAACACACAGTAAGTGGGAGCTGAAGACACTCAGATTTTGGGATCCGTGCTGAAGGTCTCAGGGCAGCAAGATTAGATCTTAAGGCCACCAGCCAAGCTCAAATTACTGCTCTTGAATCCAGGAGCTTTGCAACTGTGTAATTGGTTATAAAAAATTAAACCACTCATTATTCTGAAAGAGAAAGCATTGCATAAGAGTTTTGCTTGTCAGTGTGTTTTCCTAAACTTTCATTCCCCACCCCCACTGAGATCTTCAAAATAAAAACTTCAGTATTTCCCCCCTGATTCTACCCCCCCTCCCAGGCCTCACATTTCTGGCTCTTTCCCCTGTCTCGTATATTTGGCAGGGTTCAGTTTTTGTCTTTCTAGAGTTAGCGGCTCCATGATATCACAAGGTCCTACCCTGACAACACTAAAGCCCGTCACATCACTAAGCCCCAACCCATAAGTCTAGGGCTTTGGGATGCTGGAAACCAGGTAACCCTAGAGGGCGGTTTATTCCCTCATGAAGATCATGAGAGAAGTGAGCTGGAGACATTGTAGTGTAGGGCCCTGGTTCCATGAATAAGCATTGGGAGGTGGGGTAGTTCTTTGGGATATTTAGATTTCCTCAAGGCCGCCTCAGAACCCGTTTCCGAAGCTCCATTTGCAGCAGATCTTGCTCCTTCCGGATCCCAAGTAAGACGCTTTGGTTCTCATGAGCACGGCGGATCAAGTAGGGGATTACTTCTTCCACAGAGCCGAAAGGGATAGATTTGTAGATGGCATAACCAGCCTGGCCTAGATTCGGGCACAAGATTTTAAAAAGAGAGAGAAAGGAGGTGACGATATCGCAGGAGGACCAGAAGTGGCTGTGGGTGTGGAGAGCATCTGTGGGAAGCGGGGTCTACACTACACTCACCTAGGGCCAAGGAAATCTGATCGCACATGCCCAGCAGCTGCCCAAAGCTGACTGGTCCAGCACCCTTGTCGATGCCCATCTCTGCCATCCTTAAAAGAGATAAAACAAGCACATTTCAGCGACAGGTTGGGGAGAAGTTATGAGAGTATCATAGCAGTGAACAGCATAATGTAAGCTACAAGGGCTAGGAGTCCAGCTCAGTCACAAAGACGCTGGCTGTTTTTTTAGGCAAGCTGCTTGCCACTAGACCTCACCTTCAAGCCCTCATCTGCAATATGGGGATAATATTAGGGGGTCAGCTTTACAGGGTTGCTGTAAGAAACAATGGAAGTATTATTTCTACATTAACCAGTGGTGGCTGTGTGTGTTGTGTACTGGTTTTGCATAATGTGAATGGGCTTCTTTTGCTGCTATTGTCTCGGGTTTCTAACGTCCTGGATAATGTGTCCCCGTCCTCCTCCCGAAGGGATGTATGTGCTGTCAGCTGTCTGCCCAGACGATGTGTGCTGATTTTTCTTTACCTCTGTATGCCGAAAACCAATATTTTGCTCCTAGGCATGTCATGATAGCTGTATGCCACTTCCCTTATATATAGCTTGCTTTCATGCAAATAGATCTGAGAGGTGGATATGGATTGGAGTATTGGTTGCTGATGTCAGAAAGGCAGCGCAATTCTTACACATACAATTGTGTTTCTATGTGTGTTGTGGAGAGTCTCCCTTCCAGATAAAAGGCAGCTAGTTTCCCAAGGCTTTCCCCCCCACCCGTGGCTCCCACTTTCAGAGAGCACCTGTATGTCCAAACCATCAGACCTGGTGGCAGCTGGTGCTTGTTATGTAGAAAGACAACCCCACTCACGTCCCCTTTGTGGTATTCCCCCTACCTTTGAACAGTGTGCATCACGGACACTTCGTTGTGTGTGGCCACGATCATCTCAAACCTTCCCCTGGCTCGAGACACTTGATCCAAACCAAAATCCAAACAGCGCTGGTAACTGGATCACAGGAAAAAGGAAGAGGGCAAGAGAATGAAGCAGAGGGGGCAAAAAATGAGAGAGGTGCACCGTGCATCAAATTTGTATAGGCTGGTTTATATGGATGGATGGACATTAAAAAATCACTACTGTAGAACTGATAATAGAAAAATGCAATGCGTCTAATTCAAGTGAGGATAACAGTTGCATACACACCGCACATTTAAAACACAGGTCTCCCCACAAAGAATCCTGGGAATTGTAGATTTACCTCCTTGCAGAACTATAATTCCCAGGAACTTTAACAAGGCAGAGTTCCCAAGATCCTTGGGGGAAGCCTGTGCTTTAAATATACCGTATTTTTCCATGTATAACTCGCCCCTGTATATAAGACACCCTCTATTTTGGGGGCAGTGACCAATCACATGTTCCTCCTATACACTATCCGTATACAGTGGTGCCCCGCAAGACGAATGCCTCGCAAGACGGAAAACTCGCTAGACGAAAGAGTTTTCCGTTTTGGAGGTGCCTCGCAAAACGAATCTGCTATGGGCTTGCTTCGCAAGACGAAAATGTCTTGCGAGTTCCTGGCTTTATTTAAATACTTTTCCCCCTCTTTTTCTAAGTCGCTAAGCCGCTTATCTGCTTATCCGATAAGCTGATAAGCTGCTAAAAGCCGCTAAAAGCCGCTAAAAGCCGCTAATAGCGCTAATAGCGCTAATCCGCTAATCCGTCAATGGGCTTGCTTCGCAAGACGAAAAAACCGCTAGACGAAGAGACTCCCAGAACGGATTCTTTTCGTCTTGCGAGGCACCACTGTATAAGACTATCCCCCTTTTTAACATTATTTTTTAGTAAAAAAAAACCACCCATGTCTTATACACGGAAAAGTACGGTACTTTCAATAGATGGTGTGTATGCAGCCCAGTGACCTCAGATTGCTGTCCATGTGTGCTAATGAGTGATGGGCAATTTCAAGGCCACGCCTGAGCTCCCTTCTTATGGTTCTTTATCTTTAAACCAGATTTGGACCAGGCAGCCCTTCAAATAGACAATTCTGCCACATAAAGGACCATCCTAGGTCACACAATGGAAGGAAGATACCATAGGAAGCTTCTCTTCCCATGCCTCGTATTAATGACCCACAGAGTAGTGGAACGGGGTGGAGTCCTCCTCACTTTTCGTTGGTAGCCTCCCAACTGGGCTGCACAGGATCAGGGTATCCTTTTTCCTTTGCCAGTTTCCGCTCTTTCTCCAGGTAAGCCCCCCGGACCAACTTCATTCCGAAACAGACACCCAAGCGCTCGGTGAGGGCGATGTCCTGTTTCAATCGCTCCAGGGTGTCCTGGAGGGAGACAAGTTGGCCAAAGACCGTAGTAGAACAGGAAAGGAGTCCTCCAATACCACTGAGTTGTCAAGGTGAGAGCAGACCTTCCTTACTTCCAGGAAGTAAGGTGGATAGAAGGAGGACTGTTTCTGGGGGAGGAACTCACCTTGAGATATCCCTGGTATGTGTTCCAGATCCATGGCTTTTGGGTGTTCCAGACAGCCATCATTGCCACGGTGACAAGCCTCAGGGCGGGGTTAATGTAGGTGTATTCTGCATCCACCAGGACACGGACTCCTTTTTCCACAGCATACTGCATACGGAAAGAGGTTGGGAAGATGAGAACCAGAACAAAATGGACTCCATCGCCAGGGCTGGGCTCCCCTGCTTCCGTCCTCCCCTTAGAGTACCTGCGCTACAGAATTGAGCCGCCTCAATGATTTCTTGAAATGGTGGTTCTCTTCCTGGGTCAGGCAGCCAAAGTTCAGTTCCTGTGGGGGCAGGAGAACAGTGGGAGATAATACACAGGTCAAATAAAGTTTTAGCTCTCTTTGGAGCAAATGTAATCCACCCGGTAAGGGAGTGGCGAAAAGGCTCCTCACCTCCGCTTTCATGGCAGCCACCACTCTCTCAATGCTCAGGTCCGACTTTGCCTCCTGCTCTTGCAAACGCAGGGCAATGGTCTTCTGCAAAGGGAGCAGGGGAAAGTAATCCAAAATAAAAGCAGGGTACCTCCCTTCCCTTCACAAGAATTGGGCCAGAATGAGGTCCCATGCATCAAAATTAAGGGACGGACTGAGATGGTAGAATCCTGGAGGAGAGGGGGCTGGCAAGAGAAGCAAGCAGAGGCACCAGTCTTTACAGCAAATAGTTTTTAAGACATTATGCCCAAGAGGATAATTGCATGATACTCCCCACGCTGCCCAATTACTTAGCATGCTATGTTTTATAATTCTGTGGTGAATACCACTTCAGATTTTTCTGTTCAGTATAAAGTGGTACATAAATGTAACATAAACCAAGGATACACATCCGTTCAGAGCTTGCTGCCCCCAATGCCCCAACAGTCCCTCTGCCATCCCACAATACTCACGCAGAGTGCTGCTGCCATCAGCGCCGTCACCTTCAGTTGCATCATGGGATTGACGGCACCAACCGCAGAGAGATCCAGGCAGGTAAGCATAGATTGGGCATTCTTGTCATACCAGTCTTCCCTGGTTGGGGCAAAGCAGATAGATTATTATTATTATTATTATTATTAATATTAATACCCCACTCATCTGGCTGGGCTTCCCCAGCCACTCTGGGCGGCTTCCAACAAAATATTAAAATACAGTAATGCATCAAACATTAAAAGCTTCCCTAAACAGGGCTGCCTTCAGATATCTTCTAAAAGTCTGGTAGTTGTTGTTCTCTTTGACATCTGGTGGGAGGGCGTTACACAGGGCAGGTACCACTATGGAGAAGGCCCTTTGCCTGGTTCCCTGTAACTTGGCTTCTCGCAGTGAGGAAACGGCCAGAAGGCCCTCGGCGCTGGACCTCAGTGTCTGGGTAGAACGATGGGGGTGGAGATGCTCCTTCAGATATACAGTACATAGGATTGTAGAGTTGGAAAGGACCACGAGAGTCATCTAGTCCAACCCCTACAATACAGGAATCTTTTGACCAACGTGGGATTTGAACCCACAGCTCTGAGAGTAAGAGTCTCATGCTCTATCGACTGAGTTATCCCAAAGTCAGTGCAGAATCTCCTTCTGGTACTACCACTTTGCTTGAAAATACTCAGCAGGGAACATCTGTCAAGAGCAACACTTTCAAACTCTCCGAAAACCTTCCTGGGCCAACTCCTTCCAATCTGCTCACCACCTTTCACTTTCATTCTGTCCTGGTGTTCAATGATCCCCTTGAAGCTTTCGTTGCCAGTTTCCCCAAAGAGAAGTAAAGGGCCAAATGAGATGTGTCTATTTGATAAATCCTTCAATGTTGGGTGGATGTTTTGTGTTTAAGAAATAGTTGTTGCTGATCAGCAGCACGGTGGGGGCCAAAAGTTATAGCCCCCTTTTCTCACACCATAAGGGACTCTAGCTTAGTGACAGAGCCTTGCATGCAGAAGGTCCTAGGTTCAAATCCTGACATCTCCAGGTCAAGCTACAGAGCTACAGTTCCCAACCCACAGCTCTTAACAAACCCACAATTCCCAGGATTCTTTGGGGGAAGTCATGTGCTTTAAGGTGACTAACAATCATGTCTACCCTTCTACATCTACTTTACTTATAGACCATATTACGGTTTGCAAAAATTACTCAAAGCAAATCCAGGTTTTGATTTGAGGACACTGTTTTTTTTAGGTAATCTCTATACACTCCCCACTCTTTTTGGAACCTTTGGTTAGACTGTCCCCTAACTGTATCCATCAGTTTTGCCATTTCAAAATATTCAAATGATGAAATGAGAAAGAAATTGTTTAACAAACAGGAAAACAGACCCGCTTTGAGGAGGTAGGAAGTCTACTAGAAAAGAATAAGAACGGGAAATATAAAGTAGAGTAACGTAAGTCCGCGTGCAAGAGCGTACGGATTTAAGGTTATACTGTACGTTTGTTATTTGTTTTGTGCCTTCTATTTAGTTTCTTTCTTAATTGTCGTATCTTAGTGTGTGTGTTTATGTGTTGTAACAAAAAGTTAATGAAAAGCATTAAAAATAAATAAACAAGGTGGCTAACAATACCAATAATCATAAAAAGTTGGAGGGTTTTTAAGCCAAGACTGAGAGCAAAATAAGCAGCAGTATTAACAAATCAGCAAAAAGAAAAGCAACACACACACACACACCAAATCATTATAGAGAACGTTCCAAGGCCAGCCTAACTCAGCAGGGGGACTGAACACACGCTGTGCATTTAAAGCTGCAGTCTACCTCCCATAGAACTACAATCCCTGCCTCCCTTAAAAAAACTATAGTTCCTGCCATTGCAAGGGCAGGTGGAGGAATGTGCTTTAAAGGTGCTTTAAGTCTGTGCTATGTATACAGCCTTGGCTTCAACGGACTCTAGTATATCACACAAAATTAATCTGTTGTTTGGCTAGTTCAAAGATGGTCGTGTCTCTCTTTGCACCTGCTTTCTTTCCCAGTCAAGCACCTGCGTGTTTCACTTCAGGCCTGAAGCAGATCTGGATAGTGACCTTGTTTGATGTTATCAAAAAGGGGGATCAAACGTTGCTTCTTCTGCTAAGGATTTTTCCTAAATGTGTATCTAGAGTCACCAGATTTCAAAAAGTAAAAACCAGGGAACCACCAAAATTGTTCGGTTTTTTAGGAAACATCCAAAATCGTTGTATGTAGTTTTTCGATTGACTTGCCTAAGATCCAGGACAAAGCGCCGCCTTTGGGAAATTCCCCACCCCATCCCGGACGTCAATTCCGGCTTTGAAATCCCGGTAATGCCCAGGAAAATCTGGACGTATGGCAGCCCTGATATCTTCAGGTGCCTAAATGATGGAATCTCCACAACGGGCAGTTTTGACAGGTGAGAGATGTGAAGGGAGAAAGAGTTTCAGGTTGGGGAAGGACTTTAGCAATATGGCACCCTGAGCAAGGACAGGGTGCCTGTCCTTTTTTATTTGTACCCCACCCATCTGACTGGGTTGCCCCACAATAATTCACAATCATTCCTTTTGGTACTGCTGCTATTTAAATGGATCTTCTCAGTAGGTACCTATATAAATGCTGTTGTTGTTGTTAGCCCCCTCAGCTCAATGCCCTGTGCTGCCCAGGTTATTATCTACTCTTCCATTCAGCGTTGAAGCTGGCATGATGAACTATTTAATTTAAGACTATTGTTATAGCCTTTTACTCAGAGTAATCCCTTTGAACTTAATGGACCTGTCACACCCATTAATTTCAATGCATCTACTCTGAGTGAAGCTAAGTTGGTTACAACCCTCAATATTTATTTTAAGGCAGTCTATTCATAATACTGATCCCAAGTTGGTTTACATAAGGCTGACATACACCCGGAATTTTCACTTTTTGAAATATGGCAACCCTAGTTTACAATGCATATTAAAGCAACAACAACAACAACAAAAGATGCCGTATAACAAAATCAATACGAAAATAACGCAAATATTAATATCAAAGCAGCAGAGCTAAGATTTCCCTTCCATGGCAATTCTTCCAGTCAGGGAAGCCACTTACGAATCACACCAAAAAAGGACACAGATATGCATAATTTGCCTAGGCTAATTTATAGGTGTAGGTGATGCACCTTTAGAAATGGTTCCTATAATTAAATTAAGAACACAATGCATCTCACCATAATGAGGAAAACTGTGACCAGATGGACTGTTTATTATGGGCAGCTTTTCCACACATGAAAGGTTTTTTGTTTTTGTTTTTTCACAGTGTCCACACAACACTCTTAGGACCAAAATGCCAGCCTGCACTCCCCGCCCCCGCCATTTAATCTGGATTTACCCTTTCCGCAATAAGTTTTTTTAGAAGCTGTTGCCAACAAGCCATTTGTAAATTAATCCTCCATCTGGAAGCGCTCTTAGAAAGCAGACACATTCACGGAGGATAAGTCCATGAGCAGCTCTTAATCATGTCAGCTCAATAGAACCTCCAGACCCAGGGGCAGTATAGCACAGAGAATAGCCAGAGAAGGCTTTATGCCTGACAGCATTGCGCTGGCTACTGTGAGAAGCAGGAATCTGGACTGCCTGGCCCTCATCCGGCGGTGCTCTTCTGAAACTCTGGGATTGCATTTTAAAGGGGGCTGTTTTGCGGTTTCTTGCCATTTTCAGCAAGTGGTGATTTCGCATGTGTGAGATAAAAGGGCAAATGATTTATATCTTGCACTGGCAGCGGCTGCAATCTGCTGTGTGTGAAAGTACGCATCGCTACCCTTAGCACCTAACCTCTGGATAACCACTTCCTGAACACAAACCGGATAAAAAAAACAGGTTGTGAAGATAGCTTTGTGCAGCAGATAAGGATGTCTGAATCATGCTTCCTCACTTGACATTTGAGCACTTGAGCACTTCTCCCCACCTTCTGGCAGTTCCCTCACTATGAGGTTACAAGGAACCAGGCACAGGGCCTTCTTGGTAGTGGCATCCACCCTGTGGAACGCCTCCCATCAGATGTCAAGGAAATAAACAAATACTGTATCCGACTTTTAGAAGGCATCTGAAGGCAGCCCTGGTATAGGGAGGTTTTTTAATGTTTGTTGTTTTACTGCGTTTTTATCACTTCTCAGAAGCCGCCCAAAGTGGCTGGGGCAACCCAGTCAAATGAGTGGGGTACAAATAAAAAAAATATTAAATTATCGTTATCCTCTGGGGCCACATGCACCATTGCCATTAGGTCACCCCACAAAGTGCTAGCTAGCTCATTTATCTGCCAAGAAAGTGTGACACGCTCACAGAGGTAAAAGACAAAGCAAGGGCAGACTTTCGTAATCTTTTGTAGTAAGGCCAAAACTTGGTGCCCCAAATGGATCTTCTTGATTATGGATCTTCTCAATGTTGGGTTGGGGCCCTGTGAGAGAGAGCCGCCTGCACCACCCTAAATCCAGTGCTGATATGAATCCGTCCCGAGCTATGCTTGAATCATATGTCAGTCGAGTACAGAGGACTAAGTGGGAAGCTGAATCAAATCCACCAGCCCAGCCTCTGCCTCTCACCAGTTTTAGCTAAATTATGTGCCTTGCCTTTAAACCCCTGTCAGAGAACTTGTTTCCTAGGCCTGCCTATGCTTCTCCTCATAGTATCAAGGCACAGCCTTCTCTTTGGCTGTCCAAATCATGCCCCCCCCCCACTTTTCTCATCCAGCACTCACCCTTCCTTTGCTTGCCCCACATCTTCCTCTATGGGGACAGCAAGGAGAGGACGGATCCCCAAGTTCTGGAGCCGTCGCAGTGTTTCCTTGACCTCTGTGTGGGTTTCGCCAGCAACAAACTGTCCGTACAGCGTAAGGCGGAGCACAGAAGTCCAGAGTCGGTGGCCCAGAACCCGCCGGGAGATGGAAAGGACCTGGTGGAGAGAAATAAAAGGTTTATGGAACAACTTCTACGTAGACATCGACGGCGAGTCCGAAAGGCTAACAAATAGACCATGGCAGAGGTGTTCAAGGAATGGGTGCACCTGCCAATTAAGGATCCAATTGGGGCATCAAGTGGGATCGAAACTTTATGGCACAATCATTCCCTCCATTACCAGTGTTCAGATTTTGAGCATCGTTGCTCACATAGCCAAAACAACAGCAACCTTGCACAGGAAGGACATATCAGTAGCCTTGGGGGAATCACAGTTTGCAGAAGTACCTCAATAAACTTTAGGGGGGAGGAAACTGAAGTGGGAGTGACACCCCACCAAAAGCATCTCGCTGAGGTTGAGGGTGCTCAGTCAAAACTGGAATGCTGGGGGGGTGTGTGTGGAATGGAGCAGCTGGGAATCCTGAGGATTGCTGCATTCTGCACCGTTTTGTTGCAGTTTCTGCTTGTTCCCTATAATTTTTGATGTTGGTTTTGTGTGTGTTGGTGCTTCTGGAGTCAAAATGTCCCATCAACACACAAGAGAGCAGTATCATCAGGCCGGGGAGTCCCGCAAGGCTTGCAGAAGTTCAACAAATATTGGGGGTGGGGAGGGGACCCTATGGCAAGGGGCAGCTGATCGCAAATGAGGGCTACGAATCTTCAGCACCTATTGAAATGTTGACTGGCTCCTGGAGGAGTGGGGGTGGGCAAGAAGAACCAGCAAGAATGGGAAGGGAATTGAGTGACTGGGCTCTGGAGCAGCAGCGCTTCACGCTGCAACAATTTGTTGCAGACAAGGTGAAACAAGACTCCTTTTGGAATACAGTTCAGACCCATCCCACGGCTTGACTCAAAGACCCTTAACTTACCCCACTCTCCCCAGCCACAACAGAGCACTGTGGGGCACCCCTTAAGCTACAGGTGGTGATTGGAAATGAATTGATTGAGCGGGTGGGTGGCCTACAGCGGGTCACGATCCAAGCCCCCCCCCCCCGGTCTCACCGTGGGCGCTTTCCGAACCAGCCATGGGGAGGAGCAGAGCCGGAACACCAGCAGCCCCCGAGTGAGCTCCCAGTTGCTCTTCAGGTGGAATACCTTCCCATCGTTCAAGTTCAGGGAAAGATGGGCAGGCATGGGGTCTTTCGCAGCAGCTTGGGGGGCTGGCTGGGGAGATGTAGATTTCGAAGAAACCGCTTGGGGAGCCCAGAGGGAAGCCAGCCTACGGTGCGGCAAGCGAAGCCCGCAGTTCAGCATGCTGCCAGCTCCGTCCACTGCTTTGGACAGAGTGTAGCACCTGCCGCCTATCCCATAGCGTTTGGGGCCAGCAGGAAACCCTGGCGGGAGGGGGCTGAAGTAGAGAAAAAGTGCAAGACCCAGTCGACAAGGTGCTGCCTCAGCAGGTTAGTGGGGGCAGGGGGAGGGGGAGCAGCTTAGTAGGGTAGAAAAACTGCTGAGGAGGAGAAGTCACTTATTAAACTTCTGCACTCCAAGGCAGTCAACTGTTTTATCCCATCGGAGGCCGTTTCTTTTGAAGGGTACCCATTATTTTAAGGATCACCCACTTGACCACTTCGATTTGTGGAACTGGCCATTTTAATGCTACCACGTTTATTCCACACTTGCAATCCATCGGTCCTTACCTGTGATTTCCTGCATTGGACTAGGTGGCACTCTGGGTCCCTCCCTCTACTGTTCTGCGACTCCATGATCCTTCCTTCCGTGGCAGCACTTACATTTTGGAGCTCCAGATGATGGCCAGGGATGATGGGAGTCGTAGTTCGAAGCATCTGGAGGACACCAGGTTGGGGGAGACTGGTATAGAATGGCAGCCAATGATTTAGAGCAGGCATAGGCAAACGTGGCCCTCCAGATGTTTTGGTCCTACAACTCCCATCATCCCTAGCTAACAGGACCAGTGGTCAGGGATGATGGGAATTGTAGTCTCAGAACATCTGGAGGGCCACGTTTGCCTATGCCTGGTTTAGAGCCGGGGTAGTCAATCTTGTAATACCTACCGCCCATTAATGCATCTTTCTTGATGGTAAAATTTCCTTACCGCTCACCAGTGCTCGATGGAAGGATTCAGTTTGTGCTGTAGAACCCCCTATTGCCCACCTAGAATCCCGAAATGCCCACTAGTGGGCGGTAGGGACCAGGTTGACAACCCCTAGTTTAGAGTGACAAACATATCCAGTGTCTTGTTTCTGTGAAAGGTTGAGCCTTAAGAGGGTTGAGAATTTCTGCTCCTACAGAAGCCAGCCTCTGACAAACCACATAACTCCCACCTACAATTCCCTCGTGGGGTGGGGTGGGGTGGCGCCATTCTGCATTTCTGCCTGGAAACTCATTATGTCAGGTGGGAAGAATGTTTTTGCTTAAACACACAAGCACAAGGTAGCTGGGACGTGGTCAAAAAATAGCCGACTTGGGCATTCCCCTCAGGACTGAGAGGTGTGTCTTAGGAGGTCTCCCTGAGGGATTTATTAACTCTAATTAAAAAAGACTGGGTCACCTGCCAAAGGCGGCCCTACAAATGCGCAGAGGGCAGAAGATACAAGCCACAGTGAGGCAATGCTGTCCACCCAGAGTGGAGGCAACGCAAGACTTTGCAGCTTCTGTCCCTAAGTACTGAAGGTGATTTAGCTGAGGCCTGCCAAGATAAGGAGAAATAAATGCTTTAGCTTCGGAAGCTGAGCCAAGGGCTTAATACGGACGGCCAGCCAGGCTTACATGGAACTAAAAAAACCCTATCACAAGAAAGTAAGGAGACATTAAAACTGCTGAAATCTGCAACGGATTGTCTCTAGGCTCGGTTAGCGCAGGAATCTTGCCTGCTTTTGGTAGTATGCTGCTCCAGATTGTAGCCCAAAGCCAGCCTGTGGGCTGTACCACTGAGGCTGGATTACAACTCCCTGTCAGCATTTCCCCCTTTTAAAAAAACAAGACAGGGTCTGTGATCATTTTTCTGACCTTGAGCAAAATTACAGTGCCAGGCAGTCCAGTATGGACAGGCAAAGCACTACCAACACCCTTGGCAGGAGTGGGCTTTGCTAAATATTGATAAATTGAAAAAGCACTGGATGCCATCCTACTTGAGCTCAGCCAGTCAGAACCACCATATGGAGTTAATAAATCAGCTCTGCTTCAGTAAGAAGCATCTATGTCTCTCTCCTCCATGGAGAGAGCCCTATCCAACTGAGGAGTTTGGTTTTAAGGACAAAGTCCTTTGACAATGCACTTAGTGACCTCACAGAGAAATTCATCTTCCCTTCCTTCTGCTTCCCCTCAACACCCGGCAGGAAGCAGTCTCATCTGTTTGCTTTCTCTTTAATTAAAAAAGGTGCAGTTGTGGACAAATACCCAATAGGTACAGATGTTGGCGTGATGCAGGGGGAGGCAGCTTGTAAATGAATGGACTCGGCCTTGAAACTGTCCATCATTCGCTTCTCCTAGCAGTGGGACTCTTGGCAGCTACATTCACTCATTCTCCGGGTTCTACCAGGGTAGGTAACTTTTTCAACTCGAGGACAACATTCTGGGAGTCACCTGACTCCCAGCCACAGCACATCTCTCCATCCAGGTATGCAAGAGGCATATTCAGGGCAGGCAAAAACACTTGGGGAGATCACAGAGCAGGTTCACAGAGGGGCACAGCCTGCAGATATGGGTTATGGAATAGGAAGAGGGCCAAAATCCACCAAGAGAGGCCGAGACACATTTGGCCCCGCTGCCTGAAGCCAAAGGGCAAAGGTTGGGTGATGCCCCCAGTGGCCACTTGGGACGCAGCAAGGACTCTGGTTCTCATCTCCCACGCTGCTTCTTGTGCTCCCAAAGACACCACAGGCCAGTCACGCTCCAAACAAACTCTTTATTAAGTATTTGAATAATGGGAACTGGAATAAGATCTTCCCTGCACCAGGAAATTCTACTGTGATGGCTTAGGGAATCAATAGTTGCTTTGTCGCTCCTGCTGCCGATACCCTCCACGCCGCATGTAGCCTCCTTCGTTCTTGCGGTAGCCATCCTTCTGGTCTGGAGGGTGAGAGAGAGAGAGAGAAGAGAGTTCAGCTACAAGGCTCCAGTGAAAAGTAGGCCAGCAAGATTACAGCAGAAATGGGTTTGCTGCGCAGCTTATGGAAAACAAGACAGGTACACAGAGACCAAGTCAAAGTGGCTCTCAAGTGCACACTTCCTGGTTCTTCGACCAAAACAAACCATCGTTTTGCAGTGAAATTGGCACACTTTGGATTTAGAAAATGCGGGGAGAGAACAACTGTCATCTTTGTGTCCTGTATGGAGGGAGAAGTGCTGAACTAAAGGGGGATTTGGATCCTGTGATGAGGGAAGGGAAGCAGATAAACCATTCAAAGAATGCAGGGGTGGTAACTTCCAGCCCGTGGGCCAACTCAGGCCAGCCAATCAGGCCCATGTGGTTGTTTTTTTTGCAGGCCACACCCATCTGCCACTCACTAGACTTCATAAACAAAGTTTTGATTTGATTTGATATAAGATCAGGTAAAGCTGTGGCTGCAAAGAACCAAGAGAAGCTGACAATCATTAATGGGAACTGGTTTCCTTAGCTTTTGCCCCATACCACAAAGGCCAGAATTTTTAAAGAGAAATAGATACTTATGGGAACAGTCGCCCTATTTGTCCCCAGACAGATAACAGACACAAAGTGGCTAAAGGAATGGAGATAGGAGAAGCAAGAAGCTGTGGCTGCAACTGGCTTCCAGGACGCTCGCTCACCCCGGAAGTAGCCCCCATAGGTGCCTTGCTTCTGGTCAAAGACCCTCTCGTTGTTCTCCACGAGGCTGCCCAGCTTCTCAGCCAGCTGGAGCGCCAGGTTCTGTTGGGACGTGGGCTCCGTCCGGTGCATCACAACTGTCTGGGTCGGCTGGTCTAAAGAGGCCTGGGAAGGCAAGATTTGGGAGGCTCAGACAAACCCAGCAAAGGAGAGACATGCTAGAAACCTTCTAAAGTGTTGGTCTACTTTCCCTCCCAAATCTGGCTTGTATAAAACCTGAATGCTGCCTATAGCACTTACAGGCTAGAGAAGCCATGATTTAAGATGCGACCTTGAGAACCATATGGAACTTCAGTACCCTGTTTGCCAACTGAGTTATTCATAGTGCAACGGGGCTGGAGACTGCCAAAAGCACTGGATTGCACACCAGAGATTTAGATATTTCTCTTTCACAAAGAGATCTCATTTTAGGGGTGAGGCCTATACTGGTTGGTGGCTTATATTTGGACGAATTGCTTCTCATGCTCACCCCACGTTGCCTCTTATTTCTTTCAAAAGGGTCCATGGTGCAGCTGCTGCAGAAACCCAGCCCTGACCCTCTTTTCCCACACCCCTTGAGCTGGTCAAGGGCAACCCACTTTCTCCTGGTCAAGTGTCCCCTCCTGTGGTGGCCACCCATCTCTAGGCCTCCTCAAGCCACCCGTCTGCCATGCAAGAAAGCATCACTCACCATCAGCTCTTCATTGATGATCATCTTGCTAATGATACTGTGCACTGTGGGTAGGTCCAGCTCAAACATATCAGACAGGATCTCCATGCTAGAAAGGGAGGTATAATTGGGGGAGGGGGCATGGGGGGAGAGAGAGAGGAAGAAAGAGGTGGAAGCTGAGCTTGTGAGACTCAGCCATCGGCAGCCGGCCAGGCAGAAAATCTAAAAAGGTCAATGGCAACCAAAGAAGGTACCCAAGTGTGCCATGTACAGAGGATGGATTCCTTTGATTGATATATTTTATGGATAGGGAGCCTGCAGAGGGGATGCCGAAGCAACATGTGCACCCATAAAGATGTACTCAGCCACTTATGCCACATCCGCCACTCACACCCTGGCCAAAAGGATGCCAGGCTGAAAGAGCAACCAGGAGGCCATGATGACCCTCACACAATACCTGATGGAGTCATAGACGCTGCTGTAAGTGAAGAGGTAGGTTCGGAGAGACTCCTCTTGGATCTTCCTGCCGGGAGAAACAAGTGAAAGGAGCAGTCATGAGAGCCAGGCAGAGATCCCGAAAGGGGGGCAGAGCTACGCTTTCCAGTCCCCAGACAGACGCCCCCCCAGCCTCTCGGGACCCACCTGCACACAGACAAGGTGGCCGCTCTCAACACATACATCCCAATTCTGCTCCCTCTTCTCCATTTCAAGAACTGGGTTCCAAGCCCTCCCCTCCTAGCCGGCATAGATGGCCCCAGAGCTCAGGGGCTGGAGCACTGACGGTCCCAGGCTTCGCCCCTTTATCCATCAAGGTGGATATGCCCAAGCTAAACAGAGCAATGGTCTGACTCAGGATAAGGCAGCTTTCTACAGGACAGCTGCATATTCCTGCAATTGCAGGGGGCTGGACTAGATGACCTAGATGGGTCCCTTCCAACTCTACGATTCTATGGAGGAACCGCCCCGTCACCCCATTCCCATGCAACTGACCGGACAAGCATGCCTCGCACTTTGTCAGCCTCGGGGAACAGGTCCCAGACCTTCCCGTTCATTTTCTCATTGACGATGAAACGGTGACACGTCTTCCAGTCGCCCATCTTCATAGCCTTGGATGCTGCCACCACATGCTCCCTCATAGATTCTGGGGGGCCTGAAGAAAGATGGGGGGGAGGGGGGAAGAGGTCATCAAATGGGGAAGGCATTCCTTGTCTTGGTGAACAGGATTTTGATTAGCTAGCAAGGCAGGCCACATCCCCTTAACATCCTATTGCACATGAAGATAATGCACACACAAAAATCGGCTTTCATTTTTGTATCTAGAAAAAGATATTTTTCTAGCCCTTGTGTCAAAATAAATAAATAAATTATACAATAAGAATAAAACTTATTAGAGAAATCTGCAAAACTTCAGTTCATTTTTTCTTAGGTTTAAACAAATAGTTATGGAAGGGTGTGTAAAAGTAGCTGTAGAGGAAAAACAAAGATAATCTCTGAAGAATCATTTACTCTGTTTTCCAGCACAGCACTGAATGACTCCAAGGTGTCGAGTGCCACCTGTAGTTCTGAGAAATATGCATTTACAAAATAATAATAATAAGCAGCTGCCAAATTAAGATGAGGGAGCAACTTTTTTAAAAAAAATTTAGAACCAACAAAACACAAGAAGCAGTTTGGGAAACGGTGCCAAAGCAAGTGAACCATAGTGAGAGGCTGGCTAAAAAGGCAAGACAACTTTTGTGAACCCTGGATCATGCCTGGCAATGTCACAGAGGCCAAAGGAAAACCTGCCCCTCCCCAAGAAACTAGCAGGCGGCAAACAAGCAAAATGCTCCTTTGCTTAACACAGCAACAGATTGCAGCATTCAAGCACCTCTAGGCCCAGACCTGCAATTGCCTCGAAGATTCCATTATTTGCCCAGAGAGACAAGGAGGATTCTAAGTCAAGCCTGGGAAGATTCTTGTTAGAAGGCCTGGCATGACAGAGGAAAAGAAGCCACCAGGCCAGCGTACCCAGAAACACCTCACGGTTAAAAGAGGAAAGCCACTTACCGAGAAGGGGCTGGCGCTCGCCCACCCGGAGCTGGTGGTGGAACTGCTTGCTGATCATGCGCCGGCGGGCGTCAAACTCATGTGCGGCCATGTAGGGGATCTCCAGCAGCATGGCCGAGACCAGGTAGACGCACTCCAGCAGCTCCAGGTTGATGTGCATGTGGAAGGGGACCTGGCGGCGCTTCTCAATCTTCTCCTGCTCCTGGTTGCGCTCCTGCATGCTGCGCATCAGCAGGCCCTGCCCCAGCAGCTCCTTGGCCCGCCCGCTCGACTGGATGTCCAGCAGGGCGTTGTGGGCGTCCTTGATCATGCCCTGGCGGAAGGCACAGATCCCCAGCTGCACCATTGTCCGGTTATACAGAATCTGCAAGAGCCGAGAAGGTCAGAGGAGGTGGAGGCGGAGACCCAGCTGCCCTCTCCAAAAGGCAGCACCTGAAAAACCACTCCCCAAACATTCGCTTCCTGCAACTGCTCCTTTGTAATAAGGGTGGGACACAAATGGGCACTGCTGCACTCGATCAACCCTCTCCAGTCTCCATTAATTCTCTGCCACTCCTTTATGTTACCATCTACTGCTCCTGGCCCTTTTCCCCCCAACACTTTTCGCCCCAAGGCAGCTACTGCAAACAGCAGGTTGCCAAGCGGGGCAGAGGCATTGTGAAGTTAGGAAAGGAAGTCTCATCAACCACATAGGATGCTGTGGCTGGCGTCACCAGATGCAAGTGTGGCCTACATGCAGGAGGAAAAGCGTGGAGCAGCAAGGAGAGGGGGCTCTGCTCCTCTCCAAACCCTTTACAATCATCTGCATCAGCAACTTGCAGCTTCTTGGGCGGGGCAAAGCAGCCACTCCGAGCCTCTCATTCCCTGTTCTTGGAGGACTGGCTTTTATTATTGTTACTCAAATTGATTAAGACTGCTTCAATAAACCATCAACAACCCAGCATACGCCTCAGCCTCCCCAGTTTTGTTCTCTGACCTGCACAGGGGGGTCTGCATGCTGAATGTTGTCCTGTAGGTGACTCATAAGCATCAGGTCACGGGCCTGGTACCAGCGGTCATGCAGGGCGTGGTGGTAAATGTGGCAGAGGATGGCACAGGTTCGGATCCGGTCTGTCCTGTCCTTGGCGTAGATGAACTTGCAGAGGCGCTCCATCTGCACCGCCGAGTCCTCTGCTTCGTTCTCGGCCTGGTCTTGTTCCGACTGCGGGCAAGCAGGTTATGCAACATGTCCTTTAGCCTGAGGAGTCCCTCCCCACCCCACTCCCAAATACCAAAATGTTACCTTCACATAGAGACAGGAAACCTCCAGATATTGCTGGACTCCAGTTCCCATCATTTCTGACCATTGGCCATGCTTGCTGGGACTGATGGGAGTTGGAGTCCAATCCTATCTGGAGGGGACCAGGTTGGTTACCTAAAACTTAGTATATCAATTGCCCCTCAACTTTCACGGTCTTCCTTTGCCGGTACAATACTAAGGGCCCTGTCCAACTTGCAAACCTGAAACCAGTTTTCAAACTAGCATGACTGTCAGGACTTCCCCTGCCCCAAGGAATGCTGGGAACTGTAGTTCTGAGCAAACACACACACACACACACACACACACACACACACACACACGTCCTAGGATCCTTTGAAAGAAGCCATGGCAGCTAAACTGAATCACAATGAAGCTTCCTGAAAATCCCTGATGTCCTTGCGGGCCAAACCCTCAGCATCCACCTCAACTTCTCTCAGCTTGACAGTATCATTTCCAAACCTTATTTTGGGAATGGGCCATGGCTTAGTGCAGAGATGGCCCTCCGGATATTGGTGGAGCCCAACTCCTATCACCCTCACCAACACAGCCAACAGTCAGGAACAACGGGACTTGTAATCCACAGAGACACGTGGCGGGAGCCACAGGTTCCCCACCACTGGCGTAGTGCTTTGCCTGTCCGTGGCCCCAGGATCAATCCCCTAGTTATCTCCAGTTAAAAGGCTCCATTCAGAAGGCAACAGAAAGAGGTTTGCCTAAGACCCTGGAGGGAAGCTACCAATCAGAGCAGGCCGTGCTGGTCAAAAGCAGGGTGAGTACGACCAGATACATGACAGCTTCTTATGCATTTGACAATTTAGGGCATGAGAAACATCTCATCCACGTGGTTATGCCCCATGCACAAAACCTATGGGTGAAACCGCATAGTGCGAATACCCTGGGCAAAGCAAGGACGGCTGGTGGGGGGCTTTACTGCCCCAGAGGCTGGCCTACCTTGCTGTCTCCTGCCGGGCCCTGTTGCCGCTGGTGAGCCTTGTAGTCAAACTTGTAGTAGGTGTGGAGGATGCAGCGCAGGTAGATGCGGCACACCTCCTCCGTGGTTCCCTTGTCCTGCAGGTAGTTCTGCACCCGGTCGATGATCTTGCAGACTCGGCCCTCGTCCTTCAGGTGGTCCACGTACTCTGGTGGAGAGGGGAGCATGCATTCACATGGCAGTCTTTCGAGGTGGGGCTGCCAGCTTCTCCCTATTTGCCATTCAGAATCTGACACTCCTGAGAAACCCCAGCTTTCCATTTTGGGGCCCAAAGAGCATGTTTCTAGTCCACATGACTGCCAAGTTAAGAGACATGAAAGCATACAGATCCTCTCTGCTTAGACTGGGTGACCTTTTCCCAAAGCATTCAGCCACTTTCTACCACCTACTCAGTTTTCTGACCTGCTGCTTTTTGCTAAGCTTCTTATTTTTCAAGGACGCTCCGAAGTCAGTTTTTTTTTTTAAAAAAACTTTTTGTAGCAAGCAAGCAAACTGGGAGAAACGAAAACAGAAAAGGCTGGCAAATATTCCAAGTTCAATCCCTGGTTCTTGAGGAATCATTCCAAAAGAGGCAAACAGTTGGCAGAGGTGTCTTTTCATGGGGAAACACAGCACAGATTCCTTAGGGTTCCCTCTATTTGAAAAGTTCCCTGTTCGACACCAGCCCTCCACTACCTGAAACTTTCAGTCCAACTCCACCCTGGCTATGCCTCTGAGACCCCACTTTCTGTGACACGCACACTCACCCTGGGAATGGGGATCTGTGTTCTGCATGATCTTTGTGAACTCTTCATCCATGCGCTCCACCAGAGTCAGAATGCAGCCACGAACACGGTAGGGCTAGAGAGGGAGAGAGGGAGAGACACACAAGTGGGTTAAGGGGGTCAAGACTGCTAGGCAGAGACACAAACAAGCCTTTTTCTTTCCTGACCTGCCAATCTGTACCAACCTCCCACCTGTTTCTAGTAGATTTCAAACTAGCCCATCTTACTGGGTTGGCAGGATGCCCCAAGGATGGGGAGGAATGATGCCTGATTCAGAAATGCTCACCTGCTCGCTGTTGGCCAGGTTCTCAGAGTCCTCTGCAATGTTCTCGCCAATGAAGATGTTGGGGTTGGCAAAGAGGATGTCCAGGAGCTCTTCAATGGAGCCCAGGCATTTCTGCCACATCTCTGGCTGCATGTGGTGGGAGAAGAGGAGCAAAGAGGGAAACATTGAGCCCCCTGGCATTCTGGGAAAGAAACCGCCTGCTTCCTGTGGCCCCTATGCACAGTGCTTTCAGGCCACTTCCTCCCCTCCCCTCCTAATTCCATACCTTCATGTAAGTAGCCAAGTTAGGGTTGTAGTCATACAAAGAAGCAACAATGTTGAACTTGATTTTGACATCAATGGCAATCCCCAGGTTGTTCTCTGCTGCAATTCCAACCAAAAGCTGCAGAAGGTCAATCTGAGCCGCTCTAGGAGGGGGAAGGAGGTGAAGGAGCTCAGTGCAGAAGGGGGGCGGGGGAAACAGATGGCCGGGCATGCTTCTTTTGACATACATCCCCAACTCTGCACAACCCTCCTTGTGCCCTGTGCCAAAACCACTGACGCCCGTGTGAACCCCCTTCATTTTCATCACTTTCCGATTCACTTAAAACATTTATGCACCACCCTTTGTCCTATTTAGGATATCCGGCAGTAGATATACCTGGGATCCAACACTGCATTTCTGCTTTGGAACAGGCTTCCACTTGCACAACAGAATTCTACCCCCCGCCCCTAAGAATCTGCTGCAGAGGGTTGGGAGCAATGTCTATAGGGAAGGGTGGGAGGATGCAGGTTCAGCATGCAGAATGTCCCAAGTCCCATCCTCCAATTAAAAATACTTAGCAGATGCTGCTGGATCAGTCCAAAGGCCTACCTAGTCTGGCATCCTGTTCTCACAGTGGCCAACCAAAGGCCTACCTACAAGGAGCCTGTAAGCAGGGCCTGAGCACGAGAGCACTCTCTCTGCACTTGCGATGCTCAGAAACTGGTACCCAGGAGCACGCTGCCTCCAACAGGGGAGACAGAACATGGCCATCAGGGTTAAGCAGCCACTGCCAGCCTTATCCTCCATGGATTTGTCTAATTCTCTTTCAGAGTTGTCCAAGCCCTCAATCATTTCAAGCTGCCCTTTTCTGAACCTTTTGCAGCTCTGCAGCAGCCTTCTAGAGGTGAGCTAATGAGAACCACGCTCAGTTTTTTCCAAGCGCGGTCTCCTAGGCCACCTTCCCCCCCACTCCACCACATCAACGCTCACTGGCCTTACCGATCTGTGCCTTTTTTTCCACGGGCCTGGAGGATCTCATTGAGTTTCTTCACGACTACAGTGTGGTTGATCTCTGTACCTTTGGCAAACATCTTTGGTTTCTCCTGCAAAGCGGGGTGGGGGGAGGAATGTTAGGCTCGAACCATGTTTGGAAGATGGAGAGAAGTAAAAATAAAGGCAGCAACACAATGCAGTTTGTTCTACTCCCACATTTCCAACTGCTTGCAGAGAGAGACTCACCTTGACCAGGGGGACACCTCCTTTGACCTTCTCCCATTCGCCACCCTCATTGTCATCTTCATCATCTTCATATTTCTTTGATTTGCGGTCCTGCTTTTTCTTTGCCTTCTCTTCCCGCTTCTTCTCCAAAACTCTCTTGTCCTCCTCAGTGCCAGTTCTGGTCAGGGAGAATTAAAACAGGACTGAATCCCTCTTTTAACCTGGAATTCTTACTTCCTGAGTTGCCTGAACCATACAAGCCCAGACCCCGCCACTGGCCTCAACCACAGATCAAGCACTAACAAAGCCAGACTAAAAAGCTTATTTGATCCAGACCTATGCAGTCACCAAAATGCCCAATGCAGGAGCTTAACAACTCACCCACAGAGACCCAGACCTGAGGTCCCCCACCCCTTGTTTAGCCAAGATCTACTTCCCTGCAATTCCAACTTCTTGGTTTTATTTCTGCTCTTGGGGTAACAGAGCACAAGTCTGTCCCATGGTACAGAGCACCTGTCACAGCCCAGATGGGGCCATTATTTCTCAGATCTAAAAGTGTCCATCAAACTTTAAGACGCTCACCTAATGTGAGATAGCTAACTACCATTGCACCATAGACATCCATTGTGCCCTGACATGGATGCTGCCACCTAAAGCAGAGAGTGAGGGTCAAAGTAATGGGTCTGGCTCCTCAACAACTCAGGCTCAGAAGTGAGCTGGGTGAACAGGACAACACACAGTGTTCCACCTTCAGGTCCTGAGTCTGAAATTCCAGATTGTGATCAAAGGTAGTTTCACAACTGACAGTTCCCTCAGCCAGAGGTTTGGAGACTGTCATCCAAAGATGATGCGAAGCGTTGAACCCATAGAAGCTGCCTCCTTACTTCTTAAGGAACTTGGAGGCCAAGGAGGTGTATTTGCCCTCATCTTCATCTGACTCAGAGTCAGATTCTGAATCTGACGAGCCCCAGTCTTCATCATCATCAGAGTCCTCCTCCTCCTCATCTTCATCCTGCCAAGAGCGGGGGGGGGGGGGGGAGGGAGAAGAAAAATTATGCACCAGCAAACCATGTGACGAAAAAAGTTTTCACTCAGATTCAGCCAGGGAGGGCCATAAAGTGACACAGAGCAACAGAAGTCCCATGGGAACCCTGTTCCTGTTCCCCACGCTTCTGGATTATTATTTTCTGCTGCAAAAGGAATAGTGATCTTTTGCCTTCCTCCCCTCTGAGTTGCTTGGCACAAAAATCCTTCTGGCAGCTGCTTTGAGGGAAGCACCGGATGCCATGCCTATGCTGGCCAGAGGAGGGCATCACAACGTGCTGCCCCCTCCCCGCCCCGTTCAGCACTTACCTCCATCTTTTTGAGAAACTTGCCCCGTCCCTCAGCTGCCCCCTCTTTCTTCTTCAGGAAAGCCGCGGCACTCATTCCCTCATCGTCATCCTCACCAGAAGAGGAGGAGCCTGAAGCCAGAAAGCGGGGGGTGTCACTGAGAGGGGAAACCTCAAATCCCGCTCCCCACCTCACACAAAGAAGGATAGCCAGTGAGCTGCACAGCTTCCATCTCCTACGCACTGCATCATCATCATCACCACTCACCCTCTGAATCGTCACTTTTCTTGTCCTCGTCTTCATCAGCTGACTGTTCGGGGTTCTAGGCGAAAGCAGACATGTGGTCAAGATGCATGTTGGGTACTCTTCTTTAATTTGAACCGTACAGAATCGCTCTTCCAGCACAGCCTGACTCCTCCAAACCCTCCCTTCCGCTTTCACCTGTTTTTTCACCTGAGCCTTTAACATCAGCATACTTTTTCAGCAGGGGGCCGGTCCACTGTCTCTAAGACCTTGTGGGGGGCCAGACTATATTTTTTTGGGGGGGAAGGGGGAATTCCTATGCCCCACAAATAGCCCAGAGAGGCATTTTAAATAAAAGAGCACATTCCACTCATGTAAAAACACGCTGATTCCCAGACCATCCATGGGCTGGATTTAGAAGGCGACTGGGCCAGATCCGGTCCACGGGTCTTAGTTTGCCTACCCATGCTTAACACAACGGGCAAAGCCAGTAATCAACCCTACTGCCTAAAGCAAGGACAGTGCCTGTGGACCTACAGATCTTGCTGAATTACAACTCCCAGCTTCCCTGACCCTTGGCCATGCTGGCTGGGGCAGATGGGAGTTGGGAGTCCAGCAACATCTTGAAGGTCAGAGGTCCTAAGGGATTCATAGAATTGGAAGGGAACATGAGGGTCATGTAGTCCAACCCCCTGCAATGCAGGAATATTTTGCCCAACATGGGGCTCAAACCAACAACCCTGAAATTAAGAGTCTCATGCTGCACTGACTGAGCTATACATAATTCCCAATGTCTCAGCCGCCTCCCTGAATGCCCTCCGCCCAACCATGCACCAGTACCTGGCGGTAGCTCATGATCTGGGCCTCATAATCTCGGTTATACTTCCGGATCTTCTGGCGGAGGGTGCTTAGGGCTTTGGCGTTGTTCTTGTTCATCTTCTTCTTGCCTTCCTTGTCCTCCCAGAGCTACGAAAGCCAGAAGGGAGATGAAATTACAGGCAGCCCATGATCATTTGGTCCACACACCAGCCTATCTCCCTTTTTCTCTAAACATGCAAACCAAAGCTATGTGCAAGAGGACAGCCATTTTGCTCTCTAGCTATTCCCTCCAGGATCCCAGAGTCTTGGGTCTGTGGGATTGGCTTGTTACCACTCCCCATCCCAGTGCTGCATGAAGGCTCAGAATGGTGCAACAGTGGGTATCAGAGCTGGGACCAGAGATCTGTGTTCAAATTCCCACAAAGCTGTGAAGTGTCTTAGGCTTAGTCACCTTTTCTCAGCTGAACCTACCTTGCAGGGCTGTCGTGGGGATGGGGAAGAGACCAACCATATAGACTGCCCTAGTACCTTGGATGAGAGGCAGGTGGATGGCATCTTGCTCTCACTTTCCCTATATGCCTTCTTGCTCTCTATATATTTCAGACATTCAAATTTCTAGGTCCACTCTGCAAAGCCTTCAAGGCAGCTTACAGAACACAACAGCTTTACAACAAAACTACGTGTTTTGAAAACCAACATCCACGCCAAGATGATACACAAAAATAGGAGCAACATGAAAAACACAACACACATTTAAACTTGGCTCCTGCACAGTAAATAAGCAGGTGCTAGGTGGCTATTTCTAGGGAGGCCAACAGGGCACCACTACCAAAAGACCATGCCCTTGGTCATCACCTGGCTGATCGCCAAAGTGGGATGTGTGTTCAGATCTTAACAAATAGGCAGATCCACACGGGATCCAGATCCACTGCTCAACTGATTCAGAGCACTTCTCTCCCCAATTAGCCCCCATACCTTGAAGGAACCATACCATTCTTCATACCTTGAAGAACCCCATACCATTCATGCAGGAACAAACCGGCAGTAAAAGGAGACACCAAAAAGGCATCAAAGTTGATCCTGGGAGCTCTACATTCAGCTCCCTTTTGCAATGAAGCTCATAATTCTTTGTAAGGGGGAAGCAGGAGAACAGATTCCCTTCTTTTCCCTTAGCCCTAGGTGTCAGACTCAAATTGCCACGAAACCCTCTTGAGCCAGGCACAGGGACTTTGTGGACCAAAAACCTCCCTGCTGGCCCCAGTACCTCATTGAGGTAGTCCTCCAGGTCTGCGAGGATGCGGATGTAGAAGCGGGGCACTCCCTCCTTGTCAACAATGCTCTTGGCCTTGCCATAGGCCTTGCCCAGCAGCTCAAACTCCTCTAGGCATTTGGTGACGTCCCGGATCTTCATGGCATTCCGGATTGTTTTGATCAAGTTTGTAAGCTCCTCAAACCTGCAGTAAGGGAAGATCAAAGAAGGAATGGTTAAGCCTGGGGCATTGATATGCCCTCAGAGAACACAGTGCCACCAACATGCTGTTCAACAGGACGGGAAATTACCCAGCTACCCAAAAATGTGGCATTGGCACAGCCCTCCAGAAACCAGAGGGGCCACTTCTCCCACAAAGCCAACCACACTTTACCTCTTGTCCTTTGCGCTGCGCACAATCCTCTTTGTATCTTCCTCATCTTCGCTCAACAGCAGAGGCCTACAAGAAAGGGAAAGGAACAGACAATGGATCCCTGCTATCAATGATCAGTGGAAGCAGGTGAGAGAGGTGCAGGGCAGGGAGAGGAAGGGGCAGTGCATAACTCAGAAGTAGGAGATGCTTGGTCTGGAATCCCAAGACAGGTACTACCTGGGTGCATTGGGTTCATGCTAAAGTATGGGTATGTTGTCCTCACTACCTGTTTCTGACTTTTAAATCAGAAATGCTCCCCCTTATTCTCGTTGGCATCCGGCTGTTTCTTCCAACTCATCACTCCCTGGGAACCTCTGTTCCCACCCTCTCACTCAAGTTCTCCCGGCCCTCCCCCCCCCCATACTTACTGTTTTCCAAAATTGCCCCCAACGGGCTTCGCTACAAGCTCGTCCCCAGAAAGTGACGACTCCGACTCACTGTCCGAGCCAGTGGTAAAGAAACGCGACATGGCGGCAGTGGTTCTGGGTTGTCAGCAACCCACTGCTCCCAATTCTGGATGGGACAGACAAGAAGCCAAAGGCACAGTGAGTGCAATGATCATATCAAAAGTGAGTTCATCTGCTTCCATTTATAATGTCAACACCTGGTGTGCAGGCAGCAACCATTTTAGGTGCGTCCAACTGATGCAAGACCACCGACGTGCGGGTCCTTTTGGATCTAGAAGAGGGAAGAATGGGGGCAGAACATGGCGGAGCGAGCTTGTGCACACTCTGCTAACGCACATGGGGGCCAGGAACAGAACCCCCGTGCAAAATGGTCACTGAATGAATTATTGTGCATGCTTCGATATAAACCTTGGCAAACTTCTTTGTCACCAGCCTAAATGGAAACTAAGCCTAAGCACATGTAACTGAGCTAAATGCATATTCTTCTCATGTTTATCATCTCTTCTCCAGCCTGGCACCTTCCAGATGTTTCAGCCGCTAACTCCCATCAACCCTATATTAGCCATGGCTGATGGGAACAGAGTACAGCAATGGGCAAGAGACAGCTGTTCTACGCCTCCCTGCAGACCAAACTGCAGGCTATAAGCATCTCAGGGCACAGACTGTCATTTTGTGTTTCTCATAAAACATCAAGCACACTGATGTTGGTTTATATTATGTTTATCATACCTTTCATCCACCTGGCAACTCCCATCAGTCCCAGCCAGCAAAACCAATGGTCAGGGATGATGGGAGTTGTCCAGCATTGTGAGGGCCTGAGGGTTACATCCTTCTGCTCTCACCCAACCCCCTTCTATCCTCACAAGCAGCTTGAGAGGTAGATAATGTTGACAGTGACTGGCCCAAGCTCATCCAGTGAGGTTCATCACTGAGTGGGAAACTGAACTCCCCCCCCCCTACTTCTGGAAGCTTCGGGCCTCCCCCAATCCTGCCGCGATGCCTCCTCTTTGCTAGGAGTGGAGCCATTTTGGCTCCAGGAAGGACCAGCGCTCAGAGAACTGAGATCACCAACAGCGCACCAGGGATTATGTCAATGCATATATTACATAAAACCACATATAAACCTCATCAGTATAAATGTTCCAAACGCTCAGCTGAGATTAAAACACCGACAGCCCAAACAGACAAACACGCATCTCCCCAATGGGGACAAAAAACCCCTCCCTCCTAGAGCGAAGACCACCCAAGAAGCCGGTGGGGCCACCCTCGGACAACTCCTACTCCTCCCTCCCCTAACTTTCGGGGTTTGCCTCCTTCCTCCAACGGGACCCCAAGAACCGCGAGCACGCGCTTACCCGGCCCGGGCCTGGTAAAATGAAGGCGCGTCGCTTCCCGCGTCCAACGCGCATGCGCAAAGCCTTCTGCAGGCTCATCAACACCCCGGCGCGGCCCTGATGACTACTTCCTTCCCAAGAGGGGAAATGCTAAGATAATAGAGATGCTAAATTCTAGAGCGGGACCACTCGTACATTCCGAAGGTGGGGGGCGGGGCGGAAATCACGACTACAGAGGTGGCTTTCCATGATTACCGAGAGAGATTCTACATTTTAATTTCTATGGTCTTAAACTTTGCGGCAAAGTGACCTGGAGAAAGGGATGATGGGAGTTGTAGTCCCTATAGAGATGCTGTGACGCCCTGTGCCCTTAACTGCAAAGGCAATGTTTGTCGTTTTGTTCGCCGTGCTGGTGCTTCAGAGCAATGATGCTGTACCGTATTTTCTGGAAAATAACCATTTCACTGCTTTAGTCATCGACGGTGACGCAGTCGAACCTTTACACCACTTACCCCAGTTAAAAGCACAACGGCTTAAATTAGGAATTTCCTAAACTGTTCCATCTATTTATCCTGACTTTCTTCCAATAACCTCTGGGCTCAACACCTGTGCCAAGGGAGCTGCATTTGCTCCCAGGCCATATTCAGGGTATTTTTACTAACGCAGAAAGCCTTAAGAACTCTGGACCAGGCTCATATGAAAGATTGTCTGCCCTTTCATAGATCTGTTAAGATCACTTGCATCATCTGGAGAAATTTTACTTGCGGCAAAACACCCTGTATAATATCAGAAAAGCATTGACGCACAAACAAGCATTTTCAGCTGCTGTCCTTGTACTTTGGAACATCGTTGAAGCATAATTTGCTTTGGATATCCTCCAAAGACATGGTAATGTACAGGCATTTCTTGTTCTAGAAAATTGGAATTTGTGTCACTACTAGATCTCTATTTTTATGTTTATTTGTTTTCCTGCTATCTGCCCGAGCTGCAACAAGACATGTCTCTCCCATATCGGTCTCTACAGCTGCAGCAGGCACAGTAAACTTCCAACAATATGTCTTCACCCCCAAAAGGCACACTTCTTCATTGTCTCCCGAGACAGACCGGTGTCAATAACATGTTATTAGGTTGGTTTGTATATTGTGTGCACTCTGCTTAGAAATATAAAAAAAATTAGGCACCAGGCAAAAACAGTCCTCTTCTCCCAGACCTTTGGCTAATTAAACAATCTATGGCCTTTTAAAATGTGAGCTATTGTTTTTGCTTGCTACATTATGTATTTTTTTAATACAGTTGTACCTTGGTTTTGGAACAGCTTAGTTCCTCAATGTTTTGGCTCCCAAATGCCGCAAACCCAGAAGCGACTTCCGGTTTGCAAACTATTTTTGGAAGCTGAATGTCTGACGGGCTTCATGCAGCCAATCAGAAGCCGGACTTTGGTTTCCAAATGTTTTGGAAGTCAAATGGACTTCCGGAACGGATTCCTTTCGATTTCCAAGGTACGACTGTATTGTAAACTGCCCTGTGCTCGGATGAAGGGTGGCATAGAAATTTAAAGCAGTTTATAAATACTTTTAATTACATGAATAACACATGCCCGCTCTGTGTATCCCCACCACACTACTTGTTTGGTTAGGCAGAGAAAGAGTGACTTGCACAGTGTCACCAGTAAGCTTTGCACGTGAGCAGGAATTTGAACTCGCATCTCCAACACTCTTTAACTCCTACATTATTGTGGCTTTATTGTTTGTTAGCTACCCCGACGACAAAGATTAAAAACCTTACTTAAAATATGTTTCATTCTGTACAAATATGTATACGCTGGGGAAGAGATTTTAGAGCTAGAAGAGTCTCTGGGTATCCTCTAGTCCAGCTGTGCTCAGTGTGGGAATCTTACAACTTCAGCATTCCTGACAGATGGGTGTCCACCTTGTACTTAAATATTTCCAATAAAAGACACCACTACCTCCTCAGGCAGCATTTCCCACTGTCAAAAAGCTCTTCCCATTAGGAAGCTTTCTGATAATGTTCTGAACCAAAATCTGCACCCTTGCTACTTCCACTCACTACTTCTAGCTACTGTCTCAACAAATCCCCCAAACATATCAGCCCGTACCATAATTGGTATATCTTTGAAAAAGGGCAACAACAGAGCAATAATTGAAATATGACTGGTTTATTGATTGAGCTTGAGACAGAAATTGATCACTGTGCAAAATTATTATCCTTGCCCCTTTCTGAATTGAGCGTGCATCTCACCCTAACAATCTTCATTCCCTCCTTCCGTATTTATCTATAGTTATTAATGCACTTAGGCAGCTGCACATCCCATTTCTGCAGGATCTTCTAAATATTCCTCCTCTGCTCCGCCTGCCCAACACAAGGATGTGCTGTGTGACCTATTTTATGCAACATTCACATGTTTCCCCCCTATGAACTGCAGAACATGATTTCCCATCCATCTGCGATTGTGTGCTCTGATTAAGCCCCCCCACTGCTGTGCAACGTGGGATAAAAGTAGATTCCCACTCAGGCTCAGTTAAAATAAAATGCTCTCCAAAATCAAAACAGACGAGGAAATTAATGCCAAAAGCCGACACCTCAATTCCACGTGCCTCCTTTCTCCTCTTTTGACAGCCAGAGGAGGAGGGCATAAGCACATGCATCCCAGTGTCTTTCCCTCCTCCATACTGGGAAATGTACTATTCAGAAACAAGCATGTGGCAAGTCAAGGCATCCGTTGGTCCCTCTGGGAAGTGGGCCTCAAGGGAGGCGACAGAAATGATTGTGGATAGGGATAGCAACAGCACCTGAAAGCGAGATGCCCAACGTGTCAGCTATACAAGCAACTCCCATAGCAAACTCACGGTGCTCCGGCTTGCTCTGCATTTAGAGGGAGGAAGGAGGAGAGAGAATACATATATATATATTAGACAGTGATCCTCTGCTATGTCTTCTGAAAATGGGAGGTACTATTCCTAGTCACTGTAACCTTTCTTTTGAGCTTCCCAGGCACCTGCTTCCTGCTTCCCTCCCCCAAGGGTCTTCTGCAACACAAAAAGGCTTTGCTGGAGAAGGGGAAGGGGAAAGAGGAAGGAGGTGTTTACACACACACACACACACACCTCTAACTGGTTAAAAGAGGTCCACTTGCTTGTTCCTTGCTCCCTCCTAATAAGGGAACTGGCCTCATGCTCATCTCTCTGAAGCTCTGAGTGATATGCCTTTCTCTACCCCCCTCAGTCATGTGACTGAAGTCTCACCCTCCTGGGTGCTCCATTAACATTCTTCTCCATTGGGCCACCATCTCCCCCCACCCCCGCCAAGCTCACCTTTTCACTGATGCAGTGGAAAGTGTTCACGTAACCAGCTCCTCCCAGTAATCCCTCGTAGAGTACCAGAGCGAAAACTATGTAGATGCTGGGTAGAAACATTTTGGACACAGCGACCGAGAGGAACACCATGTTCAGGCACTAGTTGGAGAGGGAAAGAAGGAGATAGCATGTCATGACCTTGACAAGTGGAGGAGAAAACAATAAGGCTCTTCTGTTGTGGAAAAAGGAGCAAAAGGTGGCAGTGATGGGTAATAAGCAGGACAGGAAAACATTACAAGGGTAAAGGTAAAGGGACCCCTGACCATTAGGTCCAGTCGTGGCCGACTCTGGGGTTGCGGCGCTCATCTCGCTTTATTGGCCAAGGGAGCCGGCGTACAGCTTCCGGGTCATGTGGCCAGCATGACTAAGCCGCTTCTGGCGAACCAGAGCAGCGCACGGAAACGCCATTTATCTTCCCACTGGAGCGGTACCTATTTATCTACTTGCACTTGACATGCTTTCGAACTGCTAGGTTGACAGGAGCAGGGACCGAGCAACGGGAGCTCACCCCGTCGCTGGGATTCGAACCACTGACCTTCTGATTGGCAAGTCCTAGGCTCTATGGTTTAACCCATAGCGCCACCCACGTCCCACATTACAAGGGTAGGAGACTTTAAAACAGACCAAAATAAGAGACTCAGCACTGCTCTACGGACATTAGCCTGCTCCTTCCTGCTGCTCAGGCAGTTCTTAAAGGCACAACAGGAGACTAGGCCAGCCTATCCAGAAGGACAATTTGCAGTGGAATAAATGTGTGGTCATGCTCTAAAAGGTTCACAGAAGTCTAGTTTCTCTTGCTTCTAAAGCAGGTGGGACAAACTGGTGGAGTCTCCTCCCAATTGGTGGAATCTCCTCCCACTGAAGCAGACCAAACACCAAGTCATTTGCATAGCCCCACCTATGAAGCAGGTGGGAGGAGTGACCCCATTCCTCCACCTCAGAAGCAAAACACAAAGGCCCAAGTTCAGTCCCTGGCATCCCCAGCTGAAAGGAGCTCAGATAGCAAGGCTTCCCTGCAGACTCTACAAAACTGGGCTAGATAGACCAAGGATGTGACTCCGTATAAGACAACCTCATTCGTTCACTGGCAGAGAAGGATCACAATACTTGGATTGCAACATCAGGATTATAACAGAAATGGGGGGATGAACATGTCTTGGAAGAGCAGAAAGGAATCATTCATGCAGGTGTCTGTTGGCGAGGGGAATGTTTTACCTGTAACACTGCAAGGAGCCATATGTGCCGAATCCGTATGCAGCTGGCGGAGGAACGAGAGACAAAGACCCCAGCCTGGTAGAGCATCTGGTACCTATAGGAGGTGGGGGAGGGGGGGAATCAGGAGTTTTAGCTCCCAGCACCTTTCTAGTCTAACCTACCAACCCAAGCCAGACTGAGGTTCCAAAATCCCATCTCGTCTCACCTCCCAACCTTTCACTCACCAACGATATTGTTGCGCGTGAGTAAACGGCGCTGTATGGAAGTACAGCAGTTCAAACTGAGGAAGAAGAAGACAAAAGGGGGGGGAGGACCATTAATGACGATGGATCAGAAGATTTAGCTCCACCTCCCTGGTAAAGAAGTCTCCACCCATCCCCAACTTTCACACTACTCACCAGGCCCTGGTTGATGAAGTATTCAGCAAAATACACAACAGCCAAAGGGATGAGGTATTTTAAGAGACCCTAGTAAGAGAGAAGGCGCATGTTAGTGCATCATGAGAAGGCCATGAAACCATGAGTCAATCAGAGGTATATGGTCGCCTTGAGTAATGCAGGCTTCACAAACAGACCCTTTACTACTGGGGTCACATTTGCACCATACATTTAAAGAACAAGGCTTCCCCCCAAAGAATCCTGGAAACTGTGGTTTGTTAAGGGTGCTGGGAAGGTGAGGGGTAAACTCACAATGAGGTCTTTTACATCTGGGATTAGTGAGAAGGGCTTCCAGATAAATTCCATGAAGAACCAAGACCTGGCCTTTGTTTAGCAATTGAATAGCATTCTCCCCGCATCCATTTTACGCATTATTCACCCTGATATCCTTTAGAATAGGGACATATTTACATGCAAACTTATACTGATACGATCTGTGATATGGACACCTTTAAACATGTGCTCCGAAATATCCTACGCCCTCTCTCATATTAAAAACCAAAAAACCACATACTGAGCCTGATTCTTACCTTGACCACCTGCCCCTTTTCTTGCAGGCTGAGCTGAGGGCTTTGTGTCTCTGGAGGAAGAAAAGGACGGTTGAAACGAGACAGCATAAAACAACCTTATTGGAAGAATTGTGAAAAAATTCTGTACATAGCCAAGTGCCAAGGACATTACATGAAGAGTTACAGCAATATCTGTGAGCAACTCTCTTGTGCTTGGCATGAGCCCAGTGCATCATGGGTAAAGAAGCTGTGACAGCATTTCTTCCCAGGGATAAAGTCTTAAGATAAACAAGGTGCATTGCGGGTATAAATACTTAACCTGTCCCTTATATGCAATAGGTGGCACCACAGGAAGGTGAACCCGCCAGTAAAGGGATTGCTTACTGTTTTGAAGTGTAGCTTTATTCTCAAGGAGCGGCTGCTGAGTTGAGGAAGGAGAACGTCGAGACTTCTGTGGACGATTGCCCCAGCCGCAGCGAGGGGCCCCGGGGGGTGGAGCCAGCACAAAAGAATAACTATAGAGAAGGTGGGGAGGAAGAAGAAGATGGTCAAGGAGCCCGGGGCCTTGAATGATCATTAAAACTTCTACTGCTATAAGCAGATACCTAATATGAGAGAGTTAGTCCTCACCTGGCCTGCATGATGACCGGAACAATGGTCATGAGGAGGAGGGTGTGCTGGGGGCTCAAGCCTGCCTCTGTCAGTCCCAGGTATGAAAGCGCCCCTAGCAGGCCAGCCCCACCTGTTCCAGAAGACCAGGCAGACACCACGGCACTGAGAGGGGTGGGAAGAGAAGCAGAAAGAACATGAGTCATAATGGGGGTGATATCTGGGTACCAGAAAGCACCCCTATACCTAGCGTCATTACCTAATTGACAAATCCTGCACAAATTTCTTCTACTCACGCTTCAAACCAAACACTGGCCCAGCTGTCAATTTTGTCCCTCCCCTCATACATCAGGCCTTTCTGATTTTTATTATCATTATCAGATAGGTATGCATGTTTGTTTAGTTAAATATATATCCACCCTTCACTGTGAAAACGAAACAAAAACAAAAAAACAGGCCAACAGAGTATCTTTTTCTAAAGTTGCTGGGGTGGTACAAAGCAACTAAGCTGGAAGGTTGTGGAGCCTGTTTCTTCAGATCAAAGGCAAAACAAGGATGCTTTGAAACAGAACCTGTGGCTGTAAAAAAATGTTATACCTGCCTTCCTCTTTCAAAGCTGTTCCCTATGGCTGGAAGGAAGGAAGGAAGGCCTTGTGGGTTGGGGAACCTGTGGTTTTTCTATATGTTGTTGGACTCGGACTCCCATCAACCCAGGCAGCATGGTCAATGGTCAGGGATGATGAGAACTGTAGTCCATCAACATCTGGAGGGCCACAGGTTCCCCATCCCTAATCTAAAGAAACAGACCACACCCATTGAGCAAGTAATGCATCCGACCCCACTACCAAATCTCCATCCTGCAGCCACTGTGTCCTTTTAGTTACCTGTCAAAGAAAGACGTGAGCGCAAGGAATGTTATTTCACCCAGGCCAGATGAAATACTGGCCAGCACGACACCTGCAGCAATTAGAAGGTGGAGAAAGACCCAGTCAATACAAAACATGCTGATGCTTCCCTCTTCTTTTCTGTTGGCCCTCACCTCGCCTATTAAGAGGCAGCGATTCTAAAGCAAGAGATCATATATGCTCAAGTCACAGCTTGAAAGATATGGGTGGTGCAATATAAAACTCGTAAGCCTCATGCTCTTGCTCCCCACAATTTTGGTAAAATCGTGCCTTCGAAGCATGAGAAAGAACAGCTGCCAAGAGGCTGTAACAATAAATAAGAAGGGGCCAAGCTCCCTGGGTCTTCCCGCAATAATTTGAGGACTGCCTGCCTGCCCCACCCCACCCCGCCAACCCCATCTCCTGTGAAGATGCTTCTTACCTGCAAGGCTTTGGACTGTGCATGTGGAGAAGGCCACCACCAGAAAACTGCCCCAGGCCGTGATGACGCAGATGATGACACGCAAGCTGTGAGGGGTGGGGTGAGGGAAGGGGGGGTGAGATATAAGATGGGCAAATGGATGAGGCCTGAACTAACCATAAAGCCTCTTGCCATAGCTGTCAACCTTCCCTTTCTTTGTGGGAAATTCCCTTATTCCAGCGCCGTTTCCCGCTGCTTCCCACAGCTATCCCGGATTGTTAGATATCCCGTAGACTGTCCCTGGGACAGGTGAGGCTGCTGATCCCTTATTTTCGAGGCTGCTGATCCCTTATTTTCAAATCTGAAAGTTGACAGCTATGCCTCTTGCCCATATGTCACATACAAAGACAACCCCTCGTGACTACCAGGGCTGTTTATACCCGATACCTTTAAAGCACATTCATAGCTCATTCTTTCTTCAAATAATTCTGGGCTCTGTGGTTTGACCCTCATAGTTACAATTCCCAGCAACTCTTGGCTTGGATATTACTTCACAATAACAAGGCAAGATATTTTTCTGTATACATTAACAGAAAGGCCGCAAGTACATAATGTAATTTAACATCTTATCTTTTCCATGGATTATACGATTTTGTTCCAAATACACTTTGCCAAATTGTATGTCCATTGCACATGCAAATAAGTTCCCATTTCCGTCTTGCGTTACGAGGGAATTTGGTATCTACCCAGACGACGCTTCCAGCAATCTGAGCCAACTCACCCATATGGGAGCAAGTGGATACAAAAAGGTGCGCTGAATTTGATGAGAAGGGTGGGCAGAATGTCAGCCAACAGCACGGCCTATAGGGGGCAGCAAAGAGATGGGAGTGAGCCAGTAGGTGGTGCCACACTCAAACCTGCCCCTGTCATCTCCCCGCACCCGACACTTACCCCTGTGGAGATGGCATTGCAGTCGTAACGAGAAGCGTTTGCAGGAACGCTGGGGGGAGTCTGAGGGAGCAATTGGGTACAAGAGGTTAAATGTAGGAGAGAATAATTTCATCAGCCATCATTTCACCATCTGTTTTCCAAGATTTTCCTCATTCCAGTATGAAAGTATAACTTATTCAATCGGGCATTCCATGGACTCACGACCCACTTTGGGGTTCCATACTTGGGTCACAATCCCAATCAGGGCTGCAGTATGAGGGGAGGCAGGGTTTAATCCATGGATGGGAACCTATGGCCTTCCAGATACTGTTGGACTCCAACTCCCAGCAGCCCCAGACACCATGGTCACTGGAGGGTCACAGGTTCCTCAACCCAGCTTTAACCCTTCTCTCCCTTGCCATTTTCTTGATTTTTAGAATAGGGGCAAATATCAGCTGGGAGGGGGGGTTGGAACGGGGAGAGGGGGGAAAGATTAGGGGGGCCCTGGAGCTGCTTTTTGCAAAGAAAGATACATGACCAGTCTGAAGTCTGGAGGATTCAAAAAAATGCAGTTAGAAGTCATGTCTAGTTTGACCTTTGCAGATTTTCAGACACTTTTTATTATGCTTTTAGTCCAACTTTCCATCAATGGGTAGTTTAGAGACAGTGTAACATGGTTTTACCCTCCCCCCACCATTTATCTCCACAGCAACTCTGGGAGGTAGGTTAGGCTGACTAACTCCAGATCACCCAGTGAGCTTCATGGCTGTGTGGAAATTTGAACCCAGATCTCCCTGGTCCTATTCTAAACACTAAACAGTACAATATTAGCACCACTAAACGGCATTGTCAAACATACTGCTCATATTTATGACCAATATCAGCAACCAGCATGGCTGGTTTGTATAGGGCTCCCTGGTCATGTTGCAAGGCCCAGGCGGAGAGTGCCATTACGTACTGCTGCCATCTTAGTTAGCACTGGGTAATGTCACAGTCTTCTCGATTAGTGCATGTGCTCACTAGCAGCGTAAGGGCATGCCAATGCCTTCTTTGCCACGTACAATATCTGAATGGCTCTGTATTTTCCCCACTTACTAGTCCACTAATTTACAGAGCAAATCTGTTTGTAGTCAGATCCAACGCTCTGAGATGTTTGCCTTCACGTTTGCCTGAAATTTCCCCTCTGCTTAGAGTGGTTTGATCTTAAGAGGCCTTTCAAATATCCAAAGGCCCTGGCTAATCAAGTGCTAGAGCCAGCCTTAGTGGAGTGCCAACATCCAAATAATCCTTTTTCATCTTTCGTACACACATGTGATGCACCCTCTGCCACAGTCCACAGTCCTGTGCATGTGTAGGCCCTAATGCACCAGATCTGGCATACAGATGTTTTTCTATTCATCTCTCTCATCCAGGCTCAGATACTTTCTCTCGCTTTCTCCTGCACCGAGTACAATCTGTTTCTTGCTCTGTTTTATACACAAACACTCAAGTACTCCTCTCCTTTGAATACTCACGGGTTCAGTCCCATTGCCTGCTGGCACCTTCTGATGGCTGAGAATATCATGGGCAGCACTCAGCATTACCACATAGGCAAAGTTGTTGCAGAGTCCCAGCAACCTGTGGAGGGGAAAGCAGGCAAGTCAGAGCACCCAAAAATGCAAGACAGGAGAGTCAGGGTTATCATATCATTTCTTTAATTTCTATTCTGCCTTTTTTCCAGGCCAGAGTTCAAGGGGGCATATATAAGGTTCCCTGCTCCCAAGCAGCCTCCCATCCAGATTCAGTTCTGCCTAGCTTCAGTAAGGTTGCTGCATCGTGCCTTTAGACCATGGGTAGGCAAACTAAGGCCCGGGGGCCAGATCCAGCCCAATCGCCTTCTAAATCCGGCCCGTGGATGGTCCAAGAATCAGCATGTTTTTACATGATTATAATGTGTCCTTTTATTTAAAATGCATCTCTGGGTTATTTGTGGGGCACAGGAATTTGTTCTTTCCCCCCCCCAAAAAAAATATAGTCTGGCCCTCCAACAAGGTCTGAGGGACAGTGGACCAGCCCCCTGCTGAAAAAGTTTGCTGACCCCTGCTTTCGATTATAGTCCCTTTTGAAAGCCCAGAATGGCATCCCCACACCCTCAGTTCCCTAGGGGTGTGTGTGAGAGTTTGTACAAATCCGGCTACAGCAAGCCCCACACAGCCCTCCAGTATGTTGCAATATGCTCAGATGTGGAGGATGCAACAAGGGAAGAGATCAAAAGAAAAGGAAATCTGATCCGTTTAGTGTCAACAGAGCATACAGCAAAATGCACCAACGCATAGAAAGAGAAACCTGAGTTTAATCGAGCTGTCATTGTTCAAGAAATAACGCCACAAAGAAGCTGCTTTAAATAAAATAAGAAAGGAGGTTCTGCTTTTGTTCATGCTACGTAGCCTAGAAAAACTGTGGAAATAAAGCAAACGGTGCCTCACCAGAAGCCCACGTTGTTCCTCCACTGGCTACAGGCATCCAGGGTGGTCTCAGGCTCGGCAGAGGGTGAGGCATCTTCATCTTCCCCTGTTTCTTGAGGGGGTGGAAGAGAAGCAGTCAGAGAAGAAAACGGGGGTGGGGTGGGGGTGTTGAATGGGAAGGGGGGGTGAGAGATGGGAGCAAAGAAGACTCACCTTCAGAATCACTCGGGATGTGATGCCACAGACTCCCAGCAGGTCCCATGGCAGGCAGGGCAGAATGGGGTAGTGGGGGCAACTACCTATAACAAAAATGGGGGGGGGCATAGATAAAAACAGAAACCATAGCTGCCCTAGAAACTTCCTAACTACACTGAGATATCCTCTCCCTCTTGCACACACCAGTCCCTCTTTCTGTACCTTTAAGAAATCGGAGCCTTAGACCATCACCGCGTAGCTTTAGGCCATCACCGCCCCTCTCAGTATATCTAGGCGTAACAGATCCAAGAAGCTTCCTCTTAAGCGGCTGTCATGTGAAGCTGAAGTTGCCGCCTGACTTTGCTTCCGGGTTTGATGCCATTTCCTGCTCCCAGTGCCCTCACCTGTGTGCCCTGCTGATAAAGCCATCCATTGACGCAAGCACACGCTGGCGAACAAGCCGGTGTAATGAAGCTAGATTTGCCCTCAATATACATGGCTGCTTTACAACAACAATCTCCTCTCCCGGGAGAGCGTGATTGTCAGAAATTTATTGCAATAATGCTATTCATCGGGTAGCTGCAGATGAGTATGAACAGGTTTGGTAATGATCTCTTTCAGCTTCTGCCTTCTGGAAGAAGGTACAGGTTATAAAGACTAGGACTAGCCGCCTGAGAAACAGTTTTTATCCAAATGCGATTTTGGTTTTAAACGCAGTGTAAAGTAGTCTCTGTGGGAGTATATTGTATTTAATTATGGGCTATCAGAGTTTTAAGGGGGTTAACCAGGCTGGGATAGTTGGGATAGCAGGCTTGTTGGTTTTAAAATGTCTGATGTAGATTTTTTCAATTTCGTTATTCTGTATGGGACAACGACAATAAAGATTATCGTATTGTATCGTTTCGCTATCATTTTAAATTAGGCATTCTACACGAGCTCTGTTAAAAGCATGCATAGAATCATAGAGTTGGAAGAGACCACAAGGGCCATCGAGTCCAACCCCCTGCCAAGCAGGAAACACCATCAGAGCACTCCTGACATATGGTTGTCAAGCCTCTGCTTAAAGACCTCCAAAGAAGGAGACTCCACCACACTCCTTGGCAGCAAATTCCACTGTCGAACAGCTCTTACTGTCAGGAAGTTCTTCCTAATGTTTAGGTGGAATCTTCTTTCTTGTAGTTTGGATCCATTGCTCCGTGTCCGCTTCTCTGGAGCAGCGGAAAACAACCTTTCTCCCTCCTCTATGTGACATCCTTTTATATATTTGAACATGGCTATCATATCACCCCTTAACCTCCTCTTCTCCAGGCTAAACATGCCCAGCTCCCTTAGCCGTTCCTCATAAGGCATCGTTTCCAGGCCTTTGACCATTTTGGTTGCCCTCCTCTGGACACGTTCCAGTTTGTCAGTGTCCTTCTTGAACTGTGGTGCCCAGAACTGGACACAGTACTCCAGGTGAGGTCTGACCAGAGCAGAATACAGTGGCACTATTACTTCCCTTGATCTAGATGCTATACTCCTATTGATGCAGCCCAGAATTGCATTGGCTTTTTAGCTGCCGCGTCACACTGTTGGCTCATGTCAAGTTTGTGGTCAACCAAGACTCCTAGATCCTTTTCACATGTACTGCTCTCAAGCCAGGTGTCACCCATCTTGTATTTGTGCCTCTCATTTTTTTGCCCAAGTGCAATACTTTACATTTCTCCCTGTTAAAATTCATCTTGTTTGTTTTGGCCCAGTTCTCTAATCTGTCAAGGTCGTTTTGAAGTGTGATCCTGTCCTCTGGGGTGTTAGCCACCCCTCCCAGTTTGGTGTCATCTGCAAATTTGATCAGGATGCATGTTTTTAATGGAGTGACCAATTGCGGAGTTTTGCCATGTATTTTATTTTGAAACATTTGCATCCCTCTATCCTGACCATTCAGAACACTTGAATTACAGTAGAATGTATATATTTAAAATTATAGCAGAAACCACAGCACCAGAGAAAAATCACAAAGTAAACCGGAAACAAAACAGACTCCTTAGTACCTTCCAGAACAGAAACATTAAAAAAAGTAAGTAAAAGCGTGGGGGCCCCAGTCATCCCAAGTAGGGTTGCCAACTTTGTTCTGACAAAATACAGGACAGGATGGTGGGCAGGCGGGCAGGGGGAGTTGGGGAAATTTTGTTTTTAATCTGGTGCTGAAATTACTTCAGAACAATCCATTACAATATATTGCAGCCAAACCTGATGGCCCCTCTGGAATTTGTCACATACACATGAATTTATAAATCTGTCTGTGCTTTGCTACCCTGAGCTTAAATACATGACCTTTCATGCACATGCAATTCATGCAGACCAGGGCAATAAATAAATAAATAGGGGGGCATATTCTGATGAGGGGACGAGCTTTGCTCCACATGGTAAATTTCTGAAAGAGAGAAAAAATATTATCCCCTACTATGTTCAGAATTTGGGTTTTTGGTTGCTCTCTGAGGGACAGCACGGCATTCCCAGACTACAGCTCTGTGGATCTCTGTACCACCCATATTTTTCCAGATCAACTGCAAAGGAAGTCCCACTTTTTAATTTAGATGCTGGAATCCTTCCTGCATTCCTAAAGAAAATGGCCCTTTGCAAGTTGTTTAAAGATTCTGGATTGAAGAAGTCTTCTCTCGAAGGATCTTTATATTGTACAAACCAACAATGAGTTTGATTTTAAGGACGCCGTTTACAGAGCTTCCCTGATCTGTGACCTCTCTCTCTGCACTCAGGCCAGAGGAAATAGATGTTATTCTTAACTGGTTCCTCTCAGGAAACACAACCCTGCAGAAGATATATGCGAGTGATTTGGAGCTGTAACTATTAGTACTCTTCAGGCATTCTAGGCTGCACACCCACCGTACATTTAAAGCAGATGACTCCCCCAATAATTCTTGGAACTGTAGTTTACCCCTCACCAAGCTACAATTCCCAGCACCCTTAGCAAACTACAATTCCCTGGATTCTTTGGAGAAAGTCGTGTGCATTAAAAGTGTGCTGGGTGTATGTAGCCGAAGCTTCACACAATGTCCAGCTGTGGAGGCAGAGCATAGCCATTGTGGCTAGTAGCCTTTGATAGCCTTATCCTGCATTTTGAAACATGGAATCATAGAACTGGAAGGGACCCAAGGGTCATCTAGTCCAACCCCCTGCAATACAGGAATCTCAGCTAAAGCATCCATGACAGATGGCCATCCAACCTCTGCTTAAAAACCTCCAAGGAAGGAGAGTATACCACCGCCCTAGGCGAGACAGCTCTTACTGTCAGAGTTTTTCTGCCTGTTTAGTCAGAATCTCCTTTCTTGAAACTTTAAGTCATTGGTTCGAGTCCTACCCTCCAGAGCAGGAGAAAAGAAGCTTGCTCTGTCTTCCATGTGACATCCCTTGAGATATTTGAAGATGGCTATCATATTTCCTCTCAGTCTCTTCTTTTCCATTTATTTGTCTAATCCTATGTTGGAGCCATATTTCTGAGGAAATAACCGAAGGTCACTTCTAGGTGAGCTATTTATGGAGCATTCATCCCGATCTGTTTGCACAAAGACTGAGCATTCGCTCCGATTCCTTTGGAGGGAGATTATACAGTGTTGCATCAAGCAAGTTTTAATCCCACACTTTTGAGTGCATTTCCCCATCACCTTCCTTTTTGATTGGCGGGGCGGATGAGCTTCTTGAGAAAGAGCGTTAGCTCAACTTTAATCACGCAACCTGAATTTGCCGGTATGGGATTAAATCCCACCTGCAAAACAGCAACAGTCTGGAAGCTGCCTGATTTCCCATTCATTTCTTTCTTACCTAGAAATGTAGATGCCTCACCTGGGGCTGCATACACACCATACATTTAAAGCACGCACACACATACACACCCCACATCTCCTGGGAACTGTAGCTTGCTGAGGACTGTAGCTCTGTGAGGATAAAGCTACAGCTTTAAATGTACGGTGTGCGTGCAGGCCTACTGAATTTGGCTGCTATGGCCTTGGATCATTCTGTCATCATTTGGCATTTGGGAACTGATTTGTTAATGCTCCTTTGGTTGGTTGGTCTCTCTCTCTCTCTCTCTCTCTCTCTCTCTCTCTCTCTCTCTCTCCCTCCCTTCGAACCTCCTGAATTTTTATGATTGTAACAATGGCTAGCTACCTTAAAGGTATTTTTTTCTGGGATGGGAAGGCATGATCGTAATGGTCTAATAAACAGATGAGTGAATAAATAGCAGCCTTACTTGTAATCGTGTTAATGGCCCGGTAATCTCTGCTCTATTTTGTAATTAATCAGAACCCCACCCTGAAATTTGCTATGGGTTGTTCCACAAGTTGGGAAAGAACCTGGGTGTGTTTTGGTCAAAGTTCATTGCACAGGGTTCAGGTCAAGTTGCCACTAAATTGTCAAGAGAGAGAGCGAATCTTTCTCTTTTTTAGAAGGGTTGATATGTGGGTGAAAGTAAAAAAAGGGAGGGTTAATGAACAAGATGGACTGAATTTTCCAACTATGGTTCTGCACTCCCCTGAGTTGGAGGCTGATTTAGTCGGCATTTGACACTGACTGTCTCTCAACGCTTCTTGTTTCCATCAAGTTTGTGGTGTGCTGCTTTTAACAGTTGTGCAAAGCCAGAACGGACTGTGGCAATGAGTTGCAAAGGGGAGGAGGAGGATGTGGTCAGAAGCTTTGACGGCGGCATTACTTCCCTCCCTGGGGAGAAAGGAGAAGCTGCTGTACCTCCTCTCCACCTGACCCAGATGTCCGATGGAGCACCTTCAACGGCTGCTGGGGACCCTGCAACGGGCTCTGGTAAAGAAACCCCCTTTTGTCGTCAGCCAAGCTGGGGTGGGCTCCAGGGCCCATGACTTACGTGGAGGGAGGTGGGTGCGTCTGCTGGCTTGCTCAACAGACCGTCTGCATTCAGTGTCTCCCTTGCTCCACCCCATCTTCAGGATTATGTTTCGTCCTTCACCACTTACCTACTTGGAGATGAAACTTACCCAGGAGCAGAAGAGTCAGGACATAGAAGGGATAGGAGCAGCCGAGGCAGCAGCCATGACGGGGAAGTGGAGACAGCACACTCTGGGTAATGAAGCCGCTGGTTGAGGTGGGAGTGGGGGAGCTATTTATGCTTGGAGCTTTCTACCTCTTGAGTGGAAGGGTCTCCACAGCAGCTGGATTCACCCTTTCCCCCTCTTCCCTGCAGGGACATTCCTCCAAGGAGACATCTGGAGGTCTTTGAAGGTTCGCTCACCGCAGAGGTAGGTGCTGGAAAAGAGGAGGCGGGGAAAGAGTCATTTAAGCTCCGCCTCTCCTTCACCATGGTCCTTCCTTTTTCAGATAACCCCAGCCAACCAGGAAATCCAGGCAGCATCAGAAGCAGCAGATCACGATGCTCAGGCGACAGAGTCTGTTCACAAACCTTCCAAGTTGCCCAACAGATCTGAGGGACAGAAAAAGGCTGAGGAAAAGCTCTCAGGTGATGGAAAATTCTAGAATGTGCCAAAGTCACACTGTGGAGGGTCCGATGGGTGTTTCTAGGAGGCATGGTTTGCTACCTGGTTTGATTTAGCTTGGAGTCTCCATCCTAAACATAAATGTGTGGGAAGCGATTATGGTTGCTCAGTCTTGAGGATAAAACCGTCTGCATATGAGCAGAGAAACCTCCATCTTTCCCATTGACACATTCCTGGGCTAATTTATGCCATTTGAATAAGGTTCCAGAACTGGGACTACTGACCCATGGCTCATCCTGGAAAGAGAAATCAATATATTTATATTGGGCGCTGTGCATGCACTGATGTTTCTCTGCTATTGTTTTTATTGATAGTGACCCTGAACGTTTAATGGTCCTGTATAACTTCAGATTTTTTGGTGCTTTGTTACTGGGGATGATGTTTTATTCTAAGATCTTGCACGATGATGATGATGATAATTTGTTAACCTTGTTGCAGTTTACAAGAAAGTACGATAATAAAAATATTTTACAATAAGAAAACATCCTTAATTTCAGGGTGGAACAATAATATAGGAATGTGTATATTTGTGGGGAGAAACCAATATCTTTAGGTTCTGGGGTGCTCAAATGCAGAGCTGAAGAGACCAAGATCTGTGTGACCACAGTATGAGATTCATAGTGTAGGACCCAGGAAAGAGCCACTTCAGCAGTAACTCCTAGTATTTGTAACTCCATCATAACTGAGGCCATTAAGATTCCTCTTTTCTGGTGGGTGTTCAGAGGAGGAGAGACCTGAATGCTATTAGCAATTGTGATTCAGTGATAACTGCTACGTGTTTTTGAAAGATCCTGGTTCATCAGTTGTATGCATTTTTATCTATTTGCTTTGTTGTAAGCTGCCCTGTGGCTTATGCAAAGGGAGCTATATAATTCAAATACATAATCCAAATACATAAATACTGTAAATGTGACCTTCCTAATTTCTCCCCCACAGAGTCCTCTCAATTCCCAGCTGATGCTCCAAAGTCAAGCCCCACAGCAGCTGCGATCAGCAGCATCAGACAGAAAGATGTGGAGGGGCCAACTGCTACTGAGGGACTCCATCAACGGAAGCTAGAAGGAACCAGCTGGATAGGAGGAGTTCAGCAGCAGGGGGCACTAGAGGAAGAGGCAGATACAGAACAGCATCAGCATGGGGAAGCAGAGAAGCCCGAAGGCAAACAGCCAGAGGAACAAGGGCAGGGAGAAGAGACTTCAGAGGAGAGGGAGGAAAAACAAGTGGGAACTGTGTGGTATGAGGGGTTCCAGCAAACTGCACCAGATTGGGCACTATCTGTGGGAGAAGAGCAGAGAGGGATGGTGAGGGCTGTGGGGTTTCAGCTCAGTGGGGGGGTGGAGGAGGAGGTCAAGATGGTGGAGAGACAGCAGCTAGAGGCTGAGAGACAACAGGAAAACGAAGCAGAGATGGAAAAGGACCTGCTGGAGGAAATCAATATGGTGGTTGCAAAGGAAGGAATTCCACAAGCAGTGCCAGGCAGGGCAGAGACTGAAGAAGACCAGGAGGAGATGCTCAGAGGAGAAGCTGAAGCTGGGAGAAGCCATCTGTGGGAGCCAAAGGAGGAAGTAGAAGGCACAAGAGAGACTGGTTGTGGTCAGGAAAAGGACCTGGGAGAAACTTTCTGGTATAAGGGGATTCAGGAAAGGGTACCAGATTGGCCACAGTTTGTGGAGGTACAACAGCGAGGGCTGGAGGAGGCAACCAAGATGGCAGAAGATGAGCAGCTGGAGGTCGAGCAGGAACACAAAGAAGATCCAGAGGCAGAAAGGCAGGAGGGAGAGACATGGGCTGTGGGATTTCACCACAAGGGGCTGGAGAAGGAGGAAGAAGAGGTCAAGATGGCAAATGGTCAACAGCTGGAGGTTAAGCAGGAACAGGAAGAAGAACCAGAGGTGGAAGAGAACCTGCAGGAGGAGTTAGATATAGCCGAAGAAGAAGAAATTCAGCAAACAATGCTGGGCACTGCAGAAACTGAGGGAGGGCAGGAGGAGGAGCTACACGAGGAAGAAGAGGCAGGGAGATGCCACCAGTGGGAGCCAAGGGAAACTGCTGTGATTTTGGAAGGGCAGGATGGGGAGCCAAAGGGAATAGCAGAGAACAGGGGTGGTCAGTGGGAAGAAGTGACAGGTGCAGAAGAGACAGAAGGGGTCCAGCAGAGGGAGGAAGAGGAACCTGTGAGAAAGGAGGCAGCAGCAGCAGAAGAAGTGGAACTTACAGGAGAAGAATGGCTGGAGGAGAGTGACCAGGAGGGTGAATCAGAGAGGCCGGCAGAAGCTAGTGGTCTTCTTGACAAAGAGGTGCTGGAAGCAGCTGGAATCCAGACAAAGCAAACAGAAGAGATGGAAAGTGGCCGACAGCAAGAACCCATGATGTGCACTTCCTCCATCGCTGGGACGTTCCCAGTTAAGGTAAGCAAAACTAAAATAAAAATGGAGCATGATGGGAGTCAGGACTCTGGAGTTAACCAATTCACTTCTCCTGTGCAGGTCGCGGCCCTGGATACAAGTCACCAAATGGAGCGGGTGCTGCTTCGCCGCAAGAGCTCTATCCGGCGGGCGCCCAGCACAAAGAGACAGCCAGTGGAGACCCAGCCAGAGACGATAAGCGTAGCTGAGGAGGTTCCAGCTCAACCACAAACACCGCGCAGGCAGAACCCAAGGCTTTCTGGGTAAATATGAATATCCTATCACCACCACCCCAGGAGTTAACTTTGGAGTTTTGCCTCACTCTGCTCATTCATTCTCTTTGCCTCCCCAGGTTTGGGCCTATGCACCCCAACATGATGGCTGAACTTCAGACCCGTCTGCGCAAGCCCCAGTGACCCAAGGGTGGATTTCTGCATTATATTTGAGCTTTCACTGGACGTAAAAACCGCCTCTGGAAATCTAGGGGCAGTTTAGCACTCATTTCCATGTTAATTGCTTTCGGGGTGGGGGATATCCATTTGCAACCCTGTTAATGCAGAAAATTGTGGGAGATGAGTGATGAAGTTGGGGGTACTCTACCAGCGTACAGTTCTCTTGTGCCATTTTCATGCGTGAATCATGGGGGGACAGAAGTGCGCAGGTGCAGAAAGGGTGGGGAAGCGGCCTCATGTCCAATGACATTTGTTGTTGTATCACACCTCACCCACTGGTGTGAAAAAGAATTAGTGCAGCATGCCAGCATATTGCTTGAAAAGCTACAGCAGTGTGAAAGCAACGTTAGAAAACAGGGCAGGAGTGCTAGTGTTATAATCAGGAAAACCACCACAAAATTCTCATGTCTGAACTTACCCCTGTGATAGGCTAAGGCATAGGGTGTGTGTGTTGGGGGAGCAAGACTAGAAAATGGGGCTAATGATACTGGTTGCCATTCATATCAATGGCTCCTTCTGCATTAGAGCCTTGTAGCGCTGCTGAGGCACTGCTTTTCCACAATAATCTGGAAGTGGAATTAACACTCCACGTAATACTTCATATAGCTCTTTCCTTCCTAAAAAATCCTTCCTGCTCAATCCATTAAGACAGGGATAGCCAACATGGTGCCCTCCAGATGTCAATGGATAACAGATCCTGTCCCCCTTGACCACTTGCTATGTTGGCTGGGTCAGATCGCATTTGTAATCCAGTAGCATGCAGTGGACATCACTGGCTACCCCTGTGACAGTATCTACATCAGAAGCTCTATCGAGGGTGCCACCACGTTCAAATGTGAGAGAGCCTTTTCAGTGGTTGTGTCCTCCCGACTTTTAAAATATTTTTTTGTAACTAAGTGAAGAGGATGTTTTTCTTTCTGGCTTTTTAACGATAGCTTTAGTTCATTTAACTAAATTTAGTTAATGTAGTTCATTTATTCCCGTTTAATTGTTATTTCTACTTTTGTTTTTAGTTGCTGTTTTCACCGTCAGATGTGCAGTTTCTGGCTGGTTTAAAATGTCAAAATGTTGGTATTAAAAATTGTTTAATTGCACTGTTTTTTGCCGTGTTTCAAAAGCTTCCGTTGAGAGGTAGACAAGAAATCTTTCAAATGAATCAATAAATCCATGTCAGTGGTTGTCATACTGTTTCACAGGGAGCTTATAGGCAGGCAAGCTAAAACGACTTGCCTGCTGCTGCCAGTCTTCCATTACAACATGCAGCTACTGAAGAGTTTGGTAGTGTACATTGTTCACCTAAGGCAACAGTGAGATACATTAGCCAAGCCAGTACCAGTCAGGAACGGTGCGTGCTCCCTAGAAAATACCCAGAATCCTCTGTAACAAACAGTTACACTCACTCCAGTTCTCTGAGCAGTGAGAAGTTCTGGGGGTTTGATTTCCTTTGGAAAGAGGTTACTAGAGTGACTTATTGATGCTTTGTAATAATTATGTTCATTTACACACACACACACACAAATTTTAAATCAAAGTTTGCAGGGTGGTCCACAATATAAAAATACAAAATGAAAACACAGAGTTTAATCTCACCAAAAGATAGGCAGATGCTCCCACATCAGATCTCTGCCAGCAAACCACAATTTTAAGCCATTGTTTGTTGATGACTTATGTATGTTGGGTTGTTTTAACTATGGCTTGGTGTTATGTGCAAACCTAGCACCCTTTTTTAACCATGGCTGCTTACTCATTACCATCTTAAAATCCAGCTAGGTTCTTCTTTCCCCCCAATTTGGATTAAAGCTGGTTGCGGGGGGAATGTATCAAAATGCAATATTGCATTAAAAACAACAGGGTAGACACAGGAAAGATATGGATTGTGGCTAACATTGTGTGTAGACTGCTTCCCAAAATAGCAGTGGGAGTGTAGTGGATGCCGAGGGAACAGCAATGTACACAGCCCATGTTTGTTTTGGCTATCCCACCGCTGATGCTCATTAAGCACCAAACAAAAGAAGATGAAAAACTAAACTGGAGAAACAAGCCATGGTTTGTTTGACTGTTGGACAATTAATGGTTTGTGGTTTGTCAGAACAAACCATGGCTTGCCATTACAGGCAAACCAGCCAGTCTCTGGTTCAGACTGCTATAAGTCCTTTGCACACAGATACCTAGATCCCATCAATCATAATTAAAAAAAAAAACACAAGAGAGGTTCTTTCAGAGCTACTCCAAGGTTTATTGTTTGTTATTACTCTGCTTGTTAAGCTTGTACTCTTACCATCAGAACCAATGATCATGGAGCCTACAGAGACAAATTTCAGGTGAGAAACACTGTTTGAGCCAGAGTATACCTGATTTTATTTCTTTATCTATCACATTTATATGCCACCATTTTTCTCCAGATACATGGTTCTCCCCTTCCTCATTTAATCCCCAAAACCACCCTGTGAGGTAGGTTAGGCTGTGGGGCAATGACTGGCCTAAGGTCAGCTAGTGGGCTTCATGACTGTGGGGGAGGGGGGATTCAAACCTCGGTTGTCCACATGCTAGTCTGACATTTTAACCACTACAACACACTAGGGAAGATATAAATTTAAAAAATGTCCAGTAGCACCTTAGAGACCAACTAAGTTTGTTACTGGACAATTTTTTTATTTTTTTCTACTGTGTCAGACCAACACGGCTACCTACCTGAATAGGGAAGATATGTGAGTGGATTTCCTGACACAATCTTCCATAAAGCTGTGGTGAGTGTCACTGAATTGGCTTGAAGTAGCAGTTTTGGGGGTAAACCGGGGGGGGGGGAGCCAATAATCTGGCATTTTCACAGTCAAACTTGCTCCCTATCCAAGCTTCTTGCAGTCTTGCCTTGAGCAGTGATGAGTAGAAATATTGTGCCTGTCCCCCCGCCTCCAGAAAGGCGATTAGCAGCCTTGGGAGGGGGCCATTTACAGCCCAAGAATACCGTATTTTTCTGCGTATAAGACGCCCCCTATTTTGGGGGACTCCAAATTAAGAAAACACCTCTCAGCACTACCCGTGTATAAGACGAGCCCCAATTTTAAACCTTTTTTAAAATATATATATATATCTAGACTTATACATGGAAAAATACGGTACTTCCCATGAAGCTGAATGCGGAAAGTGACAAATAGCATGTGGGATAGCACGAAACATTTATGTTCATGTAACCAGGAAAAAAAATGTTTCACAATAAGGAAGCGGGTGGGTGGGGAGTGTTTTTTTCTGGTTTCCTTCTCAAAGTTACCACTCATTAATTTAGAAAGTGGCCTTCAAGAGTTCTATGGTGTTAGCACTGGTAATCTGCATTATCTAGATTTCTGTGGATTTGTTGTTGGAATATCTATCTACAGAAGCGGCGGCCAATTCCAGGAGCAGAGTTTTTGATCCAAAGCCTTCTCACAGGATAGGCAAATACCTTGAGGTACTTAGTTTGCTTTGCATGAGCATGGTTATTGAATCAATAAATGCCCATTTGCTTTGGCTGTTGATCAGGTGGTTTCACTCTCTCTGTTGACATTTTTTAGGCAGAGGATGAAAGGGATTATGTGGCCCACACCTTTTTAAAAGAGAGGGGTTTTTTACTGGGGAAATGGTGCAGAGAAGAGGATTAAACATTCCCAATTCCCCCCACCCCTTGAGGTTTTAATTTGCAATTGTAACAGGGGAAAAAATACTAATAATATATGATTGGAAAAAGCAATCCATTGCCACACGACCTTGACACAATATTTCCTCAATCCAGTTTTAAGCATATACATTTATATAGGGAGTCCAAATTTCCCAATAGGTGCCTGGATTAAATTGATGATTACAAACCATATGCTCGAACGTGGAAAGAGCAGTGAGATCTTCTAACCACTGGGTGATAGACGGTGGAATTTGTCTTTCCAGCTCTGCACTATAAGCCTCTTAGAACTCATCACAGAACCCACTTCTGTTGCCCATCTGTTTAGTCGAACACCGCCTGCTTCTGTCTCACTGCTCTGACCCAATCTTCCCCTCTCCTGCAGGCTGCTGCTGCGTTTAAGCTTTAAAAACAATGTTTGGACATTTGATTGTGTGTTTCCAGAATTGCACAAGGTTCAGGCCTTCTCTGAGAGAGCAACAATCAAATTATTTCAGCCCGTTTTGTCAGCAAGTCTGCTACATCAAACGCATAAAGTGGATGGAAGAGCTGCGTTCTTTTGCGGGGGAGGGGAACTGCATCGTTTTTGGCTCTTTGCCTGTCAGCAGATGTGGAAGATACAGGGACCCTGTACCTCCAGCTAGCTGGCATCTCTCTTACCAGATCAGTCTCCATCACAGTACCGGTAATAGGTTTTTAAAAAAGAAATCTGAGTGAATGTCTCCTTCAGTTATGACATGCATGTTATGTATTTTTTATTTATATCTATATAAACACACACACACACAGAGAGAGAGAGAGAGAGAGAGAGAGAGAGAGAGAGAGAGTATGCATGTGCAACACTTAATTCCACAGCCCATACATAAACTGCGGAGTTACCTCCCTGCCAAGTTGCATCAAGTGGTATAAAAATGATAGAAAATAATCGCAGTGGTACCTCAGGTTAAGTACTTAATTCGTTCCGGAGGTCCGTACTTAACCTGAAACTGTTCTTAACCTGAAGCACCACTTTAGCTAATGGAGCCTCCTGCTGCTGCCGTGCCGCCGGAGCACAATTTTTGTTCTCATCCTGAAGCAAAGTTCTTAACCTGAAGCACTATTTCTGGGTTAGCGGAGTCTGTAACCTGAAGCGTCTGTAACCTGAGGTACCACTGTATCAACAATATGCAGAGAAGATCAGCAAAATTTAAAACAAATATTTAATTACAAAACCAGGATAGACTTGTTAAAATGAAGAAAGTTTTGGCAAACATCTATAGCAAGGGTGCTGTTATGGGCGGGGGGGGGGGGAATAGGGGGGTTGGCTTTTGCTGCCCAACTCCCCAGGGGACTGAGTCCCGTAAATCCATGATCAGAGATGAATGGATGGAGGCAAGATCCATAGAAAGCAAGGCAGATCTTTATTTTTCTGTTGCAACAGAGTTCCCTCCCCTCCTTACAAGAGGTAGGAGAGACCCAGAACAATGGTGCACAAGCCCCTATAAAGACTTTTGAAATTGCCCACCCTGTAATCCAAGACCACCCCCCAAAACATCATACATACATCACAGAAGGAGGCAGACTCCAGCAGAATTCTGAGAGTGTTGCTTCTCTCCTGTCTGCCAGGATACCTGATAATGCCTTACTTGACTGCATTTTCTGGGTAGCCTGGCCATTCCTTTGAGATGGTAAATACCATATTTTTCCGTGTATAACACGCCCACAAGTATACGACACCCCCTATTTTGGGGGACTCAAAATTAAGAAAATGGGGGGGGTGATTGCCCAGAGTATGGTACTTTAGTTCTTGAATCTCTTACACATATTGATGGTTTACTCAGCTTAACAGATACTTGCCAGACTGTAATTGCAGGGAAGTGTAAGCCCCTACAGTCCAAAGACATTTGGAAAGCTTTTCCCATTTCCGTCTTCCTTGCAGAGAAATATTTGAGGTCAATTTGGAGAGAGTCAAAATGGCTTCAGGATTGCTCTCCTGTACTGTTTCAGACACGTGGTTTATACACTTACGTATGTGTCTGCCTTGTACATTTATGAACATTTGTTCTATATTTGAGACCTTAGAATTCTTATAACAGTGCCTAATGTTAATCATGAGGCAGAGCATTTGGTCCATCTAGATGTCTATGTTCATAGAATCATACAGTAGAGTTGGAAGGGACCAGGAGGATCATCTAGTCCAGGGGTTGTCAACCTGGTCCCTACCACCCGCTAGTGGGCGTTTCAGGATTCTAGGTGAATGGTAGGGAGTTCTATGGCACAAGCTGAATCCTCCTTCCATCGAGCACTGGTGGGGAGTAAGGAAATTTTACCATCAAGAAAGATGTATTAGTGGGCAGTAGGTATAAAAAGGTTGACTACCCCTGATCTTTCTGCTAACCAAGCAGTTTGAAAGCATGTCAAAGGGCAAGTAGATAAATAGGTACCGCTCCGGCAGGAAGGTAAACGGTGTTTCCGTACACTGCTCTGGTTCGCCAGAAGCGGCTTTGTCACTCTGGCCACATGACCCAGAAGCTGTCTGCGGACAAACGCCGGCTCCCTCAGCCACTAAAGCGAGATGAGCGCCGCAACCCCAGAGTCGTCCGTGACTAGACCTAACGGTCAGGGGTCCCTTTACCTTTTACCCCTGATCTAGTCCTACCTCCTATGCAGCTGGGGATCGAACCTGCAACCTTGGTATCATCAGCACCATGCTCTACCAACTGAGTTATATTGTTTGTCAGTGCCTCTTCGGATTTTCAGACAAGAATCTTTCCCTGCCACCCACTCCTGTTCCTTGCACTGTTGGGAGCTTGCCACTTCCTCCTGCTCCTCCACTGCTGCATACGCCCCCCACCCTCTGCCCCCACCCCCTGCTGCAGCCACATGCACCCGGAGCGGCTGTGGCGAGGAGGCACAGTATTCTTTGCAGAGAAGCCACCATGTGATTTAAAAGTGTGGTGCATATACTGCCCAGATCAGCAGAAAGCCGGCTGCCTAAGGCAGGTTTAGAATTGCCTGTCAAACATTCCTAGCTTTGCTTTCTCTTTCACTCTTTCTTATCTCTTTCCCAAGAAAAGTGCCTTTGCTGAACTGAAACAACAGTTTCCATAAATGGTCACAGCAGTGTTGGTTTTATTGAAAAAAATAAGTTAAAAATACAAAATATAAACATTTAGAAAAAAATAAATACTTATAAATTAAATATTTTAAGATAATTGGTAAATCCATAAATTACAGTAGGGGAGGTGTTGTGGTCTGGATGCCAGGATGCCAGCATTCTCTGACAGCGGATTGGGGATCTAGGCTGGGAGTGGTGGAGATTTGGAAGCCTTGGAAAAGGAAGTGTCTTTAGCCACCCGAGTCCTCAGCAGCGAGAATTCCCTTGTGACCCGGCAGAGGAAACTGTTGAGGGAGCGCAAGATGACATACACTTCCTGGCGATTCCTCCACCAACTCCGGTGCTGAAGAATTCGAAGGGGCTTGAGTGTTGGCTCAGGCTCGTTTTCAATCGGCAGGCCCCAAAGCAAAATCTACAGGGAGAATCAAGGAAAGGTGTTAAAACAGCACAAAAGATAAAGGACGCCTTTGCCCCACCTAGCTGTGTCCCAAAGGGCAGGGTCCAGTATATCTGAAGGAGCGTCTCCACCCCCATCGTTCTACCCGGACACTGAGGTCCAGCACCGAGGGCCTTCTGGCGGTTTCCTCATTGCGAGAAGCCAAGTTACAGGGAACCAGGCAGAGGGCCTTCTCGGTAGTGGCGCCTTCCCTGTGGAACACCCTCCCACCAGATGTCAAAGAGAACAACAACTACCAGGCTTTTAGAAGACATCTGAAGGCAGCCCTGTTTCGGGAAGCTTTTAATGTTTGATGTATTATAGTATTTTAATATTCTTTTGGAAGCCGCCCAGAGTGGCCGGGGAAGCCCAGCCAGATGGGCGGGGTATAAATAATAAATTATTATTATTATTATTATACCTGATAACTCACGTGATGGTCCAGGTCTCGGAGGGAAAGACTGATGTCTTCAAAGTTAGACAGGAATTTAGAGTCTTCTTTGGTGGCCTCGTGGTCCCTCAGCTGTTGTGCCAAACCCTGATAAAATGGCAGCATCTTGGACATGTAGGTCAGGCGCTTGGCATCCTGGGAAAATGGCAGGATTAGGAATCAAACTAGTCAAGAGCACCCAGGTGCCCTGCCTCTTCCCTCCCTGCCTTTGAGATGTGGAAAGAAACCCTGGCGAAAGCAGGCAGCTATGGAGTGTCCCAAAGCTCTGCCAAAACTTCCCATCCAAAATACTAATCATTGATTAAGGCCCAAACTACATGTTAATCTGGGGAATTGATAATGGATAGCCTACTTCAAAACAAATAACAAATTGCAGCCTACAGAAAGAGGCGTCTAATTAATCTGGTCAAGGAGATAACTTAGGGTAAGGGTGTTTAACCTTCTTCCTAACACCAGTTCCCCAATCTATATTGCCCCCACTCAAGTTGATCAACAACAACAACATTATTTATACCCTGCCCATCTGACTGAGTTGTCCAGCCACTCTGGGTGGCATCCATCATAATATAAAAACACAACTAAACATCAAGCAATAAAAACTTCTTGATACAGCGCTGCCTTCAGATTGTCTTCAGAAAGCCATATAGTTGTTTATTTGTTTGCCCTCTGATGGGAAGGTGTTCCACAGGGTGGGTGCCACTACCGAGAAGGCCCTCTGCCTGGTTCCCTGTAACCTTACTTTCCAAGATTCTGTGAGGGAAGCCACGACCGCGAATCTGCCTCCAGGTGACCTCACCTTCAGAGGCAAGGTCAGTGGGTCCTGGAGGGAGAGGGCCTTTTCACTGGTGACACCTCAGTGACGGAATTCCTTCTCCTTATCAACTCACCCAAAGCCAACATTTCATATCTTTTAGGCACCAGGTAGCAAAATATTTTGTTTGCTTTATCAGGCTTTTGGTGGCATTGAGTAGTTCACAAGGGCTTTTACCACCTCTTGTAGAGACTGACAATGTTGTTAAACACAATTTATGTTGTTACTTGCTTTCTATCATCATTTTAAGCCATACTCTGAGGGCATGAAAAGCGGGATAGGAATTTTTCAAATAAATAATTATTCTTACTGGAAGAGAAAGCCACGTGCGGAGATCAAGGCTGACTGAGGGAAGCTGCCCTGAGCTTCGTACAGAAGTGGGCTGCACTCCAGACAGACGTTCAGAGAGCTGGAAAGAAAGAAAGAAAAGACCAAGACTCTAGGTGGGGTTGCCAACTTTTCAACCAGCTGCTGTGGATGTGCCTTAAGAAATATACCTTACTTGAGATGGGGGAAGAGACAGAAGCAAGTTATTCAAATTTATTTATTATGTTATTTCCACTTTTCCTCCAAATTTGCTGAGAGTTGTAAAAAATTATTCCATTATAATGTTAGCAGGAACTACCAAAAATAAATTTAACTATTGCTCATAAAGTTACTAATTTTATACTGCGCCTTCATAGATAACAGATTGATTATTGTTTGATCCCATCAGCAATAACTAAGGACACAGAATTTTCCAGGTTTTCAGTTTTCCACTACTATTCATGTGTCAGAACCTTCAGATATCCCCATCAACCATTGCATGATTAATTGGATAAACAGCGAAAGGGGAAAGAACTAATGAACTAAGAAGCTGTTAGCTTTCCCTTCCAGAAACCAGCCAGTTCCTATCCCAAGGCCCGTCACATTGTGTGCGCAGAGGAGTTAGAAAGACGAGCAGACTTACGTAGCGACGTGAAATAGTCTGTATTTTGCAGAGAAGTTGCTGGGAGTGTCTTAAGCTAATGCCAAATTCTTTCTGCAGAGTCAGCCGCCACTGTGGGATGAGACTGGAGTCATTCTCTCCCTGAAGCCCAGCCGCGGTGGCAGCAATGAAAAGGTCAACATTGAGGACGGCTTGGAGAAGGAGTGTCGCACCTAGACAGTTGTGGGGAGAAGGGAAAGGTGGTGCCATTACATGGGAAAGGCAGCAAATTTGTTGAGCTGGATACCTGCTGATCTTGGGACAAATATTCAGAGCTAGGTTTGTGGTGAGATAAGCCTCAGTTTGTCCATAGGGAGCAATGGGTGGTACCATCAAGGTACAATTTTGAGGCAGATATCTAGAGCCACTTTGGCAGAATGAGCAGGAAAGTCTACAAATGCAGTGCAGCTTACCATGTTTTGAATACACAGCAGTACCATCGTAAGAGTCCTGCCCCGCTCAACCATTCAACCCAGAGTCAAAAATTACCCAACAGTACCACTGATTAAAACAACACCATTTTGGCTCCTACGATTCCTGTCACAGGACCTTAGCAAACACACGTGCTCCCAAATTTGGTTTGCAGGCCTGTCACACAGCGTGACCTCACCATCTGGAGAGGGGAAACCCATGTGAGGGGAATTTCGCTGGCCACTTTGAGGTTTTTTCAGTAGATTTGGAGGTTATGTTTACCAGTAAGGGAAAGCATGGAATGGCGAGCCATTGATCCCTCAGACCTAAACAACCTCAGAGATTTGATTTCAAGACAAAATAGAACAGCGTCTCAGGCTCCTTTAGAGTACAGGTGGGGAACCTTTGGCCAACGGTCAGAGATGATGGAGTTGTAGTCCAGCAAGGTCTGAGGGGCCACAGGATTCCCAAACCTGGACTACAGTGTATTGAATCCATCAACAAAGGTGTCTAGAAGTGGTCCAGGGCATGTTGGTACTTAAAGTAGAAAATCCAAATGCCTGGGGTGGCCAGTAATGCATTGCCAAAAATAAAGGGGTGAAAGGTGACACCAATTTGCTTAACATTTGCAAATGGTAATTTATATGTATAGTTACAGAACTGGACTTAGGCTGGACAGTCCTCAAATATGGAATACCTTCAAACAGAGGACTGTCTGACAGCCCTTCAAAATAGAGGACTGCGAAGTAGGACACACATGGCTATCCTACAAATGGCCCTCCCCTCATCCCTCAGAGCAGTGGTTCCCAAACTTTTTTGAGGAACCCTCCTTACTTCCATAAACTCCTCCCCACTGCCCCCTACCCTATAAAAAGCATTATTCAGAATAGTGCTTTGCTTGGCCCACTAAGGAAGATCATAACACAATAAACTTCAAAACAGTAACAAACAATTACACATTTAATAAAAATCCAGTTAGAACTATTTAATGTAATTAATTCAACAAAACTGATGAGCTTGATCCAGTGATACCAGCTTTTCAAAGCTTCACGGTCAGTTAACGGTAATGGTAAAGGTAAAGGACCCCTGGATGGTTAAATCCAGTCAAAGGCGACAATGGGGTTGTGGCGCTTATCTTGCTTTCAGGCTGAGGGAGCCTGCATTTGTCCTAAGACAGCTTTCAGGGTCATGTGGCCAACATGACCAAACCGCTTTTGGTGCAATGGGACACCGTGATGGGAGCTAGAGCGCATGAAAATGCCATTTACCTTCCTGCCACAATGGTACCTATTTATCTGCTTGCACTTGTATGCTTTTGAACGGCTAGGTTGGCAAGAGCTGGGACAGAGCAATGGGAGCTCACCCCATTCCACAGATTCGACCCAAAAGGGTCAGTGGTTTAGACCACAGCACCACCTGCTCCCCTCACACCTCCAGCACCCCCCTGCTGTCTCCTTGTCTCTTAGCACCCCAGGTAATACTATCCACTTTAGGAACCTCTGTTCCAGAGTAAAATATAAGCCGTTTGTTTTATTATGACTGCTTATGCCCCCTTCCCTCTCTGCCGTGAAACTTGAGAATTGATATTCATGAATGCCTCTTGAGCAGTTTCACACCCAAGGGGGAGCCAAACTCAAATTTCCTTAACACGGCCACACACTAGCCATTTAAAGCACATTAGTGCTGCTTTAAGAGTCATGGCTTCCCCCAAGAATCTTGAGAACTGTAATTTACCCTTCACAGAGCTATAGTGTCCAGAATCCTTAACAAACTACAGTTCCCCAAGATTCTTTGGAGAATACATGATAGTCGAAGTGGTACGAAACTGCTTTAAAGGCATGGTGCGGCTGTGACCCACATCCAAGTTACATAGCCATTTGCCTTCAGGCTCCAAGGCAAAGGGTCTCAAAGTGGAGGCTTCTCCGTTAGTAGTACTATAAAACCTGCCACCTGAGCTGCTTTGCCTCACCCTAGCTAATGCTAGAGCTGGCCCTGGCAAGCCTCTTCCTGCCATTGACACAGCCAGCCTTCGTGTCTCATCCCTTGCCTGCACTACACAGTGCCCCAATAAATCTCACCCTGGACTATCTTCAGGACCGAAGCAAGGAAAAGCTAGAAATATAAAGAAATATCACAAATAATTTCTCATTTCTTACCACACAGACGCATCTTGAGAATCTCTGATTAGTGGGGTATCTGCCTGTCTGTCCAAGAAGGCAATGTTTGATCCTACAGCCCATCTTGGGGGCCTTTTTATGTCCACTGGCTTTCATTTTCATTTGGACCTGTAATGTCCAAGATTACAAAGGGTGCTCTTTTCAAAGAGGCGAAACAATCTGATTTCTGGAACTGCGTCTTTCACCTCTATGGTAGCTTCTCTCTGCTGTAGTTTCGGGGGGAGGGAGTAGCAAGGGATTGGAGCGGCCAGGGTGCTTGCTCAGCTTCCTCTTTTCTTGTGTGGGGGGGGAAGAAACCGCTTGAAAAGAGGATTTCTTCAGCTGACCATGTGACACAGGATGCCCTCTCATCTTGGGGAACCCTCTCATTCAGCTGGGGGCTTTTTCAACGCCACCAACGTACTCAATTTCTGGTCTCTGTTGACGTTTCTCTCCCTCTCTCACCCACCTCCCAGCAAAATCCAGGCAGAGAACATTATTAAAAATTGCCTCATCATAAAATACACCGCAGTATTTGGAATAAGGGAATAGAAAGTAATCCCCAAATGCTAGCTCTGCATGTTACATTGAATACGCTGCCCCTCATTGGCAAACCCTTGCCCATCTCTGTTTGACAAAGGTCTGCCTTAGTATTGCACATTTCACTGTTGTCAGGGAGTTTACTATACAGGTGACTCTCCACTTATGTGGGGGTTATGGTTCCAGGGATAGCACCTGGACAACTGACAACCATTTTGTGTGAGACAATAAGGTGACAACATCCCCCCTATCATTGGCCTCCTGCTCCTGTTCAATAACCAAGCAGCCACCTCCTTCTCCTTGGTCTTCCAGGAACAAGAGTGAGGCAGGGCACAGGAGTGGCTTCAAGATGGCTGCTTGACAGCGAGGTCAGCCATTCGTACATGTACCCAGTGCTGTCCACTCTGACTAATAAGTGTTCTGCTCGATCAGACCAAAGGCCTAACTTCTTTTCCCACAGTGGCTAATCAGATCACTAGCAGAACGTGTGTACAATAGCCCTCCGTCAGCTGCTTTTCGGAGGCATGGTATTGATAATGGAGGTAATTACTATTATTGTTGCTATTTTGACGCTAGGGCTGGGTGATATATCAATATATTGAACGAAACCGGTTTGAAGTCTATATTGGTTTCATAATTTTTGACCTGGCAATATATCACAAATCATTATGTGTGCTAAGGCTGAGCCATATATCATCCAAAACCAGTTTGAAGTCCATGCTGTGATATCGGTTTCATAATTTTTTGACCTGGCAATACATTACAAATCATGGTGTGCCCATGTGCTATGCAAAAATCCCAATGCGGGAGAAACCGTAAAGCCAACCAATGCCTCTACATAGCTCCATCCTTATTTCAGAAATCATTATATATCAGTATATTGCAATGTTTAGCTGGTGATATATCACAATGTTAAAAACCAGGTATCACCCAGCCCTGTCACCCTAAGGTTCCAGAGTAGGTTGCAACCAAATGAAATATGATACAGTGGTACCTTGGATTAAGAACTTAATTCGTTCTGGAGGTCCGTCCTTAACCTGAAACTGTTCTTAACCTGAGGTACCACTTTAGCTAATGAGGGCCTCCCCCTGCCGCCGCCACACAATTTCTGTTCTCATCCTGAGGTAAAGTTCTTAACCCAAGGCAGTGGAGTAGCGTGGGTTGTCAGCACCCGGGGCAAGGCAAGTAATTTGCGCCCCCTAACCCGTGGATTTTAGCAGGTGGCAGAGAGCTGCGAGTGCGAGCACGCCCCCCCCGATGTTGCGCCCGGTGCGGCCGGCCCCCCCTGCACCCCCCACGCTACGCCACTGACCCGAGGTACTATTTCTGCGTTAACGGAGTCTGTAACCTGAAGCGACTGTAACCTGAAGCATCTGTAACGCGAGGTACCACTGCATTAAAATCAGTTACAGACATTACAATCACAGTGATAGGGGTGCGCAAGGCCGGCCTGCAACAAGGCACAGTGAGAAGGCTGCTTTGGGTGGCACAATACCATGAGGTGGTACCATGCGACCCGGGCAAGAGAGGCTCAGGCGGGGTGGGTGGGCTTCAGCGGTGAAACAGGACAGGCTGCCCCTGAGGGTGGGTGCTAAAAGTATTCATATCAAGAGTCTAATAGCAAAAGACTAGTGGTAATGGATAGCCTTGTCCTCCATGAATTTGTCTAATCCTTTTATTAAGTTATCCTCTACATGGGAACACCTTTGAAGGTGACCCAGAAACTACTACTAATCCAGAATATGGCAGCCAGACTGGTGAGTGGGAGCTGCCATCGAAACCACATAACACAGATCTTGAAAGACCTACATTGGTTCCCAGGACGTTTCCGAGCTGACCTTGATGCTGACCTTTAAAGCCCTAAATGGCCTCGGCCCAGTATACCTGAAGGAGCGTCTCCACCCCCATTGTTCAGCCCAGACACTGAGGTCCAGCGCCCCTTTGCTGGAGAAGTCCCAAAGTTCTGCAAATGCATTTACATAAAAGAGTGTTGCAAATGTTGCAAATGCAGAAATCCAAACATTTGCTCACAGACCAAGACTTGGTGTACAAATGTGGGTATTCTGGCCACAACGGAAAGAAGTATGTTCGTTCCATGAGAAAAACAGGGCCAGGAAGTTGACTTATAGGAACTCTGAAGAATCAAAGTACGTCTTCCCTTGTATGCAAATTCTATTCTCGTTCAGTGTCTCTCTCTCCCCATCAGCGTCTAGTTTAGGTGGTTGTGGGGAGAGTATTCAGAAGGCTAGCTACTGAGAGCATTCGGCCAACTTCTCTAGCAAAATGAAGGCAACTGTACTAGGATTACTTTTAAGGCAGCAAGTGGTTGTAGTCCTGTCCTGGCTCCATTAACTTGCTCCTGTCCAAACATCCAAATTCACCACATGGTCCATTTCTGAGCTACAGTGGTGCCTCGCAAGACGAAATTAATTCGTTCCGCGAGTTTTTTCGTCTTGCGTTTTTTTTCGTCTTGCGAAGCACGGTGTCGGAAAAGTTTTGGAAAAGCTTCAAAAATCACCAAAGTCTTCAAAAACCTCAAAAAAGGCTACAACACCACGTGCTATGAGTTGCTCCTCGAAGTCAAGTCGCAACTGTATTAACGGTTTTAAGAAAAAGGAAACAAACTTGCAAGACGTTTCCGTCTTGTGAAGCAAGCCCATAGGGAAAATCGTCTTGCGAAGCAACTCAAAAAACCAAAAACCCTTTCGTTTTGCGAGTTTTCCGTCTTGCGAGGCATTCGTCTTGCGAGGTACCACTGTACTCACTATGTGTGCCTTATTTAAAAATAATAATAAATCTCTGCCATATATCTCACATATTTTGCACACATCTCAAGAGGTTCTGTCATTTAGGCTGCAACCCCAGGCACACTTTGGCCATGTACACACTCCAGTTTACTCTGCATCCAATGCACTCCCATCACTGGTATGTGAAGCCATGTACACTCATTAGCCACTATCCACACATATCTTGTCGTTTGTTGAAAAATGCTGCATTTGGATGTGTTCAAACCACCTTTGATCTGGTTTGAAAAAGTAAGCCACGGGAAGACAACCACAGCCCCTCTCTGCCGACTAGTGTGAGCAGATAGCAGGTGACTTGGAAACAAATTCAACCATACTCATGTGTACAACAGCATGCATATGTGATTCAAAACACAGCAAAATCAAACGACCTTGCTGCATTTTAAGCCAGGAATGTGTACACAGCTCTGGTTGGCAGTAAGCCTAGAGATGGATGGATCAGTCTGTTCCCAGTCTATGTCTGTTCTGTCCTGACTCTGCAATAATCTGAAAATCTGATTCAATATTAATCACCAAAATCACATTTAAATATATATAAATGTGTTTTTAAATACATATTTTGTGGCAATGTGCACATTTCTAAAAAGAAAAAGTTTATCCTATAAGCATTTTTAATACATGTTGGTACTTTTTTGAAATGTGCAGTAAAGCACAAATTTTAAAGGATAACTATATTTCAATCTACATATGAGTCTGGTAAGTGTGGATCAGGCAAATTTCACATCAAATCAACAGCAACTAGAGGTGCTCGGTTGCCCCCAAGATTGGGGAGGCTCCCGGTGTGCATTGCATACATATGACATCACACACGCAGCACATGACTTCACACACACATCCCCCGATGCTGTCTAGGCCGGTGCAGCCTTCTGCGACGTCATGCAAATATTGAGGGGGCCTAACACTCCTCAGCTCCTAGAGTTGGCATGCCTGACAGCAAATGAATTCCACAAGAGGAACTTGTTCGTGAATAAGCATGCAGAGTATTGGATTTGTGTTTCTCAAAAGTATTCTGTTACATTGTAAAGACAAGTGGTGCAGCAACAAAACTTCTAGCTCATTTGCAAAGCTAAGCAAGGTCTGGTATGGTTCCAAATTGGATGGCGGACGGCATGTTGAGATTCCTACCCCCAGAGGCCAGGTTACGGTATTCATCTCTGCAAGCGGATTAAATGTCTCAAGCAATTGCAACAACAGTACCCCCAACTACACCGCTTGTAGCAGCTGGCTGAGAACCAGTCTCCATGTGACAATAAATGTGTCACTTGAATTTACATTTGTATTTTACAGCTGCTACCAGGGGTAGAGTGGGATAGTTTTTAATCAGGGTGGGCAAGTTTATGCCATGGGTAGGCAAACTAAGGCCAGGGGGCCGGATCCGGCCCAATCACCTTCTAAATCTGGCCCGCAGACAGTCTGGGATTCAGCGTGATTTTACATGAGAAGAATGTGTCCTTTTATTTAAAATGCATCTCTGGGTTATTTGTGGGGCATAGGAATTCGTTCTTTTCTTTTTTCAAAATATAGTCCACCCCCTCCCAAGGTCTGAGGGACAGTGGACCAGCCCCCTGCTGAAAAAGTTTGCTGACCCCTGGTTTATGCGTTTTCGTTCCCACTGCAGTCCCAACAATATTTGCCCCCTTGAAGCTGCTGTTTGCGCCAGAAGTGAGGCTTCCATTATTGCCAGTGGGAGCTTCTCCCAGTGTAAGGCAAATTGCAGCTGAGGAGTGGCAACATGAGAACGGGCCTTTTCTGTGGTGGCTTCCAGTTTGTGGAATGCTCTCCACAGGTAGGCTTGCCTG